TGCCCATTCAGCGGGATCTACATATCTAGTCGAATAAACCCTCGCCAACTCAAGATAATAGACCGATTGAAGCTCCAGTGAGGAGGGTGTTTAGAGATTGGGAGCAGAACGAAACCATGCGGCGCCTCCGTACCACTCGGTACCTCAATCTAGCCGTGCTCACCCCTTCCAGTCATGTCACGACTTTGGTCCTTATTTGGCTTTCTACGGAGCACTCAGTTGATCTTTAGCAATGCAATAGTAGTAGTAGATGAAAAGACCCTGTCAAGTGCTGGCTTCGTCTCATGACATTCTAGAGGACCAGGGATGTTCTCGAAGCGAATGAACTCCTACCCCGCATCTTGAGCTCAAGGTGATTGCTTCGCGGCTTGAGCGCGTACGAGGAATACCACGTCGACGTACAACACAGGCCAGGAACTCCACGAAGAGGACGCACCTCCGAGTTGACCAGTGACGGAAGTGACATGTGGGGTGCCTTTGATCTTCGTCTACTCCGCAGCTCGATGCAGATTGCTCTGTTGCAAGGTGTGTGGACGGCTCGTTTCGAAGCTTGCGTTGGCATTACCCACGAGTCACACTCTCCGCTCGGCATTGCAGAGCCGTGGCGCCACCGTGAAACTTCCCAGCCCGGCCAGACACCTTTCGAGCCAAGAGCGAGTTCACTCTAGCGGTGAGAAGACGACCGCCGAGGAGCCACAGAACGAAGCCAGAAGGGTTGTGGGCCGCGTGGTGATTCTTGACGATGGTGATCACAACCACGCCGGCCATCTCGCGAGCAATACCGAGCACAAAGGAAATCGATAAGCCGCACACGAGTTGTTGGAGCAATGCGGAGTGATCAACAGGTATGCGTCCTATCCTTGCCAAACCCCCGTGTTCGAAACAAGTTGCATTTAGCCCGGCCCATGCTTTGGTATTTGTTGGTATGGAAGCAGGCATTGTACAAAGCACAAATATCCATAATGGCATGGCTATGCTTTTGCAGAGACGCGGACAGATGTGGCCCCGATGCGTTTCTGTACAACATGTCGCACAGCTTGATAAACTTGTACTAACCATAAATTCACAGGCCTTTCCAGATGTAACATGCGGAGAAATCCTTCGGGAAATCAACACCATCCATCGCTTGTGATACGTCCAAATGGCACCATCGGCCGGGGCGTCAATGACACCGTATTGATGCAGGACCCTGGATTCAATCCGACCCGTGCCCATTGCACAGACAATTCGTTTCAGCCCATGAATAGCTCGGTGTGGGCTGGCACCAGTACTAATATCGGGGTGACGCAATAGTCATGGGTGCTTCACGAGGTTTGAGAGCAATGCCATCTGACGACGATGCTGAATTTCTCAAACACGAACAGCCAATCGTGGCACGTCCTCGATGTCACCCACCTGAGACAAACGCCGAGGCTCATCTCAAAGTACTCTTTCTTTTTTTTTTATGTTGCTTCGGTGCGTCACAGCGGCCAGAGTTAAATTCTAATCATAAATTTGCACAGACAGGACTGAAAGCTACGGTCGGGAAGTGGGTTTTTGGCCTTTGCCGTCTAGCACCGGGAGCGTTGTGAAATTTCCGAGATTCGACGTGAGGATACGATACATACCGAGCACCCGTGCAACAAGGAGGAGCTGAAATTCCAGGTAGTATGCTAAAAACTAACAAACCCCATTTGTATTTTGCCAGATATTACAGTAGCGCGCCTTCATGGCGATCAGCATGCGATTACGGTACATACTACACGGAGATGCGACGCTGTTCTATCCTCGTACTCTCATCATTTGTCAGAGCAGCTTGGCACGTATGCCGGCACAGGCAATTCTTAACAGCATAGTAGTATCATTATTCAACGCACTGCGGTAGTTTCCGTCAGGGATGAGGCACGGCTTTTGCCAGTCTATTGTGTCCGGGGACTCCGACACTTTAGAAAGCATCAAGTTATTTCCTGTTTGTTAGTATGGCGCGAATTGGAATGCACTCTGGACATGGAGGTAGAATGGATGTCGTCTCCCGGTTAGCCACGCGCGGTAGGATAGAGCTAGTGGTAGTTTCTTCGTGGAGCATCTCTTGATACGTGGCAAGCTCGGTTCTTACACAAGGATAAGCCACAGCATCTCCCCAGTCGCATGGATTTGGTCGCCGCCACTAGGGGAATGTTCTTGGCGTGATTGTAAAGATCGACGTCAGAAAAGGATCGCCCAAGTGCCAGCGAACCTAAGAGTCGAATGGGTGAACGGAATCATCTTGACATCAGAGGGTTTGGTGTAGGGTAAGCTATAAGTTAGATACTGCTTCCCACATGTACCACATGCTTTCCAACAAGCTGCAATACTGGTTCAAAATACCACCATGCAAAACAGCACGACATTTCCATCCATATAGTCTTCAAACAGACGTGATTTTGACACTGATCGACCAAGTGCCATCCCACTGTTGCTTGCCGCATGACAACACTCAAAATCGCACTTCGGGATGAAACCAAAGAAGCCACGTGCACAAACACGTGACGGAATCGGTCGGATTTTCCCGCTAGCCGAACAGCCTGGCGTCCCGGTAAAGAATCGTTACAGAGGACCTCATTTGAGCTCACGTTCAATTAACATCTCAATCACCCCCTCCAATTCATCATGAACTCCCTCCGCCTCGCCCGTGCGGCTGTTCGAGCTCGCCCTGCAGCCTTTCGGGCTGTCTCCCAGCGGAGAACTTACGCTGAGGCCGTTCCCGACAAGGTAGAAACCGAACCCCGAAAGCATTGAAATATCGCGAACCCCATGAGGCATAACTAACCTGTTTCTCCAGATCAAGCTGTCTCTGTCCCTGCCTCACCAGGTATGAAGTCCCCGATGAAGAAAAAGCGATTGCGAATAATATGAATGCGCAATTGGGCCCTGAGCCCGTTCCTTTGGCATCCCCGCCCGCGCGACAGAAATCGGAATACGGCTAATTAACGCAACTCTTCCTATAGTCCATCTACCGATCCCAGGACGTTGTTCAGGTCAACATCCCCGCCGAGTCTGGTGAAATGGGTGTCTTGGCCAACCACGTTCCTTCCATTGAGCAGCTCAAGCCTGGTATTGTTGAGGTGGTTGAGGAGAGCGCTGGTTCTAAGCAATTCTTCCGTATGTGGCGCCCCGTTCTTCATCGATATTTAGACACACCGGTCGGAGGGCATTGGCCCAGTAAGTTGGTGTCAGGACATGGGCTAACAACGAATTGCAGTCGCTGGTGGATTCGCCACCGTTCAGCCCAACTCTACCATGAGCATCAACGCTATCGAGGGTTACCCCTTGGAGGACTTCAGCGCCGAGGCGATCCGAGCTGGTATTGCTGAGGCCCAGAAGGTTGCCAGCGGCAGCGGAAGCGAGCAGGATATTGCTGAGGCTAAGATTGAGCTGGAGGTGCGTTGTTACCAACCAACAGCATTGTTCGCGTTGCGATTTGAGTTGCATACTAACTCGTGGCAGGTTCTTGAGACTCTTGCTGCCCATGTGAAATAGACGGCGTCCCTTGTCTGAACTCATGTACATCACCCTTTTTCTACAATTATTAGCATCGGACCAAGACAATTAATACCAGTTGTGGTGCGGCTATCCATCAATCATATTCCTTTTGTGCAAAATGACTCTGCCTGTTATGTTTGCGTGTTGATTTTTGTTCACTGGTCGATATGCTCCTTCCACCTGACCTCGCCTCAATTGTTGCTGGGTAGACACACAGGCCTGGTCCTTCCGACTCTGCCTCAGAAATGCATACTACTTCTGCCGCGTGCTCTTCATGTTTATCCTGAGTCCCTTGGTAAGGCATGTCGGGCACATTACACTGTCGCTGCATCCGCTTCAATTTTGTATTTTATTTTGCCACCCGAACGTTAATGGCACACTGCTTAACAACTAGCACCAAGATATTCGATACAAACTCATTATTTTCTCACAGAAATAACGCCACAGCGTGTCACTCCGCGCCTCTTGGCTTTGTGAGCATTCGTATACAGCAACTCGTATCTATCGCGCGCTGTCAGCCAGCCGTGGCACACGCAAAATTTAGCATGGACGAAGCGCAAGACGATGGAAAGCTCGGATAGGGTCGTCGAGCGGACACGCATTTTGCTACCCCGGCTTCTCGAAATATTATGAGCCATGATACTCCATCAGCTTCTCTCGAGCACACATTTATTGGACGCACCCTGGCAAGACATAGCTATAATGTGGTACACAGGACGGCCCGTGGCTCGTCCTCCGATGAAAGCCTGCCATTGCACGGTCAGAGTTGCTCAGAGGGCTTACTGTTAGATGTTGGAAATAGGCAATGATGATGTAGTACATGCTAACATGTGTTTAGGGCATTGGCGTCTTCCAACACGGACGGTGCATTAGACGAGAAGTCCCACCCGGATGCAGCTGGGCAAGTCCAAGATGCCTTGGCACTTTTTGACTCGTACGGGGTCCCGCGGCCAGAAGGATTGTCTCTGAGTCGGAAAAGGCAGCCCAAAGCTTCCCATGACAAGACATTGCAGTTGTGCCATTCCTGTGGAGAGGTTCTTTCGCTTGAGCAGCAGTGTTCAAAGTGTGGGCATGACTTTTGCTACAAATGTGCCTCTGAAAGGGCTTGCAGGAGGTCAAGTATTGCGGGAGAATTACAAAAGTCAACGTCTGTCCAACTCCATACTGAGCACCCCGACGGTCCAGAAATCGACGGAGCATCGACCTTGACTTCTGAAGTCAGTCCTAAAAGACCAAAGGAAACACCAAAGCGAGGGCCTGTTACAACTAACCCATTTTATTTGGCTGATCGTTTGTCCAAAACACCTTCATCGGCCCCCCAGATTACGAAATCAAGCGCTCGAGCTAGACGGCCGAGACGGCTATCGGATTGTGTACCGCGCCGATTCAGAAATAGATCCGCTAGTGAATCTGTTGAGGAATCTAGCCCAGGACAGCGGGATGAAAAGAATAGCCGTGGTCCTAACACTGAGTCGCATAGTCTTTGTTGTTCGGCCCCAATGAATGCGACAAAAGTCCAGAAGAACCAGCCAGAAGGCGCCTTGAGTGTCAACTTGCAAAGAAGATTCGACGAGCTTTCTCGACATGCGGAAGACCTCCACAAGGCCCAATATCTCAGGGAGCATCTTTCCACTGCCATAGACGAACTGGATTGTGGCAGTGATGTCTCAACAAGTCCTAGGAGCGTTGTCGCCAGAGAGCAGCCCAGCATGGAAACTCCGACGAAGCAGCCGCGCCACTCACGTTTGCATGATTTGAGTGAAGATTCCAAATATGCCTTTGGTATGGTGCTCAATTCTCATGACATTGAGCAAGATGCCGTCACAAGACTTCTCCGACCAGAGGAAGCACACGTAAGGGGTTATAGTACCCATTCGATCTTTACGATTCCAAGCTCTGGTAAGCTGAGCCCCAGCGACTCACTTTCAGTGACAAAAGAGGCCAAACCTTGCGAGCCTCGCACTTGTCTAGAGCTACCATCCAACAAGTATATTTCAAATGATGAGGATATTGGTAGCAGCAGCCCGCAAACACCTAGACGATCGAGCGGCGGCGAGGAACCTAATGAAAACAGCCGCATTTTCGGTGCCGATACTCTACATTCCCATGGAACAGATGCAAGTTGTCCACATGCTTTGCCAGATGACCAACCTGACACAAACCGGGCTGGGACAGACTTACCAAGCACGACTGGTTACAAGCGCCACAGGCAAAATACACAATTGTGTCCCAGACCACAAACTCCAAGCACAGGGCCAGATTCTTGGCCCATTCTCAAGAAGGTCGGGCAGTCGCCACGAGAAAAGTCATTGTTGATTCCGAATTCAGTATCATGGTCTCGACCCTCCCTTCGAAAAGTCTCTAGTGCTGTGGGTTTTATCGAGCCGCGGAGTACTTGCTCTACACCATCCGAGTGGAGAAGGGATTTAAGAAAGGCTGATGAACCGGCACAAGTATCTCCCTCTAAAACTATACCAGCGGGCACGCCAGTATCAGAATGGCGAAGTAGTCTGACGAAACCTGAGAGGACCACTCCGAGGGCTTCCCGCAGAAGCCCGCTCTGTGAGTCTTGCAATCCAACCCTACGCAAGCCATCTACAGCCAAGGGTGGAACGTCTGGAAGGTGTAGCCACAGGGACAGCCATTCCGGCCACACGCACAAGAGCAATTATAGTATGGAAGACCCGCTTACAGAACCGAGATTGAGTGTTCGGGCCATCGAGCATTCGCTAGCTTGGAAGAGAGTGCAAGAAGATATTGAAAGACGGGTTAACCGGGATGCGGATGAAGTACCTTTTCCATTGAACAGAGGCCTGGTATTTGATAAAGAAGAGCAAGAAACTGAAAACACATGTCGAAAGCCTCCAGAGTCGTCTCATTCCTGCCACTAGGGGGGCAGGGACAGTGATCTGCGAAACGAAATGGCGGGTAGCGAAGCCATCATGGATCCATACGAACCAAGCAACAAGTGGACAGAGAAAGTGCCTCCTCGTCCTGAGGCAACTGCAGCAGACGAATTGGGAATCGAAGGGTTGACGATCGTTGTTCACATGAGGCACAGGGATGATTTAGTAGTCAGCACAGATCTCCATGGGCGCGAATACAAGGGGAAGTGACGAGGAGTAGGACCCCGGAGGCAAGGGGAAAAGGGGTGTTGCCATTAGATAGTTTGGTAGTTGATTAGTTGTATTAATTCAGGCTGAGGTGGTACACGCCATCCAATCCATACATGGACTCGACAAACAGCGGCGTCTCTATTTCAAATGTGCAGGCTTAGCCCGGCGGCGTACTCTGACAGCCTATCGACCTCGATATCATGGGTAAAGACGATCTGATCTTTGAGAATCTCCAAGGGCCACCGCAACCAGGCCTGCCACTCGGCGGGCAAGTGCTTCGCAATAGCCTTCACCTCCCTGGGACCGGCATCGCCCACCCACCAGAAGCCTCGCAGCATGGCCAGGAGCGCAAAGTAGTGGGCCATGACGACGAGGGCGCGCGGCCTCTTCTCGTCGACCATGTCGACGAAGCGGGCGTCGACGAGCAGCGGGAAGACGACGAGGCGACGGGCGACGCTGCCGGGGGGCCGGCGGTCCAGCATGGCGGCCCAGACGGCGGCGACGCAGTTGAGCGCGGAGAGGTAGGCGTCGCGGACGGCAGCATCCCAGGGCTCCTCGAGCTCGTGGGCGAGCTGGCGGCGCAGGAGATGGGCGAGCGGCCCCTCGAGCGGGCGCGGCTCGCCCTCGCGGAGGAGGTCCGCCACCAGGCCGACCATCTGCATGCCGACGGAGCCCGGGTCCATGGCGGTGATGGTGGCGGACCGGCGGAAGACGGCGGCGCTGGTGCCCGTCATGCGCAGCCACGACGTGGGCGGCGCGTAGGGCGCCCCCTCGCCCTCGCCCTCGCCCAGCTCGCGCTCCTGGAGGCGGACAAAGGTGTAGATGCGGAGGACGCTGGCGGCGAGGCACACGGCGTCGACGTTGGCCGGCGAGAGGTGCTCGATCTCGCGGCCGAGCTCGCGCACCGCCATGTCGAGGTAGGCGCTGGCGTGATGGTCGAGGGACCCGGACCCGGACCCGGACCCGGACTCGGCGCCGGCGCCGTTGGACTTTTTGGCCCGGTGCAGCGCCGCCACGAGGAACAGCGAGTACAGTAGCGCGTTGCACCCTAGGGCCAGCTGGGGCACCTTGTCTGCCCAGAGCGGGAGCGAGGCCTCGTCTATGGCGATGGACGGGCCCGTCTCCGACAGGTACTGGTAGAAGAGGGAGAGTTCGAGCCTGCGCCGGGCTTCGGACTCGGGAGGGTCCGCGGCGCTCCCTGGGTCTGCGGTCTCCTTGGCCGCTGCGGACGGGGACGACGACGACGACGGTGATGAAAGAGGAGGAGGGGGAGCATGGTCAGCTGGTTTGACGCGGTCGTAGAGGCAGGTCAGATGGAGGCGGGTGCAGTTTGAGCATATGGGTTTCGCTTCGTCGCACTAGACGCACGGGATTTTTGCCTGGTTGAGTTGACATGTTGTTTATTTTTTTTTGTTATTCATGGAATTTTCTAAAGGCTCACCTTGACGCGGCGCGCTCTGCATCGCTGGCAGCCTGTCCTCGACTTTTTGTGAAAGAGCTTGGCTGGCCGCTTCTGCCCCGGCTGCATGGACTCGAGGCCGCTTGCGCACGCGGAACCACCGCCCATCTTGGCCTGCATACGCTATCGTCTGCAGTGACTTATGGGTCGTGTTAAACCTCTCTCGTCTCAGAAAGATGTGCGGTTGAAAGAAAAAAGAAACTAGCGACTCGAGCTGAGTGGTTTGAACGAGAACGAAGGTGGGAAAGCGGGCGGGGGAGGTTTATGAAACACCGGGGGAGCGGTGCGAACCCCTCCAGTGGACATGGGAGATGGCGGGAGAAACTCGGAAAGGAGTCTAGAAGGACGGCAAATACCGAATCGAGATGTTTCAATTCCGGGCTGGAAAGGAGGCACCATGTTCGTCGTGGTGGTGACGCCGCGAGCGAGGGGGCCGCTGCTTCGAATGTTTGCTTGGCCCGGCCCCGCAGGGCTGACGGGGAGTTGGTGTGACGGGAAGGTGCGATCGGGTGGAGCGCTGACAGGAATGGAATGGAGAGTGCCCCACCTGAACCCCGCAAATTGCCCGAATTGGTATCCTTTTGTTCGTTATCGTTTATGGCATTTCGGGGAAGGGGAAAGAGTCGCATGTTGGATATATTACTACATACTAGTTTGTGGCAGTAGCTGCATCTGGGCTATGGGGTGGTATGGTTTATGAATGCTGCTCGCTTGGTCGTGCTCGCGCTCGCGCTCGTGCTCGTTTACATGGGAGACCATGTGTCGAGTCGAAAAGTTGGACATGGCTGGAGGTGGTGTTGACGCAGACATATGAATATATATATACTGTAGATGATGTCGAGGAATCAAGTTTCTCTCTCTATCCAGTGTATACTATAACGGCAGTACATCTAAATCACACCAGACGCCTCATTTCATATTTTCCACTCACCAAGCACTCACTAATCCTTTGCTTGACGAACCATTGAATCCACACCAATGTCTGAAGCAAAGACCAACCAAGGCCCTGGCCCCCTCGAGCCGGTCAAGCGATATCTTGTCAAGAGTATTGCGAGTGGCATAGGCTTAGCGTCAGAAGGTATAACCTCGTACAAGGAGCGAAAGAGGCTGCGCAGAGCCGGTCCTTTTGTCGACGCGGCGCCTCCCTCATATATGCCTCCATCTCCGATATCCTCGGACGAAGCAGCAACACCTCCTCTTTCCCACCACGAACTCAGCGACGACTACAAGGATGAAAAACTGTGGAAGTTGGACGAGGCTCAAGATGAATTGAGTCCACCCCCTTACGCCGAACGCGCAACAACCCCCGACGGAAGCACGGGGGAAACGACGCCGGCCCAGTCCCTCCAAAGCATAGAAGACTTCCTTGAAAGATATCCTGCCCCGGAGAACAGCACTGCATTCACCAAAACCAAGCTCCCCCAACCCGTCATTCTTCCCCAAAAGAGACCCAAGACTCGATCCCGTGGCTTCATCAGAGCATACGCCCCTTGTCTAGGACCATGCGGAATCCCGCAAGACATGTTTCTCGACTTTATAACCACGTTTGACAAGTTTACCCAGGCATCCCCGTGGCTGGACGCAATCAACCTCGCGTCCATAGGACTCAGCTTCATCCCCCACTTCCCCATGCTCGTCGGCATCGCCATCCAGGTCTCCATCATGGCCGCCAAGGACGTCCAGAACAGAACCAGGACCAACTCGTTCCTGGACAAGGCAAATGCGCAGGTCTTCACCCCCCGCGGCCTCTACTGCATCATCATGACGTACAGCCCCGACCAAAACGACCGAGACGACGGCAACGGCCGCCGCCTGGCCGGAGGAGCAAACGTGCCGGCGGCGATTGCCTCTACAGCGAGCAGCACGAGCCTGCAAAGGTTCCAGCACCGCTTCCGCGAAGCAAGCGGCCACACCTGCGAGGCCGAGCTGCCCCCGTCCGCGCCCCTCATCTTCCCGTGCCTGGAGGAGGGCGTGTCCGGCCGAGAGCCGCAGGCGTCCGCGACGCCGGGGGAGAGGATGAAGCGCGCGCAGAGCTACATCACCGACTACTACGACAAGCGGGCACAGGCGCGGTTTGCGGGAAAGCACGGCGGCAGCGGGCTCGTCAAGGGGCCGGCGCCCAGCTTCACCTCCCGGTTCGCGGACCCGAACCACCCGGCGTGCAGCGGCTCGTTCCGGTCCCTCATCACGGGCGGCTACATCACGCCGCCGGACATGGGGCGCGGCAGAGAAGAGCTGGACCGGCCGTCGAGCCCGGCCTACCTAGACCCAGGGCAGGGACAGGCGGCCGGCCGGCAGCAGCCCCCGTGTCCATGTCCGGCTGGTCGGCGAGACGCGGCCGCCACGGGCCGAGATGTCCTTCGGCTCGGGCCAGTCGGGCTTCCGACGCCGGGGGCCCTCGTCAAAAAGGCTTTGAAAAAGGTAAAAAAACAGAGACGATTTCCTGAGCTGGGCACAGCCTAGATGCAATTGTGGGGACAAAACTAACTCTCTTGCCTAGAACATCCTGTACATGATGATTGTCAACATGCCCTCGGAGCAGGAGCTCGCCCTCGCAGCGCAGCACCTCGAGCGGTGCCGCTCCAAGGGCATCCCGACAGCCAGCCTGGTCACTCACCTGCAAGGTCGTTGAAAGGAAAAATAATAATAATAATAAACCGTGTCAAGCGGTACACATAGACGCCAGGCTCGTACTCCATACTTTTGTCACAGTGACATTGGGCAAGACGACGCTCTCTTTCTCTCCCTCTCCCTCTCCCTGTCCGTTGATCATGTCTCGTCACCGCAACGAGGGTGAAAATTATGACGCGTCACATTCCCCCAGCCTTACAGCAGTGGCAGGGGCTTGTTATCCCGCAAACCCTTACACCGTATGATCCAAGGAAAATACTAAAAAAAATAAAAATACCCCGTACATATCGATACACCGCATGCGACGCGCAAGGTTTTCGAGCGTCCACAGGCCCTCTCGGCATGTCGACTATATGTACAGGTGCGTTTCTGTGTTCCAGCGGTGAAAGAACCCCCCCCCATGGGCTCCACTGTACACCGACATGAGTACATCCTACACCGATCACTCACGAACCGTTCATGGCCGTGTCTCGTCTGCATCGTGGATGGGTGCGCAGGATACGGCCGGGGAAATAGGGCCGGGGGTGGTTGGGTTCGTGCCTGTGCGTCTTGGGGACGACAGGGATTTTTGCCACGGCACGACGGGGGCGCCGCGGCATCGCAGTCCAGTCTCGTCGCTCTTGAGCCGTCGTTGCCAGTTGGGCTGAGGTGCAGCCTGGTTTGGCGTTGGGATATTGATTGAAACGTGCTTGGATGCATGTCCATGCATGTACCGAGTATGTCCATGTACATATGTATGCAATGCGTGTACCAGTGTGATGGGCTAGATACGAGACATGGCCATGTCGGGACATCAGATGGAAGGAAAAGGCGTCATTTGGGCCCATCAAGTCCAACAGCGGCTATGCAACTTCATACATGCCATCACACCCCAGTCTAGTTCGGCAGAGCATTCAAGCTATCATCCATCTCTCTCTATTCATCAAGTGATGAACCCCCCGTGTCTGTGATGTATGCCATGTGAAATGTCCATTTTGCTTTATTTTAGCCCTAAAGGTCGCTAGGGACCCTTGCTCTTCTCTCTCTCTCTCTCTCCCTCCCCCCTTCCCCTCCCTCTTCCTTTTTTTACATCCTAAACTTAAACAGCTCCAGCCCGGTTGTCCCTACGTCCACTCGAAATAATGCACCGCCATAGTCGCGGCTGGTCTTGTCTTCACCGTCTTCATCTGCCGCGGATGTAATAATCAGTTCGGTACCGACAAACTGCACACAGGTAATGTTGCGCGTCGGCAGAGTAACCTGCCCTATTACTTTGCCCTCAGGATTGATCTTGAGCACTTTGCTCTCGCCGTACACAGCGGTCCACAAGTTGCCATCCACATCGATGCGAAACCCATCCGGCTCTCCGGATGTGGGGTGCTTGTAGAACAGTCGGTGGTCGGAAACTGCACCCGAGACGGCGTTGTAGTCGAGGGCAAAAATTTGACGAGCCTTGGAATGAGTGTAGTACATGGTCTTATTGTCAGGAGACCAGCCTATTGAGTTGGGGATCGTCAGACCCTTGACCATTTCCTCTTTCCCGTCTTTGCTGAACCGGAATAGAGAACCTGCGTGACAAGATGCCGTGGTTAGGGTATATCACAGCGGCTAGTTCTGGTTTTGGCAGCCACGGGAGCGGCAGTCAACGAGCTCACCTTCTGGCTGGAACTCCCCCTGCCCAAAGTCCGTCATGCTGCCAACCCAAAATAATCCGTGGGGATCGGCTGCTCCGTCGTTGCTGCGCAAGCGTTCGTTGTCCGGGTCGTTGAACCGTGCTAGCATTTCGTATGCTCCCGTCTCCCGGTCAAGACCTGCCAAGCCATATTTGACGCCAAGGAGGATGCGTTCTCTCGGGTCGACTCCCTCGATATCAGCAGTTACCGTCGGACAAATATCAAGTTGGATGGTGTGTAATGAGGACAAACCCCTGCTGAGGGACACTGTGTGCACACGCTTCTTCTTGATGTCAACAAATCGTAGAGAGTCGGTTCCTTTCTCATAAAATGGTCCCTCCGCCAAGGAGCAGTGGAGGTCAAGCCACGGAGCGGCTACTGTCCAATGCTGCATTTTTTCGCCTCCTGGAAAGTGTATCTTGTGGCTGCCGCAATTGTGTGCATTCCGCAACAATATTCAGAGGGCGGTGCACAAGGAGACGCAAGTCGTAGTCCTAGGAGCCAAGTTGGACGGCGGCACGGAGTAGATGAAGTGGGCTTCTTGGACGCGGTTGTGGTGGTGGGGTAATTTGTCGTGTGTGGTTGCTCGACCCGAATTGAGAGATTGGCCGGTCCCACGACATAAGGCTGTCCTTCTCTGTTGTTCCAACAATGATAGTTGCAACTTTTCGGCCAACATATAGGCCAGAGAGGCGGGTGCGTAGAATAGGTTGGTAGAGCTGTGCTACCTACCGCGCGATACTCTCTCTTCACGCACAATCGAATCCGCATATACCGTATAGGCTGCCCTCGACAATTGTAACTGAGCTCAATGTCAAGGCGGCCACAAAGTTGGGCGTTCTATGAGTACCTGGGTAGTTGTGTGACTCCATGTCTGCGCTAGACATCGATTCAAGCAAAGGGCAGGACAACTAATAAAGCGTTCCCAAGCACCATCCTATTACTTGCTAGTAATTGCATGGTCGAGGATCGGCCAACCAGAACTCGTTGACAGTGATGCCGCTGTGCCAGCAAATGAGGTATATTCGACTCCTACATTCCAGTCGCGTGGCATTGCTCGTCCACCTGGTTCCGAATTCACACGGCAGCCGTTGTCCAGTCTGGTCGCTACCATGTGTCAAGGCGAGTGAGGCGACGGTGAGCACCAGCGTCTTGCCTGATTTGTTGTCTGTAATGGCCAAGCACGGCGAGAGTTGACCAAAGCATGGCCATTTTGAGGTACACCAATTCACGTGGATGTCTCTCAATGCGGTTGGGTTGCTCAGCTCCCCGTGCCTAGGGGTCCATATCAGGTCGAGGACCCGTTTCCCGTCCCGCTGTCCTTGCTGACCGCTGCTTTTGCCCAGGAGTTCGCCGTTGTGCTGCTGAAACTCGTCCTTCGCCCCATTTTTGCCACCGGGGAATACGGAACGGCCCTTTAGGCACTGACGAGCTGTTTATCCACAGCCGTGAGCAACCCCCTCAACAAATCACAGCCAACGCATCAGAATGCAGAATTTGAGTGGTCGGTTTGCCATCCATCGCCAACGTCGTAGTATGTAGGTGCGGTGTGCGGCGCTAGCCAATGTGCCACGGCTACGGAGTATCTTGGGAAGTTGGGCATTCCATACTCTATGGAGCACATAGTAAGGAACCTTCGCATTCACAATGCGTGGCACCAACACAACATCAGGCACCAACAACACCAATATCGCGAAGGCCAACCGGAGGCATCGTGTGCGGATCATGAGCGTTGGTTCGTGCTGCCTCGGCCGCACCGCTGGTTGTATTTGCTTTCTTTGCGCTTTAGCTGGGCCCGAAAGAGACCGAAGGCAGATACAACATCTCCACTGCACTAGCTGGCCCACAGGCCGCTCTAACCTGACTTGGCAAGATGGTTGTTTCTCTGTCTACCAGAATGGTCAGACCAGTCGTGGCCTGGTGCCGGACTAGGAACAGCCAGATCTGTTGTCAGTTACGCCAGAGAGGAGATGAGCTGACGGACCAAACGAGACTCATCAGAATCGGATCACAAGCGGGGCCTGCATGAACCAACCGAACGCTGACTACGAGCGATGTCAGGCTGAAAGGCATTAGTTGCAGATGATATGCAAGCCATAAGACAGATGGCCTCGATATGAAGTCAATTTGAATCTGCTCTGGAGGAACACTCAACGCTACAGTACTCCGTAGTTATTGTATGTCGCAAGCAAGACACGTTGTCCCTACTTGTTCACCTTGCTAATTGTCCTAAGCGATCCGCAGGGCGCAAAAGCCAGCCCGAGAGAAATACTTGGCGTTCCTAAGTATTTGTAGTAGTACGTAGTAGTAGTAGCAGTACTACATCTTAATCTTCCATCGGCCCAGTGAGAAAAACAGGTTGGCAAGCGAACCAGAGTAATGGAAATGATAATTTCGGCTCCTGGATTTGCACAGGCCGCGATATCAACGTAGCTACTCCGTAATCGCGACCGGATGCATCTAAACCAACACTCGTTTTCCTGATGCATGGCAGGTTCCGAGTTCGGGGGCGGCCCCGTACAATCTTGCCTCTGTAGGTTCTCCGATCTTAGACCGCATCGCAGGTTGCTGGCGGCGGTGATGATATGCGGTTAGGTTGTATCCGTGCCATGCGGAGGGGCGTGTTGCATGGCAGCAGCATTGGAGCCATCAAATATACGCCGCTATTCTCTACTCCGTACAAAGCAGCAGTACTGCTACTCCCTCCAAAGTACGGAGTATATGATTGCTATGGGTAGGCTCCTTCCGTGCAGCACTCCGTATGTGTGTGTGAGATGCGATCTGCCAGCCGTCTTTGTTTCCCTTGTCATCTTCTTGTCAAATAGCGGACGGCGTGGAATGGCGTACGGGGTCAATTGATATTAAAACCCTCCAAAAAAAACCGTATACGTAGGGTACGTCGTGGTGAGTCAGGCCCGGTGTCATGGAGAATGTTCTCATTCGTGGTTACGAAGTACCGGGATTACATTGAATCAATTTTTTGTCTGAAGCTCCGAATGGCCCTGGTCCGGTCAGAATTCCCGGCCATTTCGAAAAGAAAAGAAAAAAAGAACTCAGTCAGTTGGTAAGGCCATCTGGGCCAGGGATCCGTCGATGGGTGGCATGATGCAAGACTTGCTCCATCTCAACAACAATAAGCGGCAATGCCCGCAGGGCTATTTTGGCCCCGGTATGAATCCCCCGATGTCATTTCGCATCTCATTTCGCCGCCATCTCATCAGTCAGTTGACATGCAGATCATCCGCCTGAAGAGGGACCAGGGTCCATGCGACTAAGTATCCCAATCACCCATTCCAGGGCACTGCTAATATTATCACTCTGCCTTGTCCGAACGAGGCTGACGGCGGTACCCATGCCTCAATGGTGACGAGTGGATGCTGCGTCGGACCTGTTCCATATTTCGTCACAGCACCAAAGTCTTGGGTTGCTGCCGTGAGAACACTTGCAGGTACGGGAGCAGACGGGGACTGAGGCGCGACGCCACGACCACATCCAGGGTTGTTGGCATCGTCAATATTAGTCGGCTGAGGTAATATGAGTACCCCGAAATTAGGCAATCATACGGGTGAATAGCATTGGCTGTCAAATGAAGAGCTCGTAAAGGCGCACTAATAAACCTTGGTGCAACGTGCCGGCCATGATTCTTAGAACGAAACCTTCAATGCCACGGACAAGCCTGACATTGCTTTTGAGTTGGGATCTTTGCCGTTGCAATGAATGGCGCCTAATTGCCTCGGTAGCCATAGAGGCGTATCGACCTGACGGGCACTTGGAACCCCAACATGCTGCTGTCATCAATTGGTAGGAAGCTGGAACATGCCCATCAACTTAACCACAGAGCTGGATCCAGCAGCAACATGCTCTCGTGGCTGGCGTGCTGGCGTCTGGACGGGTGACAAGGGGGTGCCAGTGGGTCTCCCAGCCATTGCTTTTCGACAAGGATGAAAGAGCTGGTGGTGCATGCTGTGAACCATGGTGGAGCGTGTTTTCTCCCAGGAAGGCCCAATAGTTTGTGAATCTCTACTACAGGTATCTGTGCGGCAAGGGAAGAGGGTTCCAAGGTGAGGTGTCCGAAGCTGGAGTGCTGCAACACTGCATGTGGGTGATATCACAGCCGATCAACTTTTTGGCAGCAGATCACATCGTCGGGGGGAAGCCACGTAAGAAATGCCAAAATGCCAGGTCAGGTGCCTAGGGTACACAGCATGGAGTACCATTCATGCCACATCTGTCTAGAGCAAGCGTAGAAATATCCGTATGCATTCGATCAGTCAGAGTTGGGCCGTGCAACACTAAAAGTGTAGATTCGAAATGTGGCCTCTGTGTAGGCAATTGGAGACTGGGTTCATAAGAAGATGCACCATGACCGGAAATAGCCGCCTAGGGAAATCATCGCTCGTGAGCAGATGATTGTCGGGTTTGTTGCGTTAGGGTTTTCCCGTGGGCCGTTGTCGGCGTGTCTTCTAAGTGATTCCTCCACGAAGACGAAAATCGAACATCTCGACCTATACCGTACTGTCAGTTCTCTGAAGAGTACTCCGTATACTACAGAGAGTAGTGTCTTACACGGAAACAGCGAGACAAACTTGTCAAACTGGTAGAGCCACCATGTCTAGGATAACAGACATTTGGCTCGCGAGAGTTGTGGTGGAACGCGCCGCCGCGACGCTTGGACGAGATGCTGAACCATGGAGATATGGGTACATGATGAGACCAGAGGATCGTAGTCCGTACCTCACGAGACATGACTCACTTGTAGTAACCGCAAAGCCATCGAGTCATCGGTTTCGTTGATGCAATCCTCCATGTTAGTTGAATTATGTATCATTGGAGACTGTGTCCAAGTTCCTGTGCAGGCTGCCAAGGCAAGGTGGTTTGAGTTGTAACCCAATCCTCAGTCATTTCAGCGGGCCATCTTCGCCGCAAACTGGCCATTGAAGGAATTGGGCTCACCCAATTATGTCGCTCTGACATCTGATAGGTATAAAAAGCACGAAAGCTTCGAGAGCAGTTGGTAGCAGCCATTTTGAAGTTGGACTGGTTTGGAAGCTGTTTCCGAGAGCTTCAATGTTGTGTTGGCGTTAGTGTGGAGCTGCTTGACACTTGATGGGCCTGGCGGCAAGTGCAAAGGGCTCGAATATTTTGCTCCTGCATTTTCCGTCTGTCTGCTGTCGACAGTCTCGGCCCCCACCCTTTGGAGTGGTCCTTCGATGCCAGACTGGGGCGACAGAACTGCTATTCTCCCTGATATCACTTGAATATACTACTCCCGGACGGCCAGCCTTATTAGAAATGAGCTGGTTCCGAGCTAGCATGTCCGGGTGTCGAGTGGCTTTTCCGCTTCGATACATTCATCACCATCAGCTGAGTACATGTGCGAAATACTCGGGCCAGTCGTCAAGGTTCTGTCCAACCAAGCAGTTGCGACATCGAGTCGTCGTGTTGCACCGCCCACAAATAGCTGCGGAGTGTCCGACGCAGCGGTCGTCTATACGGGTAGAAGAAATTTCTGAACAAGTTATTTCAAACTTGTATTGTCGAGGTAGGAGTATTAAGCACTTCCCATCTTGCACGTTTGTCCGAGGTAGCACTGATAATGACACAAAACTGCCAAGGTCAACGAGATGAGCCTGCCGGCAAGACCCAGCCCAAAGGATGAGGCGTGCCTCCTACGCAAGGATCAGGGTGGGAGAGCTGGCACTCCACTATCTTTCCCCACGCAGGTCCTCAAGCAAGACATCATCAAGAGAAAGGATCTGTCTAATGTGGGTGCCGGTGCCCTGTCGAAGCTCTCGGTGTCGTGATACTACTCCGTACTATCCATCATGGCCCAGTCCCCGCCGTCTATTGTGCCTGCACGGAACTGCCACGCTGGATTTCATTGAAAAGGCTACTGCACTGCACGACAGCTTGTCACCAGCAGCATGTGCCTTGCGACTGCTCGGTACGAAATACTCGTTTATTGTACAATTCTTGCGGATTGTTCTCGAACAGCATAAGCTTGGCACCTGAGACCATGTCTGGAACCCTACATAATGCACCACCTCTCCCTGGTCAAGCTGCTCGTCATCATGTTCACCACCAGGGTTGAGGAAGCGAGTGCCTGGTAGCATTTGGAGCGGCATGGTGATTGAGAGCTCATCATAATGGGCAAATCCCACTAGGAGAAGCTATGTACGCCTACCTACCTTGGGGTGGCGGAACGATGTTAAGGAGTTTATGACGACGGGCGTACGGAGGACCAGGGACAGCACTACATACATAGCTTCTCCCCACATGCTATCCGGTCCTCCTTTCATCTTGTACAATATTACGGGACAAACAGGCCATTTTGTATGATACACCCTGCCAGCCATGGTCCATTTCGGCCACTTCGCGACTTGTGAATCCGTGGCAGTCGGAAGGTCCAGCAGCCCTTCTGGCGCAGCAAGGAACTGAAGCCGGGACGGAGATGGCGGCTCGCTGTCGACTGCTTGGTATCGTCCTGTCTCTCCTCGACGGCTCTCAGGCGCTCACTGTCTGCATGACATTGCTTTTGTAGCGCCTCTGTCTCTTCCTGAGCATGTGGCCACTCTGGTTGGGTGTCTAGCCTAGACTCAATCAAGCTTAGAGATTGATACGTTGACCCACTCAGGCACCTGGAGCTAGTTGTGCTTTCGACCGCTCAACTGGGAATCCACGTCGCCGCCGCTTCTGCACATTCGACGTGTCATGGGTCTGACCGTGTTTACCGCTGGCCTGGCTCCAAAGTTCGTGAGCCCAAGACTGCTCGAGGCGAAGGAGACTGCAACTGGATCCCATTGTACTGTCTGGTGCCTCAACCATTCGTCACTTCTCTGGTCCAGGGACCCAACCCCGCTGACCGCTCTCATCAACTATGGAGTCTTAGCTGGGACGAATAACGCAACATCACCATGTTCCCAATGCCCATTATCAGCTCGGAAGGAACTCCCGCCTGCGCCACCTTCTTTACAATAGGCCCTATCGCTGCGTTTTTGGAGCTATCCCCGGCAACTGGGTCAAGCAAGAGGCATGTCATTGATATAGTACTCCGTACTCCATACTGCCCGTCATTGACCCGTACTGGCCACCCCTTCAGGCTCTCATGAGAAATACTACCGAGAACAGACTTCCATTCAGGTACATGGGGCATACAGTACACTTTAAACACACAAGCCTTCCACGCCAACGGGGATGATGGAGAATAATGCTTTTGCCAGAAAATAGCCTACAAATGACGAGCAGCAACTAGTTCAATGGTCAGCTAAATGTTTGACATTGACTCTGGGCCATGGAGCCACTAGGGCCATTCTTCTTGCAAGTGTCTTGCGACAAGGGCGAAAAGGAAATTTGGCACCCAGGTTGGCCTTGACCACAATAGCCACCCAACTATCCGAGCCCTGTTGCTGCCGGGGTGGCCATAGCACCCGGAGCCTGCAAGAATTGTACATACCCCCTGTTCGCTCGACAATGTGTATGCTGGGGTGGCAAGACAAAGTGAACGTTGTAATTGGGACAAAGATGGGGTGCTGTCCAAGAAGTAGATGTACTCCCTTCATGCTAGTATGTAGTTGGTAGTTGACATACTACTATGACGGACCCTGGGGTGTTGGCCCTGTGACGGCCAACACATCGACAGCTTCTTCTATCGTACCGGGTTTCTTCTCTCTTGGAAATTCTTTTGTTCCCCTTCCCCTTACACGCACCTAACCATTTTCACTCGTCTTCTGTGAGACAGCTCGAGCTGGGCTTGAAAACGACACCAGGTGTGGCGGACGTTTCATCGTGTTGTGATTCGATCAGCTCCAACCATTTGCACTTGTACACATTCTTCTGCGCCGTGGCTGATTTTGTCCACATCTCAACTTGCCTTTATGGTCAAATTGCATTGGCACTTGGGTCAAGTCGGCTTTTCTCACCAATCACGGCGATCAGGGGCCGTCTTCTAAATAGAGGTTGGTGTTTAATACTTCTACCATTTCACATCATCAACGATTTACCTCTCTATACCGGCCAGGGTCTCTCTTCTGCAGAGTGTTGGCATTGTTTTGCTCCCAGCTTATACCGAAGAAAACCCACTGCCGTCATCCTATAATTCGCTCGGAGTTACAAGTCACTTTGGCTGTGCTGTCTTGTCTACTAAGTGTCAGGTGTCCCGAAGGCATCACGGCCTGCCACGGATCTCCGCAGAGAACGCGGCAAGAGTGCTGGAAGCGCAAATATAACGTCTGTGGGAGGCAGACAGTGTGTCTAACGGGACCCGGATTAAGCTTTGATCTCGAAGAGGAGAAGATAGCTGTCGGTTCTTCGAGGCGAATTCTCACACTTCAATTTAGCATACTGAGCAAAACGGATGTGTTTTGCTGCTTTCTGTCATTTTGATCGAGTATCTAATAATATCGCTTGCATCAATACCAGTTGCATCTAGCTCTGAGAATCGGCCCCCCTACTCACTTGTCACCACGATCACTTATTCGAGTCTACGCGGCAGGAGTCTCGGCGGTGCGCTGGTCGTTGTGGGCTGGGAGTTGTTCGGAAACTTGAGTTGCTGGTATTGGGACTGTTTGGGTGAGAACTCCCAGCCGGTCCTAATCTAATTCGACCAATCTGGCGCAATTATCAACTGCTTTGCCTCTACAGGCACCGATAGCCCAAGACAGTCCCGGTTCTGCGACTAGCGATTCAACATTTGGGACCACTCCAAATTCTCCTCGCACACCGTCTACTCCCTCTTGGAGAAATAAGATTTTGCCAGTGCCACCAAAGCTCCAAGATTTTACCCAAAAAGCAGCGACGGATAGGAGAGAAAATCAATGTGCCGGTCTTCGGGACCAAGGACAGTTAGGGATTCAGGTCTCGATGTCCCAGAGAGACACCTCGACTCGACCTGCATCTCGTCGAACTTCCACATCTCCAACTACACCGGTAGAAGTAGGAGCCTGTCCTTTTGGATCATCTGTTGGTAACCATGACGCAGCCAATGATGCCATAAAGCTGCTACCTAAAGAAAACTCCGGTCGAAATCAACAAATACCGCCCAAGTCTTTAGGCATGCTGAACATATTGAATCCATCAGATCCACGACCAAAGGACTCACACATAGCCCATGATTCTTCATCGCCAGTTGTACAGCAGTCTGCAAGCGCGTATCAATCTTGGACGCATGGGTTTCCGCGACAGCCGGGTTTCGGCCATTCAGCATCTGCATCGTATCCAGGAATTCCTGTCGGGAACGCCAATTTGGTGTCAGGACCTGAACGGCAATCACCAACTGTGGGCTACCCATTCTCCAATGTGAATGAACCTAGGAAAGCTCTCAGTCCGAAAGTACCACGAGCTTCAAGTCTGAGCCAGAGTAGTGGTCCGCCCCGCGAATTTGATCGCAGACAACACGGATACGTTCCATCAGTATCGCCAGCCAAACGTCCATATGAAGCCGACTCGGCAGAGGAGCCTAGGCAGCTTCCTAGCTTCCATCAGACTCCCAGAATTGCCCAAACAGCGCCACAGGTCCCTACTCCACCAACTCGGTCCCTCTCGCAGTCTATGAATAGAGTTACTGAAGTATCTCACGTTCAAGGGCAACCGGGGCCACCCCAGGACATTCAAGCACCACCTTCTCACACTCAATTCCAGCTTGGGCAGCTATCCAGTGTGAGCCAGCCGCCTGAGGCTTCTCCTTGGACTGAGGTGATGCGCCGGTCTGCCGGGTCGGGGAGCATGGAGGGACAGCAAGCCTATATGACACTGCCGGGCAGCGACATCCCGATACCTGTTCAAGTCGATTACTCACAAGCCTCGAGGAAAGCGGACGAGAAACGACAGCGTAACGCGAAAGCGTCAACTAGACACCGCCGGAAAAAAAAGACAATGCAAGAAGAAAATGTGAGGCAATTACAGGAACTGAAGGATGAGCGACAACAAATGTCCGAAGAGATAGATTACTTGAGACGTCAACGTGACTTTTACCGGGAGGAGAGAAATCGACTTCGAGATATTGTATCTCGAACGCCCGGGATTCATCAGCATGCAGCCGGACCCCGAAGCCCAACTCCCACCAGAAGTATCGACTCACATACAGATCACAGCCCTGTATCGCAGCACCTCATACCAACACCAACACAGGGTTATTCCAGCGATCCTGCTTCTATAGATCGAGCAGCGCAGCGACCGAAGATGGAAGAGCGGGCAGAATTTGCCGGGCCTGGACCTGGCACGACTCCGGTCGGGTTGGCACCGCCTCATGGTCATCTATACAATATCCCGCCTCGTCCTACGTCGGCTGCATCGTCAGGAAGTGGAGATAGACTACCGCCGTTGAGAGCCATGGAAGGGCCATCTCCAACGGTTCAGCATATCGGTTCTGGACAAGCTCACGAACAAGACCCTAGAACAGGTCAGTGGCGCCCGGTGCCTCAACGGCAGGTTGAAACAGGTTGGGCAACGGTCCCCAGAAAGTTGGGTGATAGTCAAACTCACCCTTGGTGAATCAGGGTGCGCTGTATTGCATCTCAAGCTCATTGGAACTACGGCTACGAGAGCTGAATATGAAGGAAGACGGTGTTGAGACGACACGACTACGAACGGCCCAAAGCCAACTCCTCCTGGGCGAAAATGCGCAGCACCCTGGAATATATGCATTTCCCCCCCTTTTAGGTCCCCACGACTCTTCTCACGGACAATGACGGTACACGTTTAGCTGGGCAACTGGCACTTTTGTATTTTGGTGATCGGAGTCTGTGTTCAGTTGAATGTGTTTCTATCTTTGTTTTGATTTGGTGTCTGTTTGTGGACCTTTGCAGACATCCTGGAGAAAGTCACAAGAGACGAATCAGCGCGCCGGAGCCGGAAGGAGTACGGGGCTGTCTCAGGCCTGCGCTTGTTGGACTTCTACCTGCAAACCTACTGGATGGCTCGACTCTATAGTGCTAACCAGACGACGGTAATAGGTTCCACAGTTGTATCTGGTAGCAAGACCAGCATCACGCACCCAATTGAGCAATACGAAGCAATAGGCAGTGGAGTTGCGAGTTGGAGAAAGTCGGAACAGCCGAAAACGTTTATGAAAGCATCGATACTCCTTTTATTTCCATATTTTGTCGTGTTTAATTCATTTATTCACTCCCTTTCCTTCCTGTTTCTTCTCTTTATTTCTTTATTTTTTTCTTTTGGTGTTCACATTCCTACGAAATACCCGTCGTTGAAGCGACTGGTGGGAAAAGCGCGCATGTACAAGAGATACCCAAGCAATTACAGAACATTAGGAACCCGGATTCTGGTAACAGAAGGTTGAGAAGCTAAGCTGCAGAGCTGCGGTGTTTGGAGGCGTTTTTTTTTATTTATCTAGCTGAAAGAATTGTATGTGTATGCCGACGTAGAGCAGAGCAGACTTTGACTCTTGTTGAACTTGAAGTAGTATGATTATGGGTATAGTCGATTAGCTAGCAGGAAAACAGAATGGACCTCACGTTTACACCTTTGGCTTGTATTTGATGGACCCCGTGTCCCGTGTTTGGAGACTTGTGTGTGTATATTCATCACCAGCTGATACTTGAAACCATGAACGAAGCACGCCCACATTTCCAGTGTAACCCGTAGGCGGTCAACCACGTGCATCCTACAGCAAGTGCGCCCCGGGCCCCGGCCCACCTCCTTCCTGTACGGCGCAACTGCGTGCGGAGTTGCAACCGTCGACCACAGGACATGAACGGAACAATGTAATTGTTGTGGCATGCCGGGCTTGCTGCCGCCGCAAGATCGACATCGACCGCGCTTCATATGCCACTGCCGGGGTGGTATGTGTACAAGACAGATGCTCACCAGGCCTGTCTGGGCAGCCAATTTATCAGGTCTGCCCGGGTTCTCTATACGGGTGCGACACGGCCTACGACAAGTTCGTCGGCAGGCCTACACGACGCGGTCTTCGGATATCGAAGCAGACCTAGCTGCGCCGAATGGCAAATCATGGTCGCAGCCGCTGGGTCTGTTTATCGGCAATGAGTTTAGGAACTCGGCAAAGGGGGGACGGATCACTACGTTCAATCCATAGTACGTCGATTTACGTTTGCCTCTTCACATGACACCCCCGCTCACGGCTCCCACAGTACAGAGACGGAGATTTGCCAAGTGGTAGCTGCAACTTCTCAGGATGTCGACGCAGCCGTCGAGGCGTCTCGTCTCGCCTTGAAGAAACCATCATGGAAGTCGTTGTCGGGCACAGAGCGCGGCCACCTAATGAACAAGTTGGCAGATTTGGTTGATCAGCACCGCGAAACTCTTGCGGTTATCGAGACCCTCGATAATGGAAAGCCTTATTCCGTTTCCCTGGGCTTTGATGTCCCACACTTCTCCGAGGTCCTGCGCTACTATGCTGGGTACGCGGACAAGATTCACGGCAGCGTCATTGATGTTGGCCATGAGAAGATGGCATACACTTTAAAGCAACCTATTGGGGTGTGCGGCCAGATTATTCCCTGGAACTATCCGCTGGCCATGGCAGCTTGGAAGCTCGGTCCTGCCCTGTGTTGTGGAAACACGGTGGTGCTGAAGCTTGCTGAACAGACGCCCCTGTCCATGCTCTATGTCGGCAAATTGATCCGTGAGGCCGGATTTCCTCCCGGTGTGATTAATATTATCAACGGCCATGGCGGGCTAGCAGGTGCGGCGCTAGCATTACACAGAGACGTGGATAAGATTGCATTCACCGGCAGCACTGCCACGGGTAAAGACGTGATGCGTATGGCATCTACAACCATGAAGGCTGTTACGCTGGAGACTGGCGGCAAGTCACCGCTGATCGTGTTTGATGAACATCCATTTTAGGTGATCCCTTCGAGGCTACAACCTACCAGGGACCACAAGTCAGCGCCACGCAGCGAGATCGCATTTTGTCTTATATCAGAACTGCTCAGACCGAGAATGCAAACATTATACATCCATGCGGGGCTATTCCGGAACTTCCTAGAACGGGGTTTTTTGTCCCGCCCACTATTTTTACCGATGTCAACACTGCCGCGACTATCTTCAAGGAAGAAATATTTGGACCCTGTGCCGCGGTAGCCCGATTCAAGACTGAGCAGGAGGCACTCGATATTGCCAACTCGACACGGTACGGACTTGCTGGGGCTGTGTTCACGCGGGACATGGCTCGTTCACATCGTGTGGCGAGGGAACTAGAAGCTGGCATGGTCTGGGTAAATAGCAGCAATGATTCTGACGTGAGGGTTCCTTTTGGCGGCGTTAAAGAGAGTGGGATAGGAAGAGAGCTGGGCGAGGATGGATTGAGGGGGTATTATAGTGTGAAGGCGGTTCATGTAAACTTGACGGAGAGTTGAAGGTTGAACCCTCATCAATCGACGACATTGGAATAAAAGTTTGATGTCAACGAGTGTCTCGTCAGAACACATCATCAAATGAGTCGAATGAAAGGTTCAAACTACTGAAGGATGTAAGGCTGAAATTAGAGGCCAGCTAGCAAACCCACCAGCTACGATCTTTCCATGTTCTGTTCAGTAAAAAGGTGGTCTTTTCGATGCCTCAATTCCGTCGATAAATTGATTATGGACCCAATCAAGGACCAGGTCCACATTTAATACGATCCATAGCTGCCAATTGTGACAAGTAGTAATTGCAAGCTTGGATAAAAGCGGGTCGGACCAAAACGTCGTGGCGCCCTGGCGTCCATCATGTACGTATTACGTTAACCTATTACAGCCAGCTCGTCACATCTCGAAGGAAACTGATCCGAACATCTGGCCTTGAGCGGCCCCTACTTCAGCTCCGAATCCTAAATCGACTGACAGCTATCCTGTCGCATTCATTGTTTCCGCCATCCTATAGAGCGAATAATAACCACACTTTGGCAAACAATTGTCTTCCCATCCCTACCATCCGCAGCTTCGAGGCCGGTTAATCCGCGAGTCTGGGCCTATTGCCAGTCATGGCTCCCTCGTTTCCCGGTGCCCGCGCCGAGGTTGATTACCCTATCTACTCAATCGACTTTGATCCTGAGGATGCGAATAGATTAGTTGTTGGTGGTGGAGGTGGTGCTGGGTGTTCCGGTGTCGGCAACAAGATTGTATGTGGTTTTTAGATGCGAACTACGAGAGATTTCCATCTCCTAAGTCGCAAAGACTTGGCTAACACTGTCTGTCGTTCGTCTTAGACCGTCTTCGATGTCTCTCACCAAGACGAGATCCGAGCAGCCGGCGAAATCGAGCTATCTCGCGACGAAGACAGCGTCATGTCCATCGCCGTCGGCCCACACAAGGGCAAAACTACATACGTCTACGCTGGCATCAACTCCTCTCCAGAAGAAATTGCCAAAGGCACAAATCAGCACTTGCGCCTCTTTTCTGTCGATCCCTCCAAAGCAAGACCGCTGGCTGCCATGACAGGCAGCCCCTCGAAGCCCAGAGCCTTCCCCGAGGCCAAAATCGCCGAAGCGTCCCGTACAGCGCTCTTTGCGAACCCGGACGCCAACGCATATCAGCGCTTGTTGCGTGTTTCGGGATCTATCGGCGCCGCAGCATCTGCTCTGGGCAAAGAACCTCAAATAGCCGTGTTTGAGACGACTACGCCGAAACCGAAAATACGCGGATTGCTAGAGCTAACGAAGGAAGCCGAGGCCATAGATATTATTCAAACAGGAGATGATGAGTTCCAGCTGGCCTACGTTGACCGTTACGAGCTTTATATTGTTAATATTGGAAGCAAGGGGAATGGCGAGCCCCAGATGGTGTTTTCAATGCCGGACGACCATGGGGAGCGACCGCAATTCAGATCCATTCGGTATTTGACCCCAGAATTTGTTCTTGCCGTTTCCAATTTGCCCAAGAAGAATACCGGTGCGCTTATTCAGGGACTGCGGTTGCCTTCATCCAGCCACGAGAAGGCTAGACTGGCTGCCACGGCGAGGATATCGCGCAAAATGTCGGCCATAGCTTTAGCTGTGACTAACTTGTCGTTGCCGGCGTCGCCCACGGCTCCGGTAAGCAACGCACAGTTTGCGGTGGCTGTTGCTGGCAACGATTCGTCAATCTCGCTATACACACTGGAACATCAAGTCTCACCGGCCTTGAACCTGCTTCTCAACCTCTATCCTTTCTACACACTCAAGAACGTCCACGGCAACGATAATATCTCAGGTCTCGCATTCTCAACTTTCATCACGCCCAAGACACATATCCGAGCACAATACGTTAAGCTGGCAAGCACGTCGCTTGGGAAAACTGTCGCCATCCAAAGCATCCCACTCAAAAAATTCGTTGACGTGCAAGCCCCTCGGAACAGGAAAGGTCCTCCTCGACCAACGCGCTACGTTGTTGCCATGCAGTCCCGCGCCCCATCTGCCCGGCCGCTTATCATAACCCTCAGTATCATTGTGCTTATTCTCGCGATCGTTGCCCAGTCCGTAAAGGAATTGTACGGCGTAGGCAAACCTGTCATCTTTGCACAACCATTTTTACCCTCGTGGCACGGAAGCCTTCGGCAGCCCAAAACGCAACCCTCGTATTCGTTTGAGAATGAGCTCATTTCAAGCTTGGTCGACGGTAACATGGTCTTGGGATCTGGAGAGAAGTTTGTCCTACTCGAAGATGACCAACCGGTCGTTGTTGAGGGTGATGGTGAGCAGGCAACCAAGAAGCTCCGAGTCAACGTACGCGACTCTGATGCCCACGGCTCGGCGAGAGCATGGGATCAGCTCCACGTGGATGAACAAGACGCGTGGAAGGAGAGGCTTCGTGATGCGGGTGCCTGGACGCAAAACATGGGTGAGAATGTGTTCAAAGGGATTTTGTTTGGGGAGTTGGCTGGTGTTGTTGGGCGGGTTGTGGCCGGCTAGATGCTGCATTGGTAATAGTCCCATGTCCTATAGTACTGGGTATTTGTCATAATGACTCTTTAGTGTACATGTGAAGTCTGGGCACTGTTTTGTATGTATTTCGGGGGTTTGCGGAAGATGACGTGTTAAAGGGACGAATGAGATGAGGAGGGAAGGCCAACGATGAGCTACGAAGAATGGGTGTGTACAGTAGGTATATTGGGGCATGTATAATCGTGTCGTTATTCAATCAACGTTGTTTGAATGTTCACGTGTCCTTCTACCATTCAAGTTTAGATGGCTCCCATCGTGATGCTGTCATGGGCGGATACCAACATGCGTTGCTTCCTTGACGTTGAACAAGTAGAGTAATTGCACATGCCGTCCCAGCCGTGAGGGTCCAGCAGCCAAGCATTGTAACAAGCCATTTGCTACTTACTTAAGTAAAATGACGAGTGAAACTTGCAGAGCCTTTAAAGGCTGGCAGTGACGCCTACAGACTACAGACGGCGCCTTGGAAGCCAGCTGAGCCCTGGGCTCAATGTTGTCCTTGCTCGCTCCTGCCCAGAAGACCAGAAGAGAGGCACCATGCCTGCCAACAAACTCAGCCTTCGCCAAGTGCCTGACAGCTGTCGCAGTCTTACGGAAGCCATGATGACCTCGAAGAGAGGTTTTCCGAACGAAACTCACCCGCCCCGAGATTCTGCGCCTCGTACAACGCCGCAGCGCAGTCATCATGATGAAAGTCTTCAAGCTACCGCGTTACACAGCGACAGTTACCAAGCAACTAGGCCTCCTCTTCGGCATATTCCTCATTTCCATGTACGTGTATGCGCCCCTTTGCATGAACTAGACGTCGCTAACGAGAAGCCAGCTGGTGGGTAATCGTGCCTCTGGGACAGCACAGCATACCGCCCGGCTTCCCGCTCCATGTCCAAGACGCATGGACCAAGATCTCAGATGCCCCAAGGGAGGTAGTCGGCCCGTTCAATGCCTCGAAACTAGCTCTCATGGTGGAATCAAGACCGCTGCCGCGTCTTGCACCGCTGATTCTGCACACGATGGCGGTTGTACCTCCTGACTGGCGCTTTCTCTTCATCGGTTCATCAAAGAGCGTATACAGCGTGGGAAAATCCAAGGCCATTCAGTTCCATAAGAACTCTGGGAAACTCGAGTTGATGAAGGTGCCGGAACCGTGGAAGCTGGAGAGTCCCGAGGATGAGTCGAGGTTACTAACTGATGCGCGGCTTTACGAAGAAGTTCTTCCAGATGTGGAGTGGATACTCAAGTTTGGTCATGATGGTATATTGTGTGCAAATTCAGCTGTCAGCTTGGACGAATGGCTTTCTTGGAGCTGGGCCGGTGCCTTGCGGTATGCTGTTTATGCCTCCTCCTTTTTTTCTTTCATGATGGGAATATATAAGCGAGGCGTATTCTGACGATGGTAAGCAGGAAAGCCCATGGTGACAGGCTCTCGGACACGGGTGGCCTATCATTACGCCGAGCTTCAGCGGTTCGCCGTATCCTCAGCTTCCAGCGGCGCCGGAACAACTCTGAACCAGAGGACGTATGGTTCAGAAAACGCATTGCAGCTCTGCCGGGAGAAAAAGTCGCGTCCAATTTCCATGGCATCATATCGGCAGATCATGTCTTCCCTCGTGAACTGATGGGATATCACGTTACAGCATGGAATACATGGCCTGACCGTGGGGCACGGACGAACAGGAACATGAAACAGATTCTTGAATACTGCCCCGAGTTAAGCATGATACTCGACATGAGTGTTGATGAAGGAGATATTCCTGCTAGTTCTGTTCGGGAACGAAAAAAGCCGTCGGTGGAAGCAAAAACGAAACATGACGGCATATACGTCGTCAAAGACGACGACAAGGTGAAAAGCAAGGGCTTGATCTATCCACCTCAGCCGGCACCCCTCCCGCTTCTACATTCAGAGTAGACAGGCATGGCGGAATGGCAATGACAAATTGACGGAAATAGACATTAGAAAGGTGTACGTAATTAGTTCAAGCTGAGATGTGGTGCCCGATTGTCAATGCAAAGAGATGAATCCATTGCGCATTTGCTTGTTTTGTTTGTGAAGCACGACTATGGACTTTGAAGAAAGATGCACAATGGGAGGCAAAATATGCTCGACCAGATGAGGGCACCTGGCCATCCCGCCCTATGTAAGTAGTAGGTTATACTCTAATCCATTGGTGTCAACTTGTTGATGGGCAAATATATCCCGCCGGCTGGACCGTAATACTGAGCCCTTGACGAGGATACACGACCCCATCCACTACGCACAGTCAGCGCGCGCATCTACTCTGCAGCCTGGGCAAATAACTGCCCCCGTACTCGGTATCATGTATTTATTCCTGGGCATCTGGGCGTCTGGGCGTCTGGGCGCAGAGCCGTCAACACCACGGGGTCGCACACCGAACCCACTCAGTTGGCAAACGCGCACCGCAGAACCCGTTTCACATGGGGCGCCGCCGGCACCAAAACCTGCGACATTGTTTCAAGATTGCTGGCAAAGAAGAAAGGCAAAAAGGGGGGGGTGTGAGCAAGCGCCGGGGGGAGAAAAATAAGAATAATCAAACAGTCTGCAAGAAAAAGGGGAAGAATGATGCAGAGCCCCGTATAAGCAAGAGTCACATACATACGACGAAAGTTGTGCGCAACGTACTCCGTACAATCAGACTTTTTTCTTTTTCCTTGTGTCGCCTGGCTGTTCCAAGGCCCCCCGAGTTCGGCAACTGCCGGGCCCAGCGGCCTGGTTAGAGTCCCGCCCATCTATCTGTAACATGGCATGGCAGTACTCCGTACAGTGACTTGGGCTCCAAGGCCGGCAGCAGGCTGCTGGTGGCTGAGATGCTGGTGACGTCTGGTGATCGACATGGGAGTGCCCTTTTGGGGGAGTGCAGGCTTCTGGTTCCTGATTTTGCCGGAGATTTTGCGGAGGAGAAGGAAGCGATTAAAGCCGCGAATATGGCGCGAGAATAAATGGTTGGCGTGGTTTGAGTGCAAAACGAAAAATAAGTACTATCAAGAGGGAGAAAAGGCTGAGATGTGTTTAGGGCTGCGTATTTGCTACCGAGTATTTACTTAGACGCAGGTTGGGCAAATCTGTGGGAAGCCGGACATGCCGCACAGGGTGCAGAGTCCACTTGACATTTCTTGGTTGCACAACAGGCACTCGGTGCTCGGTACTCGGTACGGGGTACTCGGTACATTGTACATGCTGCCAGTCACTCTTTTGCTGGTGGCAGCGCCTCGTTTTCAGCTGCGCCGGGCTGACGGGGCCAATGGGTTGGCGGCGGAGGCGAGCTGCGCAGTCAACAGTCATACCGAGTAGTACAATCATTGATGCTTCCAGTCCCCATTGCCTCTGCGCGGCCTAGAAAAGATTGCATCGACGGGAACACGGGGAAATCATTTGTGGCTTTTTTTGCTCTTTTTGTGCTTTGTGCTTTGACACGAGGTCAGTGATGGACTGGGTCCTCTCCGCCCCTTGATTGGCCTTGTTTGCGAGGTGTTGAAAAGACGACGTGGACGTATTGACCACATGTGCAGTCTGGGGCACCTGGCGAGGGCACCGAGGACGCCCAGAGCCTGATTCAAGCACACCATGCTGAGGCGGACAGGCCCCGTCAGGGGACCGGGTGCTTTTTTTTTTTTCCGTTGCGTCCTGGGGCGGAGTTTAACCACAATACTCCGTATGCTTTAATCTGTCTCGCAAGGCAGTGCCAGCATGTTTGGACACGACTCGAGTCACCAAAGGTCCGACAATATCCCCAGTCAGAAGAAGGACATTGGGGGGAGCATGTTCGCATGTTCGCATGTTCATTGACGTTCCAGCACATTGGTGCAATGGCGCCGATCTGGCTCTCCCTCATCCCGCCCCATCATGTACAATAGTTGGTCCGGTAGAGTGCGGAGAAGTCTTGGGTTCCATCTTGTTTGATGTTGAAATGACAATACTATTAATTGCCCGCTGACCCGGCAGCGGTGTAGGGTAGGTACGGGCGCAGGAACCTGCGTTGCGACTCGCGAGTGTGTTGAAATTGCTTTTGCCATCTCAAGCGCATGTATGTACATACATAAGTAGGAATGAATTTGCCCAAACTTTGGAAGCTTCCATGCATCGATCCCCTTTTGGCGACAGCAGATGCATGCATCCTACTTGGACATGATGGTCCTGGAGAAAAATACAGCCCACTGCAGGCTGAGTCGTATCATTTAGAAATACAGAGCGTACCCATCTGTATGCAGCATGGTGGCTCGCAGCGAATACTTCCAGCCGCGAAGGAAAAATTATCAACTCATGGTTGGAGGAGGCGGCCCCTGATCCCGTCATCCCTGACCTTGACCTTGTAAAAGTGGCCAAGGTGGCAGATGGGCGATGGGCGATGGACGATGGAACCCCAACAGATGGCAGTCTCCACTTGCGCTTCAAGTAGTACCAGGCGTACATACATACATGTATGTACTCCGTACTCCGTACTCACCAGACTTTGGATGCCCGCCAGCTTCGCTCCAGTTGACTACTTACCGAGTACATACACTGGACTGTCTGGTGTCTCTCGCTCACCATTTGAGCACCTACCGAGGTACCTAGCCAGATCATGCTGTTGGCCGTTGCCATGGTGTGCTGTACATACACGATGTACTCCGTAGTAGGTTATCAATTGATTGTTTTGGCGGCCCGTCGAGTCAATATCCACCCACCATCCTAGCAAAGGCCAAAAAAAGGCCAGACAAAAAACCATGGCCAAATGGGACGCCGGCTCCTAAACCCACGAGTCGTGCAGGCGAGGAAGCATCCAGGAACATACATATCATGCCAGCAGCAGGTGCCGTCGTCATGAGCACCCGTGGAGATGGCCAACTACATCTGACCATAGACTGTAGATCATACATACAGCCGGTCAGCCAAGACCTTCAGCGGGCGAATGCATTGGGCTTGTGCACATGCATACATAGCACATCCCAAGCCCAGGTTTGGTAGACGGGCCGGCACATCATGAGAGACATGGAATAATCCAACCTCCCATCTCCAACCCTCGCTTCGGTGACGATCGATGATTGTGCTGTGGCTACCGACTAGTAGTACGCTGTTGAGGTTCAAATGTTTCTGTGCTGGCCATCACACGCGCGTGTGTGGCGGCAATCGTCTGCCGTGGTACAAGCAAGGGTGGTGTGTGTGCGTGTGGCGAGAGTCCCCACGCTAACTTTCACGTCTCATAATAGCGTGTGTCACAGTTCCTCCGCCCCTCCCTCCCAGGCAACATGTCGTTGATGCACTTTTCCATTGTTGTGTGCATGCTACCTTCCTAGGTACTTTATCTAGGTAGGTACCTCGCCATCTAGATAGCTCGTACTGGCGCATCTTGGGATTAATCTTTGGAGCGGAGCAGAGATGGGCGACCGTACTGCGCATACGGTACGAGTCTCCCCAAGCGCCCGAGCAGCACAAGGCCTTCTATGCCATCCTGCCTCATCATCCCGGTGAAAGGGCTCGGGTGTCTGCAGGCTGAGGCGCTTGAATGGGCTTCCTGTGTGGCCGCCGCGCGGCGCCTGAGTTGGCAGTATGGATGGCCCCGATAACAAATGGACTTCTCGACACACTCCTCGGACCAACTCAGCATCTTGGGAGGATCATGACGCTGCCATGACTTGTCCGAATACATTGTTGCAGATATGCAGACGATGCCCTGAGATAGAAAGACACCACGAAATGAACATAGGGCGCAGAGATGGCAACTGTTTCCTTATTCTTTTGATGCCCTCACTCACCCTTATCGCAGCACAAATATTGAGTTCGTCTTATTCGAGAGGGAGGGCCGATGACACTCGCTTGGGGAATTTGCAATTGGCAAGCCTCGTTCGAGTCCTTGCGGCGGACAGCTGAGTTTGTGGAATATTGACAGGGGTGAACCTTGCCCGGCATGGAGCGAGAGACAAGGGCCTCGACAAGCTAGTACCTTCCCCCATCTTGAGGGGCAGATAGTTTGAAAGCCCTCTGAGTATGGAGTACTCACCCGAAATCTTTCCAACATGTCTTAAAAAGCCCCCAAATCTGTTGTATACCTGGCGATCAAGGAGACCCAGAACTACCTGGAAGAGAAGGTTTACCCTGATAGCCTCAAATAGTGCCTCACGAAGTGACATTGACGTGATTGCCCGTTGCTGACCCCATCTTGGGACTTACATATTCGAGGGGAGACGAGTGGAGCATGAGCAAATGAGATTCTCGCATGGTGGTTTGATTGGGGTTGGGAGAGGCGCTCCCATTGTTGCACATGTATCACCATCGAAGGGTGAAGGACTGAAGACCGCAGTTGATCTGCTCAGGCTGGTGAGATGCTCAATGATGTACTGGGCACCTCCCCAGCCGTGCCCTGCAGAAGCAGGTGGCGCCAGCAAAATGGACTTTTCATCTCGGTCATCAGAGTTTTGCAACCACCGTAACTAAAATCGTGAATCGATGATGTGTGTCCTAGATCGAGGATCTTAGGCACGTTTGCGACAGAATAGCAGCGCCTTGCGCAATATTTGGACTTAGACTCGTGTTGTCGTCGCTGGAAGACAGCCGTTGCCTCTGCATTGTTCATGACCACCATGAAGGGGTGAGCCTGCAGGTTGCCATTCTAGGCGCACATGCGGACACAATACGGGAGCCAAAAAGCGGATGCCATCACTCGACGCCAAGAAGAAGCCAACGGGGACAGACACTGTGATTTAATATTCCCCGGTGGATGATAGCAGAGTTGCGCAGGGTAGAGCAGGCCCGGCAGGTCTATACCGAGTGAAACATCTGTGACCAAACATTAGTCGGGCTGCATCTATTCCGGTGAGGCATTACCCCGTACCAAATTGTAGATAGCAAGCACCAATTGAATGCCGGTGAGCTGGCAGACTGCTCCCAGAATACCCTGTGCATATGTACATATGTATCGAGACAAGGTGCGGAGCAGTTGGCGATGCTATCCTAATCGTCAACGAAATCTTTCACGTTCTTGTTCAACATCCAACGTGCGTTGCGAAGAACCGGGACTTTGACGGCTGTCAGTTTGATATTTAGGGCTGACATGCCACTAGAGTCGGCATTGACTGGCTGCCAGACAGGTATCTATCTACCCAGTGGCTCTGATAGCCTAGAGCTTACGCTGACGGCGGTGGGTTGGTGGTTCTTCGTTATTAGGGAAACATCAACGTGCCCCAAGGGGTCGTCAAGGCCCGTGGTTGGAAAGGTGAGCCGTGACATCAATCGACCCATGTGGTGTGTTGTGCTAGACATGGGTATCCCAGATCGATGTCGGCAAGGGAGGCCAGACTGGCCCAATCCTGTTCGTGCCGAAAGGTACAGAGTAATACCTGAGCATCAAGCATCGCAGTGCGAAGGCCTTGCCCATCGCTGGCCGTCTGACGTGTTGCCCACTGTGTGTGAGAATATGTCGGCAAGGCCGTTCCCAATCCTACGGGAGAAAATCCGGCAGATGATTGAAAATAAGGCGTGAAGTCCTCCATCGGACAATGCGTCGTAAAGTTGTTTGAGAGGGTCCCAGAGTACGCGTAGGAAGAGTCGGTGTTGTAAAATCGATGGGGCTTCTTGGCCGTCACGAAGCCTACGTGGTAAATCGTGGAACAGTTGGAATGGTTCAAATCGGGCCTACATGGACGAGAAGAAGAGAAAAGGCAACAGACAGCAGTCTTTCCCGGCTTAATTGCCTCTGGATAATCGGGTAGCCGTGATGAAATGCATGTTTTCTCAAATCTGATAGATGCCGGCCAGGTTGTTTTCAGAAACCCCATGCAAAGGGCCCCGACAGGTTTGGCGAGATGAGCAGGGCATAATGTTGAAGAGCTAAACGTTTTGAGCAGGAACCAGACCAACGTTCGGCAGCAGTCTTTATGAGGCTTTTCACCGAACCGTGACCGAGTTGACCAAGAGCACCCCGGACTGGCGTCTACAAGCCAGGAGCTTTGGAGGCCAAACACCCACAGTTGCTAGACCGCAAATGTGCGGCGAACTTTTTAACCGAACTGTCGAACCAGACATTAACCGCGGTGGTGGTGGTGATGATGATAATAATGATGGAAATGATGTTGGCAGTTCAGACTTGCAGACTTGGGAAGTGCAACTGGGTCGACCACACACTCTCTCTACGAATGGCGAATGTGCATGCAACCTTGCAGACCAGTTGACTGGTGTTTGAAAGTCTCGCCATGGAAGGAACAAACCACACCATGGCTGGCCACGGCGGATCCACCTTCCCAAGTACGCAAGTCCTACCTAGGTTCGGAGTACCTAGTAGTTGATGGAAATATTTTCAACCAGACCTGCTTTCAAGTTAGTATATGCTACAAGACTGCCCCCCGTACTACTCATTTCTCCTCTCCGTGACCAATGAAGCAACATTGAATGGACATACGCTAGGCACAACCAGCTTTAGCAGGTACTGGATTACCTGCCAGCTTCTGGAATGGGGCAGGAGTGTCCCGAGGGCTTGCCAGATTGCCGCAGAGCCCAGAGACGTCACGGGGCTTCATCAGTGCCTCGAATGCCACCACCACTTGAGGGGTGGCAGAGAGGCAAGGGAGGCAAGGAAACCCCTGCTACAGATTTCCAAAGTCGAGAGCCAAGAAGGCTTCCGCCTATTAACCCTGTGCAAATACTTGGGACTGTCCCTCGCCTCTGAGCAATGCCACTGTCAGTGGTCGATGCACTGGGTCGAGATACCACGGGTCCAAGGCACTGCCAAAATACAAATCGGGGGTCGATGGCCAGACTGCCTACCAGGTAGTCACCTATGATTGTATTGTGCATTCGTACATACAATAGCAATCAATGTAAGTGCACACTTGGGTACTAGTAGATTGGACAAGGGTACACGGTGGTGCGGCCAGCCCTTTGCAGTCATTGCTCGTGCGAAACACTAAAAAGTCCATCCCAGACGACATCTAGACATCTGGGCATCGTGGCCCAGATAGCCCAGACGAGCCGAGGAGGCGTGCTGTCGGCCCACCCACCAACATCCCGGACACGATGGCATGGCAGTTGGATACACAGTGGAGGATGCAATGAATGGTGCTCCAGACAACACCAGACAGCACCAGACGACGCTAGACACCAGACATCTCCAACTCCTATTCGAGTATCCGGCAGGAGGCAACACACACATCCACGCTGAGCTGCCGGGATGTCCAGGAGGGCCAGGATCTCAAGACCCCCGGTAGATCCACCCGACACCAATCCAGAGCCGCTGCCGCCCTTTAGTCCCTGTCCCAAGTCGGGCTTGTGTGTCGTGTGGTTTTGGGTGAAAAGCATGCACACTCGCCATTTTGGCATCCTCTTTGCAGAACGGAGTAGCGGAGTAGGGACGACGAAGGCGCCTTTGCAACCCAAGTAGGGCTTCCACTCGCCATCCCACTTCAAGAGGCCTCTGCCCAGAGCATTGCTAGGTCGACAGGAGAAGGGTGTAATGGAAACGACATTTTGAATTTGACATTCGCCATAGTTTACAGCAACGCGCCATTCGGTGCCTTTTTGCTTGGCTTCTTATGAGAGTTTGCACTGACAGCATGTAGTCTAAAACAGAGTTCGTTGTTGTCTGCCCCCCCCCACGTTACCATCAAACCCACAATGGAGCTCCTAATATTATTAGTTTGTTGACAGACACCAGGTTAAGTCTTGGGACGGTGGGGTGGGTAAAGCGATCTTAGCCAGCACCTCTGAATGTATCGCCGCGAAATCTTTCCGTATATCAACACGTGAACAGCTTTGTTGTGATTTTTCCCCCATTGACGAGACAAAAAAATTTAATCAAAAAAAAAAAAACGAATACAAGGCCGGGCTCATCCTGATAGCTTGACCCAGGAGGGCCTGCCATCTCAGTTTTGGCACTGATGCATGCATGAAGATATATAGGACTGAGGGTGAGGATGCAGACAAAGAGGCGGCGGGGAAGAGACAGAAGGCGAAAAAGAAAAGCCGACACAAAATGCAAAGGTGGAATGACCTCGTAGCCAAAGACCATTCTGTTCAATGCTGGAGCCTGAGTGCCAGCACTGGGACTGTAGATGCGATTGTGTGTCGTCCGTCATGTTCTATCAGCTCGCCAATGTTACCCTGGTCGTAGAGAGACGCTTCACCCTCTTCTCGCCTTTTGCTTCACTCTGATGGCCCGGGTTATTGGCTTCAACGGGCCAGCAAGCAACCTGTGTTAGCCAGTCGATGGATTATCTCCCCGAGTTTCACCGTATACCACCACGCCTTTCTAGTGCTGGGCGTTTGTTTTGTTCTCTCTCAACATCACTGCGACCATCGACTATGCCTTTCATCATGGCCATCACCGGCGCTATGGCCCTGACAGGCTACAGGCTACACACTAAGCAGTTGAATCTATTTCCCAAGTATACATACAGAGGATGACTCCAAAGTGCTCGCAAAGTTGCTTGTCAAAGCTTGCTGTTCTGGCGTCGTTTCAGCCAACCGCGTGGACAGGGCACAGCGGAAGCGGTCCAGCTTTTGATGCACCAACTACTACTACTACTACTACTACTACTAGTACTTGAATACTTCTGGAGCCACACCGGCTGTGGACACACCGTCTGTGCAAAACGACACACCCCCATGTGCCTTCGTAAAACATACTACTTAGGTACTCCATACCTAGGTACGTATCAGCACGCCACCACACACCCGTTGACGTTCCCACGGCAGAACCAAAGGCAGGTATTATATCGATCCCAAGGGCCGATTCCATTTGGCAGTTGGTGGTGCACTGTTGGAGACTTTAGGATTCCTCTCAGCGGGCGCGGTGTGCAGCCGTAGTATAATGTGATGCTGTTTGGCGCTCAGTCGAGAATACCCAAGTGCAAACAATATCGGACGGACTACTGAGTAGGAGTAGTGTGTACCTCCTGAAGCCCTCAGGTCTCTCTGCACCCGCACCCTGTCACTCACGCTCTCGCGCTCTCGCACCCCACCCCCTGCGGCAGCACTCAGTGTGCCCTCGTCACTCGCCGCCTCTTCCTCTCTGGGTCCCGCCGGGTCGGTGGTTCTGGGGTCCTCGTCTTGGCCCGCCCGCCCTCTTCCAGGCTGCTACCGCTCCTCGCTCGAGCGTGCCTCTCGACATCTCTCTCTATCGCCGCACCAGCCTTTCTCACCCTGCGCCGCCTGTTTCTCCAACCCTCCTTCCACTGCTTTACCCACAACCTTCGAGGTTCGTGTTGGCGACGGCGGTATTCTTTTACACACACGCTCTCTGCCACCATTTTTTCTTTCGTTTGGCAGTACGTCGTCGACGCTTAGCCAGCGAATTGCGCGTTGCCCTCCTCGTTCTTCCTTCCGATTTACGCTGTTTTGGCTTTCTTCGCGGGTTTTGCCTAGGCCCTCCGACACACTCCAAAACACCATCGTCGATTTCACTGCGGCCCACGCTGGCTCTCGGCCACCTCCCACGACGTTCCGCTCGTCAACGGGGACATCAAACGTGATCCGCATAGACTGATCTGAGCGGACAATAATCTTTGCGTGCCTGTACTTGTTTGTGCTCGTGTTGCACAGCGATTCGGCGCTGCCTACTGATTCTGCTCGATACATGCTGGGCTATCCCATCCGTCACGAGCAGCCATTACTCTACTTCTGGCTTACGAGCGCCGCCACGATTCACCGTCCTCGTCTTTTCAGCGGCGGTGTAAACGAATACCTGGTGACTCGCACTCGAGTGCCTCTTCCACGCTTTCATTTACGAGCAGCGAGCACCTTGGTGGCCGAACATCTTTTTCGACTGGCAATAAGCCATTGAAGCCCCGAGCCGTTTTTCCCTCGCTGTGCCCGTGCAACACGAACCTCTCTGTCCCACGGTACCCCACGGTTGCCGAATCTGCCATTGTGTAATGGCATAGGTTTTTTTTTGAACTATATACTCTATCATCTCGTCTTACTGTTGGATCTCGCTGCAACTTGACTTGTCGAGTATTCACGCCATCCCAGCGTTTCACTCATCTTGTCACGTAGGCGTGCTTCAAGCAGGGTCCCCTCGGCTTCCATCCTCCAACTTCCCGGGCAGCTAGGCGTGCGGCAACAAAAGCAACTACGCACTCGATTACTATTATACTAGGCGTTGGTTTCGGTTATTAAGCGAGAACATTTTCCTGGGGTCGTGCCAACTGCAGTTTAAGCGGCCATGGCCGCCAACATGCAGCAAATGGCTGGGGCAGGCCAGATGATGCCCCAGCAGCTGCGACGGCCGACTACTAATCCTCACCAGATCCAGCAACTGGTGTATCAAAAGCTCCTTCAACACTCACAACCGCCAAATGGGCTAACCTGGCAGGGCAACGTTAGCCTGAACGACCGCATGGGGAAGACTATGGACCTGTAGGTGCCCAACTATCTTGACTTCACGTGGCTGCCCAATTATCGTCTAGCCTGCAGCGAACAGGAAATTAACTGCTTTTCTAGCATCTCAAATATCGCGCTAGGGGTCGCTAATTTGGACCACGTGCAAGCCGCGGAAGTAGGCTGCGAATTTGAGCGTAAAACGTTTATGGATTCATCTAGCAAGGTTTGTACCAAGGGCTTCATACGCCTCGTTACTGCTTTGACTCGAGACGTCGGCCGACTAACAACCCCGCTTTAGGAGGGATATGATCAGGCTATGGCGAATAAGACACTAGACTTCTTCAAAAAGCGACAGGCAAACGAGCCCAACATCCAAAACAATCTAAATGCCAATGCACAAGCTCAGGCACAGGCCATGATGAATATGCAAGCGGCCCAGATGGGCCGTGGTATGGGCCAGGTGCCACAGGGTTTTCAACATCTCCAGCATCAGGTGCCGCCTGGGCAGTTGCCTCAGCAGGCGCAACAACACTCTCAGCTTCAGCAACAGCAGATAGGTATGGGCAGGGCTATGGGACCGACCCAACAAGCCATGGCGATGCAGAATCGGCAGCCACAGCAGTTTCCCAACGATATGTCACGACTCGCCCAGTCGGATAGGGCCAAGGTTATGGACCTTGCGGTTAAGATGATGGCCCAGGCTTCTGAGCAGCAAAAGGCGTCCACGCGAATGAGCTTACAGCAGAGACTATCTCCTCAACAACTAGCAGAATTCCAGGCCCAAGGAAAGGACCCTTTGGTTTTGTTCTTCCAGAATCAGGCATTCCAGGTTTTGAAGAATAACATGAATCGGTTACAGGCTCAGCAACAGGCTGGAGCACAGAACCAGAATGGCGCACAGGCAGCAACCGCAGTCATGATGCAGCAACAACACAGCCAGCAATCCTTCCAGCAACGGCAGAATATGATGAACGCCGGACAGCCTAACGATTTTTCCCAATTCACCCCCAACATGGAGAGCATCAAGGACCAGCAGATGACCGGACTCATGGCCCAGCAGGCTGGCCAGATGGTTGTACCAGCTAGCTCAGGAGGCGCCCAACATGCCACTCCCCAGCCTGGCAACCAAAATATGCCGGGTGCTCAAGGACAAAATCAAACACCTCGTCAGGGCCAGCAGCAGCAACCACCGCAGGGCAGTGTCAGCCTTCAACAAATGAAGATGAACCAGGCCGCCCAACAGTCTCAAAATCAGTTACAGATGAAGATGCAGCAACAGCAGAACCCCCAAAACGGTATGACTGGTGGCATGCCTCCTTCACAGAGTCCCGCAATGAACACTTTGAACACGCCAGTATCTCGTCCGCCAGGCGGGATGAACCCCATGGGTGGTCAAGGTATGGGCCAAGGTAATGTTGCATTCGGTGACCAGCGTTTCAATCAAGGTACACAGAGACCCAACAACCAAGCTTTTAACAACATGCTGGCCAACATGTCTCCAGAACAACGGCAGGCAATCCAAGGCTTTCCTCCTGACAAGCTAAACGAGTTCCTTAGACAGTGGCAGAGCCAGCGACAGGAGCAGGTGCCTATGAATGCTGGCCAAATGAGCCAGCAGCATCGACCACAAAACCAGTTTGCAGGGCAAATGAACTTGAACATGGGTGCTGTGCAAGGAGCTCAGAACCTGCAGCAGCCTAATGGGGGCGTGCCTATCAACCAACCGCAACAGCCACAGCAACAGATGCAGATGCCGCGGATTCCAATCCAAAATAATCAGGCCCAAGCAATGATGGACGCTATGGACCTTCCACCACATGTTCAGAACATCGTCGGACAGCTGCCCATGGACGTAAAGAAGTGGCGAGACTTGAAGATCTGGCTCAGTCAGAACAGCACCTTGGCCCCAACAACTCGTAACCAGCTTGGTGCGCTTCAACAGAGACAGTTCCAGATTCTCATGCAACGACGAGCATCGATGCAACAGCAAGCTGGCCAAACTCCTAACGTCAATGCCGCAACGATGCCAACCGCCGGAGGGCAGATGCCCAACCACCAACAAATGGGCATGCAGCGGGTAGTTGGAAATGTGAACTTGCCCAACCACGTTCTCCAGGTAACGCCACAGGAGCTCATGCAAGTACGAAATCAGCGATCCAACTTTAGCCATTTGCCAGACGACCAGCTACGAGCAATGGTTTTGCATTTGAAAAGGCAGGCTTTCCTCCAGCAGCAGCAGCAGCAGCAGCAACAGCAGCAACAGCAGCAGCAGCAACAACAACAACAACAGCAACAACAACAACAAGCCCAACAGATGAGGAATCAGCAGCCGCAGGGCCAGACCCCTAACCAGACGCCGAACCAAGCACAGCAGCAAGCTGGTGGTGCACAAAACCGACTGGGTGTTGCTCCGGTGCCAGTGCAGCAAACACCACAGCCTCCAAACCGAACCTCTCAATCGCAGACTCAACCCAGTCCTGCGACCATGGCCCAAACCGCCTCTATGCAGCCCACCGGGCAGAGACAGCAAGGCCAAGTGGTGAATGCCCAAGCACGGATGAACAGCCAAACTCAACCCACCCCGAAGAGCCTCAAGCGACCTAGTACCGATGACGCCGTGGATACAGCAACGACGTCCAACACAAGCACTCCTGCACCCACTCGGCCTATCTCACAGCCTAATCAGTCGACGCAGAAGGCGCCGCATACGCTCAGTCCGCAGCAAATTGCAGGACTCAGTCCTGAACAACGCGCCAGATATGAGCAATTCATGAAGCTTCAGTTGACCCAGGGTGCAAATGTGGGTTCGCAACCTACTGCCGACGCCCTTGCCCGACTTCGGGCCATCAGCCAAGAGGAGCAGCGCCAATTCAGTCAAGAATCTATGTCTGAAATGTCAATGAATCCGCAGGAACTCGGCGAAACGGGGGTCAAACTCCAGCGTATTGCCCAAGATATGAATAAGGTTAGCCGGGGGCTCACCAAATGGTACTCGATCACCAGGGATGATGCCCGAGCCAAGATGTTTTTCCGAACTGTAAGTGGCCGAAATCATACTCCTCGTTTCGGCACTATGGCTTGTGCTGGCCAATCTAATTTGTTTCTGAATTTGTGCACTAACCCGCGATTTGCAGCGACTTCGTATCATGAAGCAATTCTCTGACGGCGAGGCAATGAAAGTTTTGAAAGACAAGTTTAGCATCAATGCCACAGAAATTGATAAAGCTCGGGCTATGTTGGAGAGCATGGCAAAGGACCTAGCAGCCAGCATGTACGGTAGAGGAATGATGAAGCCGGGCCAACAAGCACCACAAGGCCAAGGAGCTGGTCAGAATCAAATCGCGCAGTCGCAGCAACCGCAGTCACAGCAGCAGGCCCAGCAACAAAACCAGCAGTCTCAACCTGCACCCCTGAACGCGGCCAATCTGGAAAAGAATTCGCAGGCACTCAAGAACCAGCAAAAGTCTGCCAGCAAAGGTGGCGCCTCAGTGCCTCCCGCGCCGACAGCTACGCAGCCTCCTTTCTCCTTCGGAGCCTCATCACCTCATGGAAACCCTAGCTATCTTGGAAAGCCCAAAGATGTTATGAATCTTCAGTTGCCAGCTTCTCGCAAGAAGCAGAAAGTTTCCGGCCAGCAGCCAGGACAGACGCCGCAAGGCGCGACTCCTTCACCAAAGACAGCTAAGAATGCTTCGCCAGAAATGCGACGCCAGGAGCCTCCCAAGCCAGTGTTCCTCTGCAAAGAGCCAGAATGCGAAACGGGCTCGTTCGGCTTCCCAAGTGAACAAGCGCTGCAGCAACATGTCGAAGAGGAGCATACCAAACCCAGGGAAGACCCCGTTAAGTTCGTCAAGGAAAATCTGGCGCTTGCTCTTGGCCTGGAACCTGATGGCAGCCTCAAGAAGAATCAAAAACCGGCCGATGGTGCAACTGCGATGAGCCTATCAACATCGAAGCAAGGTCAGACACCCAAGAATGTTGCAGCAACACCAATATCACAGGATCATGCTATGAAGAGGACCGGAAGCGCATTGAGCAAGAGTGCGGATGGCAAGTCGAAATCGGATGCCCCAGGATCCAAGCAGGCCACGCCGAGTGCCTGGGCCGGTTGCACCATCGATCCTCAGGCCTTGCTGAGCAACCTTGGTTTTGAAAACGGACTACCCACCATAATCAGCGACGCCAACTTGTACCGCTCTTTGACCCCAAAGGACACGCCCGAGTCCAGCAAGGATAGCGGCTCAAGCGAGCCAAACAGCGACATTTCGGAAGGCGCGGCGCTTGAGATTGATATGACGTGGCAAACATTTGACACCGACCTACTCCTGGACCTTAACAACGCGTCATTGGAAGGGGATTTGAGCGGCCTTGACCCGACGTTACTGTTGGATCCTCCATCAAGGGCCCCGCCAGACTGGGAGGATATTGATATCGACTTTTCGAAACCATTCCAGCTTGATATGAGCATGTACTCAATGAGCACCTGATGGCTTTTTGATCGATCCATGATGGATGGATGGAGTCGACCATGTGGCATGTTCACGCACAAGCGACTGAGGCAGTATTGGGAATGTTGGCGACACCAAAGAACCAAAGTAATCCGTGTCTCTACTCTGATGTGGTCAAAGCACAAGATGCAATTGCTTTGTGCTTTGTGTTTATTTTTCTGTTTCTAGTTTTTTCTACGTGGGCTCGTGTCGCTTGGGGCACTTGAGCGTTCAGGATATATACCCGACTGATGATACCGGCACGCATACGGACACAAGCACTCTGGAGTGATTTGGCGACAAAAGGAAAACTTTTTTTGTTTTTACTACCATTTTTGATGTTGTTTTGTTTTCTTGGGAAGAGGGAAGGGAACGGATGGATGGGGGAGTGGAGTGGCTGGATAACTTGCCATGAAAGAGTCTCGAGGCTCTCTTCCTAGTGGCAACTGGCACCGGCGTTTGCAACTTTTGGAATGCTTTTTCTGCGAATTGGATCATCTATGTCCTCCCTACCAGGCACTTGTAATGCGTGCTAGGATTGAAGCCAGTGTTCTTTTTTTTTTTTTTTTCAATAACTGGGCTGATGTGTACCTCATGAATAGCGAAGTTGGATGGGGAAGTGGTTAAGGAAGTGACATGCCCATGTTGTGCCTTACATGTCTCTATTGGCAGAGGCTATGCTGTTTATTTTCAGAGACAGCGACGCTGGACAAGTTGTCTTTGGCGATTTTATATAATGCGATATGTCATGTCATATATCTCCCGTCCCGTCGTGACTTGAAGATGGAGTTTGGCTCACAGTGAAGATTTCGTCTGCCCTTATGTTTTTGTTCCTTTGGCGAGGTTAGCGTCGGGTCGGCCCGCGGGGCCGAATCCACACTAGTGGACGGCGGCATGGACGCATCTGGCTGCCCGGATGATTTGCGTCCGTTGTAGATGACTGCGAGGTGGCAAACCCTTGATGCTGTGGGTTGCGAGGGAGAAAAAGAAAAAGAACAAAGAATGACGGAAGGAAACAACATGGCATTTTATATCAACACTACGAGGGTGTGTATTCTCGTCGGCCTCCCCCCTCTCCGCCCCTTTTTCCCCGGCGCGGACGAACCCTTGCTATAGAACTGGTAGTGCTATAGATTGTACGAGTAATGGACGGCAAAGGCGGCACTTGGATTCCCCCCCTTTTTTTCTACTCCCCCCTTCCCCCCTTTGTTTTATTTTGCTTGAGACCCTTTGGACAAAGTGGCATACGGAGCCGATTCACTTGGTGGGCATATGACAAGGCTAGATGTGCAATTTATTTTATTTTATTTTTTTGAATGTCTTTATTTTTGTTTTATCAAGTCTACACTTGCTCGATTCGGAGAATCACCATCTTTTCGGATTGGCGTGCAGCTGAGCGGACGCGGGTTCCGCTGGGACGGGGAAAGCGCGCCTGCCTCGTTGGGCAACGTGGCGGGCTGCAGGTGGAGAAACGCGGATAAATCATGTCCGGACGGTGTATGTAGGACCGGGGCATCGCATGTAGTCGGGGGATATTCAGCTCTCGATTTTTTTTCTTTGCTCACTTGGACTGGTGGTGGTGGTGGTGGCGGTTTTTTTATACCCTTCTCGCAAGCCAAGCAAGTCACGGCTTTGCTGCAAAGGGGACCGCGTCCCAGCGGACGCGGCGCAGGTGCCGCGCCGGGTCCTTGACGTCGTTCCTGGCATGGAGCCACCTGAAGTTGTCGACGAGTATGACGGAACCGCTCGGCAGGTCGGCCGCTTGGAGGTGAAGCGTCGCGTGGGGAGCCAGGACGTGTACCCGCGCCAGGGCGGCGTCGAGCTCGTCGAGGGCGTGGGCGGCCGCGGGCGTCAGTGGTGTGAGGATGTCGCGCCGGAAGCGTAGGGCGCCGTGGCCGCGGCTCGTGGAGAGCAGCCGGCCCGTGATGGTCGTCCTGTCGGGGCTCTTGGCGAACTCTCGTGGGATGGCGATTTGGAACTCGTCCCTTGCGAGGGCCAGCCTCGTGCGCGGTGAGAGCTGGCGGACGAGCTGGTCGGCGTTTGTGACGGAGAGGGTGCCGCCGCCGAGGTGGTCGTGGCGGAGGACTTGGAGGGCGAAGAGGCGCGGCGTGGGATCCTCGTAGCTGCAGTCTGTGTGCCAGGGGAACTCGGCCATGGTCTCGGAGCGGGCTTGGTGGTTGCGCGTCTGGAAGTTGGATGCGGCCGGGCGCACGTCCCAGAACCAGCCGCGGCCGGCGCTGTGGGAGATGGGCAGCTTGTGGCCGTGGTGCTGGTGAAGACTGGCGATGAGGTGCTGGAGGTATGTGCTCTCTGGGTCGGGGAAGTCGAGCGTGACCTTGAGGATGCCCTGGCTTTGGAGATGGTGAGCAACGAGGTCGACGTGGCTAGGCTGCCGGGCGTGGAGGAGGTTAGGCGCTCGGAGGTGGGGGACTGATACGGATGATGATGCCGTGGCTAGGGAGCAGTGACTGTGGGAGTTGTATGCTTGGACTCTTGGCCTTGGTGCTGGCCCGAGGGAGAGAGTGATGGCTTTGTGTTGGAGGCCGGTGCTGGGACGGAGGGGGCGTATGGTGACGCCGCGTATAAGCTGTTGATGCATGGCGAGTGAAGGCGCCGCACGAATGTCTGCACAGCATCAAACGTCAAGAGTCAAATAAGGAACCGGCAAGATTGGAACGAAGCAGAGATGCCGCATAGGCCATGTTGCGAAGAGTGGTCAGCGTCTCCAGTCTATTATCAACTATTTCCCCCCCTTTTGATGCCGTCGTCTAGACCGGCTAGCAAGCACCGCCTGATGTCGAAAAAAAAGTAGTCGACTTTCTCGCATCCTGAATTAAACAACTTGCTATAAGCCAGACTGACCCGTGTGAATCCACTCTCCAGCTCACCTTATGCCGTCATTGCATCTTGGACTCAGCCGAGGTGGTCCTATGTAGTGCGATAGACTAGGTTCCCGGAGAGACCGCTGCCACAAAGAATGCATGCATAATAGGGACAAGAGGATGATTTTTTTTTAACAGCGTGAGACATGAGTATGGAATAGGATAGGCTAGCGGGTTTATTGAAGCAACTAAATTGTTTCAGGTTTTAGTTTCTAGCATCTGCATTAGCTGGACATGGCATACTCTCTCGGCGGCGGCGCTGGGAGGGAAAAAAAGCATCATGCGCGAGACTCGTAACATACGATACTTTGCTTCTCCCCACCCCATAGCGCGATGTAGTAAATGAAAATATGTACATTGGCAGCTTAACTTCACTTGGTAGCACATCGGTATTTGCTCAAGGTTTCTGGGATTGCCGGCGCCAAATAGTAGTTTGTGTTCCCAATACAGTGTGACAACAACGTTGCTGATGCCGACATAGAGATGCATGTCTTCCAAGTTGCTCCGAATCTCTTCGACGGGCCAGCGAACAAAGGCCTTTCTGGAGTCGACGATCAACTTTCGAAATGACCAGACTCTGAGGGCGTTCACTTGACAAGTGGCCATCCGTTCAATTCAACCTGCGGCCTACTCCGTACATGGAAGTGGGAGGTTATTCACGGCTTCTAGTAAGCACGGATTCAGCGAGATGCAGGAACCAATGAGAAAGACGCCGTTTTATGAATCTTGTTTTAATCCTGTCTAATAACCGAGCACATCCAAGCGCCTCCGGTGCTAATGGCGCAAATTCGATCGGGCCCGGTCCGCCACACACCGAGACCGAGTAGTTTGCCGTGAACGACGTGATATGTGCCCACCAAGGGATACCGGGCCCTGCTGTCAGATTCCTTTACTACCACGTCATATAGCCGGGGGTTGATGCGGCGCTGCACAACGCAGGAGACCCCCGGGACGAGAACGGGGCTCTGCAGCCGCTCGAGCGCGGCAACCCATTCATGCGGGTTCATCTCATCGCCGAACACGATGCCAGCTCCCTTGCCGCCTCGCACGGGCTTGAGCAGATATTGGTTTCTCGAGTCGGGGTCCTTCTGGGCCAGCCTGAGCAGCTCGTTCATCTCCCGCGAGCCGGGGATCATGGTGTCTGCAATGCCCGCGTCGAGAACGCGGGCCTGGGCCGGGCTAAGGACGCCCCGGCTTACAAGACGGTCGAGCTCCTGCTTGACCACGCCGAGCATCCTCTTGTCGTGGACGAGCAGCACCGTCCGCATGTCGTTGAAGCAGCGAAGGCTGATTTGCCGCAGCATCTCTGGCTCCAGGCCCGACAGCTCCCGCTGATGCAGCTCTAGTCCCAGCTGGTGAATCTCCTCGACTAGCTCGCCGGCTTCCGTAGTCGACGATGCGGCTGATTCATCGCCCTTGCCCACGACGCAGCAGAGCTTGAAGCCAGTCTTGCCCTCGGGATTGGGCACCAGTCTGAGGTCTGCCGGCGTGATTGGGCGCATTGTTAACCCAGGGCGCCGCCGCCGCATGACGTTGACAAACATGTGTATGTCCATGCCCTGCTCTTCACCTCGGAGCAGATGCAAAGGCAGCTCCGGCTGGAACAGCTGCATCAACCCGTCCAAGAGCTGCATATGAACAAGCATGCATTAGTCCCTGCAGCACAATGGGGATTGAAAGCATGCCAACCCAACACTTTAAAAGAAAAACTCAAGTAAACGAAAGCAAGAAGGACCCCACAATTTTTACTCACCTGGGCTGAATTTGTTGCGCTGGCCAGGCCAAGCTGGTGTAGGCCCATATCGTCGAGTGCCTCCTGGCCCAGAGCCTCATGCATGAAGCCGTTAAAGGAAAACCGGGCGTTGATCTCGGTTATGCAAAAGACCTCGCCTTCACCGGGCTCACCATTAGCCGCCGCCTCACGGAACACTGGCGGGCTGTCTTTGATGAGAAAGTCTGGTCTCCAAGACCCACGACAGGACGAGAATGGCATCGCCTTGCCCCGAGAAACCTGGTCGTCGAGCCATCGCAGCAGCTCTTCCTCGTCCTTTGCGAGCGGCATTCGCTGCGGGAAATTGGCCTCCGTGTCAGACCACCACCTCTGCACTATGTCGGTGATGGCGCTGGTCAACGCCTCGTGAAGACGCTCTAGACGGCCTTGATGGCGCTGGTTGACGAGGATGGGACTCGGGCAGTTGGCCTTGTAGGAATCCTTGGGCCACACATGCCCGGGGCAGAGCCGCAGGAGATTGTCCATCAGTTGTCCGTACTGCCTTGCGCAGGCAGTCCCGTCCGCCGTTACAGCAGAGGTCACGGGCGCGTAGCCATTGGGACCAAGCCCGATATGAACCTGTTGAAGGAGTGGGATGACGGGAGTCTCCATTCTGGCCGGTTGAAGCTGCGGTTGAGACTTGAGACACAAGCGAGCGCAGCGCAATGCGTGTCAAGGATCACTGAAACCTATGACAACCAGAAACTTGCCTGGCCATCTTGCTCGACTTGCTTTTATACTCGGGCTGCGTTTTCGACAATGGCATCGGCGGCATCGCAGCTTGACAGCAATTGTGGAGGCATGTCAAGATAAATCCCCGGTCAACAACCCTCGTAGGACCCTCCAAAGGATGGAGTGGGCAGTACTCCGTACAGCCCATCTACCATTCCGTAATGCTTCATGAGCTAAGACGATAGTTTTCCGCAAACGTCGTGTGCACAATTTAAAGCAGCAGCGGTAGCCCTGTCAGTTGGAGATGGTAGCATCAAGAAAAGAGACCGACGTCGACATGCACGTCTCTGTTGCAGGACGGAGGTGGCACGGGTTACCTTTGGACAGACGTCGCTCCCTGTTTAAGCCTGCAGATTTGCCCCGCACAACCATATGTGATTGGCCAGTTCAACTGCCTAGTTCATATTCCTCCCGTTCACTCGGTGGAAGGGGTCACCGGCATAAAATTGTATAAATGTGTGGAGCACGCCCTCTTGCATTTTGGTGAACTTGCATCCAAGTGGGGAGGAGAAGACTAGACCATCCCGATGCTTTTCAGCTAATGGAAAGATGAGAAACGCCCAGCAAGTATTTTTGCTAGTTGCAGGTTGCGGCGTCACCTGTATTACATTCCGTCGCTATAGGACGAGGGTTCCATGTCAACCACATTTTCATGACATGATTCAATCACAGTCTACTACGTGATGATTCGTGGGCTTGGACCAAATTTGCCTTCTTCTGCCTCGCCATCCTCACAGCCATGGCACCCGACGCGTATACTTTGGAACAGGTTCTGGCAGTAGCCAGGTCTCACCCCTTCTACGAGAGAACCATCACATACCCTCCCGACCCAGCAACGGTTGCACAACTACAAGACTCCGAAGCAGGCCCGGTGGCGAGGCTCTTCTGAAGGCGCAGAAACCGATTTGCAAGAAAGATCTGTACGTTGTAGGACCGAGGCCCGTAACAACTGCGCCATTCTAACGTGTGGCGTCCGGCTTGGCCGTGAATAATCCAGGTACAAGGTGATTCAGCGGCTGGTCAATGATGTCGATCCCAAAAACACGTACCGCAAGGGCGTGTACACCAGTATTACCGGTGGCGGGCATGGAGGCACACCACTCTTCTTCGCGACTGATGTCGCTGAAAACCGGAGACACAGAGCCACGTTTGGCCGATTCCTCAGGGCAACAGGAGTAATCGACCAGAGCGACTGGGTTCTGTCGACTCACTGCGCGGGCGACTTGTACCGGTAAATAATGACCTTGGGGAACTCAATGAGCGATTGCGCTCCCTCTGCTACCCCCTTCGTGTGAAGAGAAAGAAAGCTCATGGAGCCGAGAATTCCGTGGGTGAAAACATACACACACACACACACACACACACACACACACACACACACATATATATATACATATATCTCGGGAAATCAAAGGGCTAACACCGTCCGTCACAGATCCTTGGATCTCATGCTAGAAGTTTCTGAAAACGCCGGCGCAACTGCACTGGCAGGGGGTAATGTCATGTCCCCAGCCGCCATTGCTCGGCTCCTAATGAGCTACCACGTCAACCTGCTGGCCGGTGATGGAAGTCAGATCATCCAGGTGGTGCATCACATGTCGACCCTTTCTCCGGAGGAGCGGCAGCATATCAGACTAGACAAGATCATCTACACATCCGAGGTCCTCACCGCTGCTCAGCGGCTGCACATCAGAGAGACGCTAGGGGATAGTGTTAGGATTTGCTCTGTCCTGGGCAGCGCGGAAGCCGGTCCTTGGGCCGCCAGTAACCCAGATATAACCGGCCAAGAGGCGACGACAAGTACCGTCGACTTTGTCTACGACACAAGACACATGCTGGTCGAGATCTTGCCGGCATCTTGCGCCGAGGACCTGGCAGACACAGACGAGCTCCCGGACGGCGAGATGGGCATCATTGTCCAGACCTCGTTGTGCCGGCTGCGCAACCCTCTCGTGAGGTATATGACGGGCGACGTTGGGTCTCTTCACGCGCTCCCCGAGTGCGCACGCTCCGTGGTGTCGGAAGCGGACTGGCCACACCTCAGGATTCTTCGCCTCGAGGGCCGCGATAGTCGCTTTGGCTTCACGTGGGACGGAATGTGCTTTGAATTTGAAGACGTGGCCGCCGCTTTGAACCAGGAAGAGTTTGGCGTGCTTCAGTGGCAGGTCGTTTTGTACAAGATGGAGTCGTCCCAGGAGGCGGGACTCGACGTTCGTCTGCTTTGCTCATCAGCGGCAGGGGAGGCGCGTCTCGATGACAGGATACGACACTTCTTCAACGTGGACGCGTCCAATAAGCACCGCTTTGGAATCGTCCGTGTTGACAACTTGGATGGGTTAGAGAGGAGTGCAACGGGGAGAAAGGTGATGAAGTTTATAGATAGATTTGGCTAGATTCCTACGCCGCATCCAGCCATTACACACCACCGCATGGAGCACTCCACACAAACCGGGTCTGTTCATCAAGCTGTTGCAAAGGGGTTGGATTTGAGCCTTGCCCAGAAACCCACCGGCACAAGGGTGAGCGAGTAAGCTGAACCCGATGACAATGCGGCGAGAAAAGAATCCGCCATTTCTCTTTATAAGCATGTCAATAAACAGAGCGTTCAGGGCCATGACCTCGAATACTACTCCTTACAGAGTACACTCCCGCCTAGACTCACGAAACAGCAGGTAGGTACATATGTAAAAGCCTTGAGGTTGAAGCTGTCTTGAACACTCGGGTTGTGGCCGTGTGCCCACACATGTACCAGGCAAATGTCTCTGATGTATCGTCTCGCGAAAACCATGAGCAATTGGAGCCAGACGCTAGCTTCACATCGGGCAAAAGAGAGCATGACGAGTTTCTGAACGCGGAGCATGGATCCATCATCCAGCAGTCTGGGTCCTGTTTTTTGACTTGAATGGATTCTCGAGTTTAGTAGGGCAGAAGTTTGGTCTTGAGGCTGCCATTTGGGCTGAGGCCACTTTCGTGACGCCGCAGTGACGGCATACTGGGTGATGCGAAGGGAGAGTCTGAAGCACATGGCGAATACATTTCAAGAAATACCAATCCGGACGGCTCATTGAGTCCAGGGGCCGTCGGCCTGCGACTAAGAGGGATTGAGCCAGTGAGATCTAGTTCCTCGGCTCGCCTTTATTTCTCCCGCGCACCTCTGCGGCAGCAATATATTTGGCTTCGAGACAGTCCACTTCCTTGTAAAACCTAAGATTGAAGCAGGTCATGAAGGACATGGAATCGCCGTAAGTCTGGTTCACGAAATTCAGCTCCTCCTCTGACAAGAAGTGCTCGGCCAGCTGTCTTGGCCCAGCCTCATAAGTGCCTACGTTGAGGTAGCCCAGCACCTGATCTCGACTGCGCCTCGCTGGTATTCCAGGATCCGCAAGCTCGTATCCGTCCATGCCTGGCTCATACTCCTCCATCTCATCCTCGCATAGACCATTTTCATCCAGATAATCCGCGTCCTCGTCATCCTCGTCATCACTGTCGAAACACAAGTCCTCCGCCAGGTCTTGTGCTTCAATACAATCGTCTTCGTTGTTAACATCAAGATCCATATGGGTCATGAAAATAGACGAGTTCCCATGGTCGCGGTTCATGTAGTACAGCTGTCGTGGTGTAAAAAGACGGTCAACAACAGGGGGCTTGCGGTGGTCCTCACGGGCCTCCCAGTATTCGTCCTCTTCGTGATACAGATCAGCAAAGGTGGAGGCAAGATGCTTCGCCCTAAGACAATCTTTCTCCATGTGCTCGTTGAGGCACAGATTCTCCATGAACGACGCAGAGTCGCCCCAGTGGTTGTTGACATAGTCGAGCTCTTCGGGAGCGAGGTAGAGACTAGCAGCCTGTCGTCTCTCCCTGTGCCGTACAAGTGTCTCCCGTGTCGGATCTATCTTGCTGGTATTGGACTTTTCGACGCCCAATGACCGACTATCGGGCTTTGCCGTGGAAACTCTTTCCTTCCGATACTCGCACTCAAGATACCTCTCCTGTTCACCTAAGGGCCAGTTGCTGCACATGTCTTCCATCATGACCTCATGCGACCAGACCCAGGGTATCCCTACCCGAGGGCCAACGGGGTAGCCACTGAGCTTTACAGAGTACATATGGGACGCTTGCCCGGGCCCAGAGTTGAGAAGAGCAGCCGTTTTGCCCTTTTTTCGACTTATAAGCTTGGCGGCAACTCTTGCAGTGGGCGCACAGACTTCGAGGTAGAAGTCGTCCGAAATCACGTTGCCAATGATATTGACGGCCCCCGCTGGCACATGGAGGACATTGCATAGCCGCAGGATACCGTGAGACCCTGGCCCCTTGGTTGTGAGCGAGGCTTTCACGGGGAGGCAGACCGTGCCGATGCCCACGACCTCGGACCGTTGCCCAAGACTACATGTATGGCTGGGGAAAGTGACGTAATCGTCACCGAACCATCTTCTGTCCCTCGCAATACTAGCTAGGTAGTCAGTATTCTGCTGCCCGTTTCATGTGTGGGACAAAGAAAGGGCTTCGGGGGCAAGAGTTGGAGCCGCGACGACAACTTACTGGACATTGGATAGAGTCGAAACTATCCAGTCTGGACAGGGGAGGGGATCCTCTTTGTCGATTTCAGCCATGTCTGCTGGGGAAAGAGATGTAGAAGTCGATCATTGTTTGGGCTTCCGCGCAAGTTTGATGGCCCTGGGCTATTATATGCATCATGAATGGTTCTTGGCATAGAATGGCGGTATGCGTGTTCCTCAATAGCAGATAGAGTATGTATCTAAAAGAGGTCAATGTTATGGTGGAGATAAGGAGCTGCTGTGCTTTCAATGTTGTTATTATTACTGGACGTTCAGCTACGTCTACCCCTGCCCGAGCTTGGGCGCCCGAGACATCCATCCAAAGGAATAAAGAAATTGGGTGAATAAATTTGTGCAATTATTCGCTACCCTGTATTAACCTGGCGAGGCGTTGCCGCCACGAGACAACAAACTTACATTCGCACGAGGAACTGAAAGTCTTGAAAGAAGTTGCTTGCAATGAATTTGTCGCTCTGTGTTCCAGGCTAGGTTAATAATGTATATTTTGTCTTTTATACTTTTGCATTGTCGTCATAATCTATGGCTTTGCCTCCAACTCCTATGGTATGAGATAAGTGTTCTTTTGCATCCAATCAATTCCTCCACTACTCGTAACTCCCGCTTCCACGCATTGGCCTGCACAGACGATGGTAGGTATAACAATAATGCGTTCTCTATTCTGACCCGTGTACCGCAGCCCTTGCCCTCCTCTTCTACCGCCTATTCTTCAGAAGACCCTGTAGATATGACGAGAACCCTTTCTTATCAGTGGATGTCGTCAATGATCGTAAAAACTCATCTCCATTAATACCCAGGGTGGGAAATAGCCCGTTTTGCAACTCCCGGATAAACACATCCCCTGTCTTTGTATAAATAGTTTGTTCGAGCCCGGCAATTTCGGTCAGCACCTGCCTTGTCTGAGCATCCTGCGCCGGACGGAAGCTGGGATTGCGCATGACTTCCCAGCAAACAGAGTGAAATCTATCAAGCATGAAGCGATCGAAGCCGGGGATTGCTGGTGCAGGGCCTGTAGTTGGTGCGACGGGGTTCTGCGAGATTGTGGCGACATCCGGTCCGCCCCATATGGCAGAGATTCGTGCCATAAGAGTGAATGCCAGCCGGCTGGGACCTATGTTGCCATCCAGAGTCTTGGCCAACTCGGTTATAGATGAAATCATCGGCTCAAAGAAGCCCTGGTTAGCTTCACTGATGAGCACGCCGTCTAAGCCATTGTTCAGGATAATTTGCAGGAAGGACAGATACTCGCGTCTCAGCTCGGCAAGTTGTATCTCATCGTCAGTACCTGAAATGGGCTCGGATAGCCCACCAAAGATCCGCTGCAGTAACGGGGTGAGTAGAACGTTGAGAACGTCATAAATTTCTGCCTTGAAACCAAATACCACCTGGTCAAGCAAACGCAGGAACATGGCCATCTCATCTTTGGATGAACTCTGCGAGAGTAGTCCCTCAATCCACTGGGGAAGCTGTGGAAGAACCGCGGAGCCAAGGACCCCAAGGAGTTTTGAGAAGGCTGATCGGCAAGCTGTGCGGATTTCGGCGGACGAGTTCAGCTGGTTGAGAGCAATCAAAATCGCTTCGGCGGCTCTGGAAAACTCGTCCGAGACAGCCTTGGCAGGCGGGGGATGGTGGCTGGTGGCGGCAGATCCAGGGCTCCAGTCTGAAAATCCATGCGCAAGCGTGCCAAGTGCCATCACAATGTGATGAATCTGAAGAACAGCCTGTGCATCACCAGACTTGGCTCGTGGGAGATGCACCTCCATGTCTTGGAAAAGGGGATCCATGACCGATCGTGCATACATAGCCTGTTTGTCAGCCGGGGTACTATGGGTCGAAGAGATACAGCCAATTGCCTCAAAGAGATACAGCTGGCTATTGAACAAGGCATCTGCAGAGTGGTCCGACTCGTCAGATGACATGTCGTCATCGGCATCCTCCCCGGGGACTTCCGCCTTGATCGGCAAAAGATCACCGATAGAATGGATAACAGTCTCGGCCACGTTTCCAACCTGGCTGCGTAGTTGCTTGACGAAACGGTGAAAGAGGTACCAGGATCGGGTCTTGATACGAACGTGATCGTGGTGAACCAGTCGCACGAAATTCTCCAAAACTTGTGGAATATAGTCTGGGTGGCTTTCAAAAACGATGCAATAGCGGACGCATATTTCCATATACTGCAGAAGAATCGCGGGATGAGAGAAGTTGGCAATACCTTAAGGGATGGAAGGATTAGAATGAGTCAAGGTTTCAGCAAAAGCAAAGAGGCATGAACTTACCAGACCCAACCATCTTTTGCATCATCACCACGAGCCTTTCAGACGCTTCTGTAGATGGCTGATTTTTCGTGCCCAGACCTTGGTTTGGCAACGCTAGCTCTCCGAACAAGTACATCTCGTATAGTGCTAGATCAAGATCTCTCCAGTCCATCTCGGACCCGCGCTGGTCCAAAGTCTGGAAAGTGCTGGCGACAAGGTTGCTGAGCATGTTCATATACAGCTGTTGGTCGATGGCCGCAATGGTCTTCTGCAGGTTTTGCAACTTCCTACGCAGTTCCTGAAACTCTGCCTCGTCCGTTTGCTCGTCCTCGTTTCCCCATGTGGAGGTTTCATCGTATCGCATTTTCCGAATGATGGCATCCAAAATCGGAGCCAACATGCTAGAGTAGTCCTGCGGTAACTGACCAAGCTTGCGAAGAAAGGTAAGAAGGTCCGTAAGAGCGGGAATGATGGTCGAACAAACTTCGTCGTATTCGTCAGAGAAGAGTCGTAGAAGGAATGGGAGGAAGCCATGAAGGTGCTGCTTAGCCCTCTCTCTTGACTCCTCACCAATATGATTATCATCAAGTGCCTTGACGATGTCTGACATGACGGTGTTGACGAGCTTTGCAACAGCCTCGGCAAGATCCGTATCGTACTTTGAGGTCCCCTTATGGGTGCTCAAGGGGGCGCTGGCAATGAGCTGTCCAACAATGTCCTGTAGGTTGAGAAATGAAACTAGCTCCATCTTGTCGGCCGAGCGCATCTTCTTGCCGCAAATCTCCGTCAAAGTGTCAATGGCTGCATCTCGAACCTTGTCCTCGCCTCCCCCACTCGTGGTGCGGCCGACAAGTGGCAGCAGCAGGTTGATCATGTCTTGGCTCACAACGAGAGAGATGTCCATCCAGCTTACCCACTTGCCAATAACTTTCAGCACTAACTCTATGACGGCGTCGTTGTCGCCATACTTGTTGAGTATTTGCTTCCAAGACTCGGCGACCTTGTGCACATCTTGGGCTCTCAGCTGATCCTTGAGCTCGGTGTTTCTCTTGGCATCGTTACTTTGCCTTGACAATAACATATCGGCAATTTCGTCGTGAATCGAGGACAGGATTCTCAGATAGAAGAGAACACCGCTAACGCTGTCCCGATTACTTTGGAGTCCTGTCAGCCCCCAAAAGTCGTCAAGAAAGCTTTGCCATCCATCCTGGTAAAGAAAGACGAAAAGATAGGTCAAGGTTTGCGTAAGCTTGTTCTGAAGTGACGCTGGGTCTGGCTCCTGCTGAGCATCGGGGCCGTAGCTCTGGCGGACGTATTGGAGAAGCGTATATTTCAAGTACGATAAGCTTTCGGCATCAAGTCCCTGTGTATGAACGGCATAGTTTACGACCTCGAGACAGACCATTCGGACCACCTCGGACGACCGCGGAGCTCGGGAGAAGAGATTCGTACATGCTTGCCAGCCTTGAGGGTCGGATCGCAGTTGATTGAGATACTCAAAGGCCTGTTCTTTCACGGATTGATTGGATGTGGGGTTCGATAAAATTTCGACAGCATTCTCGACCTGGAGACAGCTCGAAGAGGAGCTCATGGTCAGTAAAAAAGATGATGCAGGAAGAACAGCTTGGTATTTTGAGGGTCCTGAGTGATTGCGAACAACACATCATCCCTAAGCAGGTAGGAAGCAGACTCGACGATGTCGGAGGTCAAACAAGCCAAGTGGCGGGGCAGTTCGACATTAATGCAAAAAAAGTTGACGATGCGGGCAGACAGGTCAGTCACCTACCTGTGCCTCCATGATGGCAGCAGGGCGCAGTTCCCGCCTCTAAGGGCTAGGGACGATGGAGATTCTCTTGTTTGAGGGAGTGAACGCTGCTATAATTCGGGCAGCCTTTTGTACACAACATGCGGCATGCTTAGGAAGGTTGGGTGACAACAAGGCTACCGTGGAGTCATCTAGATGCCTGGGTCAAGCGAGGAGCAGTCGGGCGGCTGATCCAGCACGGACGTGAAGCACCGGGATACAAGCCGCAGACCGACGACGGGTGTATCACCAGATTCACCTCTCCAGAGTAACCAGACGGCCTTGAAGTCGATGTGTGCGGCTTTATCTGCTGTGCCCAAAAAGTCGATGCAATCCTCGCGTGCTGATGTGGGGTATATTTTGCCATCAACGGCAACGGAAGATATTCGGGCAAATCTGTGTGGCCGGAGTGTTGTGCGTACAAAAGGGCTACTGTGCAGCAGGTGGTAGATTGGCGTGCATTGCACAGTATCAAAAGACAAAACAGCAACACATCCGGTCTCTTGATTCCTAACCAGAAAAAAAAAGGTAAGAAATAAGAATATTAAAAAAACCAATTGATGCTTAAACCTCTGCCCGTTGCTATAGTGTGGTCACTCTTTGACAATATCGACGCATCAATACGTACCTACACATCCATCCCACTTTTACTCGACAATCATCTTATGTACAATTGTGTCAACGCATGAGTCATCAATTTGGCTTACCTTTTATAACAAGAAGTCGGGCCCATTTATCTAGAAGATTCGAATTAGAACTAGCCAGCAAACCTACCAGCTACGACCTTTCTGTTCCATTGAAAAGTGCCCTTTTCTATGTGTGATTACCTGTACAAAGGCTTCAATGCTTTAAATAGATTCAATCAAGGACAAGACCACTCATACGATCCATAGTTGCCAATCATGGCGCGTAGAAGCAAGAGCCGAATTTTACGACAGAATGCGCCTGGCGTCTCTGCGCCAAGTGATGACTACCGAATCAACTCGTTGGATAACGCATATGTTTCCGTATGAAACTAGGTCGTGGCAGATCATCGGTAGGAAGAATGAGAATGACGACGAAGCATCAGGGGAACAGCGTACAGTAAGGCTGACATAGCTCGAATCCAAAAAAGGTATGCTTCTGGAAGATACAGCCTCGGACAGACTCAGGTTACCGTATTGTGGTGATGAGAACTTGGCCTCCCACTATTCAACGCCACGGCACGAGTAGCTGATGTTTGGGACGTCGTCCGCGTTTCCTCCATCTTTCGTTGATAGCCCATCTTTCGCGCACATCAGACTCACCAGTAACCCTAGTTGAACCCGCCAGGCGTATATCGACGTGAAGCACGCATTATGGAAACCATCTGAACAGGAGAGTAGGCGTCGGCAATGCTGCAGCTTGCATCTCACGACAGACGCCGATGGTGGAACAAGGACCTGCGCCATGCGAGTTTGATGAGCCTGTTTACAGCTGTGCCTTGCGTTTCATGCTGAGAGTCATTGATATTCTTTCATTTATGCACCTTTAATGTGTGTACGGAGCGATCCGTAAATGGGATCAAGTTGATCAATTTGACAAGCTCGCCCCGCATCAGCTGCATTTCATTGTTGAGCCGTGGGACCGAGGAATGTAGAACCGGAATGTAGCCCGGTGACAATGCAAGGCCGATACTCTGCGTGGAGAAAAAAATGGAATTCGGACGCGACCAGCTTCATTGTTTATTTTGCCGAAATACCAACCATTACTTCTTAATTCGTAGGATCAAGATCACCAACTGTTGTGGGTGTCGAGGATTGTCCTGTGATATGGAGGCACATGTCTGGGCTCGCTTAGTAGCTCTTAACTTACGAATAAAATATGTAACATCGAACGCGAGGTTTGCTGCAACTCAGACCATCAAGATTCCTGCAAAGTCGACTTCTGATGGCGGGTATTCGCAATACACACAACACAGACTTTCTTCTACGTGCCCGATTGCGTCGCTGGAACATGCCCAAGAATGACCATGACATCTCCCCATCATTACTAAACCCAAAAACAACAAACAGCAGGTGGTTTTGGTGTGGCCCCTTCTGCGGAGATGTCTGACAGCACAATGCCCCTGTGTGGCCGTGAATCCTGTCGGCGGACTATCCTGAGATGCAATTCTCGAGCCAAGTTTGCGCGATAGCTTGGAGATTTGCAGAGATGAAGGGTTTTGAAATTATTAGCAGGTACGAGGTTAGAGCGAGCCGCCGACAGAGTGAGTAGCGGGTGATTTTCAAGATCTCGTGTTGAGCCCAAATGTTGGTTTCCATTTCACCCAAGTTGCAGCAATAGTCATGTCAGGAACCTGTCAAGAATTACCTCACGATTGGAGACCGGCAAGTGCTTAGTTGCTCCTTGGTGCCAAATGAAGTTTTGCTGAAACATCGTGACCCGGTCCTTAGCAGGAAAAGCCTGAGCGTCAGATGGTTTGCTTGTCCGTGGAAGCGGCCCTAGCCAATACCTTGACCACATCTGATAACCAAGTAACAGCGGCTTTCGATGCAACATTGAACAAGCAGAGTGCAGGTTCTGTGTATTCGGCTCGCAACTCAGACGAGAGGGTCCATGATTCTGGGCAACCACTCAGATCCGCACAGTTTGTTTCGACAAACAAGCGACCAGTGACCTCGCAGCCCCCGTGCCCCCCGTGGTTCTGTTTCCCGTTTCATGTCAATTGTTTCACGACAGAGCGTCCTGCTGTATGTAGTCATTGGCTCGCGGGCACGTCATCGGCAAGGGCGCCTCTTCGAGTTTGGACCGCCAACCTTCGTTGGTGCGACGAAAGCGGGTGACATGGGATCAGGGCGGCATGCACGAGGCTGAGCACCAAGGATCGGCATTCGAGATGGGACGAACTCGTGATGTTTGTTTCGTGGGAATAATGCGCCTTCGAGAGACATGATCCAAGGACTGTGTTCAGAGTCCCTTTGCCATGCATGTCTCGTCAGCCCGCCGAGAAACAGCAGACAGTGCAGTAACTCACTGCTCATTGATTCACTCCGTAGTACTGGGAAGCGCGAAGTAGTAAATACCGAGTGACCAGACTATGCATGTGCACATATTGACAGTGCAGTGGCGCGCCACAAGCCTGCATGTGCATGATACCTACTAAGTAGCATGCTCGCTAGAGTCATGTTGAGAAATCTCACTCATGCTCCTCTGCAGACTTGCCTGCGCCTCTGTTACATGCGCGGAAAGCTATCAAGATATAATATTGCTCTCCTTAATCCGTGCTGACAAGTTGGGGGCAATGTTCGGGGCACACGTGTCACACAAAAAATCAATGATGTGACGCCACACGACTTCGTACCGTGTGGCAACGGGGCCTTATTATTACAACTGGTAGTATTGTGACATTCAGCCCCAAGCCTACCCAATATCCCGTGCTCAATAAATCGTACTCGGTACCGCGATACTCCGTAGATGGCCAAAAATAGGCCTCCTTCCCGCATTGTACAGCAAAGCCTGCATATTATTACAGCGCCGTGCCGAGGGAATATTCGACTCCACGCGTGAGATTACCGACCAATGGAACCCACTAGCACTACGGCATTAAAGCACATCGCGGGTTGTCGTTCTCATTCCGGAATTGGGCCCGCGTAGCGAGGACTCCGCAGAATTGATATGCAAGGAGGGAGTGTTGGGCGGGAAAAGAGGAGATTGGAGAAGTGGCAAACTGGTCTAACTAGCAGTGAGGAAAACAAACATTGAAATGTCCAAACGCTGCAACGGCGAAACGACGGACGAGCACGGCCATGTTGACTGTTCAGTCCAGCGTTTTAAGTGGGTGGATGTAGATCGGTCTGTTCCTGCATTAGCGCAGAAGGAGGGGCGCAAATTTCTCTGCATGGGAAAGGAGTACTAGTACCAGTACTCCCTACTCCGTACACAGACGCGAGAGCTGGCAGCTCCTTCCTGCTTGGTCGGTTTTTGTGTGCGCGCGTAGAGCAAAAACCGACACGATGCGAGCACCGTCTGGTACTCCGTACTGTGCGCGATGCTGGCGTCTTCATCACACCTTCGTGTGAGATGTTATGTTACCAGACGCTTTATGCGCTTCATGGAGTAATTTTCTTCACCCAAAAATATCCTTGGCTGGGCAAGAAGCATTGAGCAGCCTGCAAAAATTAAGCTCAAATTCTTGATGAATAGACATGTCGACGAAAGTCTACTCCGTACCTGCGGGGGCCCTGCCATGCTCCTACCTTTCACCGCCGAGGACAACAAGTTTCATAGACTTGACCCCAGCGGCAGATAGGGCCATGCCACCGCTTTCGTGAGATCAACCACGATAACCTTTTGCCTAAGCTTCCCGCCAAAGAGAACTTTGAACTGGACACGCTCAGTCTCCTGGCTAACCTTAGACAAGATACAACACAAAACTGTGAGGGAACGAAAGACAATAGGTGAGACATGCAGCCGCTGCCGCCGAAATAGAGAAAAAGCAACAGCTCAACAAAAGCGTCCATTATGAACATGCACACGGAGTACATGTTAGTATGTTATGCCTTCTCCCCGTCTTGTCTACTCCGTAGCTCTCGTCGGAACCGGTTTGTGTCCAAAAATTAATCACTTTTGGGTCTAACTTTCTAATTTCACGCATTATTATCCGGCACCATCAAACACTGTGTTCCATACGTGGACGCGAACGACGACAGTGTACACAAACATACCTCGATTGGCCACCATGCTACTCCGTATCTAGAGGTTATAATGGCGGTCAAGCTGGCCCCGTCGCCACCCAGCAATGTACATATCGCTTTATTTTCTCTCCCCTTTTCCGTGGACTCAATTTCCCGGGTTTAGTGAAGAAGCACGGTCTAAAGCTTGGTCTCGGTCACACTCTTGTCCAAACAAGCATTGGGATGACACACTACACGACTAGGCGCAAAGATCCAACCGAGATTGGGTGAGACGTCTCTGAACTAACCGCCGATTCTGATGACAATAGAACCCTCCTCCCTGATGGGGTATCGTTCCATCAGCGACAAATGTCCAAGTTGGGCTCCCAGATGAAGATCTTGCCTGGAGCAGGTCGTCTTGGACTTGTGCAGGAACCGAGCCAGCCAGTTGCTGCGCTGACATTTGCCTTGCAACTATCGGCATTGATTAAGTAACAGTGCCACTCCATCACGCGTCCAGGCTCGTTTAGGGCACTCACTGGCTCATCTTTTCCGTTGACGGCGTGGATTCGACTGGGATGCAGCAAGGATTTGGAGGGTGATTGCAGCCGCGAGCGACCAACCAAGGCATGGAGGCACGCATGTACCCATCAGCGTCTGGAAGGCGGAGTACTCGTACATGGACCGGCGGCCTTCCCATGAATGCAAGTGGAGGCGTGGCGCGCTCCATCTTGACCTCCACCAAACGCATTGTGTGAGGCTGCTGCCAACCCCTGGATGGGATCCATGGAGACTGGTGCCGCGCAATTTCCCGGGGCAAGCAAGATTCGCCAGTGCAGAATGAATCCAGTTGGCCATGTAATTACTACTATGCTCTCCGAACGACTGGGGACTGTGAGTTGGGAGCTAGAAGAAACCAGGAGGGCGATGCGAGCGGGCCCTGGACCAAGGAGTTGCTCGTTGATCGACGTATTAATATGCTCCCCTCCTCCAGCCGAATATCAATTCCTTTTTTCTTTCTCCCCAGCCAGAAAAGCCACTTCTCTCAAAGCATCGCTTTTGACTCGTCTTGACTTCGGTCGTCCATTCTTTCAACGCTCTATCAAGCTCTCCGCTTTCCACGTCACTCTTTAATACCTATTTTCGTTCTTCACGAATTAATCCGCCAAGATGCGTTTCACTGCTGCTGCCGCTGCCCTTATGGCTGGTTCCGCCATCGCTGGCGATGTGTCCACCGACTACACCACCCAGTTGGTCACCATCACCGCCTGCCCTGAGAGCGTCACCGACTGCCCTGCTCGCTCTACCCAGGTCCAGACCTCCGTGGTTCCCTTGACCACGTCTACCGTCTACTCTACCAAGGTTCACACCATCACCTCGTGCGCTCCCCAGGTCACCAACTGCCCGGCTCACAGCACCATCGTCTCTACCGAGACCGTTGCTGTCTCCACCACGGTCTGCCCTGTCGGTCCTACCTCTGTGCCTGTGCCTGTTGTGCCTGTGCCTACTGTGCCTGGACACGGGAACAACAGCACCGGCGTCGTTGTTCCCCCTCCCGCCAGCTCGCACGTCGTGCCTCCTCCTGCCTCTTCTGGCCCTGCTACCCAGGGGCCTCCCCCCGCCGTCTCCACCAACTCCCCTGTGACCCAGGCTCCTGCTCCTCCCGCCTGCCCTGCTCCCTCGGTCACGGCCATCACCAAGAGCTACACCACCGTCTTGACTTCGGTCGAGTACTCTACCATTGAGGTCCCCTGCCCTCCCACTGGCACTGTTCCTCAGGGCACTGGCATTCCCCCTGTTCCCACCGGCCCCGCCAACCCTCCCTCTGGTGGCAACCCTCCCGCCGGCGGAAACGGCACGTAAGTGATGAGATGAATCTCCAAACTGAAATGGAAAGAGCGTTCAAAAGGCTAACATTGATATCCAGCACCCCCGGTGGCAACCCTCCCCCTGTCACTGCTGGCGCCGCTTCTTTCGCCGGCTCTGCCGTCTTCGCTGCCGTCGCCGGTATTGCCGCTTTCGTCCTTGCTTAAATCTTTTCTTTCGACTTTATAGGTTGAGGCCTGAAGGCTTACGGCATTATTTTACGACGGGCATTTTCGGATCTTTGTTGGACATGTACAGATTATAACTTAGATTCGCTGAATATCATTAGCATTTCTTTTTACGGCAACAAAACACGCGCAGGGTCATTTCATGTATTTAATCTTCTAATCGTATTGGGTGGGCGTACGGGGAGGGCATCTCCCAAGAGGAGAGGCGCTTCGCCTGGATGTCTTGCTTTTCTGAACTCAAACCTCTTTTCGATTCGATATGAATGTCAAAGAATATGAACAAGTTGTTTGTGCCGTGTGTGAATCTCTGACAGTCATGTCTCAATTCCAAACCCGGGCATGCAAGCCAAAGACAAAAGAAGGATCAGAGCGGAAGTGTGGCAGCATACCGAAACGCACCATTGTCGTTGTAGAACAATAGCATTGGTGCTCTAATTCAGTCTCATTTTGCGTGCAACGCCCCCAATGCCACAACAGGCTAGATCGCCTTGCTTCCTTGGTTATCAACCCAGTCAGGCGGAAATTACGACGATGCTCGTAGACAAGATTCTTCATCCCCTCCCCCCCTATTCGATTGGTCCTAGCGCCCAGCTGACAAGACAGCCGTTTGCGTCCGCCAATCACAGCGCACGCCTGTCCCGTTTGGGTAACTCCTGTCAGGGGAAACATCGGAGGAACCTGGCATGGTGCATCGCACCGGGATGATGCTGAGGGGACGGACAAACGCCTGTGTCCCTGTCCTCCGCAACAGATGATTTGGCTGCTGCGCCTCGCGTGGATGAAATTGCATGGATGAGGGGTTTTTGTCGACACGGCTTTTACTAGTATTGATTGCGGCACCGCGTCGGGTTTGGGGGCTACCATTTTGCTTTTCGTGCATGGCGTTCGTTGCTAGGTGGTAGTAGTAAGCTTATTTCACAGATTGCTCCTGTATTTCATTGACACATCAATTGATTCCATCGACTAGTACCAAGATTGCGTATCGTGTAAGGGTGGCGCGTGGTGCGTGCCATGTGCTGAGTGTAACGTGAAAGTGAGTGAGCACTGAGGAGGCGCTGGCTTGTTTGCTCGCTGGTCTGAGGGACTTTTTAAACTTCGTTGTAACATTGAAGCCCTTGCTTGGCCCTGTGGCACGTCTTTACGCGGTGAGAAGTACCTGTACATGGACAAGAAGTCCGTTTATTGTCGGTTATTATCACCCTTTTTTTCTTGTCCAGACTTGGGCTGTTTGTCATTTGCTCGGAATACATTGGCGTCGGCATGGAGAGGGACTCCTAGATGATCATGGCATTGGGGCAACGTGCCGTCTGAGCGTGGAGGAGCTGGACTCGACCTCGTCTACTCGTACTTAGTAGGTATGTAAATAGTTTTGCTTGTTTTTTTGTGTGTATTGGTTCTTCAGGGCAGAAGTCGTGCATTCGATGTTCCGTAGTTTCTGCCAAGGAGTAATCATCTCTCACGGGCCACCCTAGCCACAAGTAACAACATTCAATGTTGTGGCTGGACACGGCGCATCCAGTGCTGCAACGTTGTGACTGCGCGATGCGGAATCGGCCTGCACCGCTTCAGTCAAAAGACGCATGGCTGTTTGGAGTCGGCTTCAATGTTGGTTGAAGTTTTTTTTTTTTTTTTTTTTTTGGCAAATCTGTCAAAAGTCGAGGCCTCACACAACTGTGAGGTTTACTTTGGTAGATTTTCTGTTTTTCCTTTTCAACAGTTGACAACTATGCAGAAGCGACTTCCACCATCACCATCGGCATGCAAATTCAACTCCACTGTTGCCCAAAACCGCCATGCAACGATTTGAGAGGGACGCCACGCCAATTCCTAGAGCAGCACTATCAGATCTGCGCTGGGGGCACCTCAATAATATAGGGCTTGCAGGACTCTATCGAGTTTCTAAGACGCCAAGTATGGATTCTTCTCGACACTGGCTAAGAGCGAGGCTCCCATTATGTCAGACTTGAACTTCAGTCGTTGCAGTACTGAGTAGCTTTGCGACTGTATCCTTTCGAATCCTTACACCACTTGGTATTTCGTCTCAAGCCACGCGTGACAAGACGTTGATGTGTGCTCTGCCAGCGCAATATTCGCTGCCTTGTCCTATTATGACAGGATATTGTATGGCTTGCCAACACGATCACAGCAGTTGCCTGAACTATATATACACGTGTAGTCTCAAAAACTCGCTGCATCTGTTCGTTACCACAGTGGCGTCGGCCTAGCCATTTCGACGGTTGTAGCTCCAACAGACCAAATAATGACCTGAAGACTATGTGGCTCGCAGAAGCATTGCAGATGGACCACAATGTATAAGAATATCTGATTGAATCATACAGGAAGCTTGGAATGAGTCTCTCGGGTCGTGCCGAAAAAATATCAACCTAATTGTTAAAGTGCTTTCCGAATTGATGTTGAATTGAGTTTAGCTGGATGGAAGAGGACATGCCAGATTTGGCATGGGGCGATGGCTCATGCCGTAATATATCCCAAAACCTCGACGCAGACCGACTTGGTTCAAATGCATTCTATAGTTTTGTGTCCTTGTCAAAATAACAACATAGCCATACAAATAAGTTAGGTTCGACCGGTTCTGCCTGCACTTCCACGCGACAAAAGCACCTTATAAGGAGACAAACTTGGCAAAAGAGACAGGCTCAATTAAGATTACATATTTCCAAAATAAAGCTCTTATTTCTTACCCTCACGAATTCAACGCGTCACACGTCGTTTCCGGCACTTTGGTCGCTGGATTCATCTAACCCCACCTTCACCGAACGTAACAATACTGGTAGGCATGTAGGTAGGGAGATAGGTATTTAAATTAAGTTAAAAAAATCAAAGAACTGATTAATGTCTTTTAATAGCTATATATTATAACGTATACTCGTATTACTATATATAAAGCATCACGCATTGTTGAGATGTCTTTTAATATTCTCTATTGTTAGTACTTTATTATTTCACCTGGACCCACATATTCGCCCACGACATTGAGAACTCTCCCAGGCGAGGACAAAAGTCTGCCCCGCGTCAACCGCGACCATTGTCAAGCTCGCCGACTGTCATCACCGCCTCGACCAACTCGCCATACATTGGTGTTTCCCTACGTGCAGACACACCAGGCTCGTGCAGACTATTGCTTCTAGTACCTGCACGAAAGCTCTGCTCGCAAACATTCTCTTCCCAGATACCCAGGCGGTCTTCCTCCTCTCTGCCTACTAGACCGCTTTCCATCACCATGGAGGAGCAGCTCGTGCAGCTCCTCGCCAACATCCAGCTGCCGGACCAGGGGCCCCGACAACAAGCTGAGATCGAGCTCAGGCATGCCCGGACGAATCCTGTATTTCCCGTATCCTTGGCCAAGATTGCCTCTCATGCCTCGGTCAGCACCGGTGTCCGCCAGGCTGCCTTGACCTCTCTGAGGCAGTTTATCGAGGGCAACTGGGCTATTGGAGACCAGGACGACGAACCTATAATACCCATCGACGATGACACGAGAGCTATCCTGAGACAGTCCTTGCTTGATTTGGCGTTGAGCCAAGAGGAGGATCGAAAGGTGAAGATCTCGGCAAGGTACATTCATATGCCAATACACCCCTGCTCCCTACTACAGCTACCTTTTCACACCTCCGATTGAAAAGAACACGTTGGTAACTAAACGCTGGCACCACTAGTTACGCAGTCGGCAAGATTGCCATTCACGACTTCCCCGAGCAATGGCCCAACTTGCTGCCTACCGTTTTGAGTACGATTCCGTCCGGCACCGATGCTCAGCTCCACGGAGCTCTGAGAGTCCTCGGCGACCTCGTCGAGGAGAGCTTGAGCGAGGATCAATTTTTTTCCATGGCTCGTGATATTGCCAAGACCCTGACAGAAGTTGCCCTCAATGAGAACCGAAAGCCCATGCTCCGAGCCCTCGCCATTTCCGTCTTCCGATCCTGCTTCGATTTGATGAACATGGTCAAAGACGATCACTCTCAGGAAGTCAAGGCGTTTGCTGAAGAGTTGCTTGCCCAATGGAACCCGTTCTTTGTCAGTGTTCTCAAAAGCCGTCTACCAGAGGCTGATGTGAGCACGGGTACCCAGCCCGACAGCTGGAACCACATAGTTGCCCTCAAGCTGCAGGTCGTCAAGACTCTGCTTCGTATTCGCAGAGTCTTCCCCAACCTACTGCTTCCCCAGAGCACTACCTTCTTTAGCGCCGTTTGGGAGGAACTGAACCTTTTGCAGACACCACATGAAGAGCTCTACATCAAGACCAACGCCCAGGGCCGCCTCGAGGACTCTGATAACCTTCCATACACCTTGGACTTCCTGATCCTGGAAGAGCTCGACTTCCTCAACCAGTGCTTCCGCTCCCCTCCCGTCAAGGCGGAATTGGATGGCCACTTGCAAGCCCACGCTTCCGCCCAAGATGTGCCCTGGATGGTCGAGATTATGAGAATGCTGGTCAGCTACTCTCGGGTCACCCAAGAAGAGGAGGAACTGTGGGACATCGACTGCTCCTTGTACCTGGCCGAAGAGACGTCAGTTACGGCAAACTACACTGCTAGAACTGCTGCTGGTGACTTGCTGATCAAGATGGGAGAGTGGTTCAATGAGAAAGCCGTTGATGGCTTGTTTGGTTTTACAAAGTCGCTGTTTCCCGGCGACGGATCCTTGTGGAGAAGTCAGGAATCCGCCCTTTTCCTCTTTACGATGCTTCTGAGTGACTTCCAGGATCTTAGTAAGACTATCCCTGACGCTGTTGCTAGCGCCTATCTCGAATTGGTTGATTTCACCATTAACAAGCCTGATGAACCTCTGCTTCGCGCTCGTGGCTACCTCGTTGCCGGTATCATTGGCCGCTCCTTTCAAACTCCTCTCGCGCTCTTGGATCGCATGGTCCATGCCATCACAAATGAGGAGTCAGAAGTTGTCCAAGTCGCCTGTATCAAGGCTGTTGAAGGCTTGATTAACTCCGGTCGAGTAGGCGCCGATCGCCAGGTGCCCATCATTACCGCTATCCAATCCTACATGAACGAAAAGGACCCTGCTGAAATGGAAGAGGCAGACGAACTCCTTGTCGTCCTTGCTGAGACACTCCGTTCGACCATTAGTCTGGATACCAAGATTGCTCTTTCAAGTGACATTCAATCCACCGACCTGCTGTTCATGCTAGCCAAGCTTGGCGCCAGCAACTTCCAAGTCACGATGATAATTTCAGAGGCCTTTGAGGATATTGTTGCCAGCCTTTCAGACAGTGCTTCGTTCAGCGCTCTTTGCGCTCGTACTCTGCCTACGCTCACCGGTGCCTTTGATGTTGCTAGTGTGACTGAAGACAACCCTCTTGTCACAGTCGCCACTGAACTGCTTGTTGTTCTGGCCGAAAATGGTTCAGAGCCACTCCCTGCTGGGTTTGTGGCCACCATATTCCCCAAGTTGAACCGTCTCTTGATGGAGTCGGAGGAAGGCGAAGTCCTCCGACCCGGCTCTGAAATTGTCAAGTGGGTTCTCTCTCATGATCATCAGCAGGTTTTCAATTGGCAAGATGCAAATGGCCGATCAGGCCTCGAGGTCTGCTTGCACATCATTGACCGTCTACTTGGCCCTTCTATAGAGGATAACTCTGCATCCGAAGTAGGTGGACTGGCTGCAGAACTCGTTGAGAAGGCTGGTCAAGAACGTCTTGGTCCGTTTCTGCCTCAGCTTTTGCAGGCCGTCGCCAATCGACTTGCATCCGCTCAAGCTGCCGCTTTCATCCAGTCTTTGATCTTGGTCTTTGCACGGCTTTCTCTGAACGGCGCTCAAGATGTCGTCGAGTTCCTAAGCCAGATTCAGATCAATGGGGACAGCGGACTGCAGGTTGTTATGGCGAAGTGGCTCGAGAACTCAGTTAGCTTTGCAGGCTATGATGAAATCAGACAAAAGTGCGACGAGTGCTCACTCCACTTGATTTACTTGCTCATATCATGCTGACCTTTGTTTAGTGTCATTGCCCTTTCGAAGCTCTATGCACTTAACGACTCCCGCCTCGCCCAGATTCAAGTTAAGGGTGACTTGATTGTAGGCGCCGATGATGGCAAGATTAAGACTCGGTCACGCGCGAAACAGAGTATGTATCATGAGTCACGTCTTCGATCAATTTGTTCAGCTCGAGGAGTTTACTAACGGCACGGCCTGAACTAGACCCTGATCAATACACAATCGTCCCTGCTCCCCTAAAGATCGTCAAGGTCCTCATTGAAGAGCTTGCATCCGCTGCTGGTGCAGGTGCGGCTGCCAGCACTGCAGCTGCCGCCGTTGCTGCTGCCGAGTTTGACGAAGACAACGATGAAGACGGCTGGGAAGACGACGACGATACCCTTGACCTTAGCCTGGCTGCTACCAAGGCTGATCTCATGACCTTCATGGAAGGCGGCCCCCAGCGACGACCAGACGATGAGACTCACTCTTACCTGACGGAGTTCTTTGTCCGATGCGGCCGTGAGAACATTGCCAACTTCCAGGAGTGGTACAACATGCTTTCCGAAGACGAAAAGACCAGGCTTAACCTAGTTGCCAACTCTGCAGGCTAAGTTAGCAAGGAAGCTCTGTGATGAAGAAGAAAGATTAACGAAGAAAGATGATGACACGCTTGAGACGGTTGCATTTATCACGACTGCTGAAACGTATCACGACTTGCTTGTTTCTGCCTGCGTGGAATTGAATGATACAGTTGAAAATAAAATGGACAAGAGAGGATGAGAGCTGTTGGACTGCGTGTGTGAGAGACGACAAATTACATAGATGGCACAACTTGAGGACACACTCTTGAGATGAGAGAAAAGAATATAGTAATAAAACCACTGCTCTCCACAGTATCTGGCCGGTTACAAATTAATGGCAAAGTTCCGATTCTGTTTCATAAATCATAACAATCATTAATTATTCATCACGGTACTAATCGTATTTCAACCTAATCTTACAAGTCTTCCCAGTCTCGTAATACTTTGTGATCAAAGCATCGCCTGCGGGGAATCGCACACTATTCACTTCGTACCCCTCTTCTGGGGTTCATGTCAATCTCAGATGATGTGTCCTCCACCAAAGCCTCCAGATCCGCCAAAGCCTCCGGATCCGCCAAAGGGCCCGTTGCCTGGTCCTTGGCCTGGCCCGGGGAATCTCGGCGTGCCCCCTGGCCCCACGGGATCCCATCGCGCACCGGGGGGAGCTTGCGGATCGTAGCCCCCATAACCGCCGTTGCCGCCCTCGCCGGTAAACAAGGGATCGTCAAAGGTTGGATGCATCCCGCCGGGTGCTCCCGGGTGTGGCAGGCCACCCGGGACGAAGGAGCCTCGAAGAGGATCATGCGGCCCCAACCCGGGGGGGTTCAAGTCGTCGTGGCCGATGTTGAACGGGTGCCGGCCGCCAGGCATGGCTATCGGGTTCCCGCGGGGCGGCCGATTGATCTCGTATTCATCCTCGAACCCAGGAGGCGGGAAGTCGCCGACGGGAGCTCCAGGCCGGGGTCTGGCCATCGCGGGAAGGGGCCCAGGAGGGTGGTAGGGAATATTGGGCTCGACAGACGGCTCGAATGGACGCTGGGGGTTGCGCCTCTCCTGGCCGCGGCGTTCCGAACGAGCCGTCTCCTCGGCGTCTTCTGTCTCGACGTAGCCTTCGCTTTGAAGCTTTGGGATGAGCTTCTGGACGATTTTGACCTTGAGGTCATTCAGCAAATCTGCGGCAGACTCTTGTTAGCATGGCTGCACTGTGTACGCAATGGCGGCTCTAGGGGTAGCAGCGGTGAACCACCGTACCGGATATTGCCTGCCCTGAAACAAACACGTTGCGCAGCTTCTCGACCAAATCGGAGCGGTCTTCTTGCCCGTCGGTCATGGCTATGCGCACAGGGAGAGCCGCCGAGTTGACAATGTCGCGCACGGTGCGCTCGAATCGGTGGATGTTTTCGTCGCCAACGGCCAGGCCGCGGACTTCGACTTTGGCACCCATTCGGTCGATCCGGAACACAAAGTCCATGGAGGACTGTTTGTGTTTGTAGACGAAACTGAGGGAGCCGAAGCCAGAGTTCCATTTGGGCGGGAGGCGAGGCGCGAGGGACTCGCAGTCGGCTAGGCGCGTCGCAAAACCAGCTTGGTTAGTAGATGTTGACGGCGATGCTGGATGCTCTGGACTTACGTATTACTTTATCTTGGTCGAACCCGCGGAGTCGGAAACCAAGAGCGGCCAAGTATGCATGGACGAGCAAGGCGATGGCTTCATAGGAGCTCGCCAGGTCGGAGCTGTCGTCGGCTTGTTGGTGTGTTGGCAAGGCGTCGGCCATGCCCTGTAGCACGGCCGAGGTACCGAGCATCGATGCCATGGCGATGGTTGGCCGTCGAAGGGGTTTGATGAATGGTGACGGTAGAGAACTAGTAGGGGCGCTGTGTCACGTTGGAAGCTTGAAGCTGGAAGCTTGGGCTCGACTAGAAGAAGTGGGCAAAAAAGGCGGGTAAAGGCAAGCGCGGGGTCGATTCGCCAGCAGAAACCCCAGAGTGGCGTCATTGTCTCGCTGCCTTCAACAGTCCAGCCCTAAAAGTGGAGACCGATGCAGGATGCACCATGACACCTGCCCTAGGTACGTACCTAGTCAAGTACCACCTGCCATATCTAGGCGTGCAATTCGTATTTTTAGCAATTGACGGCAAAAGTCTCGCGAGACAGGTACTCAGTCTACATGTAATGAGCTGTCTTGTTATTGCATTAGGTGCGTGAGTGCACTGACTAGAAACTCCCTCGGCACATGTGCGTGCGGTAGATACATGGCTTGGTAGTACTACCGGCGTCTCCCTGTTCCCACCGAGTACGCCGTACATGATTGATTACAGGATGCGCATTTACAGTCTGGTTCGAATTGTAATGTTAGAGCTGCTCAAACAGGCATCCTTATTCCCTGGAGTCTACCGTACTATGACTGCGTATGTCTATTGTAACACATGCTGGGCCTCCTGTTTTCCCTGCACCTTTGAAGCTACTGAAGCTGCTACATTACCTTTGATTGAACAATATGCATAAGAACCAGGTATCTCGACATGAAGACATACCTAGGTAGTCGGAGCACGCATCCTGGTTTGGAAAGGCCACCCATCCACCCACATGCCCAAATGGGCGTGATATTTTAGAACCATTTTAGTCATGTGCGAATATCTACTTCTTTTGGTATTATTATGTAAACAGGTGATTATCAACGGCCACATTTTCGGATCATGTCTTTTCCTAAACCATCCAACAGACCGTGGTAGAGCCGCTGCCGCGACCACCGGCTCCTGAATCTATAGGGCCATACCTAGGTCTCATGGCATCACTTTGTTGTCGCTACTTATGCTGTCGTTAAGCGGCCGCTTTAGAGCTAACGGCCTGGGAGCCGACGGCGGCTTTGGAGCTGCTAGGTTGAGGCTTTGGAGGAGCTGATGAACTCGGCTTGGAACTTGACGGAGCCGGGAAGCTTGGCTTAGAGCTCCAAGCAGCCGATAAGCTCGGTTTAGAACTGTTAGGTTGCGCTGAACGAGGCTTTGAAGAAATGGGCTTAGAGCTTGAAGGAGCTGACGAGCTTCTCTTTGAGCTTGGTTGCGACGAGCTCGGTCTTGAAGAGCTAGGCTTGAGGCTCCTTGGTGGTGACGAGATTGGCTGTGATGAAACCGGTCTTGAAGAGCTGGGCTTAGAGCTTGGCTGTGACGAGCTAGGTTTTGAGCTGCTTGGCTGCGATGAGCTGGGCTTAGAGCTACTTAGCCGTGAAGATCTTGGCTTGGACGAGCTTGGTCTCGAAGAACTGGGTTTTGAAGAGGTAGGCCTCGAACTGATCTTGGAGCTACTTGGCTGTGAGGAGCTCGGCTGTGATGAACTTGGCCTAGAGCTTGATTTTAAAGAGCTAAGCTTGGAACTGCTTGGCCGCGATGAGCTAGGTTTCGATGAGCTGGGCTGTGATGAGCTGGGCTTCGACAAGCTCGGCCGTGAAGAGCTCAGCTGTGAGGACCTAGGTGTAGAGCTGAGTGGTTGCGACGAAACAGGCTTCGCAGAGCTGGGCCTCGAGCTTGGTTTCGATGAAGTTGGCTTTGCGATGCTACTAGGCCTTGACGAGGTCGGTCGTGATGACCTCGACGGCTTCGAGCTGAAAGGTTCAGAAGAGCTATGACGTGGTGTGCTTGAATGTGACGTCGCCTTTGAACTTCTGCTATGCTTGGCAGAGCTCCGGCGAGACGAGCTGTGTTTCAAGGTGCCGCGTTGAGAAGACTCATGCCTCGACCTGCTACTCGATTTCGATGTCGAATGCGGTGGAGTTGACTCATGGCGTGTAGTAGAATGATGTTCCGGGTGCGATGTGCGACTGTGCGTCGAGGTATGACGTCCCCTCGTAACGGTAATCGTAGTGCATTCAATTTCGTAAATGGTGATTGTGCCCTTGCAAGCGCGACACTCGGGCCCATGAGTCTCGACTGCAGGAGGCGGCCTAGTCTCAACAATAGTTATGGTAATGTACGGAACACTGGATGGCTGATAGCAGTATACGGTGCCCATGCAGCCTTCACACTCGGGATGATGAGTCGACCACCTGGTTGTACGCGCCTTCCACGGCCAGGGGTTCGTGTAATATGGCAACGTAATGGTCCTTAGGGATGGTACAACTTGAATTCCCTTTCTACCATGCCAACCACCGTTGCCATTTCCCTTGGGGTGGTCTTGTCCTTTACCGCTATCATGCTCGCGGTCGTTGTCTCCTTTATAATCACAGTGATCCCACTGGCCATTCTGATGTCTCTTGCTGTTTTGCCCATCCTGAGCGTCCCAGGCATCTTGAGCATCCTGACCACCCTGACTGGGTGCCTCTGCCAACACAGTTGGCCGTGATGGGCCAGGTGGCCCGACTGCCAAAGTAAAGTGTTGTTGTGCACAACTTTCGTCGCACACTCCAAGGTCACCTTGCGATATCACGCTGGCATGTTGACTGGCCACGTCAACTTGACTAGAGAGAGATGCCGTCGATAACAACACCACGAGAAATGCAACTGCCCTCTTGATGATCTTGCTGGAACCATGCGCCATGGTTTGTTTCTGTAGAAGTAACAAGAAGAATAGAATGGAGAGCAGAATCGGCTGTGCCTGGCCTCAGATGACTGACGTACAGGCTGATTACGATGTTGAAAATCGTCCCGTAAGCATGTCTAACACAATAACAGGGCCCTGCTGAACCTTTGGCAATATATACCGTGGCATGATCAATACGACACGGTAATACGTCAGACGGTGAAAGTAAAGAATGATTCTCGTAAAACGGCCTGGCCCTTTCTAGACCATTGTCTATGTAAATCTAGACTGGCCTCAAATGAGGCTGTCACGTCTACGGGCTTCATCGGGCACCCGGACTGTGAGCTGGGTGGTTTCCAACATGGCCGACTAGCCCTCGGTTAGGTTGGGCGAGGCTGGCAGCTAATGATCTATACGTTGAGACTATTTCCATCGAGTAGATATCATCTACCCAATATTTCGTCATTTTGAAAGAATGTGGCCCCCCACACGAGGTTGTGGTATTCCAGCCTCGCGGCGGCCTCTAGTTCAGAAGGCTACGCCTATCAACGGGCCAGACCACCTCATGAACAATGGCTCGTATATTGGTCAAAGCCAAAAAAAAAAAACGTGGCTAACGCGGTCAAGCATGAAGCTGCTGTGCTTGGCACCACGAAGCAACCATACTCTTGGACGGTGTGGGCAGCCATCAGCGGGCATTTATGGCTTGAATAAGGCCTGGGGCTATGATTCTTCAGCCGACTAAAATCCATTATGGTGGATTGGTGCTCACGGGAACGAGCTCTCGTTGAAGCTGCGTAGTATATGGGTATGGAAAATGACAAGATGAAGTCGTTGGTCGTCGGACGTTGGATTGTGAGGTGGGTCTAGATCTGGGACAGATGACGCTATTCCTAATCTGGCAGAGGATCCACCGCAGCTTGAGCCAGATGGTGAAATTTGGAGGCATACATTTCGTCTCATGTTGTTTCTGGCGCAATAGGATTGTAATTATGACGAGATTCGTGTACTCAATGATTTTCCCTCGTTGGAAATGTGGCTTCTCTGTTTCGTAAATAAAAAAATTCGGCGCAAGGCTGAAGCAGATGCCATTACATGGCGTAGTTGGAAAGTTTCTTGATGCTCCAAGCAAACAACTGCAGGACCAACCCGGCAGGCTCTCGCACGACTTGCATCTTTGTTCGTGTTGCCATGTTCCAAATGCTCTCTTTAAGTGTCCATTGTCCAGACTCTACGTCGACGCCCGGCTCGGCTGGTCCCTCTCCCTAGCGGAGAATTAATGGCATCGGGATCGGCAGCGCCTTCGGTAACTTGCCAAAGCTTGAATGTAACCCGTCAATCGGCCCCGTCGCCACAGCTGTCACGGAAACGTCTGGACCAAAACAACGCAGCGGCCTGCTTCCTGCTTCCATTGTGGGGCCGTGTACTCCGTACTCGGACCCGACCGTCCTGCACTACAATGGCTCGGCATGGCTGAAGCCCTTGACACGAATCGACGTGACTGGCAATCACTAATACGAGAAATGCCATGCTGGCGAGTCCGTCACATTCATTGCCTTTCCGCCGCCATCCCAACCAGCCCGAACCAGGCGCCTTCCGTGGCTGCTCCATTCCATCACGTGAACGCGCTACTTGAGCAGGGAAAACGAGTCCACCGTCCCTCGACCCGTCCATCTCCCAGATGCTCGCAGTTCCTGGCTGACAAGGCTGACCGGGCCATCGAGGCCATCGAGCCGCATTCCTTCGTATTCTTCCGTGGTTTCGCCAATGTCTCGCGCTGCTCATCCACATCCCCAGCCAAGCGCTAGCCCAGCTGCCACGGACGCCTCGCTTTCGCCGTCCCAGGCCTCAACCCTCCTCGCCTCCTTCACCAACTTCCTCACCGTTGCGCTGCACTCCATCCTCTACCACCGCCAGCTCTACCCGCCGGCTACCTTTCTCACAGCCCGCGCCTACAACCTGCCCGTCCACCAGTCTCGACACCCCGGCGTCTGCGCCTGGCTCCGGGACGCCGTCGCCGCCGTCGCCGCACAGGTCCGCGCCGGCTCTGCGCGCCACGTCGCCCTCGTCATCCACGCACCCGCCAGCTTCGACGTCGTCGAGCGCTGGATATTCGACCTGCACTCGTTCCCTGCCGCCTGGGGAGACGAGGACGCTCCGCTCACCCATTTCAACAATGCCAGCCGCCATCCCCCAGCGCCTGATGCACCCGTCAACTGGACCGATGTGAACGAGGCGCTGCGAGGGGCCTTGAGCAGGATCTCTCAAGTCGCCCAGAGCAGACCGCATCTCCCCGAGGCCTGTACGTTTACCATAGGAATCGAACTGCGTGACGAGGCTCTGCCACCAATTCAGGCAAGTCACCCCCCCTTTTTTCTCTTTCGTATCGATTCCACCGGGCTGTTGTTTGATTCTTCACACGATGCGCCTCTAGCCGTCCATTGGACTCTACTAACAATAGTTCTGAACCACTAGCACCCACAGCTTTGGATTCCCGCACAAACTGAACCCCAAATACCATCCGAGACCAGGCTGGAACCAGGCCGGGCCGTCAGAGGGACGGCCACCGCGCCGATTCGCTCTGTTCAAGCAGGGCCCTTGTACTTTGAATGCTGGGTTGAGCAGGGAAAGCTCCCGCCCGGCACTACCTCTCCCAAGGCACCCTCGCCCTCATTCTCGCCTACATTTGACAGCAGTGGAGGTTCCCCAGACGCCACGACGTCTTGAAGTTTGTAATTCCTCTTCTCGTCATAGTAATTCATGATGCCTCGAGAATTTTACATGGGTCAAGAGAAGAGCCCTTTGATACAGAAACAGCCTTTTATTTACGCTCATATTCTTTCCGTGGACGCGTCATCCCGTTTGCCCTTCCATCGTGCGCCGCTCCGGTGAATAATCATGGTAGTATACACAAACCTCATGCCGCTTTACATCACAGTCCACACATGATGCCAGTCTTGGACATGAATTCTCCCCCGATAAGCCTCTCCTCTTCACGCCGTCCTGCGCCCGGCAAAGCCAAGAATACGCCCGAGGCGCAAAAATACTTAGTCTGCTCCTCGCAGCATGGTTTTCAGGCTCACCATTTCCCTCTTGAGGCGAGCATTCTCCTTCTTCGCCCTCGCCGTCTCCTCCCCTTGCTCCTTCAGCTTGGCCACCAACTCCTCCTTGTCATCCCTGCCTTTGCCTCTCACAGCCTTGATAATTTTGCCCAACTCCCCGTTAAACTTTTCGTAGAGTAATTCATTTTCCGCCACTACCTCTTTATGAAGCTGGTCGATGGCGCGGACTTTGGCCTCTGTACTCTTCATCGTAGTATCTAGTTCCTTCTGCGTCGTGGCCTGCTGTTCACGCAACTCTCTCATCATGACGCCGATCCGATCCTCTAGTTCTTTGAGCGAGGCAGTGAACCCAGACATGTCCGTCTGGGAATTGGGTGACCGAGCTTTGTTCACCCGAGCCATTTCGTCCCCAATCTTGGACAGCTCGCTCTTGAGCGAGGAATCAACCTCCTGGGCGAATTGCTTCTCAGATTGAAGCCGCTCTCTGAGCTTTTGCGGCGAGTGGAGCCGGAGGCGTTGAGCATTAGATCGCGTCGGACTCACGGGGCGAGTTGGGTAGTCGGCACCAGACGCCAGCTTGCTAGGCCGAAGTGTAGGGATGCTTGATACCGACAGGGCTTTGGAGTGTCGGTAAATCCTGGATGGGGTTTCCGGTGATTTGGAAGAATTACCACCGGAGTGTTCGGATACGTGGCTGACGATCTTTTTAGAGGAATCAGCGAGGTTTTCTTTTTCCTTTTGCCTCGAGGCGCGTAAGGCTTCAGCCGCGCTGGGACTGACGGGGATCTTGGAAAGGGGTGCTGATTTGGGGCTGATGGGGTTGTTATTCATCTTGCCAGATGTTTGCTTCGTGCTTTGCAATGGCTGGAATGGCTGTTCGTCTAGTGTTGCGGCGGCCATGAGACTCTTGAGGTCTGACAGCGAGCTTCGTCTCTTCTTTTTCGGGTTCTTCGTATTTGAGACTATTCTCTCCGTAGGGGATGGCTCGCCGATGGTGTCGAGTGGGAAATCATAACGGCGCGAGCTCGTTGGGCGCTGTGGTGTCTCATCGAATGCACCTGCGATGGGGGGTCTGTCTCGGGACATGCCACGCCGGTGCAGTTGCTTCGGTAGGCTGTTGTCATCTATTGAATGTGCTCTGTACAGCTTGCCGTGTGCGCCGCGTGATAAGCTGGATGTATCGCCCGTAGCGGGATTCCTGTGCTTGCTCAAGGTTCGCCATACCGATGGTCGCTCATCCTGTGAATTCTGTCGAAGAAGGGCGTTGAGTCCAAACTTGCGACGAAGTGACGACGCATTGGATGTGATTGAGCCAGTGTGAGCCTTGCCTTGTCGGTAGCCAGACACAAGAGACTCGGAAACAAAAGAACCAAGAATAAAGCTCTGATGTGCACTTTGGTCTTCAGATATCTTATCGCAGTCTTCGACGAGTCGATCTAGTAAATTAATGTAGTTGTGAGCCTCGCCATCAGTGACGAGAAGCTCAGCAAATGCCAAAGTCAATGCGCCCCTGTCGCTGTCGTTCCCACAGCCGTCCAACAGGTCAGCCAGCAGCTTGATCACGGTGATGAAGGCTCGTCGATTTTGCGGTGCCATATCCCGGAAAAGATAATTCACAAAGTCGGCAAAATTCCCAGGGACCCTCTTGTTAGCTCTTTCAAGTAAAGTATCCATTGCTTGCATGGTCATGACAGGGCCCATCTGGTCTGCCCACGCAATATGCAGAAATTTCTCGAATGCAACGAATACGACTTCCGTGCCTATATCGGAGGCGACGTCGTATTCAAAAGGAGTTTCAATGAATCTGTTGTATATATCATTCACCGACAACTCATCGACAAGCGATCGATTTAGTAATGTACGACCAATTATGGTGCCCTTTCGAGACTGAAGAGCCGCGGTAAAGCCAGTAAATGTTTGCTCTAGTCTGAGCAGGGGATTCGCTGGTCGCCCATCAGCGGTGTCGGGGCGGCTGTCCTTGCCTTTGATCGAACCAAACATGGAGTGAATGCTATTCGCTCGATGAAGTGATGGCTGCTGCTGGGATTTCACGCCAGATACAACAACATCTGGAGAGTTGCTTGCGCTTCCATTCCAGAGGCTGGAAAGAAGCTTTACAGGTGATGCTGCAAGGAAGGATCGGCCTTTCTCAGTCCTTGTGGAGAAATTCAATCCTCGTATTGTCTTGGTATAATAGGATACCATAGAAGCAGTCAAGTGGGTATTGCTAACATTGAATTGGGTGCTAAGTAGCTGGATGACTGCGATAGATGGGTTAGTATGTTTCCAATACCCCCTTGACAAGAAGTACTTACTGCGACGAGACATGGTAGGGAGCAAGTCCTCCAAGTCGATGTCATCTTCAAATTGCTTCCCATTGAGACCAGCAGTGAGCATCGAAACCCGCTTGAGGTTGTTGCTGGACACATTGATCACTATCTCGACTCCGTAGTGGCCGGGCGGCGCTCCTTTTGTGCCTTTCTCGTGATCTACCACCACACGAATCGCGGCCGGTTCTCTTCGACCCTCGACTAGTTGATGGGCGCCTTCTTGAAAGACAGCCACATGCAGTCCCAGGTTATTATCCTGCATACGAACTGATCGGAGCGTCCAACAAGGGTTCTCTCGTTCAGTTTCTGAGAACCGTGCCTCAACTCGCGCCTTGACTACATCTTCGCCCCATTTGGTAGCCTTGCCTTCGAAAGCCTCCTGAAGCAGGAAGCACCGAGATGTGGGCGCCTTACTAATCTTGTATTCTCCGGTATGTGCGTCCTTCATATCTCTTGTCGACGTCATCCACACTAACGAGCCATCTTCCGACTCAGTAAACCGCACGTCCGCAAGGCTATGCCAGCCCGTAAATGCGAATTCATACGACGCCGGACCGCCGGCAGCATTCGTCATCGAAATAAGTAGCTCTGCAGCAGATGGCTTATCGATTTCCCGGAGCAAATCACGCCCTGTCATTGTGAACCCAATCTTTCTTAGTATAATAATGCAGTCTGCGAATAGTAGGAAAATGCCAGAGCTGTCCAAGTCGCTCGTTCCACCTTGGAATGGAGGCATAAGTTCAATGAAGTCGGCCGCAACTATAAGTCGACCGTGCGGCTCTAAATCCCTTGGCCACGATTCAACCATATTTCGAAGTCTGTTGGCAACGTGAGGCTGGTCCGGCAACGGGTCGTCCATGGAACAAATACTAGTAATAATATCTCTGGCCTTCAGCATGGGCTGAAGCGCGGGATGGGTCATTGGCAGAGAGCCAACTATTTGATCAATAAGGAGGCTGTATCGAGGCAATCGCTGAACGGGTTCAATAAGAATAGACCTGACAGTCTGTTCGCCAGTTTGGTTTACCCTTTGCCTAAAGCTGGACTGTTGGTCAAGAAAAGAGTTGAGCAATATAGGAAAGTGCTGGCTAGCCTTGATGTAATCCTGATAGCTCTGGGTAAACTTTGGAAACCATTCATGAAATAATCTAGCCATGCTCAAGGCTCCACTGGGATCTTTTGCTCGAGCTGAACCTGAACTCTTCATGCTGCCCAAAGTCGATGCAGCTTGGTCCATGTCTCTGAGAGCCCCATCCTCGGTTTCATCCATAATCTTGCGAAGCTGGTCCACGAAGGCAGAATTCAGCTGTAGTATCTGATCTGCCGATTGGGGAAAGAGTCTTTCCAATTCTTCTTCTGAAGGACTGAGACTTCCCTCTGGTCTTGCCCTGGCACTTTCCCGGAAATCCTTGGCAATAGTATTTACCAGTTCACGAAGCTTCATGACATATCTTTCCTCCGTGTCGACCAGCTCAGCTAGCTTCATGCGGAGCTCATATTTTTGGTCCTGGGTGAACAATCTCCCTCGGTTTAATGATGTGGGTTTCGATGGCGCGCGTCGTAGCCTATTTGTTGGTAAAAACACCGGCTCGCCGAACAACTTGACAAGAGATGTATATCCGCCATACTGTCTCAGCGTCGGGTCTAATATGTCGTCTTCGTCGTCTGGCACGTCTTCCAAGTCGGCAGGTTGCAGAGGCACAATCGCGCCTGGCGGGAGAACAAAATCGAGATCCACGTTATTGATATGCTGCGTCTGAAGCGCATCCTGCAGCGAGGCAATCACTTCGGCCGCGTTGTCACTTTTGACCATGGATGCGACCAAAGCGGCAGCATGTTGTTCGCCAAAGAGAGCCGAGGCGGTACCGGGGCGCTTCCCCCTGGTCGGATATAAATTCTTGAGATAGCCTTTGACTCCATCGGGGAGCTCTGAGAAGTATTTGAACAGGCCAAAGGCCAACCCACGGAATACCTCGTCGACCTGAATCTCTCGGGGTAGATGATCGACGACTCCGTAAAAGGGCGAGCTCGGGGAGATGGTGATTCGAGGAAACGACTGAAACCCCGCAGACGACAGGATGTGTATTTGGACGCGAGAGGTGTTGAGGGTGTAGTTGGCTGTCGTCGAAGGCCCGTGGAATATGAGGACGGGGAGGTGGCCGAGCAGCGGATCAGAGGCATAATACAGAGAAAGGGCGTCTGGCGAGAGCGCCAGGTCGTCCGTCACACGAACCATGGTCTGGTCAATGGGCCACACTCATGGCCGTCGCCTTGGCTGGCCGTCGGATGGTGTCTTGCGGCAGTGCACAAGTATTTGATCGTCGAAGGCACCGGCAGGGAAAAGCGATGGTCAGCGGGGTGATGAGCCAGACTCGTCTCAATGAAGAGGACTCGGAGACAACAGATGCGCAGCAGCGGGACTAGCGGGCCGTAGACATGGGGAGACGGCGCGTGGAACCAGGTACAGGCTTGAGAAAGCACTTTGAGTATGCGAAGCTGATGCAGGTCGCCTCGTGTAGCCAACCCCAAGTGCGTATCTGCCACGATAGGCCTCCAATGCCGGGGTGTTGCGTAAATGAGTAAAGCAAAACACAATAAGGAGTAAATGAAAAGCATCAAATAGAAACCATGCATATGGTATACATTGAGCAAGGAATGGGCAAACCGTGAAATACCACGCCCAGTGCCGATATCTGCGACAGATTCATGCAGAGTTGATGACCCAAGCGGCCAACAACCTGAGTGTCAGCCGGCCAGCAGCAGGAGCGATCATGGGATTGGTCCTTCCGTCTTGCGACAGACGCGGTTGACGCGTGGAGCCTAAAAATATGGATCGATGGTAAACAATGACATCTGAGGAACCCGATGAAACTCTGCCGCCCCTCATCAGCCGCTGGTCCATGGCGGCCACCATGAGCCGAGAGTGGGGCTGCGAGCTACCAGCCGTCGTCAGATGTTGCTCACTCATTTCACCTCACCTCGCCTCGCCACCAGAGCATGCCTGGGCGATATACGGAGTACCGGTACGTAGAATTGCTCAGATGAACGGCATGATATAGCCCACCTACCAAGGTTGTATCATAATGGTGCTCTCGAAGCCCTCTACAATTATGGAGGCATATTCCTAGGTGTTCTGTACACCTCGTCGCTCGTGGTCATGGATCTTGCATATCATCGTATTATTATGACGTTCGCGCCTCCATCTAACATGAGCATCAACCAGGCATCGTCGTCTTCACCACATATATCGCAATGTCTAGCCAGAGTCAGGGCATAAAACTGATACACAACCCGGACAGCTCAGGATACCGCCTCCTTGAGCTTCCGCCCGATCTAGCCAACCTGCTCGAATCCGATACAGCACCGGTGTCAGTCTCATCCTCGGAACGCGCTCGCACGTTTGCCTCTAACCACTTCCTCATAGTCTCACGCTCGAATCCTCAGACAGCTCAACTGTACTTCGCACACCGAGTAAGACATACAACCTCCGCCAGAAGAACACGTCCAACGGCCTATATCTTTTGGCACCACATTCTCCTTCGGATTTGCCCGACCAAGAACTTGCTGTTATATCCATCATTCACGAGACGGTGGAGCTTGATGTTGTTCCTGAAATGCCTGTGAGACGGGATAAGCTTGCGGACACGGGAAGCAGAGGCAAGTGGCATGAAATGTTTGGAAAGGGGCGGTGATTGCGAATTGCGAGAGGACTGCGAGAGGGAAAAAACGTCGTGCTGTTGCGCAGGCTGGCAGGGGCTTGCGCTGAATTTTGTTTGAACCACAGGAGCTGTAGCCGGATTGCATTAAATATAACACTAATAACTATATTTTTACAAATAAGCCTTAATTCGATTCGTGGGTATATGGGTCGAGGATCCAGTGGTTCCTTTGGAGCAGTTCTACACGTTCCAACATGTCTCCATCTGGACCAATTTCAGTGATGTTCAATAGTCAAGCCAGCATCGTCGCCAGCGTCATCCTCGTCATCCCCAACTGGGAAGAAACTCGATGTATGATGGTGCTCTTCTTCATGTTCTTCCTCATACCCTTCTGGAAGAAACCCGCCGGCCATGTCCTCATGTTGAGTTGCAACCGCAGCAGCATGTGCATGGGGTTTCGAGGCAACATCTTTACTGTGCCCGAAGACTGACACATTCTCATCGACCTCGCCGTACTCCTGTCGTATCCTCTCGACGATTCGCAGCCCCATGATGAATTTCCGCCACTGCCCTAAAGCAGCCTTGCGCCGTTTCTCATCCTCCTTTCTCCTGCGCTCTGCCTCGTCCTTTTCAAGCTCAGCCATGACTTCGTCGTGATACTCCTCTGCAATAACAACGCCTTGAATAACAGGAACAGCCATTCGATGTCCAAACTCAAAGTCGACAACAGCCTCTGCATAGTCAATCTTGAGTCGTTTGCATACCTTCATCGCGCCTCTGAATGGAACATGCGCGGCGCCTTCGGGTAACATGTGCTCGACGAAGAGATCGATATTCCTGGAAATTGGTTAGCACAAACGTATCCGGAGTGTTGCAAATGATTATAACCTACCCGTATTCGTTTTTCGGAATAATGCCGTCCTTGATAGGAGGTGGAATAATCCAATCCGTCTGCTCATAACTATACAGCCCTTGCAAAACCTTTTTCCCAGTGGCAGCCTCGGCCTCGAGAATTTCTCTCCGTCGATTGGTTGTTGCTGCGCGGTATGGAACTCGCTTCAGCGGCTGCTCTCCCGCAAGAGGAGCGCGCCCCTGTTTGTGCCAAGTCTCTGCACTCTTGACCTGAAGAACATCTGATCGCAGGTAAACATCTTCCTCCTCTGCTTTGCCCCCCTTGGCCTTGTTCTTGAATTTTTTCACGGGCACAGCACCTCGTTTCAAAGCCTCTTCCCGCTTCAAATGTCTCTCAAGGACGAATTCTTTCGATTGTTTGTAATACTGAAGAGTCTCTTCACCTTCTTTTACCTCCTTCTTTTCTGGCCTTGCCGGCTTCAAGTCGTTTGAATCTTCATCGTCATCTATTTCGGTGATTGGATGAGCTTTTGTTCCTCTCCTGTATCCCGACATGGCAGACTTGAACCAGTCAAACTCTTCGTAACGCTTCACTTTTCCATGGCGGTTGTAAATTGGCACCTTTTCTATCGGCATTCGCACGCCCTTTGTCCTGCCAGGAACCACTTGCCTTTTCAGGTACCTGACCGTCACGTCCTTTGCCGTCCCATCAGGAGAGTATCCGACAATATAAGCTGTGACCTGCCGAGCTTTCTCTGCCTTTTGACCCCGGGGCTCAAACGCTTCGGTGATTTCTCGATTCGTTGCGATGAGGCTCTTCACAATTGGGTCCACGGACAGGTATTTGTTCGTTACTGGAGACAGAACCTCTGCCCAGTAATGGGGGTATTCCAAATCTGGATCAAATTTGCTAACGGGTGTTTTGGACTTTTTTGGGGTTACCTGCATTGCCACAACCGATTCATCGTCTGTGTCAGTATACTCTCGTTGCAAATCATCCATTTCGTGTGAGGCGGTCTCGACAGCGGCGGCAGCACGGGTTGATTTCTGTCGCTTCGAACGAGTTGCTGCAGATTTGTCTTTTGTTTTGTTCGGTTTCTTTACGCTGTTTTCGGCCGTGGTCTTTGCAAGTTTTGCAGCTTTCATATCCAGCTCTGCCAGCTCAGGCTCTAATTCCGCGTCCTCCAAGCGGTTCCAGCCAAAGCCCAAGGGTTGTATGCTGGCAACCATTCTGGCCTCGAGCCCAAGACCTCGCAGTAGCCCAGTGAATAACTGCGCTCCGACATCCCTGCTTCCTTCGCATTTCATCGCACACTGCCGAAACTCATCTAGGCTTGCTATTCTTTCTCCAAAGCGATTGCAGTCAGCATATTCATCCTTGTACGCCTTTGTTAACCTGTCCAGCCTCTCCAATGCCATATAGCCCCATTTCCGTAGCCCAGGAGCTGTAATCTTGAATCGCTGTTTCCACCAAGAAGTCAAGGATTGCATTAATCTGAACAGAGGATCGCCATGGCTCATATCAACGGCTCCTTCTTCTAGTCTTCTTGCGGCATTTCCCCAATCACGGGATTCCCGCTCTTTTCTTTTGAGTTTTGCGCTATTCTTGGCTCTGCCGGTTGAGGACCCTGCTTTAGCAGGTTGTTTGGTGAGGCCCGAGTTTTGCCTCCAACGTTCTACCTCATCCCACATCTTAGGCGGCAGATGAGAAATCATTATTCCCTGTACTTCAGGATCACATAACCACGAATTTCGTACAGCATTGTGCCAGAGGAGGGAAAGAACATGAAGACAATGTGTGGCATTCCGCACTTTTCGCTCACGTTTTGATGGCCCTTTCTTGCCCCCAAAGACGTTTGTCAGTGACAGTCTGGTGTCTTTATTCAAGGTTAGCTCAAGGTCTCCGGATACAACTGGAACGGTGGAATTGGATGGAGCCGGAGCCTCGACATCTTCGAATTCGAAGTCTTCGTCATCGTCATCGTCATCGGAGACATTTGGATTGACCTTGGGTCGCTTTGCAAGGGGCACATCCTCGAAATCCTCGTCGGAAAATGAAGATAAAGAGCTATCGGAATCATCGCCAAAACTCTGCAATAGGGATTCAGAGGTCTTGGCCGAAGCCGGCGTCGCGGCCGCATCCAGGTCATCGTACAGCGTAAACTTTCGCTTGCTGGGCGTGGCCGTTTGCTTTGCGCCCGCTCCAGATTTGAACTCCTCTCTACCAGGTGACCCACGCAATCGCTTGCGAGGAACATGAGGAGGCATTTCGATGCGCGTTTCCAAAGAAATGCATTCTGAGGTCGGGAAGTGAGGATGAGGGATGCGGATTTACGATATCACACGAAGCAGATGCATTCCGTCATTCCGTCATTCCGTCATGGTTCGCGCTAAATCACGAGAACACGTGATACACTTAAGCTTGCGCAGACAATGTGCCAGGCATTGTCATCATTTCGTCGGCCATATCAGATATTCTAATAATGTACTATCCTGTGGTAAATAGCATGTACGAACTAGCTCTGGGTATCGCTCCTCTTCAAACCCTCCCGCAGCATCATGTCATTTCACCAAATGTTCCTCACATTTCTATCAAGTCCGCCGGTGCTCCAACTCCCCTCAACAAAATAACAGTGTTCCCGCTCTGCAATGCCGCTCCAATCTTTTCGCCGTAATCTAGGATTCTCCCTCCTTCCACATGAAATACACGCAATTTATCCTTCTCTTCGGAGCTCTGGTTGTTGACATTTTGGACTTGTAAACCAGTCGCAGCCTGGTCTAGTAGGCGGCCAACAACCCAGTCCTTGGAGAAGAAGAAATCGCCCTTGGGCAGTTTGGCCTTGGCAGTTTCTGCCTCAGCCTCAACATACAGATAGATGCGCTTCTCCTCTGCGACTTTCTTGTCGCCCTTGGCGGTCTCCTTGAGCTTCTTTGTGGCCACTATTCGAGCAGCAGCAGAGCTAGGTTTCGGTTTCGGCAGCGCTCTCCCCGCCTGTTCCTTCTTGGCCGATCCCCAAGCCCTCAGCCTGTCAAGTGCTGATCGAGTCTTTTGCGCGACATCGATTTGCATAGGTCGGGCTCCAATAGGCACCAAGTTCTTGCAGTTGTGGTCCTCCTTTAATCGATGCTTCAAGCAGTAATCGCGATTGCATGAATCGCAGTGCACTCCGGGCGTCAGAGACGTTCCGACAACAGTCTTGCATTCTGGCGACGAGCAAGGCTTTTCCGATACCTTGTCACGTAGAGTCCTCCCTTGGCCAATGGAAGGCTTGGCCAAGCTGGCCTGTCTCTTCCGCTCTGCCCATGCTCCGGGGTTCGCGCATTTGTGTGACGACTCTGTTCTATGATCTAAACAAAAGGTCTTGGTGCAGGACTGGCAAAGAAAGGGCAAAAAGTCGAGTTGGTTGCAGTATTCGTATTGGCAATGCTTGCCGACTAGCGTAGCGTCGGCTTTGTCTCTCATGATGTAGCTCGTTTCCTGAGCAGCGGAACCCGACGGTGATGACATGATGGCAGGGGAGAAATAATCAGAATATATATACAGACAAAGAAAGCTTAGGTGATGCGTGGCCAGGCAGAATAGAGCGTCGTCAAGGCTCTAGACTGGTGGCGGCAGAAAGTTCATTGTTCTGAACGTAATGTCAAGTTGACTAAAGCTGAGGTCCAGCGGCGAAAGAAGCCTCTGGAAGCCGCGACAAGCCAAGCCGCGCTTACGTACTGGAGCATGCGCCTCAACCACCGAAAGCTTTGACTCCAAATCGGGGTTGGCAGCGATATCAGTAGCGTCGGCGAATGAATAAAAAATATGACTCGAGTATTTACAAGTTTACAACATCCATTTAACGGTACTACGCGGGTTGGCAACCCGTACAGGTCGGGCGAAGATGAGTATTTCCCGAACTGCAGCTGCTCACTACCCTATCCACGAGTTTACAACCACAAACAAAACTATTCTGGCACCAGGGTCCATCAAACCAGGCATGCATCATGGTTGGGTCAATTCAACTACAGTATATGTACAATAATTTTGTTTAGCGCAGCATGAAGGAGTTGAGCACGCGCATCCTACCAAGCGCCAAAAAGCCAAAAAGGAGCCTGCATTAATCGTAGACTCGTTGCATCATTCCGTCTTCGGCTTGATCGGTTTGTTGAGCATATCCTCCCGCCCTGTAGACGGCGCGGATCCCACATACTTCTGGCCGCCAACAACCTCAAAACCCTTGTGGAACACCCACTCCACGGCGTTTTCAACCGGCTCGTCAAAGAGCCGCGGCAGGAAGGGAACAACAGACAAGCCCAGGCCGATAGGTCCCCAGGTGCGAATAGTGGCGTTTTTGGCATTCTTCAGAGCTCTCCCGGAATACCTAACGACACTGTGGATGGTGAATGCGGGAAGACCCATACTGGCAATGCTTTGGAAGATTGCTCTTTGGACCATGACGGTTCGCCAGTCTTCCAAGGGACTAACGACACCGGGTTGAAGGTTTACGTTATCCTCGGCTCGTAGCCCGGTGACTTTCTCCTGGTGAGGCGACAGGCGAAGCTGGGGGTTCAGCACGCGCTGGTTATGCCAATATGCCCGGTACCCCTCATGGGACACATCTCCGAGAATATAAAGCCAAGAGATGCCGTATGCGGCACGGACGACTCGCGGATGTGCTACGGGCCGGAATGATTCCCCAATATCGGATGTATAGGCGACGTAGCGATGCGCAGAGAGGAGAATGGTTCGAAACCTGCTCGCATAGGCAGCATATCGCAGCTTGGTGTCGGTAGTAGGCGGGGCACTGTAGACTGAATTAGCATGTACATGGTGGCAAGAAGGTCGGACGCGGAGTGCTTACTATCCATCGATAACATCGTCGAAAAACCGGCTGTCCTGATCCGACTTTTCAACGATGTTTTGAAGTCGTCTGGGCAGCTTTTCCCGTGCTGGAAGCTTGTCCGGGTCGAAAGCCTGCTTCTGCTGGTCGGCGTTGGCATTGGCGTCCGGCGACGGCTCAGCTTTGGGCTCCTTGGGCTCCTTTGGTTTTCCCCACCAAGGCATAACGGAAGCTGGAATGGAATTCGCACTGCGTTGAGGTGACAAGATTTTGGTTCGCACAAGCTTCCGGGCAGAAATTGGAGTCTTGCAACTCTCCCACACGTCGAGTTTGGTGGTTGTCAATGGAGAGGTGCGACCGGGATCACCCGCGAGGCTGGGCCCATGGATTCTGGTGACGTCGTTTGTACCATTTCCCACTAGTACTCCGCGCCGCCGATACAGCTGCCACGTAGCCGGCATTTAGCCGACTCCCGAATTGTTTTCAGCCAAATCCTTGAAGCGCAACTCATCAATTGATCTACTACTGCTCACTATCACCCATTCGCGCCACTTAACCTCTCATCACGCAATTCTTAGTCACAATGGCCGGTGTTGCTACCTACAACATTGCTGGCCGACAGGTCGGCGGTCACTACGTTCGCTTTTCCCCAAACCTACGACTCTGAGCATCGTCGACGTGGAACCGTTAAACTAACCTGGCTCACAGTTGGCCATGGGCATCCTCGGAAGCCTTTTCGGCGGCGTCTACTATGCCACCTCTGGCCCCAAGAAACCCGCCGCCGCGGCAACTCCCCCGATCAATGCCTCCAGCTCCGACGAGGCCGACTTCATCAAGTGCGTTATTTCGTCCCGGCGGCCCCCGAAGACCCAGTGGCTAACCATGGTTACAGGAAGTTCATGGAGGAGCAGGAGAAGAAGCAGTAAAAGGGACACAGTAGTAAAGGCGAGCGGAATGCTGTTCCACGCGAACCGTGTACATAATGCACTGTATAGGTTGACCCTTTAGAATTGATTGGCGCAGCTTGCAAATTGCGCATTGAAACCTCTTGTGCTTGGTTAACGCGGCCTATATACAAGGAGCAGCACTCGACATTGTACAATTGTGCATGCTAACGGATTGGCCGAGTACCAGGCGACCACCTTTTGGCCTTTGCCGGCCAGCGTGGGCGCCGCAACTACCTAGGTACTCTCATTCCGTTCCGTGACGTTAAAGCTAGTCATTTATACAAGCTTCACGAGCCGGTAGACGCTGGTATACTCTAGGTTGGCGTTTAGTTGCTTCATGCACCTCGCCTTGACACATGCTGTGATCGTCGACACCAGAGACACCTACACCAGCAGCAACGTCGGGCTGGGTCTGTGACGATCTCGTGGAGTGACATTTTAAACTGATGCGTTCGGTATGCATTGACGCTCGAAAACTGACGACCAGACACGATGTCCCCAGAAGTGACTCGGTTAGGATCATGTGGCTTTGTGGCGATTCATCGTCGAGTCCGAGAGAGAAAAGAGACCTCGTCGTGAGCGCCACTGTTTGCGTTATTCGCAGGCAAGGTATCATGCCAAGACGAGATTCGCCTTCCGGCCAACCGTCATGATATCCTGCTACCAGATAGCCAAACAGCGTTCTTGCCTCTATTACTTGGCGCGCTGAACACATGACGGCAGTCAAATAGCTTCAACTCGGCAATGGCGAGTACCTGCTTCAGTTCGCCAGCGAACTCATTCGTCTGGCATGCGGTATGCGTGTCGTGCAACCAGCCGCTGTTTATCAAGTCGGTGGCGAGGCGAACTGTTCCGACAGATACAGGAACACACCAGATGAATTATGTCGTGTCCTGTGATCGTCACCCAAACATCATCCCCCTCTAGTCCCTATGCCGGCTTCGTCATCCGTAGCCACCGTGTACGTTTGCAAGTGGCAGTTAGGACGTGCACTTTAAGGGATTGACAGCATTTGCCCCTATCGCCCTAGGCCAGCTGGCGTGTGATGCAGAAAATCTATAATCTTTGACGTTCACTCAAGTCCTCTAAGGGTATGTCCGACTCTATCCTTTTGTATCCTTTCCTTCTATAACTTTTCACCGTGTGCCTGACCCCCAATGCCACCAATACCACAAGTCCTATAACCGCTGTACAAGATACCCATTTCCTCCACCCGCGTATACAGCAAGGGTACCATGACATGAAGATGCCCACAGCCCACTGTGGCCACGGCTTCCTCTCGCGTTGGTCGGGAAACAGTCCCTTGCGCACGAGCTGCTTAACAATCGGGCCCTGTGGCCCGGATACAAAGCGCTTGAGGCCAAAGTAGGGCACGGTCTTTTGGAGAGGATGGTCATCTGGATATTGGGCATCGCCCCAGATGCCGGTGAAGTAGAAGAAAGAGGTGAGATCCGGCGTGGCGGGGAGCGCGGTCGCAGAAGGAAATAGGCGCGTTAAAGTGAAATTGGTAGGTTCGAGGTGGTAGAAATACGCCGAGAGGGTCGGGTCCCAGAGTTGGCCGGCATCGCAGTAATCCACCAGTACTGTATCATGAATTTGATCACTACACGGGAATGATTAGAGCTAGGCGTCGCCAGAGAGATGGGGAATCAATAGCCTTGGGCCGCGCGGAGGGAGTGCCACCAACCCGGATGATGCGTAGTTTGCGTGCGAGCCGTATGCGCTAAAGACAAGAGGCTACAGAAGACAGTTAGACGAGATCCGTCAGGCTTGCAGGCTGCTACGGTTTACGCACCCGCCCGTCCTTCATGGAAAGGTCTGCATGATCCCAGTCATACGCAGCGCCGCCCGAGTGTTGACTGTAGTAGATGCCATTGGGCTTGCCGTCGCGGAAACGGATCATATTATGCTCCCTTTAAAACGACTCATCAGAACAACTGGTGGAGTATTATAGACACAACGCAAGCTCACCAGTCCCCGACATGATCTCCAAAATGCATCCCGTGCTCAGTGTCCTCTATTAAGCGGTTAAGCGGCTCCAATACCTGTGTGATATTCGCGCCTCGGTCGTACGAGTAAAAGTAGAAAAAGAAGGCATCGACGTCTCGGGGGCTCTGTTCAACAAGAATCACAACGCAGGGGGTAGCGTTGACGATCCTCCCCGACGCATCGGGGAGTTGGCCGAGGAGCCAGTCGGGCAAAGCTGTGACGTCGTCATTGGACGTCAGGGCAACCTGCCCACTACTCACGTTGTTCAGCAGAGCGAGATTATTCAGGTCGAGATCTGGCAGGTCAGAGACGGGCTCTTGATTAGCCGTGGGCGTAGTGTGACGGATATGTTGGAGAAGGTCTGCGGGCCGGAACGGGTCCTCCGAGTGTAACCAGACAAGCGGCGCTGTTCTCACGGATTGCCATTGTTAGCCTTGATTCGAACGCAAGGAAGCAAGGGCAGAGGGCAACAGCATCTGAGCCTTGATTGAGACATTCAATGTTGCCCTGGCTCATAATCAGGTGGACTCGTACCGTAGCGCTTGACATAATCCGGCACGGTGCGGTTTGGCCCGGCGAGGATCGACGAGGTCGACTTTTGGAGTATCGGCTCTGAAAGCACCAGCAGGCACCGCGAAGCAATAGCTAGAAAAACGTTCAGATAGCAGAGCCGCGTAGCAAAGAAGCGTTGGCGGGCCATGTGCGGACTGCAACCGACACCTCAAACTGAGGAGTGTGCGGTTTTCGAGCTTCCAAGTACGCAGCAGGGGGTCAAGTGAGCCTGGGAGATGCCTTGTCCATGTGCAGATTTATCATGGCCAGGCCGGGGAAGCTTGAGCTTGCACAGCCCGCCTCCAGGTCAGACAGCTGGAAGCACCGGCTCCTCGATCCGGGCCCCTGGCCATGAAGTGCTGGCCAGATATTGCGAACCAGCTCGGTTTTGCTCCGCCGCGATTCAGGCTTCCCGCTAGCCGCCGCAGTTGCCGCCAAGCGCAAGATATGCAATGCAAGCACGCGCATGCAACTTGGCCAGGCCAGGCACGTGCAGAAAAACAATTCAGCCATCCAATCCGCACCACATCTGTCGGGTTCCCCTTCGTCTCCCCACGGGACGCAGCGTCGCCGAGAACCACCACCAAGCATGCTCACCGTGCGCCCGGCGACGCGCGCCGATGCGCCTCTTCTCCCCGCTGTAGAACGATCCGCCGGCCAAGCTTTTCGCCAGATCCAGGATCTCGCATGGATCGCCGACGACTCGGGCCAATCGGTAGAGCGCCACCTCACCCTCATTGCGCAGGGCGTCGCCTGGGTGGCGGTTGACGCTGGCCTAACCCCGGAAGAGGTCCCAGTTGGTTTCCTCAACGGCGAAATCCTCGATGGCAACCTGCACATTTGGGAAATGTCAGTGGACAAAGACCATCAGGGAAAGGGCATCGGTCGAGCCCTGATGGCCCAGGCAAAGAAGTGGGCAGTCGAGCAACAGCTTCCGTTTGTGACACTGACTACATTTCGCAATGTCCCGTGGAACGAGAAATTTTACAAGTCAATTGGGTTTGTGACACTGGACGACGGCGAAGTGACGACTGCTTTGAGAAAGGTGTTGGATGACGAGGTCAGAGATGGGTTGCCGGCGGAGAGGAGGTGTGCGATGAGATTGTCGCTGCAATGACGACGGGGAAGAGCCTTGAAAGGCTTTACTGAAGTCTGCAATCATGATTTAGCTTGCGGATTGGCCATTACGCAGTGGGCACTACGAGTTTGGCCTATATCATCAGGACCTAGGCAGTCACCTGCAGCTCTGGTAGCTATCAGTATCTACAATATTGAGGGCTGGCTAGCTAGAGAGCCTGTCACGACACTGGAAGACTTGATTTCCTGACTACAGGGCTAGAAGGTGTCCAGAGGCGACCGTGGCGTCCAATCGCCGGCAGCCGTCCCGACTCTTCCGGGCAAGACGGACTCTTCTGGCCGATGTTCCATGGAGGTCGGAGTATGTGGCCGGCGTAAACCTCCGGTGGCCGAAACTCGTCTTCCGGTCCAGTCAGAGACCCTAGTATAAAATCGAACAAGAGTCGTGTTCCAATCCAAGAGGCCATTTGCTGAGTATATTATGAGTATGTACTACTATATACATACTTCCAGCCAGCAAAACCGCGCCTAACCCAAACCCTCATCTTTATCAGACATGGCAACGGTCTCTTGTAATGCCCGCAATTTGGTCTCAGCATGCCGCTTCTTGCTGTCAGCTAACTGCATAGCATCAGTGGCCTCTTTCTCCTGTACTTTGCTTAGCTCTGCCTTGCTACTGAGCGGCGTAGTCCGCCAAGAGCAGGCTGATGGCTTTCGAGCAGCCCAGCACAAGCTCATGGGCCACTTTAGACGTTAGATCATGATGGAGCTTGTGTTGCCGCCTGGGCTGCGTGGTAGCCGCTGCCAACGCTCTTCGGTCACGAAGGGCATGAATGGAGACATGAGTCGCAAACCGGATTCAAGTCTATTTAGTACAGAGTGTTCCAAGGCCAAACGAGCTTCTTTGGGTGTTTCATCTGAGATGATGGACTTGGAATTCTCAATGTACATGTCGGACAATTCGTCATATAAATGCCGGGAACTGATCTGGGTCGACCGTGAGAACTTATACTCCAAGTGCCAGGTTCATTTGTTTTGCAGCAGTCTCCATCTTCATCAAGATCCATCTCTCGCAAGACTCTCGGATCCTATCAAAGCGCTGCTCTCAGAAGGAACAAAGTCGCAGCTAAGCTTTCCAAGGACATGCTCGGTGGCCTGGTAGATCGTGCTACAGGACTTTCGGCAGCCGTGCATCGTCTTGATGTCGAAATTAATATCACTACCAGACGGCTGTACGGATCTTGTGAGCGAGGACCGTAAGGCACCGACCCGACTTAAGTCTCGCTTGGGGTAGATTTCTTGCCGGGAAACTTTTATTCTGCCACAGACCCAGGAGTCATCATCGTGTCCACCGTCTTCACCCTCGACACTGATGTACTATGCTGGTATCTGATGATCCCACCACAATTGCCTTGACGGGCACCAGTCTTGGAGGTTTCGCATCCATTGCAAGTGTGTTCGCTTCTGTAGCTCTGGTCGAGCCGCTTTCAACCACTGCCATGGCAGGTTTCGTCAGCGGCTCGAATGTCATCCACCATTGGGGCTTCAAAGGGACAGCTTTGGCACAGAATCCATGTGGCCAGAAATTTTCTGCTTCGCATGTATTAGTAGGGGGCCAGTACGGAGGTAAAAAGTATTTAGCCAGATCAGGTATCTAGCTACCGTGGTGTATACTTCTTCGTGGGCAAATACATTCTGCGACAGACTGTGTGCTAAGCCTTCTTGTTTACGGCATGGCGAGATCGGATTGTGTAAAAGGCAGGAATGTATTTCGCCGTACCATTCAACATGGTCAGTGTCGGAATCAACAGCCAAAAAGAGTTACTTCTAGTCTTGATGTCGAGAATATAAATCAAGGGCCGCCATCGCTGCGTCTTCTGCATTGTTCGTCAGTCAAACCCAACATGGAACGGCCCTACAACAGCAGCTGCGGGATAACAATCAACGTATAAACTGTCAGCGCAGCCGCGACCACATGCAACAAATTCACATTCTCGGTGCCGAGCGTGAGCCCCGAGGGTATTATACGCCCTTTGCCTTTGATTGCCTCGACACGGCTTCAGTGCCGCCAGTCCGCGGAAAACGGACAAATACGCCCGTCCAGTGTCCGCCCTTTTCAAGCCACCGCGGCACGCACACATCACGACGTCCTTTGTTTCTTCCATGTTGTCCCCCGTACACATGAAGCGTGCGGCTTATTAATGCGAAATTATATAGAATCCAGTACATCTCCTATCAGCCGCCCAAAGCCTACCCAGGTTCTTTGAGTGGGAGCCCAGGATGCGTGACAGACTCAACTCGCCTTGGAGGCGAACACGGCACCGACTTGGGCACGGAAACAATCAAGGTCGCCCGATGGTGTGAAGGCCTAGCCTCCCATCTCCTGACGTCAAGCGTAGCAACCCAGCGCTAGTCATTGGTCAATGGCGCAATCCATTTCCAGTGGCGCATTGTTCCGTGGGCTTGGTGTTTAGAGCCTGCTTATCCCCGAGTTTTCCGTAAACGCGAAAAGCCGATGCGCACGATTCGACCCACGTAAGTTGCCATGACGAGTCTGGGGAAGGGAGGAGGGAGCGTCGTTCTTCTAAACAAGACTAGATGGTGGGTGTATGGCTCTGGAGTCGATGTGATGTGATATGTAATCCATCTACATTTTGCATCATTATATTTCGAGTCGGGCGCCCCTCCCTCCCACGTCATTGTTTCTCAAAAATGTTCCTCTTGGACTTCCTAGAGTTGCCTTTCGCCGATGGACCTTGTTTGAAAAACTCCTGCATAGCGAGCGCTGCCGCCATACGCCGTCCACGTATCAAAAGATAAGCCCAACCGGTCCCTTGAGGCTGCTACTTGGTCTTCACACAAGGTAGCCAAGAAACATTCACCAGTGGGCAACCAACCGCCGTCATGACTGGCCTCACTCGCCTTCTCTCCCGGCCAGTCAACAAACCCTACCGGACAAGAGACCTCGACCATACGGAGCCGCCGTTCCTCGACGATGCCGGTTTCCTCGCCTTCAAGCCCGATGATATCGAAAACCCCCAAAACTGGTCCACGCCGCGGCGCATCACCGTCACCATAAGCGCCGTCATACTCGTCATGAACGCTACCTTTGCGTCGAGCGCCCCCAGCGGATGTATCCCCTCCATCGCCAAAGACTTTGGCATCTCAACAGAGGCGGCTGCCCTCACAGTCACCCTCTTTCTCCTGGGGTACTGCGCCGGCCCGCTCCTCTTCGCCCCGTTGAGCGAGCTGTACGGTCGACGATGGATCTTTTATATCTCCTTCACCATGTACATTGCCTTCAACTTCCTGTGCGCCTTCGCCCCCAACTTTGGCAGCCTCCTCGTCGGTCGATTCCTCACGGGGACCCTCGTCTCGGCGCCCCTGAGCAACGCGCCGGGCGTGCTGGCCGACATCTGGAGCCCCCTCGAGCGCGCAAATGCCATGGCGCTCTTCTCGACCATGGTATGGATCGGCCCCGCGCTGGGCCCCGTCGTCGCTGGCTTCCTGGAGCTCAAGAAGGACTGGCACTGGGCGTTTTACGTGCTCATCTGGTTAGGCGCCGGAACATGGCTGATCATGCTGACCATTCCCGAGACTCACGCGCCCACTATCCTTCTTCACAAGGCGAAGCGAGCCCGCAAGGCCAAGATTCCCGGGTACGAAAACGTAAAGGCGCCAGCCGAGAAGCAGGATCGGTCCATCACGAGCGTCTTTGGCGTTGCGCTGACGAGGCCCTGGGTCATTCTCTTTGACCCCATCTCGTTGCTGTGCGCCATCTACCTGGCTGTTATATATACTCTTTTGTACATGTTATTCTCCATCTATCCGATTGTCTTCCAGGAGAGGCGTGGATGGAACTCTGGCGTAGGAGAGCTGCCGCTCATCGGGACGGTTGTCGGCGCCATTCTTGGCGGCAGTATCGTCCTCTTTGATACCAGGCGCCGCAGCAAGAAGATTGAACGGGGTGAGATCAAGGCCGACGACATGGAACCCGAGGATCGTCTGCCCCTGGCCATGGTCGGCGGTATTGGGTTCGCAGCAGCCATGTTCTGGTTCTCCTGGACAGCTGAATTCAAGTATGTTTGCCTACAATCCGCCTGATTTCATTCCGACCAGAGACTGACAGCGATTTCAGCTCCGTACACTGGATTGTGCCGACCATTGCGGGCGGCCTGCTCTCCACCTTTATGCTGCTCATCTTCGTCGCATACCTCAACTACCTCGTCGACGTGTATCTCATGTACGCTGCGTCCGCCATCGCCGCCAATACAATTGCCAGATCGGCCTCGGGGGCCGCCGCTCCACTTTATACGTCGCAGATGTTTCATGCGCTCGGTATTGGCGGCGGCGGCAGCCTTGTGGCCGGCGTTGCGACTCTTCTCGCCGTTGTCCCGTTCGTCTTCTACAAGTACGGCAAGCCGATTCGCATTCGGAGCAAGTTTGCGCCGACCAACACCAAGGAAAAGAATCGCGTCGAGGACGAAGAGGCTAATGCGACGGACTTTGCTATCCAGAGCTCGTCAGAGGTTGATAGCTCTACGGACGTAGACTCGTCCCACACATCACCGGTTGCGAATGAGAAGACGGAAGAGCGGGATGTGTCTTCTGGAGGACAAGTCTTGGCTCCGAATGAGCGAAAGGGGTCTCGCCCATGAATAATAGGGTACAGATATGGAATCAGACAAAAGGAGGCACTGGCGGCGTGCATAACACTTAATGTTGCCTCTGGGACATGGCGACCACAGATAATTCGTTAGCGAGCAGTCATCATCATACCTTAATAGACATTAGCATAAGGAAAGACCGGATATCAAGGCGATATCACCTTGTGACAGGCGTCCGACTTGAAAGAAGTTGTATATATCTAGAAGGGTGTATGTCAACCCACAATGGCTTATGTATTGTCCAGACCAAGAGGGTCAAGTAAGTGTGGATGAAGAATAAGAGCAGAAAAATATAAGCGGGGGGACATTAGCTTGCCGTAGCATTCGACTGCAATGTCATGGCCTGTGATTCGAACATACGACTTTAGATAGGCATTCAAAGAATTAAAGTCACGGCTTTGGTCTAACAATCTCCTAGATGTTACTACTTTAGTTAACAGCCATCTCCACCCGTCAGACATCATGGTGAGTCGTCATATCGCGGACACACACCACAAGACAATGGCTCGCAGGCACGTCCACGTATTAAAGTAGACCTTGCATCGGACATGGGCAATACAGAGACTTTAGGTTATTATTTCTAGAATTCACACTAGAAATGCCACTTGTCCGCCATTGACAGGCCAAAGTGAGACCACCCCAGGACGAGTCTGCATACACTCCCAGAACTTCCACCCAACCGCTCCGACACATCAGACATCTCAACGGCAATGCTCCCCAGACCACCAGCACCAGCACCTCACCACCACAAAGGCCCCAACGCAACATCTCCACGACATCATCCATCTCAACCGCAACCCCTCCAGTGACGATGCACCCAGTCCGGCCCGGCAAATCCCCGGCCCGCTGAATAATCCGCCCCAGCTCACTCGCACAACTCCACCACCAAGCCCGCCCATCACCAAACCCTCATCCCCTCAACCACAGCAAGCAACCATGATCCGCCAACCCTGGCGCGCAGCCAGCCGCCGGCTGCTGCTCCTCCCGCCGCAGCCCAGTCCCAGATTCAGATTCTCCTCCTCGACCGCAACCGCCGCCTCGCAGGAGCAGCCGTCCATGACGCCCGCCGAGTCCGCCATCGCCGACCTCCTCCGCGCCAAGCTCCAGCCCACCGAGCTCCTGGTGCGCGACGTCTCCGGCGGCTGCGGCAGCATGTACGCCATCGACATCGCCTCCCCGGCCTTCAAGGGCGCCACCATGCTCAAGCAGCAGCGCATGGTCAACGCCGCCCTGGGCGACGTCATGCGCGCCTGGCACGGCGTCCAGCTCAACACCCGGGTCTCCGAGTAACCAACCCCGGCCCGGGATGGCAAAATTCAACTTCTTTTTTACTTATTTCATGGCATTTACCAAACCGCCGAAAAACCGAACAAGGTCTAGAATATGCACGGTGGCATGGCCAATTGGGCGCGGAATCAACCCGGGAAACATATACATACATATATATATATACATGGACGGCACTCACGATAACATAAGCGGGTGGACGCGGCGCGTGTACAATACAAGATGTAATAATGCTGTACTATAAAATGGTCTGGCCTGGGGGTGCTGGGGGTGCAGTTGCTCAGGCAGACAGACACGGTCTCTTCCAACATACGGACAATGACAACCCAAATTTCACTCGCCAAAAGACATGGCTAATTGCGACACGCGCAGCATCTATGCACAATGTACATACGCACGGTGTGACAAAAACTTTCCATTTTAAACATGGGTTCGTAATTACAGCATATCTAGTTAATACATTGACGACAGCCCAACGCCAAACGTCATTACACTCCTTAATATGTATATGTGCCGAGTTCAGACATTAAAGAGACAAAAAAACAAGGCCAAATAAACAGGGAAATAATGCTCCTCCAAACATCATTTTCCTTTGTAGAGTGATTCCCTCCTTTGTTCCTCCAGGCTTTTTGGTTATTCCTTGAGGTACTTGAGAATCGCCTCCCGCTCCTCAACGGGCATGACTCTCAGTACCTCGCGAACACCCTTCCACCCCGCAGCCTTCTGCGTGCGGACCACCTCAGCAACTTCCGCCGAAAGGTGCTCTGCCTTGAGGGCATCAACCTTCTCTCCAATAGTCTTTCTCTCCTTCTCGTACCACTCGGCAACTTCTCTATCACTGGTGTCAAAGTTGACAATGCCGGACCAGCTTTGCAGCAGGTGCAGGTGGCCAGCTCGCAGATCAGTGCCCTTGGAAGGGCTGGAGTCGCGGGATGACGACAAAACGCTGCTGGCCATGCGTCGGAGGATATACTCCTCGTTCAGACGGCGACGCAGACGCCAGTAGAAGTATCGCCGGGAATTGACCCACTCCAGTGAGTCGCGAATCGTGCCCTTGGCCTTCATGCGTCCAGCGCGGTCGTGCAGGTCGGCAAACTGCACAGCAATCTGGGCGTAGACTGGTAGCAGCTCCTTCTCCCGAACAACGACCTTCTTCTTGATCTCAGCGGCTTCCTCGGGAGTCAAGTCGCTGTTCTCGAGCTGCTTCTTCAGGTTGGCATAGGTGGTGTCCATGCGGGCCATGGTCTCGAGCTGCTTTTCCTTGCGGTACTTGATACCAATGATACCCTCGGGTTCGAGAACACCACCGCGGGCCTCAACATCGGCGTACATCTCCATGGCAACAGGGTTAATGGTGGGATCAACGACGACCCAAGATCCGCCACGGAGCTCACCAAATGGTGGGATGTACACGAAGATGGGCTGCTCGTACTTGACGAGTGCGTCGACGATGAACGAACCGTACTTGAGGACTTCATTGTACATGTCTCGCTGACCACCAGAGAACCCTCTCCAGTTAGCCAGAATCATCAATGGCAACTGCTCACCATAATTAAAGTCATTAATGGCCTGCGCCGTCTTGAAAGCCGAGTTGGGGTACCAGACACCACCAGCCTCATTGGTGACTTGCTCGATAGAGTCGGGGTTGGCGGGATCGGCGGGAGTAATGTTCTCAACAGAGCGAGTCTCAACCGCGATGACGCCCATGGGGATGCCGCCAAGACGAGCACGGCCGACAACAACAGTTCGTGCCCAGCCGCCAAGGGTCTCGACAAAGGAGTCCTTATCAAACAGGCCGCTCTGGAAGCTGCCGTCTTCGTCACGCTTGCCGGAAATCATCCAGCGAACATCAAAGGCCTGTTTCTGGGGTGGACAGTAAACAACGTCACGGTCCCAGGAGTCAGAACTGGGGCTGACAGGGATGGGCCCGTTGCGCTTCTCGGGCACAAATGACATCCACTCGACGATACGAGAAACACCAGCAAAATCATCGTTGGCAGTCATGTGAGAAACGCCATTGCGGTACATGATTTGAGTACCTCCGAGCTGCAGGTTAGAAGTATACACCTCACGACCAAGCAAGTTGTTCAAAGCCGGGGCACCGGTCAAGATGATGGGCTGGCCCTCAATCTGGACGGCACGCTGGCCAAGACGGACTAGGTAGGCACCGATACCTATGGTAGTGTTAGGCCAGGGACCTATAAGAAAAATCAAAAACAGTGTAATGTAACTTACCAACTGATCGGCAGGTGACCAAGGTCACGGTGAAAATGTCATTGTAAGCACGGCTGGTGGCACCGGCGATGAGGCCGGATCCTCTGAGACATTCAACACCAAGACCATCCTCCCGTCCGACAATGGTGACAATCTTGTGGCGTTTCTCACCATCTTCGGTAACCTCCTCTGTGATGACATCGTCTTTGAAGTTCTCTTTGGTCTTCTCGTCCAAATACAAGTAGCGGAAGCCGGCGTCCTGCTTGGCAGGATCATTCCATGCGACCTTGAAGAAGGGCATCAACTCATTAGCAAGACCCAGGCGGGCACCAGAGTTAGCAGACAGATAGATGCGTGGAATGCCAAGCTTGCGAGCCAACTCGGTGCACTTGTTGAAGAAGTTGTCCTCCTTGGGACCAAAGGAACCAATGTTGTAAGTAATGTCGTTAGCGACGACAATGAACCGGCGACCGGTAGGGTACTCGGGCGTGCGAGCTTTGAAGATCCAACCGACCATACCGCAAGCGTTGGTGCCAGGCTCACGGTTGACCTCCTGAAGCGTGTCCTTGTCATCGAGAACAAGTTCGGTGTAGGATGCGCAGTCGCCAACCTTGGGCTGCTGGGAAGCCAGAGCAGGCTGGTCTTTGACAGCCTTGGCCCAGGTGTTCTGGATAGCCTGACGGAAGAGCTCAGGGAAATCATAGACGTACTGAGTTCCCATGAGGTGAGCCTTGTATCGCTTAGGCTGTAGAGCATTCTTGGTTCCATACGCCGTGTTGACGGGGAGCAAATGAAGGGGTCCCTTTTCGCTGGTACCACCGATACTGTGGAAAACCCACTCGCCCTTCTCCGATTTTCGCTCGGCATACATATCGACGTCCACGACATAGCCAGAAGTATTGGTGATGACGACACGAAGTGGGTAGGGAGTGCTGGTCTGGGGATCCGTGCAAATAATACGGATTTCCACCTGGGCAACACGCAGTCGCCAGCCACGGGCCCCAAAACGATCCAAGAATCCTTGCAGACTCTGTTCAACAGCCTTGGGGTCGAGTTGGAACACGGGGGTAAAGTTCATGAAGATGTGGTTAAGATCAGAAGAGTTGTTGCCAATAATCTCAAGAGCATCAAAGATGTCATTAATGACGCGGTCAGCCTCGGAGATGAGATACTCGGCAGTAGGAATCTCGTCGCGAAGACGACCAGGACGGATGACAGCACGGGTAAAGTATCGCTTGTCAGTGTCGACAGCCTTACCAATCGCCTCGTACACGTGGATATTTTTGTTCTCAGTAAATACGGGCTTGATGTGGAATTTGGCAAGACGGCCCAGCTCAAGCTGGAATGCAAGAGCGGGTTCGCTGTGACGAATACTGTCATCCTCAAGATACTCAGGGCCTCGGAAAGTGAAGTAACCGGGATAAGAACCGTCACCGTGACCGCAGATGAATGTCAGGCGACGCACACCACGGACCAATAACTCGCTTCGGAATTGCTCCACGATGGGCTTGATGCGGGTCAAGAGTTCTTTGTCGTCGTTGCTCTCGGCATCGCGGACAGCAACATTGAGGACGGCAGACAGCTCGTCGTCAGTCTTGACATCTTTCTGAACTGAATTGAACGGCTTGCGCTTGCCGCTGAGGTCTTTGAGAATGGCAGTGGCATTATGCTGGCGATTCTGCTTGTTGTGGAAGGCCAGCGTCTCGAGGGCCTTCTGGAGAAGCTCTTCAGCATCATCGAGGTACTTGCATGGAATAATGATTCCTTTCCGAGTAGGCTCCTCGTCCCACTTGCTGGTCAGGTAAGACATGTCGCTGATGGAGTAAATGCGCTTGACGTTCATATCCGGAACGCCAGGCGTACCTGGAGTAGAAGGGGCAGCGGACTGCAGCGGAAGACCAAACTCGGACTGGCCAATCTTACGCAGCTGGAAATCCCAAGAGACGAATTGGGGAGAGTCAGTCTCGTCATTGTGATAGTCAATCTGCTTCAATATGTAGGCACGGTAGGCCCGGCGAACATAGACTTCCAGGGCAGCCAGCCCCACCCAGGGGTCCTCGTGGGCAAAGAAGAGAGGAAGGACGTCGAAGACAGTGTACTTGGAGTCGACAACTTCCTTGATGACATCGAGGTTCGGCTCACGGTGGTCCCAACCACTCTCTCCGTAGCGAGACTCAATGACTGATGATCGCAGGATATGCTCCATCTGAGCAGTACGCTCCTCAAGCGAAGGAAGAGAGCACTGGATCATGATCTCACGAGCCTTGAGAGATACCTTGGAAGTAGAACGAGATGAGAGCTCAGTCAGCTTGCGCAGGGGCTCACGCAAGTACTTGCTTATGTTACCAACGTTAGGCTTGTTGGGGCGGTATTCATCGAGAATAGCAAGGATGAGTGAACTCTTGGCACTGACACGACTGTGCGAGAGGACTGTCTGCACAACCTTGGCAAGATTATCCTTGTTCTGGTCACGAAGTCTGAGAATAACGCTGTCCTCTTGAGCTTGGCTGAGGAACAACTTTTCAACATCAACATACGCCTCGATCAAGGACTGGATGAAGTTGAGCTCATGAACCTTTGAGCCCTCAGAATAAGCATCGAGAACTTCAGACAGGGGAGCGAGAGTCGTCTTCAAGGTTTCAGCGTCGTTTGCGGGGAGGCCCTCTTCAAGGAACTTTTGGAATGCTTTCTGCAGAGCCTTGGCTGGGAAGTCGGCGTGGCGAGACTTGGCTCGCTCAACAATTTGAGCAAATTGTGCATCTAGCTTCTGAGGCATGCGGGCGTGCAGAGCTGAAAACTGAGCATTCCACTCGCTGTAGGGAAGCTCAGGGTTGCGGAGGACTTCAATGAGCTCCTTGAGAGCGGAAGCCATGATGACCGAGTTATCATACCCATTCAAGATGTTGAACATGATGGAGCGCAGAACGGAGAAGCGCTGGCTAGGCTTGGAACCAACAACCACAGAGTCACCATACGGAGGCAGCTTGTCGACAAAGGCCTGGGCCTGCTTGACGCGGCTGGGGTCATCCAGGGCCAGAATACCCAAGATGTCGCCGGCTTCGAGAGTAGCGCCGGGTTGCTTAATGAGCTGAACAATACCATCTTCCTGGGCGACCAAAGGCATGTACATCTTCATTACCTCGACTTCAGCATAGGTTTGGCCAGCCTTTACATGGGAACCATTCTCAACAGCGTACTGAACTAGTTTGCCAGGACTGGGGGTGCGCAACTGAGTCGGGTCGTTCTCCTGTTCGAGCAAGCAAGTCTTGCTATCAACAGACAGACGAGTGGCGCCTACCTCCTCCTTCCAGTAGACATTGTGGCTATGACCGTCGAGAAGAATCAGCAGGCCGCCATCACTGAGGGCGCGAACGCCGACAGTGCACTTGGAGCCGTTGATGAAGAGGTGATAGCTGTCAGCACTAGCACGAGTAGCGGTGAACTTGTATCTGAAACCCTCGTAGATGAAGTCAATGTTGAAGACTGTCTTCAGAATCTCCTTGGAGGAGACCTGACCCTTTTCCAGGCCGGCACGATACTCGGCTATGCAAGCTTCGCTAGCAATATGAGCCTTGGTAATGGCACCGCAAACGACAGCCAACATTGTGTCAGGTCTCTCAGCCGTGAGGCGTTTTGAGATGAGCTCATCCAGCCAGCCTGTGGAGATGGTGTTGTCCTCAAAGGCCTCAGTTTCAAGCAGCTTAATGAGATATTCGACAGTCGTCTTGAAGTCACCACGAATGCTCAATTCCTTGAGGGCAACAACCATGTGTTTCCGGGAAGCCTGTCGGTTCTCGCCATAGGCAAATATGTGACCAAATTGACTGTCAGAGTAACTGTGAATACCACCTTGGGTACCGACGGAGAAGTAGCCCCAAACATTTGAGCTACTTCGGAAGTTCAACTCATGCATGACACCATTGGAGGGCTTGAAACCCTCACCAGGATCCTCAGAGGTGATACGGCAAGCAGTAGTGTGGCCAGTGGGAGTAGGGCGACGCTGAGCTTGAGCAGTGCCCTCGCTCTTGAATTCAAAGTCGATCTCACCCGAGGTTCTGGGGTCCACGCCGTACAAGACTCGAATGTCGCGGATGCGATGCAGAGGCAGACCCATGGCAATCTGAAGCTGGGCAGCCGGTAGGTTAACACCGCTGACCATTTCGGTGGTAGGATGCTCGACTTGGAGACGGGGGTTCAGCTCCAGGAAGTAGAACTTGTCGTCTGCGTGCGAGTACAGGTATTCCACCGTACCAGCAGAAACGTAACCAACCAGCTTGCCCAAGCGAACAGCGGCATCCTCCATGGCCTTGAAGGTGTCGGGCTTGGCGATGGTGACGGGAGCCTCCTCGATAATCTTCTGATGACGTCGCTGGACGGAACAATCTCTGCCAAAAAGAGAAATATTGTTTCCGTACTGATCAGCAAGAAGCTGAACTTCCAAGTGCCTGGCATTGCCTGCCAACTTCATGATGAAGATGGGGGATCCGGGAATTTCGCTGGCCGCGGCCTTGTAGAGAGCTTCGAAGCCTTCTTCGCTCACAGCCTTACGGATACCTTTACCGCCACCACCCTCGGAAGCCTTAATCATGACGGGGAAGCCAATTTCTTTTGCCTTTTCCAAACCTTCCTGCCACGATCTCACACAGCCCTTGGCGTAGATGTCGTCTGCAACTGTAACAATACCCTTCTTGTCGATTTCAACGGCGTCGACACCAGTTCCTGACCAGGGAATACAAGGAACAGAAGCGTGCTGAGCAACAATTGTGGAGGAAATTTTATCACCGAGGGATCGCATGGCAGACCCTGGAGGGCCAATGAAGACGATCTTATTCGGTGAGGCGGCCAGAGACTCGGGCAGCTTAGGGTTCTCGGAGGCGTGACCCCAACCAGCCCAGACAGCATGTACATTCATACGCTCAGCAATGTCCACAATCAGCTCGACGTTGGCGTAATTGTGATTGTTGGTGCCACCGGGCACTTCGACATAGTGGTCAGCCATTCGGATGTAATCTGCATTGGCTTGCAGATCTTCGGGAGTAGCCATGACGGTGAAGTGAATGGCCCGCTCGTCGCCGAACGTTTCGTAGGCCCATTTCCGGACGGATCGAATTTCCTTGACGGCGGCAATACCGTTGTTGGCGATCAAGACCTATTATAGCGGCTCTGTTAGTTCTTCGCTGCAAGACATGCTTGGAGGAATTTGCGCATGCTGCAGAATTGCTACTCGTGGTAGAATTGAAAAGCCCAGGTTCGGACTGCCCCATGCCCATAAGGGCCAGGCATTACACCAACTGGAACCGCAGCTTAGAAGCTCCTGCTTGACTGCTTCAACTCCAGATGAAGTCCGTATAATTACTTACGTTTGTGATGACAGTGTGTCCGTCATGTTGTGCAACAAAATCCTTGACCTTGCTAGGGGAGACATTTTCCAGCCTGCTGCCTCCAATGAAGTGTTCTGCGATATTGTGCTTCTCGGCGTAGGTGGCCTTGCCATTACCAACAGGCACCGTCCGGCCGTTGGTGCCGTTGGCTCCTGATGTGTCAGGCATGTTTGCTGTGAGAATGTGTATTTTCGGTAGGGGGTATTAGAGAGACAACCAGCAGACAGGTGCGGATTGAGAGATGGCGAGAAAGAATCGTGGTTTTCAAAACGTCATCAGACGATGAAACAAGCTGTCTAGAATCGCGAAGATGGAGGATGTATCGATTCGGTGCCTGGCGAAGGGGGCACTGCAGGCCGATTGGGGAGTTCTACTCGGTAGGGAGAAACTGAAGAGAGGTGTATGTATGAAAACCTTCTTCTACAACAGCCGCTAGCAATTAAAATAAAAGGGAAGAAGTAAAACAAGCAGTCGTCAAGGGAGGAAGCAAGACGACAAGCCCACGAGGTGCCAATTAGGTCAATCCGGCCAAGTATTATTCGATCTCGAGGAGGAGGAGCTTCGAGACGGAACAACTAACAAGAATGGTCAAAAGATTAAAACCCGCGGCTTTTGGCTTTCTGGAAGAGGAAGCAGAGGGGGAAATACCAGCAGATAGCGTCGAAATGAGAAAGAAAAGAAAAAGGAAGAGGTAAGATTGAGGCGAAGCTGAATCGGTGGAGGTCAATCTGGAGCTCGAGCAACGGTGGTGCAGAAGTCGGGACAACGGGGAGCTTTTTTGCGCTTGCCGATGCGGTCGTCAATCTGTTGGGGCCAAAGACTCAATGGATCAATTAGCTTGGGAACGTCTTTGGTTTAGTGAGACTTGGGTGTGGTTGGTGCTGGGGGGCCGCTGGCCAATGCTGGGGTGGGGGGGGCCAAGTGCTTCTCAGGTCTGTCTGCACGGTTCAATGTTTGGAGGAGCACCACCGCTAGGCTAAACTCGACTCAACATTGATGTCGATGTTGGCCCTGGAGTCCTCAGGTGCTCGACACAAAAAATGGGGCACGCCATGAACGTTTGCATTCAATGTTCTTCCATCAATCCATCACACCCGCCCAATGCCACTGGCCATCGGCCAGCGCCTCCTGTCGCGTTGTCATAGACACTGTGAGAAACAGCACAGCCCCTTCACCACAATTTACCGACGTGGAGCCACTTCAACCCGACGCTTGGAATGACAGCCATGGGTTGGGGTTGCGGCTGCGGCGAAACAGCGCCCAAGCCAGCACGACAGCAGTCAAGTCACTTACCCGGGGAGTTGGTCGGGTCGGTCTACCGATACTTGGCCATTGACGAGTCCGTTAGTCGTGGGTTGTTTTGTCACCAGCGTCGCAGACGAATAATCCTATCGTCACGGCCTGTGGAATGGGAGGCAGGGCAAATCGGACATTCAAGCAAAGATCGAAACCCAAAGAAACAAAGGTCACATTGGTTTGAGGGAGTCCCGGTCTATGTATTGAAATATTACTCCGAATCATCAACATGGCTGCCCAGGAGGAGGCATGACGGAAGACGCCACCGAGATGCCCTGTCGGTCTAGGGACTCCGTACGGGGTGGCCCTTACGCAAAGCTGACTGCGACGTTCGGGACCCGGTCTCTCACATGGCAAACCGGCCTAAATTGCATGCAGTACTTGATGGATTTCGCTATGGTAAGCATTCAGCATTTGTCCCTCCTCGTCGGGTCGGTAAATGTGCTCCTTTGGAGAAGGCACCGGGATGCAACAACGTAACCCCCCTGCCGGGTACACGATGGAAGGGTGTGGACTTTGGCAGGATCCGAGACGTTTCTTGGGTTCTGTTTCTTTGCCTCGATCTCATTCACCCTACTGGATTGACTTCAACAGAAGCAACGACTTGCAGATACCAACACTCACTCGCAAAGCAGAGCCGCAGACACCAAGAGAGGCATATGTACAGTGTCAGCAACCATGACGACAGATGATGCGGAACACAGGCTGAGTTCCTCAGCAACCCCCCTGACATTTCGTGGCCCCAACCAACATGGACCACTTAATAACTACCAACCCGCCGCCACACGCACGGCAGCCAAATGCCGCCTTGAGACGGATTCGCCCTGCCTTTCGGAGATGGGGATTCGCGTTGAAAACGTACAGTATCCTACACGCACCGGTTCAACTGACTCTGGGTGTCCCAGTATCAATTCGATCCGCCCGCGAAACGTGCGTCTCTCAAGCTGCACCGCAAGCACACTCACACGCACACGAACGGTTTCTGCCCGCAAACAAACACACAGCTTCATCGACAACACAGTACAGGCTATGCAGCCGCTCCAGGGCAAGCAAGCTACATAGACCTATATATGTATAACCGTAGAAGGCCCAATGCAAAAGCACACGACGTGCCTCAAATAACTTTCGAGCCTCGACTTGCACCAGGCGAGGTTGCTTTCCCTTGTCAAAGCCGCATCATCTCAGGGCAAGAAAAAAACCCCTCGGAGTTTGAGAAATACCGCGAGAAACGCCGCAGATAATAAGCATGCATGGCAGACAAGCAGACAGTCCTCTTTCTACCCCCGCAGCCACACCGTTCTCGAGTATTAAGTATGGTTGTTTTACAATACTCCGTACTCCGTACAAAAGCACCCTTTATGCCACCGTCCAAGTAACAAACAATCTTCAAACTAGTACTCGCAGTACTCCGTACAGCGTGGCCATAAACCGGATTATGCATGCCCCAATTCGGCCACACCCGGCCAACCGTCGCCACGGATCCGAGAGGCTCCGTCCCCCAATTGTTGAGCACCCACCCACCCTCCACACCAATGCCTGCAAATTTTTCTTCTTCTTTTTTGTCGCTCTCACACCCATCAACTTCCCCCTATCTCCATTCCTTCGATGCTCACTGTAGACATGTCAGCACAGACCCGGTGCCACCACCCCCAACATTCCCGTGATGACAGCAAGTACGTAAGCTGACCACGGCGCACCGCTCACCCAATCACATCCCCCCCCAAAATCCGTACGTCATCCGAACCTGCGCGTCACCGTGCCCTAGTCGGTGCGGCTGTCCGCCTGCGACACGGAGGGATTCAGCGGAGATGGACTGGCGCCGAAATATAAACAAGGATACTCCGTAAATAGAATAGAATCTCAAAAGCAGCTACTAGTTCCACAGCAATGTTCAAGTACAAGTGTGGCGTATGGACATGACAGTGGATGTCGACGACGATACAGGCCCAACTGGTACCATACCAAAACATCGTCTCACTCACAACACCGTCCACTCGACATATACGTCTCCTCTCGAGCAAAATATAGCCTACTAGGCTCGGCAACGCAAAATAGGCAACACAGTTCACGGGTTAGCAGCCAACGACACAGGACGTATCAATACCATCCATCTATTCCTATCCTCAACTTCAAGAACAAAATCCACCCCCAAAGAATCCAGGTATCATTTCCCCCCCAGAGCGGCAGACCTCATTCTTGACCCAAGTACATACATGTTACCCCGTGGACTAATGAATCTCCGTCGACCAGCCTCCTCAATAGCATCGCTCACCCAACAATCATTCTCCAACTGCCAAGTCCCTCGGGGAATAATTCATCGCATTGTCGGCACAATCTATGGTGCAACAGCAAATATGCTAAAACCCAGAAACTATGTGCTTGAAGAGAGGTCATAATCATCGTAATTAACAAAAAGCATCGCCTTCAACTAGAATCGCTTTGTCTCATCGTATGTCGTAAACGAGTTCGTCTCAAAAAGAATCGTAGGAGTGTGCTTGACTCTTGAGCATTGGCGCCAACACTCCACCCACACACAACCCGGTATTAATCTGATTATGGCGCCTGGCTAAAAACCTGGGCCTGGTTGTCGTCTAATACGTCTCGCCCAAGTCGCTCAGTCTTCTACTACTCGATGTGCCAGGTCGCGCAGTGCCAACCCCTGTACTCGTCCGTCTGCCGCCGGGACCACTGCCGCTCTGTCGTCTTGTGCCGGGCGTGGGGATTGAGGTCCCAGGAACTGGGATGCCGCTAACAGCCCCTTCCATCTCAACCTTGGAGTAGGTGCCGCGCCGGCTAGGAGTGCGGAACTCGCCTTCGTAATCCTCTTCCATTTCTATGCGGCTCATGCTTTGGGAGTGCCCGTGCACTGATCCGCTCAGAGATGATCTTGGTCGACCCAGAGGTGTGCGTGCTCCTGTTAGAGATGATCGTGACATGGGACGGGGTGGCGGTATCATGTCGGTTCGTGAAGAGGGTCTCGCATATGACGATACGCTTGCTCGAGAGTTTGGGCGGCTGTGACTGGCATCGGATTCTGGTCCTCTATTTGGTAATGGCCCAAAGGACAACCTGCTGACTCCCGTCGTGCTAAGTCTGGGGACATGGCTAGGTCGCGATGACGTCGATGAACGAAAGTTGGTTGGTGTAGTTTCGTCGCCTGCAAGAGACGATGCACATGACCCCGTTGTTCGCTTCCGAGAGCGGATCGTAACCGTTGACGGAACGCTGGAACCGTTGGCCATTGGTCTGGGTGACGCACGTGGCGGTGTTTGTGTAGGGGCTGGTAGCTTGGACCTTGCAGAGTGCACTCTAGCTTCGAGACGCTGCATCTGAGCAGTAAGTGATCGAATATGTGAGAGCGAGTTAGACGCAGGAATCTTATGCTTCGACGAGCCGGGCACGGTCGTAGATCGCGGAGCCGGTGTACGAAGACTCGAAGGCCCTCCCGAGATACGACCACCTTGTCGTGCCACCGCAGGCTTTCCACGTGGCTTGGGAGTCGCGCTGTGATCCAAAGATGGTAATCGAGACTTGCGAGGAAGCGTACCACCAGCCTTGGCAGCCGGAGTTCCGTTAGCGGTGGGTGCTGACGCATCGGACATTGGCGGCGACGGGGGCTCGTGTACCTGGGAGAGCGATTCGACCGCAGGGAGGGACTTGGTCTCGGGCGGCGTGGTGATAAGCGGCGAACTGGCAGTCGAGTTGGGAGAACCCTCGGTGTTCTTGTCGAACGTCGGTGATCCCATGACAGAGAGGTCGGTCGAGATGGTAGACAGATGCCGGGCTTCGTGCTTCTTGATCTTGTCCTGCATGAGTTCCGCCTCTATCTTGAGCTCGGCGAGCTCTTCTCGAAGCCGTTGCGATTCGATTCGTAGATTTTCTCGTTCCTGCTCGCCGGATTTAATCTCCTCCTCCATCATGACTCCCCGCTCAATAGCCTGGTTGTATTTGGACTCCATGTCTTCCAAAGAAGAAGTAGTGTTGCGAGCTTGGCGCTCAAAATCGTCATTGGCCACCTCGACATCCCTCAGCTTCAACTGCAGCGATCGGTTCGAATCTCGAAGAGTGGTAATTTCCTTTTCCAGAGAGTTTTGCGCAGCGCTAGCCTCACTCTTGGACTCCTTATATTTCCTCTGCGCCAGCATGTTAGCAATAAATCTCCTCTACACACGGCGGCCCAGCGCCATTGGATCAGGCATAAAGCCCTCCTACCTTCCACTCTTCGACTTCGAACCCCAAGGTTTCAACCTTCTCCTGCAGAGCTCGCTCCTGCTTCTCTGCTCGCTCGATGTCCTTCTCTAGTTCCTGTTCAAGCTCACGGCTTGACTCCCGAAACTCGGCAAGCTCCGATTCCAGCATTTCGTACTGCGATTTATACCAGGTGAGGGCATCCTCAGCCGTGGCTGCCTCGCTGGGAGGCGATGAAGGAGGCTCGGCCATGGTGTGCCGTGATGTTTATGGGAGTGATGATGCCGAGCCAGGGATCCTTCGAGGTTGGGGCATGCGACTCGCCGCTGCTTTGGTGATTGATGTTCCCCTTTGTATTTTTGGCAAACAGATTAATTACGAGTGGTTTTTTTGAACGTGTTTTTTCTGATTTTGGTGTGCAAAGGTCGTTGACAAAAGAAACTTGTATTGCCTGGCAGTTGCTGGCGGGCGTGGATGCGGTGTGGCTTTCGCGATAAACCGAGGCGCGGTTGAACAATGAAAGAGCAACAACAAAAGGTCGCATAGGAAATTAAAATAAAGAATATTGCTGAGCGCACTGTTAGCTTGCTCGCGCGCGCGTTGTGACTGCCACAAACATTGAACTTACAGGTTGTTCCTCCAAGGAGGGGAGGGGAGGGTGTTGGCTGCTCTGGATTTCCCCTTTGTCCCGGATGCGGTGCCCGACACTGTGGACGGCGGAGACGAGACAAGGAGACGAAATCGAAATGGAAAAATAAAAACTCCCCGTCTATGTCTTCTTGCTGGAGCTGTGCACGCGTCGATTTCGCGGCTATTCCCAGCCAGCAGTAGGACTTACCTATGTCTATCTGCCTTACCTTGGGTTGTCGAAGTGGCAGGCCGCCAGCCGGAGCGATGCGGTGGACGTGGTTGTGTTTTGGCCTGCGACCCTTGTGACTGTTGGGTGGCCTTGCTGCCATGTCAACTTAATGATTCAATGTTGACCCTCCATGTTGACCCAAATGGCCCAATGACCAGCCTTGGCCCTTTCCCGCGGCGGGCCTTGCGCGACCTCGGGGGGGAGGCACTTGCCCCAGGAGACCTTGCCTGAGCAACCGCTTGACCCGCTTAGGCTTAGCGCTCGGCGTCATGGGCAACAGCACCTAAAAATATGGCAGGCAAGTACCACCGCTGCTTTTCCGGCCCCTCTGGGTCACATGTAAGAGTGTTCATGTGTGCGCGAACTCTGATCTGAGCTCACTCTGGATAGCTCCGTATTATCTCTGCTTGATGCTGATTCTTAAAAATAAAAAATAAAGCATGCGGATGGCGCAGGTGGCAAGATTGATCGCTGTTCCGTGAGACACCCGACCCTCGTTGGGTTCCAGACCCGACAAACAGGGAGCAAACCTCGGACACGCGTTGCTCCTCATTTGTCTCTGGACTGGGGATGCTTGACCCTGGGCAGGGTCCCTTTATCCTTCATATTGCAAAGTTGCACGGCGGACCGTGTGCCAGGAGCACAGATGTGCACTGCATCATTGTATGTACGCTCGAATACGGCACTGTGCATGAACTCTTGCAGCCACCTTAAAGCGCATAAACTTTTTGGATTCTGTCTTAGTCGTTCTGCCTGTGGACGACACTTGCGGTTGCTCGACACGCCCGGCTGTCAAAGACACAATCTTGACTATCGGGAGGTCTAAGTTGAGGCCGATTTTGACATTGCAACCCTACGATGAAACCGATACATTCCCAACTCCACACGTTGTAGCAAACCCACCCCATTCATGTACATTTGGGCCGTGGAGATGCAATCCCCCCCAATAGCCATTGTCAGGGCCATACGAGGTAGCGGCAGCTACGGCTTCTATAATAGGCCTCTGGCAACATTTACATCTAGTACCTACCTATGTAGGTGTCTGGTTAATGCCTATTGGTAGCAGATAGTCGTGTCGTGCAAAACACTACTTTCACGATATGTACAGGGTAGCGCAAAGGATGCAGCCTAAACCCTCACTCACAAGAGCTCCGACTTCACTCGTTTCATATATATCATTTCGTAATCTTGGAATTTTGGAATAATGCTATAAAACACTTCGTCTTCGCTGTGCTATCTTGCCCGCCAACTCTCATACGGACGTGCGACCGTACCAACGCTGCCTTCTCATCATATCACATGTACTCCGTACATGGAGAAAAATCAAGGCCTTCCAAGTAAAATTTCAAAGTCTTCCCCCACCGGCAGCGCCCCATGCTTTCCTAGCCTTTCTGGACCCTGCTGTTGCGGCCCCGAAATTGTGTAGCCTTTCTCCAATCAAGTATGCCTCGTCTCGAACTCCTCCTGTCCATCGATTGAACACTCTCGTCAGCCCAACAGCATATCTGACCATGACGGCCGACACTGCAGCCACTGGGTACGAGTATCTGAATACCAAGGATGCATTGGCCCTATCGGCTACTGCGCCCGTGAGTTGCGAGGGCGAGAGCATGCCGAAATGGATTAGAAGATATGCGGTTGTAGGAGGACCAAATATTGCGAGTATAGATAAGGCGACTCCGGGGATAACAAATGCTCTTGTAAAGATGTCGACATCCGGCTTTAGGTAGCCTCGTCGCATGACAGATGATACTGCTATTGCAGCACGACTGTCCGGAAAGAGTGATGTAATCATTCTAGTTGCAAGCTTTAGGTAGAGAAGTCCCAGCGTCCACGATTGAATAACGCGTATAGTATGACGCCCGGCCTCTCCGCCTTGGTTTGCCGTGGTTGTTTCGTTCTGTTGCCAGGGTGGATTCATGTAGGTATGTAGGGGAATACTGAAATATAGCTCCATTAATGTTGATACTAGCAAGGGGAACACAATCAGTAGGAAGAAGTAGGCGTAGAACAGTTTAGCACCGCGCGCCAACCCGCTGATGACACGGCGACCGCTGTTTCCATTCGCAAGTTTGTTGCCGATTTTGCTTGTCCAATCTCGTAATCTGGCGGTAAGATGACCCAGGCGAAAGACTGCATAGGCTAGTGACCCTAAAACATAGATGCCGATACTGAATGCGTAAATATCGTTGGTGCGAATGTGGGCTGGAATCAGCATCTTAAACATAGCCCTGCCAAGCACCAACGGTGCGATAGTGAAGCCAACTCCAGTGACGGCGGCAAATAGCCAGATGAAAAGGATGAATAAGAATAACCGGGCGCGGAAGCTTGGTGGCACGTATACGAGTTGGTACTGGGTGGATGCATACATGTCATCGTCTGATTTACCGTCCTTTCGGCGGTTGCGTTCGGAGACTTTAAGGAAGACTTGTTGACCCTTGGGAATCTTGACTCTGTCAGATGCCGGAGCACGGACAAATCTGCCGCTCCTCTCGAGTTGACCCGTCTTAACAAGATGAATCTTTTTGTGTCTCATCTCTCTCATGTCTCCCTTCGATATGGATGGATTCGGTTTAGCATCCCCGCCCTCGAATGTGTCTCTCCAAGTCTTGGGTATGACGGCGTTGTTCTCATCAAGCTCAAGGAGCAATGACTTGTGTGGTGGAACTTGACCCTTCAGCTCGGGGCTAAGCTGAAGAATGCCTTCTTCATCGATGCGTCGCTCGCCAAACAAGAAATATGTCAAGCGAAGGCCGCGGGCGCACTTTCGGAACCACCAGGTGTACATGGCGTGCAATCCATCACTAGGCTTGAAGAACTTGACAGCCAGCGGCATTAGGAAGTTGTAAAATAAAAGATCCACGGGGAACTCCAAAACCGGTTCGTTGGATGAATAGTGGATAGGCAAGACGCCAGGCATCGTGTAATAGAGGCCCCAGACCACGCCGCCGAGGCAGACGATGACCAACGCGCCGTACACGAAAGCTGAAAAGAGAATCTTGCGTAGCTGGGTTGTCAGATTTCGTTCTAATACATCCCGGACAGGGTGGAACTCGGGATCGTCTGGGTCTCTAATAAAGTCTACGTCAAAGCTGGTTAGTGTCCCATTCCAGTCAATAGCATATAATCAAACTTCCATTGACTTACACAGCACACCTGGCCGCATAATCTTGCGGCACATGGAGACAAAAAGAGCAAAATGAAACATGTAACCAGTTCCCACAAACCAATGAACAAAGATTGAAGTCAAGGGGTAGTTGCACGTAAATAGGATGCGAGAGTTGAAGGTTGTGTCCTCAAAGAGCGGAAGCAAAGCACCATCCAGCAAGAGGCCGCAATACAGGGGGAAAACGAGCATTTCGATGCTGATGATGAGAATGACTTTCATAATGCCGCTTGCCTGGTGAAGGCTGTCGATAACTCCCGCTTCCCAAGCTTGCATCACGGCGCCTCGCGAAAATGGGCTGTCTCGTTTCAGGTATAACGCGCCAACAGCAAAGACGGTCAGATATCCGATGAGAATTGCCCAGAATCGATCCAGACCTGACCAGTATGCGAGGCTAGGATCCAGCGGGGCCTCCGTGGTAACTTCACCTAGATCGATTATCCAGGAGCTTGGATCTGACAACAAGGAGGCCACACCAGTAAGAGTGGAAACAAAAGACTGAATCGTGGTTGAAGTCGCGGCGACAAACCGTCCGTCAATCAGAGCGGTATAGTCGGGTTCGGCAAGAGCCTTGAGGCCACTGTCGACCTGGCCAAGGACCCAACCAATATTCTCTTTAAGGGCGTTCAAAGCCTCGTGGCTGACTGCTGAAAAATGTTGCACTTTAGGGGTAAACAAAGGAAACTCTATCATGAGACCATATTCCACAACTCTGGCCCCGGTTCCAGTCCATAGTCCCCAAGATGCCTTTCTGGCAGACACAATGTGCGCACCCATGGCGCCTCCAATAATGCTTGTGAACATGTCGACAATGTTCAGTGCACACCAAGCGCCAAATCCACCAATCATCATCGCTGCGTCTTGAATTACCTTGGAAAGACCCATGAGCATTCGAATAAGAAGGATTGGATTGGAAATGGTCAAAACGGAAGCGCGCCCTATATTATAAGGGATGCAAACGCAGGCAAATATGGTCATCGTGACGAGAACAACGCAGAAGATGGCGTTTTGGAACAGCCCTGCAATGGGACCACGCATGCCCAAAAGCTCCATTACCCCTTCGAAATCCTCAAGATCTTCCATAGCCTCAGCATCCATCCCTGCAGCGGCAGCGGCGGCATCGACTTCGCCAGCATTTGGATCCACGTTGGCCTCTGCCGGTCCAGCAATAGGAACATCAACCCATGGGTCATCTGCCCCATCGTCACCAGCAGCACCAGCAGCAACACCATTGGCTGCGGGCTCTTGTTCTTCTGCCTCCTCGATGTCCTGCCGCTGGTCAAGATCGCCCCACATGAAGTTAGCGATACGACCGACGAATCCTCTCTGCGCCGGCACAGGGGCAACTGGCTCGTCTGGAACGACGTGTGTGATATCGCTACCATGATCGATTGATGCAACATCATCGCCATGAGAGGAGTGCGGGGGACTGTCAGGAATGACAGTGCGGCGCCTCATCCCTGCGTTGTCACTTGGAGCTTGCGCTGTAGCTTGCGCTTCTGGCGTGTGGGGTTCCGGCATCAATTCCGGGACAACCTCATTTGCAGCAGGAAGGCTGTCAAAAGTCCAACTGTTATTCGCCAACGGATTTGTCATGTTACTGGGCTCGGGGCCATCGGATCGAGCTCGGGGCCTAGATGGGCCAGAGGCGACGTCGTAGTCCGGCGCCATATGGCCAGGCGACAAGTCTGGGGATATCGGTAACCATTCCCTCTCTTTACCCTTGGAGTTTCCTTGCCTAGCTTCCTGTTCATCTCCTGGCGGCAAAGGCTGACCCCAATCATTGGGCTTGTTTAAATCTAGAGCCGGAGAAAATGGCGGCAAGGATTGGACGGGCTCTTGGGAAGTGGAAGGACCTGATATGTCTTGTGAGGCTGTTTCTCGTTCCCTCATGGAACGTCGGGTAACATCGACCCAATAGCCAAGCTTGTCCTCCAGATCTTCCTCTTCAACGATCTGCAAAATCTTTTCCAAATTGCCACCAGCCCGGCGATATACTCGTAGGTAGTCGATGACACTGGCTCTATTATCTGAGCCCGCAGCTGCTTCATCCTGTGCTGAAGACTCTTGTGAGTCTGCGGCTAATTCAAGAACCATTCGATCGGGTTCCGTGGCGTTGCGCGTAGCTATGTCTGTATAGGACAGCGCTGATTCTCCATTGTCGATGTCACGCCCATTGTCGAGCCCAAGTGGCCCAGGAGCCTCTACTCCAGCATCCAGAGTCTCGCCATCAGAGTCTGTTCCGTCAAACTCTGGGGTGTCATTGTCATCATGTACCTCTGGGTCAACTGGCTGCTGGGCAGGGGCCGGTGGGTTGTTTTCTTGGTCGGCAAAAGCGGCTCGCATATTGATTTCTGGCTGTTGTTGAACGACATAATCGCGGACCAGAATAACCAGAATAAAGCACACAATAACTAGGACGGTGATGATCTGACCTTCAATGACCGCGATCACCGAGCGGTTTACGGTAGCATTGCGAGTGAGGTTTCTCAGAAAGCCAACATCGCTCAGCAGGGTCTGTGGTAAAGAGCCGACCGTGCTGTTTAGGAACGTGATTTTGCCAGCAATGGTGGTGTTATCGATCGGGTCGGCGGCGATGTTGAATGGATACGGAGGACTTGCGGCACATGTAGGCGCGGGCCTAGTAGGCCTGGTGCTACGGGTTGGCTCAGAGAAGGCTAATGAGAACGGTCCAGGACCAAAACCCTCATGGCTAACCCAAAACATGGAGGTCCAAACATGTCGCATGAAATAGGGTAGCCAGCACACCCATACGCTGATGGTAACCACGGCGCGAAGCCACAGCAACACGTTGCGCACAAAGTATTTTGCCATGTGCTCTAGGAATATGTGTACCGGGAGAGACTGCGGCATGTCCGGCGCGTATAATTTGGTGAAGCGGAAAGAAGTCTTGCAAAGCTCGCAGTACTTCTTTTGCGAATGTGAAAGCCATTCCATCAAACAGTCCTGGTGAACATATTTGATGCTGCCGCTACACTTGCAAGGGTAGAACAGGGGCTCGGCTGAGGTTCCCTCACCGCGACATATTCGGCAAATCGCAGGAGCGGCATCGGTTTGTTGAGGAGCAGGTTTGGAACGGTCGTCGAGTATTGACGGGAACAAATCCTGGCGCCGAGGCGGGGATGAAGGGTCGTTCATGGTGATGTTGGATCAGCAGCCCAGGTTGATAGATGTCGATGCTGGCCGTAACCGGACAACGGAGGGCTATTGGCGGCAAGATGGTGAATAAATCATGGGAGGAATTGGCTTCTGCCTGAAATAGTGAAGATGCACAATAATATAGTAGGCTAGGCCTAACGCTGCTATCGTGAGGGGTCGTTCTAATGCGCGTAATGGCGTTGGGGTGAAGTGCGTTATCTGGTGGGCACTTTGTAGGAGATTCTTGCAGGGGAATTCGAGACGGAATCAAAGTATTCGACAATTGAGGGAGTCGTCAAGAGCAACGCGCTACTCTGAGAGGAATATATCTCACAAAGAGAAAGAAATTAAGCTGTATCGTGTACTGTCGTCAAGTCAAGGGAATAATGTGTTGGTTGGCACGGAGGTGTGAGATAGTTGAGCGGACTTTGAAGGTTGGGCGGCGATTGCGAGGTCTGGTGGCGATTGGGGAATTAAAGTGGGGCGGCTGTGAGGCAGCGGTTACACACAAGTGACGAACTTCAATGAACGGCAGAACAGGAGCTGTAGCTCGCATGCATTGCTGATCCCAGCTAGAGAGAGCGGCCAGGCTCCGTCAGAATTCTCGGCACGGAGTAATTATCATATTGGAGAGGCGATGCAGATGCGATTCACCCCTCGCCCTCTTCGTGTAAATATTCGCTGCTCCAAATGTCATCTTCTTGGGTTCACGCATGCGAGTATGAATATTCTCGGATGTCATGTAACTGATTGGGTAGGCAGCCTGCAGGCCGCTTCGATGCGTTACCGCAGCCGCGCTACAAGAAGGAGGCAGGAAATGTTGTGATACAAGGTACTAAGGTCGTAGTGTTAGATGGCTGGATGGAAATGCAAGACTCGGGAGCCATGGCACTGAACCATCGTGCCTCGGGATGTACATGTAGTGACCGTCGGGCTGGATGCATGTGGTGCGCGGTGCGTGGTGGTGCGCGGTCCCATTTGAAGATCAATATGATGATTGCTCAGCATCTGATTGAATACTACCAGAGTCGGGCTGCTTAGAGTGTAGTGTAGTATTTAGCTCCAGGGTCAAGTTGAGCGCAAGTGCGCGTCAAGTACCTACTAAGTACATACTTGCCAATTACTTAAAGTAAGTAGCAATTAGGTAGTCCAGCACTCGCCAGAGAACCTCAAACTCCAACATTGAACATTCTTGCGTCAACGATACTTGTCGATCATTTGTGCAAGTACTAAATGCTGCAACCACCCGAGGCCACCCCAGACTCGAAACGCCACCGCGTCTCCCCTCAATCACCTGTTTCCTCCCCGACATTCAATCATCCGCCGCCACACACTCGACCGTCTTTGACGTCTCTGGCGCTCTGCAATGCGTTGAAACAGAAGCCTGGATTTGCCGCCAACATTGAACCGGACCTGACGCTTCGAGAGCTTCAGCTAAACTCTCCATTCTTTGTGGATCTCCGACCTCATATTGCTCGGCATTCTGCACTCCGTCGTGCCGCAGCATCGTGTCCCTCCCTCCCTCACCTTGCCAGCTTGCGCTGTCTAACACCCTGTTGACCCCCCTGCAGCAGCCGCTAGACTCCTTCAGCTCCTCAGCTGGCCCTGGTCCGATTGATCTACTGGCCTGTGACGGTGAACAGACAACGGTTCCTGGTGGCGGACGCTTAATATCATCCTGACTTCCCGCCTGCTTCGGATCTCTGGTTTCCTCCCCATCAGCTTCCGCCAGGCTGAGGCAAGCTCAATCAAGCTCATCTTCGTTTGCCTTGCCTTTTTTGCTTTCCATTGCCCCAATCACCACCTGGACGTGGCCTGCTCCTCACCTACTTCTCTTGGCCTGTTTACCGACTTATCGTATTTGCCTTTCGCTTCACTCAGACTCAAGTCGGTGTGTCGCTGGAAGACCTTCCCGGTAACCCGCGCGCAGCTACCGCTCGAGCTTGCGCCAGCATAAGCACCGTCAACTGAGAAAATTTCGAAAATAGGAAGCAGCTTCTTCAACTATGACGGTCGCTGATTCCACCGCCAATCGGTCTGTCCATGCCAACGGCAAACTGAACGGCCAGGCAACAAGCAAGAGAAGGACGGTGAAGCAACGAGGCCTCTTTGGCTGGGCTTTTAGTTTACTTGCTAGGTATGTAATTTCTCAGTATATCTCGATAATGGATGGGGCATGGCCCTTGGCCGTCACTTAAGAAATCTTTTGTCATTTTCATAATTCGCTAACTGGTTGTCCACACAGAATTGCTACCTGGGCTGCCATCCTCACGATTCTTTTTCGCTGTCCAACATCCCTCGAAGCCTGCGATGAAGCCTCTCCCTTCATTTGCAAACCGTACTTTCACGTTAAGAATGCCGCAAAACCACATGTACAACCCTATTTCGACCAGTACGCCGCGCCTTATGTGGACCTTGCCAAACCATACTACGACACCTTGAACAACCGTGTTTTGACACCGACACGCCGATATGTCGTTCTATATGGGACTCCATGGGCCAATAAGGGTTATGGCATTGCTCGTGCTCAGTGGGAGATGAATGGCCAGCCTCAACTTGTTCGTCTTCAGACCTTGACCAAGGGCCATTACGAGAAGTCGATAGCGCCTCACCTGGCCAAGGCAGAAGAAGCAGTTGGCCCGTACTATAATGCTCTCCGGAAACATTCGCTACAGGCGTACAACGGCTATGTACTGCCCGCCTACGAGTTTGCTCGCCCTTACTTGCTCCGTGGATACAGTGCGGCGGCCGAATTTACAACCACCAAGGCTCTGCCAGCTACTTCCTGGGCTTGGGGCAAGGCAAATGCTTTCCTGGATACTGCAGTCTGGCCCCAATTGCGTGTTGTCTATGTTGAAAATGTAGAGCCACAGCTTGTCCGTATCGGAGAGCGACTTGCCCGATACAAGACTAAGTCTAACACTACTAATAAGGCGTCATCGGATGAGGCACCTGTTAAACCGTACGTGGCTGCTAAGATTCGAACCTATTCTAAGTCTGCCAACGCTAACAGCGAGTGCAGGGCTAGCTCGATAGCATCAATTTCATCGTCCTTCAGCAAGCCTCCCCCGCAAAGCCCGTCTACTTCCGCTACCACGACGAATACTGAGGAGCCAGAGGCTACTGCGGCCGATTCAGACAAGACAGAGCCTCCACAATACTGGAATCCCGTCGAAGCGCCGGCTGCTACCGAAAATGAGAGTGAACTGCGCAGAACTGCTCGAGAAATGGTTGCTAGTGATCTTGCGACCTGGCAAAACAAGTTTGCTTCCCAAGCCGAGGAAGGTGCTAGCGCCATAGAAGATCAAGTCGAACAAATTGCTCACAGCCTTATGGACGAAAATGCTAGAGTGACTGGAAAGGGACTGCTTAGGCAGCTTGAGGACACCATTGCGTTTGAAATTGCCAGCGTAAAGCAAAATATTTCTAAAATTATAGAATCCGGCATTGCGGATGCTCACCAAGAGGCAATATCCGCTGTTCGATCAGCTGGGGTGGCCATTAAGAAGAAAGCGCAGCTGATCCGAGGATGGCGTGAAGATTACGATACCGAGCTCCAGGAAGCCGTGCTAAGTGCCGCAGATGTTCATTTTCAAATTCTCGATGAAACACGCAACCTGGCCCTGACAAACATAGGTATGAAGTGGGCTTGGACCGATGGTGTTACCTACAAGGACTGGCAGAAGTACCATGAGCTGAAAGGTGCCCTCAACGATTGGACTGAAGAATTGAAGCAGCTCATTGTTACGCACCCGACGCTCCTCGAAGCCCAGGAGCTTTCTCACCAAATTGAGGATGATGGTATGACCATGGCCTCGGCGGCCGCTAAGGAGTTGGTTCGGTTAAAAGAGGTGTCAAACTGGAAGATTCTTGCTCATGATTTCACTGAAAACTTTGATTCTGAGGAAATGCGCCTTGCTGCTGAGCACGCGGCAGCAATAGCAGCCGCCGCCACAAAAGAGGAAACCGAGATACAAGAGGCCACGGAGCAAAGCCAAGCGGAACGTGTTCCCAACGATGATACTCTGCGGGAGAATGTGGATGAGCCAAATGATCACGAGCCGGCCCAGGCAAGTGTCGAAGGACTCACTGCGGATGCTGAAACACCAACCCTTGAGCCACGCGAGGAGCCAATTGTCCTACCTGCAGAGGATGCCGCAATCACTATCGCTGCTGCCGATAACCAGGAGCCGCTAGCTGAGTCCGAAGAAAGTTTAATACTATCAGGTGAAGCCGCTGCTGATACGCATGCGACGTCAACTGAGGTCCCGGATTTTGCTGCGGATGAATTCGCTACCACTGAGGAAGATGGGGAAACTGCTACACCCGCCGTGGAGGATCAACACACTCCTGTAAGCCCGGCCATGTTTGGAGCAGCCGCCCAGTCGGTTGCGGACCGCCACCCAATTCTGGATGACGACACAGATTCTAATGCCTTTGCCAGTGTAACGAGTGCGGCCCAAGCAGCTTATTCTAGTGCCGTGGCCCTTGCTGCTGATCGTTACTCCAGTGCTTTCTCTGTTGTCTCCGCACAAGTGGAGGGTACATCCAGGCCAGTACATGAGCAACTATTCTCGTCTGTTTCCGCCGTTTATGATGGTGCTGTCTCTGCAGCTAGCAAGAAGTTCAACGACGCCGTTGCGGCCGCATCTTCTGGTGTTTATAACACCGCTCCCACACCAACCAAAAGCAGCAATCTTCCCGACTGGAAAAAAGTCGAATCGATTGCGGCCCAGCGACTGAGTGAGGGGAAGTTGTGGGCAGAGATTCAATACCAGAGTATACTGATTGCCCTCCAGCTGGCTACTCCTACTCCGACCTCGCCTTCTGAGAAGTATTACGAGCAGGCCAAGTATCACTATTACGCAGGGTTGGGAATGGCGCAAGATAGGTATTCAAGCTTCATGGCCGCAGCCTCGTCAGCGTGGTCGTCAGTGACGGCTACGGCTACGGCTACACCTACGCCAACGGACTTTGTGGGATCTGCCTCTTCAATGGCTTCGGTTGCGGGAAAGTCGGCGAGATCTGCAGTCGGTGCGGCCGATGATGCCGTTAAATCTGCCTATACAGCCGCCAGCCAGGGAGTCATGTCGGCTGCTCAGGATGCGGAGGACGCCATTCATCAAGTAGCAGATGCCGCCGCGGAGCAAGTCGTCAATGTTGCGGGCGCAGTTGCGGACACATGGGACGTTGTTGTCTCTGAACTGAGCATCGAAGTTTATGGCCAGCCCACGGCTATCGGGTGGTATGAAGGTGCAACGAAGACGGCTGGGTCTGCTGTCACGGCGGCCACCGAGGCGGTCGCTGCGGCCGCAGCTCAGCGTTATAATGCCATCAACAAAATGGTATCCGAGCTGGTGATTGGAAAAGAGCCCACATTTAGCGAGAGTGTCATGTCAAGGCTCAGCGCCATTTATTCTACGGCAACGTCCAATGTCGGCAGCGTGGCCAGCGAAGCCAGTGCTGCGGCTTCATCAGCAGGCGACAAGGTTGGAAGCGCAGCTAGTCGGGCGACCGAGGCCGTCAAAGGATCTGCTCAACAAGTACGAGACGAGTTGTGAAGTCTTCACGAAGGCTAGGTGTAAACCAGAGCAAAAGGGGGACGCAAGATGAGAGTATTGGATCTAACGAAATTTCCTTATTATCATTTTTTTTGTTTTATTTGGACGATACCCAATGTCATGCGGTGTGGTTGTCTGGCGAGAATCAACATTGGTTAGCGATGCTAAAAATAAAAGTACACTCTAATGAAGGCTGGATGCTGGAGGAACCGGCGGTTTTGTTGGTTTAATCATGGGCAAGTAAGCGAGAGCCTGGCCATGACCACCCGTCTTATGGGTTATGAGGTGTCTTGATGAACGCATGGAACACGAATTTCTGTTGGTGTATTACGAAGCGGGTGCGCATGCAACTACAGTACTTGATGAACTTTTGTAGAAACTCTCTGTAAGAGGTAGGGCTGAGATGTATATGCTTTCGACCATGGTGTTGCGTTAACAGTAGTGAAGCGGTGAATACCAAATGTCTATTAGTTAGGATCGCGTGTTGTGTAGCCCGGTGTGGCATGTGTATGTACAGTGTCTGTTGATCTGCCCGGATGACAGTTCTGATCTGATGATTCGGTTGGTTACGCCGGTCGTCGGTTGGGCAACTCCACCTCCACACAAAGAAGAGATCCGTGCAAACCTGGCGCCAGCGAAGCGTTCGCCCGTTGACGATTCTTGGCCGACTAGTGTTGAGGTCCCACAGGAGTAGTAGTTAGTAAGTAGCATGTACGGAGTACATACATAAGTACATATCAAGGAGTCGCCTGGAATGATTGGAGTACTTTTGGGGAGGATAGTCGAGATGCATTGTGACGGAAAGCTCCGCCCGCCGTTTGCCTGGAAGGATAGCGGTACTGGTGGTGAGTGATTTCTCTGGGCGAGATTGTGCGCCGGCTACATGCAAGATGATGTGAGAGGCCTCTTTAGGGCCGAGTGTCTGGAGGTGGCTGCGAGCCGGCTGAAAGCTAATTTGCACCACGTCAAAACAGAGAACCACTCAATTGGACCGAGTGGTTTGAAAAAACAGGTTGACGTTAAGCAGTTTCGTCGATGGCGTGTACTCTCGGCTGCAGGTTGATTGCTCGTAGTTTGCTGCATGGAGTAACAGTGAACCAACCGACCCACGTCATGCGAAGCCAAGCCTCGTGCCCCTGTCGTCGTCGACAAGGCGTTTCCTGCAGGAGAAGGACAGACTGATGCTTGCGCAAGCGAGAAGACGGACGCCAGACGTGAGTGACGATGTTTTGGGTGTCTGTCAGCATTCTGAGTGGGAAGCAGCTAGAATTGGCAGGAGCCACCGTGGTAGATGCAATCACGCACGTGCAAAAAATAGGAGAAAAAGAAAAAAACCAGACACAGAAAACAATGAGACACCAATGCAATATTCTCAGGTCAAGACACATATTGTACGGAGTACAATGGCTGCATCTGAATCAAGTTTGAGGCATAATAAATGCAGGCTGACCCTAGTTCAGGGCAAAAAGTCAATCCATTATCGAGCTGCAATCAGCAGACTTCCGCACCGCCTTGTCCATGCCAATTCTTGGCCACCCGCATCAGCCTCGCCTCTTCGCCCTCGTCATCCACTCGTTGTCGAGAACATCTTTAATATCTCACGCTACTCCGGACCCGCCGTCATTTTGGCTCCAAGCGCGCGACTTGGTCCACACTAGCCGACACCAGCGGTTCCTGTTCCTGGGGTCGTTTGGCCGTTTTTTTCATGTTTTTTTTCTATCGCGGCCAGACTCTGTCCTGTCATCTGCTTTACCCCGACCCTCGCGGCTTCATCACTCTTGTTGGCGATCTGGCGACTGCTGCTCAGAACTGACGAACAACCCGACATCTTGGCCACGCATGGAATACGTGCCCGGTTGACGTGTGTTTTTTTCGTCTTGGCTAATCCGAGTGCCTTCGGCCAGCAGCCGTCCACCGGGACAATCGCGTCGTGACTGTTGCAGTGAAGTCGTGAGAGCCGGAACCCGCCGCCTCCAACCGTCATTGAGCCATCGTCTCTGTCTCGACGAGCCCATTTCGTCGTGGTGAATGGCCTTGGGCGTGCAGCCAACCCCAGACCATTTATTTCCGTGAACCGCTCGTCTCTTCTCCCGGTCTAACTCGCCCCAACCGCCCAAGATGGCTTCAACCGGCGTCGACCGCCCTGCGCCGCCAAGCTACTCTGACCAGGAGAAAGCTGCTGTCCTTGGTGGTAAGCTGAATGACGGTTCCCATGCTGAGCCAGTGACTTCCCGCCGACTCTCTCTGTCTTCCGGTTCAAAGCACGACGCTACTCATCGCCAGCTCAAGTCCCGGCATATCCAACTCATCGGTATTGGTGGCACCATTGGCACCGCCCTCTATGTGCGTAAAGAATTGTACAATCCTTGATTCCATTGTTTTGTCTTGTTCGTCAAGTGCTCATGGCCGTGTCGTGCTGCCTGCAGGTTCAAATCGGCAAAGGCCTTTTAAATGGCGGCCCTGGCAGCTTGTTCATTGCCTTTAGTTTTTGGTGCACCTTTGTTCTCGCCATCACTTTGTGCATGGCCGAAATGGTGACTTACCTGCCCCTCTCATCGCCCTTTATCCGGTTTGCTGGTCGCTATGTGGACGAGGCCTTTGGATTCGCCGCTGGCTGGAATTTCTTCGTCCTGGAGGCTGCCCTGGTACCGTTTGAGGTCGTAGCCTGCAATTTCATTCTTCACTTTTGGACCGAGGCCATACCCACAGCTGCCGTTATAGTCATTGTCATTGTCCTGTATGCTCTGATTAACCTCCTGGCCGTCAAGTGGTACGGCGAGTCGGAGTTTTGGGCCGCCATCGGCAAGGTGGTGCTGATTGTAGGGCTCATCATCTTCACCTTTATTGTAATGGTTGGCGGTAATCCCAAAGGGGACCGCTTCGGATTCCGCTTCTGGAACGACCCTGGTGCTTTTGCTCCTCTTTACTACGAGGGTTCTCTGGGACAATGGCTAGGCTTCTTGCAGTGTTTGATCCAGGCTGCTTTTACCATTGCCGGTCCCGATTACGTTTCCATGGCTGCTGGCGAGGCTGAGAACCCGCGAAAGGTCATGCCTCGCGCCTACAATGCCGTCTTCTATCGACTAACGGCCTTTTTTGTCCTTGGGTCTCTATGCGTCGGCATCCTTGTCCCGTACAACGACAAGGAGCTGACGGCGGCCTTCAAGAACTCTGCCCCGGGAGCAGCCGGCTCGCCGTATGTCATTGCCATGAACCGTCTGGGCATCACTGTCCTACCTCACATCGTCAACGCCATGGTGCTGACAGCTGCCTTTTCTGCGGGCAACTCGTACGTCTACTGTGCGTCCCGTTCCTTGTACGGGCTGGCACTGGAAGGCAAGGCCCCCAAGTTCATGGCGAGATGCACTAGGAAGGGCGTACCCATTTACTGCGTCGGCTTTGTGCTGTTGTTTGCCCTCCTTGCCTTCCTTCAGCTGTCGGAAAACGCAGCCGTGGTGCTGGACTGGCTTGTCTCGCTGGTCACGGCTTCGCAGCTCATCAATTTCAGCTGCGTATGCGTATCATACCTCTGCTTTTACCGCGCTCTCCAAGTCCAGGGGATAAGCCGCGACTCCCTGCCCTATAAGGCGTGGTTGATGCCCTACGGCGCGTACTATGCGCTCGTGGCCACTGTCATCATGGTGTTTGTGGGAGGATATCCAGTGTTTCTGCCGGGCCGATGGAGCGTGGCCGACTTTTTGTTCTCGTAAGTCTGATCTCCATCCACCGCTGGGAAGTTGCTGACCTTTATAGATACACCATGCTTGCTGTATTTCCTGCCCTCTACATTGGATACAAAGTCATCCACAAGACGAAAATTCTCAAACCGGAGGAAATTGATCTGGTCAAGGACCTGGACACCATTGAGGACTATGAGCGCAATTATATTCCTCAACCGCCAGCGTATGTCTGTCTCTGAGTATTGACGTGTCCCTTTGACTAACTGTGATAGGAACCGATTTGAAAAGATGCTAGACCTGTTGTTTGGATAGGTAGATACCACACGGGATACATCTAATGAGACAATGTCTGCAGCCATGTTTGTGTGTCTGTTTGTGCCATTCGCACCATCATCCCTTCGTATACTAAAGCTGAAAATCGTAGTCGTAGCTGACCATGATATCCACCTTGCGGGTAACCACCTGGTTCCCAACCCGGCTGCGTATAATACAGAGATGATGCAGGATCGGCGGTGTCATATGCATGAGTGCCGTGGCTCGAAGCGTCAAGCATATTCTCGGATTCGCATGTTGCCACGCGGCTTCCCGGTTGCAACCGCCTCCTTGCCGTTTGTGCCCCTTTTCGCTGGCAGGCCATGCACTTGCCGCAGCCACGCACTGGAAAAAAGCAAATATTACGTCCCCGGCGAGATGGGCTCACTGCCGGAGATGAATACTTCGGCGAGGATACACTCGGTCACTAGCGTCCCGCGATACCGCCGCCATTCCTCGATGTCCCTTCGATGTCATGTCATGCGGCGAAGCTCCCTGGGTAGTCACACAACCGCTTCTCCACAAGTTTTGCCATGTAGCAGCGGCGTGACTAACACGGTCAAGAGGCTAGACATGTCCGATAGGGTTTACCACATCCCCCCAGGGCTGCTAGCTGAGATTTAAATGTCCGGTCGACGCTTCAGAAACAATTCTTCAATCCGACACACGCTGCCCGTCTCCCGCTTCTCACGGTCCCGATTCGAGAATGTCTCCTCCGCTACGAACCCTCGGCCGAAACGGCCCGCCCGTGGCCCCAGTCGGCCTCGGCTTCGGGAGCCTCGGCGGATTCTACGGACCACCGGGGACCCGGGACGAGCAGCTGGCCCTCCTGGACCGCGCGTACGCCGCCGGCCTGCGCTTCTGGGACCTGTCCGACGTCTACGGCGACGCGGAGGACCTCGTGGGCGAGTGGCTGGCGCGGTCAGGCCGACGCGACGACGTCTTCCTCGGCACAAGTTTTCGCTCCAGCCCGGCGCCGACGGGAGGCACACGTTCCGCTCTGACCCTGAGCACGTAAAGGCATCGTGTGACAAGAGCCTGGCCGCCCTGGGCGTTGCCACCATCGACCTATACTACTGCCATGCCGTGGACGGGGTCACGCCCATTGAGCGGACAGTCGAGGCTATGGTTGAGCTGAAGAAGTATTTTGCACTCCCCCTTCTAACTACCACATGAGAGGCGAGTTTCTCACCCGTCTCACAAATTTCAACAGCCAGGGTAAGATTCGACACCTCGGGCTCTCGGGAGTCTCGGCCGCCACGCTGCGAAGAGCGCATGCCGTGCACCCGATTGCCGCTCTGCAGTGGGAGTACAGCCTGTTCACGCTGGATATTGAATCGCCGCAAAATAATATTTTATCGACTTGCCGCGAGCTGGGCGTGGCGCTGGTGGCCTTTAGCCCTGTTGGGCGTGGCGTTCTCACGGGCCGGTTCCGGTCGTACCGGGACATTCCTGAGGGCGACCTGCGCCGCTTCTATCCCAAGTATGCGGAGGGCAACTTTGCCGAGATCCTGAAGCTGGTCGGGGGCGTGGAGGACGTGGCGAGGGATCGGGGGAGCACGCCGGCACAGGTGGCTATTGCGTGGCTGCTGGCCCAGGGACCGGACGTCATTGCCATCCCGGGCACCAAGTCGGCCTGTAGGATGGACGAGAACGCGGGCGCTGCGCTGCTCCGGCTGAGCGGTGAGGAGGTACGGGGGCTTCGGGACCTGGCGGAGCGGGTGGACATTAAGGGCACTCGGTACCCTGCTGCGTAAGTGGTATTGGCTTTTCTGTTACCTTGGTCGCGTCGTGTGTTGACTGGTTGGGTAGTGTTATGGCGACTCTGCACCAGGATACGCCTCCGTTGTAGGATTAAGGAAAGACGTGTTTCTGTGCCGGGAATGTTAGACCCCGGGGAATAGGGTGTTTGATGGGGTTGGAGGTTGCTATAAAGGCCGGATATTGGATGTTGAGCAATTTCGTGGGTTAGAGTGCACTTGTTAAGGATATGTGGATGGATATACGTCAAGATTAACCGTAATATGGCTAGGATATGGTTGTTGGTCTCTTGATTTGTCTGCTGCTATACGCTCATGCGCAGAAGTAATAAGCCCCCCTATCAGTCGTGTTTCTCTATGAATCGTGTGAGGAAACCGTGAGGCAAAGCAGATAGCCTTATGTGACTCCGACAACGCTTGAAGAGATGGCGTGCATTGTGTCTGGTAGGCCGATATGAGCGGTTTTCATTCTCTCATTCACTCAAGAGACAAGCTACCTGTAACATCAGTTCAAAAGATTAAACCGCTCATGAATACAACGGCAATCATTAGGTACATGCCCTTGGCTTCAATACACATGGCGAGCAACACTGATACTCTACAAGTACACACAAAGTCACACTCGCGTACTTTGGACATATTTCCCTGTGTTTTCAGCTTGTATATTCCTTATCAGTCTCCCGTGGAAATTGCGGCTCGAGCCACGATTCGACACCCGTCAGCCTGCCGCGCTCCCATGACTCTCATCTGCATGCCTGCCACCAAAGCCCTCCCCATATTCCTCTTTCCCATAACCAGCCCCTTTGTTCTTCTGGAAAGTAGTCCGACCCATCTAGCGATGAAGACAGGCGACTCCCCCACCCCACGCCGTATTAAATGTCCACCACTCCCACCACGGCCTCGTCCGGGATATCGTGCAGGAAGATCCATTCACGCTCCGAGTTGTGGTACGCCTTATCCGGGATCCATACACCCAAACGCTCGGCAAGAGGTCGCAGCTCGCGGAACTCGATCTGACCATGAACCTTGGAAACATCAATCTTGGTGACGGTAACGTGCTGTCGCCCCAGTTTCTCCTTGCGCCCCTCTGCAATGGAGAAGGCGACGTCTTCGTCATCGTAGACCGAAATAAATGGCGACTCGTAGTTGCTTCTCCAGTTCAGGTGATTTTGGAGATTCCATCGGAGCACGTCTGCTTGATCCCCGTACGTGGCACTGAGGTTGATGCTGGTTCTCCCCGTGGCCGATATCCCCTCGAAATTGGTTGTCACTGCCTGCGAATATTCATCCTCCACGCGGTAGAAGTACCTGTACCTGTACCTGTACTCGACCATTTTGAAGCCAAGAAGAGAAAGTCGATGCAAAGTGTTTTAAGCGCTCGGAAATAGGTTGTTGAGGAGTGTAGTGCGGGGGAGACGCGCGCGACGATACCCCAGCTCGGGCGCTGATGGGTGCCTGTCAGCACGGATCAATAATCTATTCGCTCAGCTACGTACAGGTTACAAAATGCGGATATTGCATATGTAGATGATGTGTACGGCGATGCGTGGAGCCTCGCGCTCCTTGTATCCGGATTCCAGACCCGCTTACAATCCTCTCTGTAGCTTGACCACCAACAGGATTCGGGAACCGCTTCTTGGTATCGTCGAGCTCAAGTGGCTGTTATTGCGTGACAGTCGACTGATTCGCAGGCAGGAATATTCATGCTCGTCCTCAGGGGCATCATACCTCCAGTGCCGGCACACTATGGCCACCGCGGACACGAGATGGATCGCTTTGCCGCGGCTTTGCGAGACAAGATGCAGAACTTCATGAGTACTGACCATGTTTGGACCAAGATGGTCGCTCATGGGCCGCATCCAGTCTACCAAGGCGCATGAATGCCGGATGGAGTCCACCCGGTCTGCAAGTTGGGTCGCTCGGGTTGATGCCGGCCTTGGAGTAGCGAGCGCGACATGCATCTCGTTGCCATCCAACAGCCCCCATGCTATTGAGGTGGCAGCCAAACCCTCGGTACGACGAGGGTACGCGAGTGAATAGAAAGGTGTCGGCAGCAGCATGATTCTCTTGTCAGGTGGTGCAGATGCCAGGTGCCATCTACCTTGGGCATGAAGACGGAGTTGCAGTATTGCGGCGCAAGGGACGAGTTGACGCCATCATCTGGCAAGCCGGCCGCGGGCACAATACCACGTAGAGGGCGGTTATCCTCGTGGGACATCGCGATCATGGCCTGGGAACTGTCCAAGCGGCGTATTCGGGCTCGGCTCCTAGGCTCACAGCAGGTACAAGGGCGGTCACGTCCCCCTGGCCCAAGTCATTCAGGTGGAGACACAGTCCCGGGTGCTTGATGCCGACCGCCCGGGCGAGGCCCCATAGCGGCGCGGCGCCGAGCCGCGGTGACCGCGTTCCGGGGACCCACACAACCGGCGGTGCGAAACGTGCCTGGGCTGCGGCCTGCAGCAAGGCCGGTGTCTTTGCCGCAAAGTACCTTGTCTGGTGCAACATGTGCGCATTATAAAGCCATAGGCAGAGCAGGCCTGCTACCTTGGTAGCTTCCTCAAGCCGGCCAGCGTGCAGGGTTTTTATGCCATCGCGAGACAGGGCGGTTTCGATCTCGGAAGCCCACGGCACCTCGCTGACCGGGCACAAAATGCCCCACCTGCCTGTTACGGTGAGCGGCGCAACACCGTCCCTCTCCCGACGGCTTTACAGGGCACTGCCGGCTTGATTGTATCGAATATTGCACCGTGTTCTATATTATCATAGCCTTACATTACAAGAACTACAAAAACAACAGAATACGACAGATCCGGCTCTTCTAATCCTTGTATTAAACGAAGAACGATTCCAGATAGCCTCTGATGCAACACGATCCGTCCGAAATCGATATTCCAACCTTCTGTCATCGCTAACACGGTGATGCCTAAGCTGGAGTGTTGCCACTTGAGCTACGACACGTTTATCCCGGTCGGCTCGGGAGGGGTGACGGCCAAGTGAACCAGACGAGGATTCAGTCGACTTACACCCACGAACCACCTGCCAAGTACGGGTCCCCGGGGGATCGAGCGGCTGACCGATACATTCATAAAGCGAGGTTGGGCAAGGCCGTCAGTGTCACCCTCCAGAGTTGGAAATGACCCTAGCAAGGGCTACTCGCGCATGTAGTCTTATACCCTCGACACGGGGGTAAAGCTCAGAAAGCCTGTTTCCTGCTGGCGCAAACGAAAATACTCTGGGTTTCGTCACCACAGGCTCGACGGGTTCTGCCCCGAATGCGCTGGCTAGCAAAGGAGAGGCCAAAAGGAAAGCGAGGATGTAGCGCGAGAGGAGCCAGGTCTTTGCTCTAGAACTGCAAGTGTCGACCTGAGAGACGCTGTGAAATGGCAATGCCCCCAGATGTTGCCCTTGACAAAAAAAAAAAAAAAGCTTATTCGGAACAATGACAATCTAGTAAAGAAAAGAAACGGGCAACCAATCCGCGTTGTATACAACTAGTCCCTGTGAGATATCCACGAACGCCGCAAACCACACGCGAATACCACCAGGTTTTTCGACATACACCCTACATGACACCTGACTAGTCGATTAAAAGCTGAAGGGATTTAAATCTTCCCGTCCCCAGCACATGCTCCTCGAGTCGTGACGATTGCAGCCGGAGCCGCTTGCAAGATTGACCCCATTAGGCAGGTCTTTCTCGAGAAATAACGGTCTTCCTTCACAGCAAGCATCCGTGCATCTACAACAGGCATAATGCCATGTCACTGTCCATTCTACTACCCAACGCTCAATAAGGGTAGAAGCACACTCGGATGTGATTGTCATACACGGCCACACCTCTATGCCTGGCTTCATTGTTACACACAACAAGGTTCCTCCTTGCTGTGCACATGGCAAAACTAAAAGCTACAACATGCAATGAGGTCTAGTTCCATGTAAAGCCGGAAACACTTATAGTGTTCAGCTTCACCGGCCAACGGACCGACTCTTCGTCCGGTGATGCCCCATCAGGGCGAAATACCCCAGCAAGTACTAGAATGAGGCACATGACGCTTTGATGTTGGCCTCGCGTACAATACACAATGGTTGGTTGGCAATCCAAGTACTACTGCCACAGAGGACAGGATATACGGGTATGCCCTCCATAAGACTCATGAACTCCGTCCCTGCAAGTGTGCGCGACGTAGCGAGACAGTAGAGGCTGTGCTGAGAACTATGATCTCACTCGGATGTCCGAGCCCCCGGGAGCGATTTCGTCATAGTCTTCGCACCACGATCTCAGGCGATCGAATCATCATTGTCATGTGAAAACCGTGCTTGCTTGGCGTCTCGACCAGTTTCTACAGCGCACACACTTGATTGGTTCAGATTCTTCCGCTAGTCGTGTTGTAACCGCACTCATTGCTCGCTCGACATAGTTCCGCAGAGATGGGTATTCATATTGATGTCTTGTTCAAGTCTCCTGTAATTTAACTACTTATGTATTCGCTAGCTATGTAATTATTTTTGAAGCAGCCACGCCTCTGACTGCGACTTGGGGTCCGTAAACGTGGCCAAAACATGCATGTACTCGTATTTGCTTCAAAATGCAACCAAAAAAAAGGGGTATAACCCACGCTGTTGCTGCGTCAGGTATCCGTCCTGAACATGTCCTGTAAAAAGGTATCCATCTAAAATATCCTGCAGAGGATAAAACATGCTTCTATGGGTGAAGTGCTCGCCTTCGTCCCAAAGAAGCCCACGTTTCGACTGTCCAAGGCTCAATTCAACACGCTATGCTGGCCCCCTCGTCCAAGTCATTCCATTTCATAGCCGCCGCGCTGTTGAAGCAGTCTCTCATTCACTCATATGCTCATTCAAGTTGCGAGTCTAAACGACAGTGTACGCGGTAGCTCGGAGTGCGGTCCTCGACCCATCCCCCAGAGCTAGAGCCTAGTAGTGTGCCACTCAGATGCCCTTGGCGAAGGCGGGAGACAATTCCCACCTATACAAAGTATTTGTACACCCAACAAACGCTGCGGGCCTCTCAGAAAATAGGCATGTACGCCTGGTTGACGTAGTCGATATTTTCGTCAAACGACTCGATCCTCTCGCCACACGTGCCAAAGAGCCTGTCCCACACGCGCGTCTGCTTGCCGTAGTTTTGGCTCTTTCTCCAGCCCTTGCGGTGATGCAAATCGTGGTCCTCGACGCAGAGCTCCATGTTTAGCGCGGTCAGGAGCCAGCTCAAGGTAGACGGAGCAGCGAGATGGACGCGGATGCCGCTGTGGCCCCAGACTTCGGTATACACGATGTACTGCTGACACATCCACCAGTTATAAAAGCCCAGCGGCATGCCCAGCGACCAGAAGGTGGCGTAGGTCAGGAACGGGACGACAACCATGTCGAAGAATTCCTGTTCTTCGTCGGCGTACGCGGATAATAGCGGGTTAGGGTGCTTGGTCAGGTGGTGGGTGCGGTGAAACTTCCACAAAAAGGGCACGTCGTGCATGGCGCGGTGGTAGACGTAGAACCAGAAGTCAAGAATAATGCCGTAGAGGCCCGTCTGGAAGTACAGCTTGGCCCACCACTGCCAGTCGCTCATGACGTCAAGCGGCGCCTGGGTAGGGGTGTAGCTGAACCAGACCATCATGGCGAGGCGCGCACCGATGGTCTTGTATATGGACCAGACGACTTTTCCGGCGCCGTGGTCGGGGACGCCATCGCGGTCGTGGGCGTCGCCGTCAAGGAAGCCGTGCTTGTGGCCGAGACGACGCAGGACGTGGACTTCCTTGACGATGATGGCGTTGAAGAGAATCATGTAGAAGTGGAAGGCGGCGTGCTTGCTGATATTCCAGCCCGTCAACGACACAAATGCCTGGTGTAGGGCCAAGGGAAGCAAGCCGTAGAACAGGATCCAGATATGTTGCGAGACTTGTCCCAGGTGTGGCACTTTATCGGACTTTGGGTGCTTGGGAACGGGTTGGTCCAGCGCAACGGGATGGACGCCGAAGAAGTCGATGGTCTTTTGGTACATGTTCCATGTGCTGCGGTCGTTGAGGCGCCATGTAGACTTCATCGAGTCTTTGTGGCGAACTGTTGTCGAAGCCGCAGCCGGCTGGGTCTGCGTTGCTGTCATGGCTGCAGCGGCTTCGGGAGTTGCGTCAATATGTCTATGTGGGTTGTGCTGTAACTCGAGCCTTTTGAGGCTTTGATTACTTGAGGAGGTACGGGTCTAAACAAGAAGGGGGAGAATCCGCCAGGGCAATCAAAGTGCAAATATGAATAGTCGAGAGATATCGTGTGGGAAGGGCGGGTTGTTGTATTTGACCCCAGACTTTATACCAACCCGTGGCAAGTCTTTGTTTTCTGGAGCCACGTTGTGCAAAGCTACCAGTCGACGCACATGCGCATGTGCAATTGTACCTGTCTGTGCATACCATACTACCACGGATTCCGACATGTGGTTCGCGATGGGGATGGACACGGACGAGGCTGTTCCCCCGGTAGCCCGTCACAACCGTCATGGGAACGGGGAGCCCCCAGTTTGGTCAGGTTTCGTCATGGCTTCCCCCACAATGCCACGACTAGTCAGGACATCGAAGCTTGTGAAAAGGGTTGAGGACCCAGTTTCGAGTCAATCGCGTTGTGACACTGACGATTTAGTCTTTTGTTGCGACTCGTTGATTCTCCCCGCCCCCACAGCCTCCAGATTTGCCTCCCTTCAAATGTTCCTGTCCGCCCTGCCCCTAACCCAGTTGGCACGTCTTGCTTTTGCCACAACCCGGGGCGTTGAAAACTTGAATCCAGATGAGACTAGTTTGCAGCCGAGAAGCCCGAACAAGCGCGGAGTATGGACGTCAAGGGCAGCGCCACGCACGTGCTTGGTGCTCCTGCCCAGGGCCAGCACCGGAACGGACACACGGTCCAAAGATTCGGCGGCTCAAGCAGGTCAACAAGTGGTGAGTCTGTGTGTGACCTTCAATGTTCTCTCACAGCGGCTAGCCGAGGTCAACGGCCCACCGGACTGGCTCAATCGCATCTTGCTCAACTGTATATAGAGCCCGTGGTGTTTTGGGCTTTTGGGGCTTTTGAAGGCATCTCTATCTCGTACAATTCTTGTCAACTCTTCCACTTGGGCGGCATCAATTGTCAATAGAGACCGCGGCGTTTGACATCGCAGCTCCACCGCCGAGGACTCATAGTTGCGTTTGGACACGGCCGTCGTCCCAATCCACCCACACACCTCACATCACCTCGCGTCTCGCAGCTCTCACCATGTCGCTGGTAAAACTGTCAGAATCCGCGCCCGTCAGGGGCCTGCAGTCGCTCAGCGCCGTAATTCAATCGCCCTATTTCTCCGGGCCTCTCCTCGCCGCGCTGCTCTATGCGCCCGACCACCTCAAGCAGCAGGTCCTGCAGCACCTCCCGCCCAACTTCAACATTGACGTTGCCAAAAATGTGCTCCAGGTCCTGCTGGGCCTGGGAGTCCTGAAAACCATCAACCAGGGCCTCAGCTCCATGGCCGCCAACAGCTGGCGCGTGACGGCGGCCAAGGGCTGGGACTGGCCCGGTGAAATCGCCGTCGTGACGGGCGGCTGTAGCGGAATCGGATATTGCATCGTCAAGCGTCTGGTAGCCCGTAGAGTCAAGGTCGCCATCCTAGATGTCCAAGACCCACCAAAGGACTTTGCCGCCGACCCTCTCGTTCGCTTCTACAAGTGTGATATCACGTCTCCCGACTCCGTGGCCAAGGCCGCCGACGCCATCCGGAAGGACCTGGGCCACCCGTCCATCCTGGTCAACAACGCCGGCATTACGAGGCCCCTGCCCATCCTCGAGATGCCCCAGGACTTTTTGCACAAGATCTTTGACGTCAACTGCCTGTCGCACTGGACCCTAGTGCAGCAGTTCCTCCCGCACATGATCAAAGTCAACAAGGGCCACATCATGACCGTGGCCAGCATGGCCTCCTTCATCGCCCTGCCCAGGGGTGCCGACTACTCGGCCACCAAGGCCGCTGCCCTGTCATTCCACGAGTCGCTGGCCATTGAGCTGAAGCACGTCTACAAGGCGGACAGCGTCCTGACCTCGGTTGCCCACCCCAACTTTGTACGGACGCCCCTGGTGCAGGACTTTGGCCACCATCTCGAGGAGGGCGGCATCCGCATGCTCACCCCCGACGGCGTCGCCAGCGTCATCACCGACCAGATCTTCAGGAAGCGAGGTGCTCAGCTCATTATCCCGGACAAGCAGTCTTCCCTTACCGGCATCCGCGGCTGGCCCACCTGGCTCAAGGTCATTCTGCTCGACCAGCTCGGCTCCAGCTCCAGCAAGGTCGGGTCTTGAAGGCAAATGAGACGCCCATTCGTCGCCTAGATGTCAATGGGGTGAGGGGAAGACGTGCGGCGGTGGATTTGTATGTACTTTGAAATTACCTAGTTGGAATTTGGGATACCTGATACCCAGGATGGAACTGATGGACGACGAGTGATTGGTGCAACGGAGAAGCACATGGCACAAGACTAGTAGGCTAGTTTCGAAATAGATTTCTCTCAGCGTTGTCAATGACACCAGTTCCGGCATGTGAAGCGGGCTCATGCATTTCTGTAGCCAATACCGTTCGAGCTTCGTCCGAAACAGGCAATTACCCAGACATGTCTAGTCCGTTCAAGACGAACAGTTCCTCCGATGCGCCGTCCGTTTATCGTATTGATATGTCAATTCTAGTATTGCCTGTCGCTGCCGGGCCTTTCTGGCATGGTGTGACAGAATTATGCAAGAGTTTTGTGACCGGAACTCGGAACGGCCAAGAAGAAATTTTCATTGTCTCCTGCTAGGCTTGAATGTGACGGCGATATGTCCAGGGAGTGGTCTGGGCTCTGGATAGCATCGATAATGGCAGAGCCATGCGAGAGTAAACGCACTAACTTGTCGGCACGCTTGGAAACTTGCGCACGTCTCTGCGACAGGTATGGTCAAATACGCAAGTCTGTAGGCGCTAAAAGTCCAATATTCTACTTGGCCACTGAGGAAAGGCGGAAACCGTTGCGCCGAGTGCACATTCAGCTCATCGATGGCCCATGACGTGTGGTGAAATGGTTCCTCGGAGGTGCCCAGGCGTCGCAGTCTGTAAAGCGGCCACTATGTCACTGCTATTTTGCCATCAGCCTTTGCTCGACTCGGTTTGCTCTGTTCCTGATCATGGGGCCAGCTACATACAGTAGCAGCACAGGCAAAATGGGGATATCCCATCTGCCTGCAGCGTCAAGAGAAACGGACTATAAAGAAAGGATAGCTGTCATATCGATTTTCGGTGTAATGCCGCGTGAAAATGGCCCCCCCAAAATTCATTCTCGTTCCTCGCTCACCTCTAAGCTTTTGTTTTCCTTTCCCCAGCGAAGCTCTGCCAGAACCTCACAATGTGTAGCTGCGTAATCGGTAACTGATTCCCGTCACGGGATGCAGGCTTGTAGAGAACTCGGGCCATCGAAACAGATGAAGTAACATATGGGCATGGCCTCGGGGAAATATTTCCGTTTCCCAGCCGTTGGAACGCACAGCCAACGGTAGGGAGTGCTCTGCCGAGAGGTTTACACCGACGATGAAAGAAGGGAGGTATTTTATAGTCTGTGCTCTTGTAAAGAAGGTGAGATGACCTTGTTTACTCGTATTCGAGGAGGGGGTTAGGCGGTTCCTCGATCAGGCATGAGGGGCATCACGAGCATGAAGGCAAGATGCATAGACATGTAGGAAGACTGGATGGTAAAGTGGTAGCCTGAATTGAGGCTAGCACCAATGAATGGGTCGATATCTTGCTTGAATCTCGGCAGCTGCACGCCAAGTGGCATGTTCTAACTGCCAAGTGTCGACGGTGCACGTGGTTAGTGCCAGAAAAGTACCAGAGAACATTAAAGGGACCGAGGGCTCATGCCAGGCTTAATCAGTGTTAGTTCAGGGCAACATTAGACAAGAACACATCCATCATTTCAAATTTTAAAGTTGACTTTATTTCGTACATGCTTACAGTATGTATTTGACATCTCCAGCAACCTCATCGCATGTTACAACTTGCCTTTCTTTCCCTCTTCCTTCAGCACAACTCTTTGTTCAATTCTTTGCGGGTTAGAAAAGTATGAAAAATTATGTGGGAGGCTCTATTTGTTTTAGAATGCCTTTTATGCGTCCTATGCGCCGTTTCTGTGCCTCTTCACTTGGTCGAGAATCACATCTTGTGATAAGGGCTCGGAACAAGTTCGTATTCAGCTAATACTTCGTTTTAATACCAAAGGTCCTTGGTTTTCCTCAAGGCCTTGAAGTTAAAGACGTCTTTAAATACAACCAGTCGGTGAGGGCCTTCTGCCCTAATCCCGTGACCGTGGCCCTTGTGTAACCAGCCATTTCCGTGTAACAAGCATGTATTGCAGCAGAGCTAATGAGAGAGAGACTTTTCTGTTTGTCAAGGAGGAAAAAGGTAGCGAAAGTGTGCAGGCGTAGCAGTAATGTCATAGTGCCTCACACGTGACTGTAGGTCCCAACATTTTCTACCGCCATTTGATGTGTTGATGGTAAGGTACGGAAGGTGAATCCCTTATGTTGGGTTAGGGACGTGGCCACCTAGGATGTTATATAATCCTTTTCCACTTTCGATGGCGTTTCTTACTTTTTTTACCGAACTGTTGACGGCCAAGTGCTTGATCAGTTCTGGGTCTGACAATTGACCACTCTCTGAGCGGTATGGTAGAGTGCTCATGTACCACTGGATGAGGGCGACCCGTTTAAGGAAGATCTTAACGCCGTTAATCTCCTCGACTTTTAACAAGGCCTCTAGATGGGCGCGCATTTGCACACGTGATGTGCCTGTCATGGATGGCAGCCGAAGGAGCCTATTGTAGTTGATGCCCCCGGCCGTGTATTTGACTGCCGCGGCGATCCTCGCCATTTGTACCAGTCCCCAAGGACCGCGTAAGTATGCTACTATGTTGACTTGATTTGTTGACAGCTTAGCAATAAGTTGTTCGTCAAGAATAGGCGCTAAGTGACAAAGCAGGTCGTTGATAAGCTTCATGTTGCCCAAGTACTTGGTGTTGTTGAGTGAGGGACTGTGGTTGGGATTGGTGTGGCAAACGTCCTGGTTAGTAGAAGTTATAAAGGTTAACTTCTTGAGCCCGTCGGTGGCAACACTTAGATCTCCTTTGAGGCCGGTTTTGTATCCATTGCGTATTGCGCGGTGCCGATAGTGTGAACAGTGACCGGTAGTATCCTGCTATTTTGGAGGTGTCTGACTGAGGAGAAAGGCAGACATGGTTTGTACGGGGATTGAGCGGGCATTTATACTTGAAATTTGTATCAATCTTCTCCCCACGGCCAACAGGTAGATTTGGCCCTGCCGGTCATGCACGGTTTGCTCACACTCCACTTTACTACCAGTTTAGAATTGTGTTGTTTGCATTCAAGTGATACCCTTGGACCCGTCACATGGCAAAGTGTGGTCTGACTCACTTCTTGGTATTCCCAGGATTATTTGGCAGTTCTCGTGCCCGTTTGCGAGGGCTGGAGCCAAGATGCCGTAACTCCTGAACGGGACATATATCTAGTCGCGGTCCATGACTTCAGGACGTCTTCACGGATATGTACTGGCACATGAGCCGCTCAAAGGGAGACATAGAAAGCTCAGGCCCCCGACGGGACATGGGAGTATGATGGTGTTGCCGATGGCGCTGTTGGCCCTGGTTTCACAGCAAACGGCGACAGCAACCTCTTGGCCAAGACCAGCGTTTGACCCGGCAGGAATCAATGCAACTTACTATGCATGATGCGCTACCTATGTGACTACCTTAATGGCGAAAACGAGACATCTTGATAATGGTGAATATGTAGCCCACGATGAGCTCGTGCTGGGCCGTAGGGTATTTCGATGACAATAAACAGAAATAGCCTGGCCTCGAGATGACCATGGGAGTGAATGAATCAAAAGAAGGTTGCGATTTAAACTGTAATAAGGCCTGCTCAAGATTTGCGACGAAATATGTGAGCCACAAGACGCCACCATGTCAGAGAGTCTGGTAGGTAGACGATGAACCAGGACGTGGAGCAGGCAGTAGCACAATCAACAAACATGATGGTCTTGCCTACATATGTATGTACATCTCTTCTCTTCCCGTCGTTTTCATCCTTTCATGTCCTGTCTCACCCAATAATGCATCTACATCGCCGACTTCCGCGCTGCCGAAACAAACATGAAGGCGCCGCAAACTGCGTGGCGTCTTGCGAGTTCCGCAAACGATCACATACCAAGCCTACCCAGTCTCAACTGCCACAAGACAAGACCGGACCAATGCAAACCGGCATCGATTTCTAGAAATACCCAACATGGCAACATGCTCATGCCACCACAAAGCCACAACGCAGCCCTACCCGTGATTCCCGCCGCCCCAACCGGAGATCCCGATACGCCGATGGCCCGTCCGCAACCCGGCAATCCATCTCCCTCATGACTGACATGGCCATCGGAAATAATGAATTGACCACAAACTAGTCGCACTAGTCGCACTAGTCGCAAGCACACCCCCAATAAGCCATACTCACGCATGTGAAAGTCATCCAAAGGCCTCAACCACGACAATTCCGTCACACATCCCCCTGGGCAATTTCATCCCAGCACCGGCTCGGCATCCGTCCGGGCAACAGCACAGCCGAAAACCAGGCATTTCGCCAAACCGCAGTCCGCAGATCCAACTAGCAGGAACAAAAGCATATCCCATCTTCTGCCAGGTAGCAGGGTCCTCCACCCTCGTCAACGGCCGCAATAAATATCCACGACACCCACACAATCCTCAACCCTCATCCCAACAACGACACAGATTCCAAAATGACAGCCCTCCTCCCCCTCGACCTCTCCAAAAACCTCTCCCTCTTCACGGTTCTATCTTCCCTCGCCCCCGTAACCAATCAACCCCCAAGCTAACAGGCCCCAGGTCCCCGCGGCATTCGGCCTCGCCCTCATCCCGCACCTCTACGCCGTAGGCTCAGCCGGCTTCACCATCTACGACAACTCCTACCCACGCGCCTACCGCGACACCCTGATAAAAGACACGTCCATTGACAAAGTCGTACGTTACGTCGCTGGCAAACCCCCCCAAGCAAAACCCACCGACTAACCAGCAGCCCGCCAGCGCAAGCAGCGCATCCTCCGCGCAGAGGCGTGCTCCCTCAACGGCCTCGAGACCATTGGCCTGTACGCCGCGTCCGTCATTGTCGGCAACTACGCCCAGCTCGGTACATCTACCCTCAACAGCCTGTCCATCGGGTATCTCGTGTCCCGGTGTGCCTACACCCTTTCCTACGTCTTCATCCGGAACCGGAGACTGTCCTGGCTCAGGACGGCCATCTGGCAGGTTACCGCTGCGTACATTGTCATGTTTTGGGTCAAGGCGGGATATAAGCTGCTATAGGGGCCTGCCATGGCCAAAAAAAAATAATACAAAATAAATAAATAAATAATAAAAAAAGACGTGGACGCCTTCCCAGGACTACAATTACCAATGGCGCGGGTGTCCATGTGCAGCCAGTCAAATGGAACAATACAGACAAAAACACTTGACGCAGCCTTGCTAGTACAAAAGTAACATTTAGTTCCATGTATTGCTTCTCATTCGCTAGATGAGGATTTAACAAAGATATAATCATATTGAATCGTCGTCTCATCCCTGGTTCTGCAGCCCTTCAGAGATCCCAAGTCCACCCCTGAAACTATGTACTTGCATTGTTTTATACTGATTTATATATTTCCTTGTTTCGGTTTTTTCCTTTCTCTAGCTGAGGTCGGCGCTCAGAGGAAGGTGGCGTGAGCTGCTGCCGACAAACACCTTCTTGGGAGCCTTGGTGATGACCCAGTTCTGAGACGCAGTGTCCCAGTTGCTAATCTCACGGCGGGTGATTTCGTGGCGGAATGTAACACTTTGTCCAGGAGCAATGCCCTCAATGCGGTTGAAGCCGCGGAGAACGCGGACGGGCTCGTTCTTGCCACCAAGGCTGATGTATAACTGGGGGATTTCGTCGCTCACGCGCTTGCCAGTGTTGGTGATTGTGGCAGAGACGGTGTACACGACATCCCATAGCTGGCGATTGCCACCGGGTTCGCCAGAAGACGCAAGCCTAGGCTGCGGCGAACCATCCGTAGCACCGGGAGGTAAGAATTGCTCCGCAGTCTGGCCGTAGTGAGGGTCACCAGAGGCTTCCTTGCCAGAAGCCGTCGTGTTGAGCCACGGATAGATAAACTGATAAACATAGCGAATAGAAGGAGGGAAGGCGTAATCCTTTAGGTTCGTGCTGAAATTGCCAAAAGTAGGGGCAGCTATCGTTTTGCCATTGGGCGGGGACATGGGGCGGACATCACGCTTCTCAACCTTGAGGTTCGAGTACTCAAAAGTGGACCATGATAGACCGTAGCCGAATTCATATATAGGAGCGCCGGTGCTGTTCTTGCCGGGCGCCACCTTGTCAAAGTGGCGGTAGTCAATGAAAGAGCCCTCAGTAAAGTCTTGCTGAGGGGCATCGTTGCCATTATTGGGCTTGTAGAGAACGTCAGTGCCATAGCTTTCACGAGTAGGACCCCAGGTGAAAGGAGAGCGTCCAGGGCTGGTCTTTCCGTAAAGAATGTCAGTGATGGAGTTGCCAGACTCCTGTCCTGGGAGACCGGCCCAGACAATGGCAGAAATGTTGGGGTTCTGGTACCAGTCCGTGACGAGGACAGGGCCAACACTATGAATGACAACAATAGTGTTGTGGCAAATAGATGAGACGTTCTTGATCAGATCGTCGCCGTTCTTCCAGAGTGTGAGGTTCTTGCGATCACCGGCGTTGCCGTCAACCTCAATATAGCCCTCGCCGCTGTCGGCGTTGACAAAAACGACTGCAGTGACATTGGGTTGAGCAACAACCCTCTGAGTAGCCGCCCATTGGTAGTTGCTAAGGACGCTCTCATATCGGGAGCCATCCTGGATAGCCTGGCGCTGGAGGGCACTGTCGGGGGTAATGAGGTAAGGGAATTGCGAAGTACCGGAACCCCAGAGCATGGCCAAAGTGCCATCGTCACATCCGCGATCATCACAGCCGTTGGGGCCTCTGGAGTTTTGGCCAGCATCCTCACCAACGACGGCAAGGAACTTGGGCTTATTTAGCGGCAATGACCCAGTGTTCTTGAGAATGACAGTTCCCTTGGCGGCGGACTCGCGAATGTGGGCAGCGTGGTTCCCACGGACATCTACTTGGAAGTTGACCTGTTCCCAGTTCTCCTTGGCAGCAGCCTGGCGGTAGCCGAACGTGTCGCGGGTCCATGAGCTGAAGCTGGTAGGGACCTGCTTGCCGGGCTTCATACCCACCTTGAAGAAAGAAGCCATGATTCGCATGGCCATGTCGTCGATACGATAGGCGGGGACGGTGCCATTGATGACGGCAAGGGTCAAGTTTCCGCCCCAGAAACTATAGCCAGTGTTGAACTCGGTATCACCAGGCATGCTCATGTCGAGGCCAGCAACTGCAGTGGCGGCACCCCCATGCTGGGCCTGCCAGTCACTCATTACAAATCCCTGGAAGCCCATTTCGTCCTTGAGAATTCCATTGAGGAGCTTTGAGTTCTGGCACGCGTAGGAGTTGTTGATCTGGTTATAGGAGCACATGATGGAACCAACTCCAGCCCTGATGGCATCGGCAAATGGCCAAGCGTAATCTTCGTGTAGAGTCTTGTCGTCGACATTGGAAGAAAGACTCTCGGAAATGTTGAATCCTCGTGGAACAGACTCGCCAGCTTGTCGAAAATGTTCTGCGAAATCGTTAGCTCAAGCCAACCCCCATCACTTCCCTGGCAAGTCAAGCCGTGTAGGTTATTTACCTTGCTCATTGGCGATGAAATGCTTGGCGCAAGCAATGACGCCCGACTCCTGAATACCAATAACAGTATTGGCAAGTCCCTTGCCCTGAAGGTAGGGATCAGAACCGAATCCCTCAGCGTTACGGCCACCAGTAGGGGCCCGGCCAAGAGGGCCACTGGCAGGACCAAGAGCGATATCAATACCCTTGTCCCTAGACTCAGCACCCAATGCCTTTCCACGGTCTCTCCAAAGATGCTCCGACCATGTCGCACCAGCAGTAATCCCAGCAGGGAAAGCGCTATTGTAGTCGGAAAGACGAATACCTAATGGGCCGTCCTGCAGACACAGAGCCCGGAGGCCCAACCGCGGAACAGCTCCACTATTACCAACGCAGTTGTCGCTCATCCATCTATGAGACATGTAAGTACAAAGTGGTGTTTGTCGTGGGCTTCGATACTCACCCGGTACCAGTCGTCAAATTGACCTTCTCAGCCAGAGTCATGCGCGATACAAAGTCCCTGGCCTGTTTGTAGGCGTCTTCCCAGCCTGGAGCCTGTGGGTTCATCCATGGCGACGGATAGTGGGGAGGGGAGGTGGCAAGTTCGGCTCGGGCATCAAGCTGCAACAGGATCTGAGTGTCAGCGAAGTCATAAAAATCGTCAAAACCTATAGCAATGGAGCTGGGCAGAGCGACTAGAGCTCCCACAACGACAAGAGCCCGCGTCATGTTGAATGGCGCTCCGTCGTTGAGGCGCGAAGGCTGTGTTTTGTCGATCCAAGGTAGGTTTCCCCACCCCACAGGGCGCAACCCACACTACACAAGGAATGCATGGAGAAGAACAACCAGGCACCGGTCTGCCATGGCTTGCTCGTGTTCAGGCTGAAAGTGGGGATCTTGAATCTGCCGGGTGGTTGGATTGGGGTAAATCTGGGCGGATCGGTCCATCGGATGCGCCAAGAGGCATGCTGAAGGTTGCCGGGCAGAGGTAGAGAAGCAAGGAGAAGAGGAGAAGACAGATTCCGGCCACAACTGACCATGGCCGTGTGCTCCAAACGAACGGCAGGCTTACCTTGTGGAAGTGTCCCGGTGTTGACAGGCCAGCATCTACCACAGCAGTGAGTAGAGCCGCTGCAAAGATGGACAATGACTTCATGATGTCGTCGCGATGTTTGAACTAGCGCAGGTCTTGTTCGTTTCTGACCCGTATTCTCGTCCAGAAGACGACGAGGAACAGAGTCGCGAACTTGAGTTGACGACGACGACTGGCTCGAAAAAAAAACATCTGTCCAGGAGGGTGGGCAACATGGGCTTCATATAAGATTTGCGCCAGAGGTCTCAGTTCGCCCCGGCACGACAACCGTCAAGGTGAAGGACAAGAGGACCGGGGGCATGAGCGGTCATGTGGATTTGGATTGTCGTCATGGTGCCAATGTTGGGTGTGAACGGGCCACGCGAGCCTTGGGCGAGACGGTCAAGTTACTTTCTTTTGCTGGTAGGTGGAGCATGTTTGCGTTTGTCGTTCTTTCTTTTCACGGCCCGCGATGCAATGCGGAATCCGGGTCGAGGAAGCATGGCAAGGCATGTCGTGATGGAGCCCCGTGCATGAATTCCAGGCTACGCGCACCGGCGTACTGCACTCGTGCCCTCGTACAACACACTCGATGCTAATACCAAGACTAATATTAATCCATCAATACGGAGTACGGATGGAGTATGTACGCCAGACACTTCCATGTAAAGTACTGACTGACCCAAGTTTCCCTTTGGACTTGGCGAGGTGGAGCGTTTGCTGTGGTGTGGTTTGCTCCAGTTTACATGCATGTACGGGGTACATCCTCGGTTCTCCGTGCATAGCAGCAATTAATGCATGTCTTAGGAACCGGATTGAAGTCTGGTCGGTTAGTTTGACGTGCAGGGGAACCACTTCCACTATCGCAGGCCACCTCAAGCCTCCTAGTGTACTCCGCACAGCCCCGTGCCAAACAGAGGTCTGCGTACAATCGTGTCCCATTATTCATTCTTGGAAGAAATACTCGGCCGTTGGGAAGACGCAGGCCTTGGCTCGACACGAGCATTTGACTTTGGACGAGACATGGACCCTCACGGACGTGTGGGGCAGAGAGGGCGCCCTGCAGTCTAGAGGTATCAGACATAGCTCTTGTTCCCGAGCCTTCATGTTTGAATGTTGGAACATTGAAGGTTCATAGAAACAGGATTAGCGGGGGGTTGGCGTCGCCCACCGCGTGCTTGGCTCTGCTAGCCTCACCCGGCATCATTCAATGTCGCCAGTTGAGAGCCAGGCTTTCTATGTGAATGCCGCCATCAAGCCACCGCCGTGGACGGCCCGGTGGCGTTCGGCTGGCTGTGACAATTGTGCGCCTCAGCCACCGAGGTACTTGTGCGCAATCTAAATAAAGTTGTGCAGCTGATGAACAGCTAGCTGACAGTTGTTAACAATGGCATTGAGAGCTCATGCCAAGCCTTGCATACATTGTAAGTCGGACAATGGCTTTTCTACTGCATCCTGCTCAGACATCAACGGCCAATCCAATCTCCGCGCTTTATCAACCACCAGACCACAAAGCACCCAGTTCATCTATTATTGTCTGCTCTGTAGGCCAACAGCTACTCCGTACATGGCCATGTAATGGCATCTGCTGCCCTACCAGGCTATCTCCACTTTAGATCGATCAATGTCAGCTAGAAAGCATGCTGACGACAAATACTCCGACAATTTTCTATGTATGCAAGAAATACAGAGCAAGCAGAAAAGGGCCGATAATACTTCCACACAGGTCAGACGATGTGTTCATCGCATTGGCACCGTTCTCTTCCAAGGTTTCGGCCAAGCCACGGAGGTAAACCGAGACGCGCCATCATGATGGCTATCCAGATAATCTCTAATAAAGGGTGCTTCAACCCCTGTCCAACGCCATGCATCAACTTAACATCCCACGCGAGTTATCAGGGCTCCGAACATCGTCTAGGTTGCATTAACGCGGGGACATGTCCAGCGAAGGGTTGTCGATGACACGATGGAAACACCCAGCTTGGTATCATGGCCCCGCTATGTCACTCCATAACGATCCTGCATCAGTACGTAAAGTACAATATTCTCGCCTATTTCTGGTCCCTGCATCTCCCGCTGATACCAATATGCCGTATGAGGAAGGCAATAACCCATGACGCAAAATATTATAGGAAAATCCGATTCAATATTTTGACAGAGAGCGGTACTCGACAAGTTGGCTTCGATTGTCGTCGGTCTGAAACCCTCAGGAACATCGCCTCTCCTCTTACAATGCGAACATGGATTCAACCCATTTGGTCTGCTCCACGCATGAAGAGCATAGTTCCTATCCCTTCAATCTACAAGACACAATACCTACCCGATATGAACAAGCTTGTACATGCAAATCCTCAATAATAGCACACCGACCCTCGGAGCGGACTTCGAAATAAATGTTCCTAAGGAGTACTCTGTACACCTTTAGCATTACCACTATAGTAGTCATAACACCATTCTCCACCACGTGTCTATACACAAAAACTGGCGTCCATTAACAACACGGCTCGGCCACTAGCCGACATATTCCATTCGGGAAGTTGTCGGGATTCAGCTCCGTCAATCGACTTGAATCAGTCCAGCTTAGCCTTGGCCCAGATGGGTTGACTATACTACTACTGTGTTACGTGTATCACTGTTTATACTTGTGCACTGGTGCCTGGTCAATCATTCCCGCATTATCTTAGCGAGGAACCAGGAATCTCGATTCTGCAATGCAGTCAACTCGAGACATGCAACATTGACAATTGCGGATGACGGTACTCCGTACTCACGTACCACAACTCATCAAATATATCGAATGTGCTTGAAACAGTCATTTGGCCCGCGTTGTACTGCGGCCGCTATTCCCCGACTTGGGCGCCGGCATCTGGAGGAAATTACACACGTACCATCCCCAGCCGCCACTGACAGCCGACAGGGGGGTTAATCGTTCCTACTCCGCATTGCTGTACCTCCTAACCCCCAAGTTTTATCCCCGCAATGTTGTTCAGCCTCGAAGAGTCTGGTGGGATCCCGAGCAGTTAGCGTGCGTTCTTTTCGGGCCGTTTGCACGCCTTACACAATAGTATAGTCGGGGAGCTTCGCTCGCTCACGATCGGCCTTTTGTTGTCTAGATTTTGGTAAAAGCTCGGAAGCGCAAAAGCTTGGCCAAATGAGAATGGTCATGGGACGGACCACACGTGGTATGATTGACTGCTCACGATTTCTCCGGTTCTCCTCAGAGAATCACTCACAGTGGGGAAGCATGGGGACCAGTCGGCACTTCGCCTCGCGTACCCGGACAAACTTGTTTCATGGTCTTGTTAACCGCCTTTCCAAGCCGTCTACGGAGTAAAGCCGTCTGTCGGCGAAATATAATGGCGCTCACAACAGAGCGTAAACCACAAAAACGTACCAGGTAAGTAGTCATGACTCATGACTCATAAACTGGTGAATAACACAGCAGGGAATCCCCCGGTGGCCATGTCGAGCGGCAGCATGCGAGCATGCTGTGTTTCCCTTGCTGCGGAACATCAACCGCGTCTAGATGACGTTTCCCTTCCCGGCTTAACATGCCTTGATTCTCGGCTTAACTATGGTCTATATAATACTAGCTGCAGAATCGAATGTGGTAGAATTGCAGCCAAGTATGTGGGCTTGATTTTAGGTTAGTTTCCTAAACCACTTGTGTAAGTCATTATGAGGCTTGGCTGAAGAACACGCCGTCGCACAAACTTGCGATGCTCGTAGATGCTCGAGCATGCCGCTGTAAAATTTCTGAGCAAATTTCATCCAACGTCCCCCGGGCACTTGCTGTAATGAATAGACACATTCCTTATTCACTGGCTCAATAATTTGGCACTGTATTCTGCTGAATGGCCCATGTGGTCTGGTTGTTATTGTTGTTTGTTTTAGTCCAAGACCAACATTGAATGTTATTGTCTCATACGCGCAAAGACAAAGTGCACTACCCTATACATGTGTACTGCATACCAGACAAGGTTTCGCGACTTCTCCAAGACACAGTTCTCATTGATGTTTATCAGCTTTGTGTTGCAAGAAGAAGTGTCTTAAAATGTCGGTTGGCCTTGCACCTGTGTTCATGCTGTTGCCTACCAGACTCTTCCCAACATCTGCGCGAACGGGAGCTAGGATCCCTTCCCCTTCTGTTCCATCTCATCACCTACCAAAAGCATCCGGTCAAGCTTATTCAATTTATAATGGGCTGCACTCTCGACGTAAATGTCAGACACGCGGGGTTCTGTCGTTGGATTGTTCCAATGCACTTTCGTTGCTGGGCTAAAGATCGGATAAAATATCCGTGACGTCTAACGGCACGCAAAGCCAGTATAGATACAATTGTTGTTGATGCAATCTTATTAGGGTGCAAAGCTTATTAGTACAGCTCTAACAGGGTACATTGTCCCTCGTATCGAAAACCACAGTCGTGGTAAAGTCATGTTCAGATGTAGTCCGCCCAACCGTCCGGTTTGACTCAGACTCCCACTCTTCCCCTACTGGTATCGAGACCCTCTTGTCCTTTGTTTCTTCGTTTGCACAACCACCTAATAAATACCAGGGATGATTCTCCAACGCACAATCTTCTTGTATTTATCCCAGTCCTCACCGTACTTGCGATGGCACTTCTCGTCGTCGCGACGCTCACGATGAATAAGCAGCACGGCAAAGTATACAATGTAGAAGTAGGTAATGGGGACAGCCCAGCCTCGCGCATTGCCCTGAATAACCTCCCGGCCGTCCTTCATGATGTACGCGCCTTGGCCGGCGGCGCCTGCGCCAGCAGCCATAATCTGGTAGCCAGCAAGTCCGGTGGGGAGACTGTATGGCCAAGACTGGATCCAATCGCCAAGATAGTTGATGTGACGAGCGATTCCCCACCAGCCTGTGATTAGAAGCTTGCTGCCCGTGTTGGTCTCAATGTACTTCAGGTGAGCGACACTGGGGTCATTGGGGTTTGTGCGGAAAGTGTTCTTCTGGCTGTTGGCGGAGCGGAAGATGTAGAAGCCAAGGCTGATGAGGGAAAGGGTACCTGCGAGGCCGGCGGGACCAAGCGACAGAGGATGCACGGAGAGGTATCGAGTTTGCATGGAGTAGACAAAGGGCACCCAGACAAGGTCGCCAAAGGCAAGCATCATGCCAAAACCGTCAGTCGTGATGTCCATAGTTGTTAGAATAGCAGGCTCAAACCACCACGAATCTATTATGTAGAGGGCCTGCACAATCGTGATGCAGATGATGCTGTCGGTGACGAAGCCAAAGTTGCGGTACTGCTGAGCACACCAAGCGCAGTTAAGGATGATCCAGCCCATCATACCAGGTCTCAGCTCGCACCACTCCTTGAGGTCAACTTCTCCAATCAAGGGGATTGTGACGCGAGGGTTGAGCTCGCGGCCAATGAACCAGTCATAGAGCAGGTTGCCAGTGCAGCCGCCGGCTGCAAGCTCGCGAAATTGCGTGTTTCCAGGTTTGACGCTGAAGCTGCGGACGTACACAAAAGTGGCGATTGCATAGGAAATCCCGATATTTGCCGTCAGAATCTGGAGGTAGTTCTCGCTGATAAAGACCCAAACGGGGAATTCGACGCCTTGAGCAACAGTTCCGGCTGCGAGGGCTGCCAAAGTAGCCGTGTTGGAGTAGAACGCTGCCGGGTAATTAGCTGCTTGAGCACTCGGACGATTGGGAGCTGTGTAGCTACATACTGTTGAATCGGTACTTGAGACGGCCGCCGGAGCTCAAGACGGTCCCGTCTACCTCGGTCGCAGGCAAAACGCGGTACAAAATGAGGTTCAGCAAGTAGTAGGCAAGAACTGCACCAGTCGCTTCCCAGCTGGCGAGACCCCATATTCCATTCTGTGGCCAACCGACTTCAATCTTCAACTGCTCTAGTGACAAGGGGCGCGGACCTAGCAGCGATGGCGCAGGGCATCCGGATATGTCGTTGCACACGAAAGTGAAGACGTAGACGAGGATGGGTAGACCAAACGAGATGCCAAAGGCGCCGGGACTAAAGAAAAAAATCCAATCAGAACAGACTCTAGTGTTGATGGCTATGGATGACTTACGGGCCGAAGAACTCGTATCCGTGCTTAGCCGGAGGTGCAGACTTGGCCGCAGTTTTTGATGAGGACATGTTGCGAGCTGTATGACGAGTATTGCCTAAACGCGAAGCAGTTCGAAACGCCTAGATGGAGGGCTGGCCAATATGCAGCAGAAAAAGGAAGCCCAGCGCCTATTTAAGGCCGACTGTAGGCTTTTCAATGACTGTACGACGAGCGCTTGAAGACGTGACGACCAGGTGTGCGAAGACTGGCCCGGCTCCTCCTGAATCCGATGAAGGTCGCAAACTTCTGATTGAAGCTAGGGATCCGCATCGTCTCAGCGAGGGTTCAATGACAGCATTGAACCCGAAGCGGCTTAGCTCTCCCGGCAGGGAGATGAGCCCAAGCCCAGCAGGTAGCCAGCCGGATGAATTATTTTGCCGGGGCGGGCGAACATGAAGCCACACGCACTAAGCGGGAGCTTTGTTATGCGGCTGCGTTCGGTCACACCTTCTCTCAAGTCTGCCTGAAGTCAAGTTGCATGTGCACAGCCTAGGTTGGGAGCTTATTCGCCCACTTGATGTGGCCAGTTGTCGCAACCTAGAACAAATCGCGGAGCAGCCTAGTGGCTGAGACTTTTCACCAAAGGCACCGACCAACCTTTAGTGTCGTTCGCTACTTTTCACTGCAAATCGCTTGTTCCAATCTATTTGGCTTAATTTGTAGATTCTTCTTCTTTTTCTTCCTATTTTTGGCCAATGTTCAGAGAGCAATTGATGATAAGACTCCAACCAGACAGTACTCTATCGCCGCGCCGTGAGCGCTCATCCAACCTCGTCGAGCACGTTCCCTGCTAAGCCACGACAATCGCCTCACCTCCTACAAGATGCGAACGAGTTTCTTAAGTTCGGCACTGGTGGTCGCTTCGTTTGCCGCCGCAAAAGAAGCCCCATCATCGACCACGCATGCGCCAGCGTGCACTGCGACTGCGTCCTCCGGGACAGGCGGTTTCTTCGACCTGCGACCTGATACAGCTCACCCTTCCGAGAAGGGAAAGCAGCACAAGACGGCCCTTGCAAAAGACTACCATGCAAGAGGTTATGATTATGGCAAGAACTTTACTCTGAACATATGCGGAGCGGTTGTGGACCCCGTAACTGAGGTGGTGGGAATCTCCAAGAGCCAATGGACCAACGTCAGCGCATACTACATGTCTCATGGAAGCATCTATTCTATAGGGTTGGTCTGGCGAATGATTGCAACCAGAGTATTCGGGATACTAACCGTCTTGCTCAGATCCGAATCGATGGACTTGGTGAGTCGTGGCCGCAAGCTGGTCTTGCAGTATACCGGTGGCTCGCCGTGCGGTACCACCAAATCGAACAAGAGTACCCGGACTCCTTCATCGCCCTCAGCCAACTACAATTACGCAAACAAGGAGTCGGCCTTGACCAACCAGCCTCACCAGGTGGAAACCCTGAAAGACGACAAGGAAGAGAAATCGTCACGAAGAAAGTCCACTACCATTTCCTTCCTTTGTGACCGAGACCCCTCCAGCTCCCAAGCAAGCATATCGTTCGTCGGTGTCGACGAAGATGAATGCTCATACTTTTTCGAAGGCCGCTCTATTCACGCATGTGCGCAAGCAGAGCCACACAAGCCAGGAAGTGTAGGCCCTGGCAGCGTGTTTGGCATCATTTTGGTTGTCGCTTTCCTTGTGTACGTCCTCGGTGGTGTATTCTACAACCGAACCATCTCCAACGCACGAGGATGGCGCCAATTGCCGAATTATAGTCTCTGGGCAGGTATTTGGAGTTTCTTTAGTGTGCGTATACCTGGCAGACACCGCCTAGGGCGCAAGATACTAACCATGATTCCTAGGATATGTTCGTCATTGCATTTTCCTCGTGTGCAAGGTGTCTTCCCGGCCGACGAGGCTACAGCCATCTCAGTTCGAGTCCACGAAATCGAAACTCTGATGCAGAAAACCGACTCATTGACCAGTTGGACGAGGAATGGGACGATTAAACTGTTTCAAGTAAGGATTATTCTTTGAATCACATTTCTCGTATGTACTAGGGTATACTTTCTTCTTCGACAGTACCGAAGCACGGGATTTGTACCGTTTTTTGTGAGCATATCTGGCGTTTTTGGGATGGGACATGGAGAAAGACTTTTTTCTCTGTTTATTTGACGGTGCTAAACAGCGCAGATCTAAGAATACTAGACGAAATCTTGCAAAATTTTCTCTGAACACGGTGAGCCACGTTTTGCTTGGAGGCGTGACTTGACTGGTTGAACGTAACATCCTTCCCGTCTCGTGCCTCGTCCCTGGGACAAGGGCACTGTCCCGTGAGAGTGTCGACGATTGATGGAATCGAAACTGCTGCGAGCAACATGCGAAAGACCATTTGTAGCGCGGCCTAGTGGCCTGCGCTCTGCTCTCCAGCGGTGCAACCATTAACTTGGCTGGTGGTGGCTTTTCCCTTGGCGCTATTGATCTATGTGGCATCTATCGTCAGTATCTCCACTCTCGATTAAAATGTTTTGTTGTCATACCGTCATGGTGAGGAACTCGCTGTTCAGTCTCGAGACGTCCAGGCTATTGCGGCCGGAGCGCGAATTATCACCTATGAAGCCTAGGATATAATCTTTGGCAACACAAGGTGGGAAACAGGGGCCATGGAGACACCGATCGCGTGAGACTTTTTTACCAACACGATTGTCTAGACGACGGGCATCGCCGCTTATTCCAAGGACTCGACGGGAACCATGACGCGTTCTGACGACTCGAACGGCATTGGGCTGTCGTCGTCGGTAGAATCGAGAATCGAGGAATGGTACGTAGACTTCTTGATTGGTACCCGTGGTTTGTCGTCCTTGTTGGCGAGCTGGACCACGAGGGGCATCCGTGGTTTGTGGATGGGGGACTTGATTGCTGTCGAATTTCGGGGTTCCGCGTTGCGAATCCGTCGCTGGATCATGTGCAAGCACGGATCGATTTTGTCCACCGGAAGGGTTCTGGTTTGCATTCAGAGTATCGGCTTGCGCAAAGCTGTTTGCGCAAGCTTCAGCGCGCATGTTGGGCGACATACGAGGGTCTTTTTGGGTTGTGGTTGAATAGAAACGGAGTCTGAAATATGAAACGGAGCCTGAAATATCCGACAATAATGGACGCAAAGGAAGAGCAATGCCGCTCCATATATACAAGCTGACTTGGGTGGTGCCGTGCCTAGGTAAAGCTGGACGGGCTTTGGTTGTTCATCGATCAACATCGTATTGGCTTGGGACATCTACCCGCTCTACATCCGCCCAAGGCTTGAACACTTTGGAAACGGAAGCTGAAGAAGACAAAGGCCACGGGCGTTGTGTGAGATTCACACGGTTTGGCAAGAACGCAACACCAAGGACGAGGAGGACACGAGTTGCATATCGCGGAACAAAATGCGTGTATCGTGCTGGAGTGTCTTGCCTGTTCGAACATGTACCATTCATTACACTTGAGCTTGACCTCTCATTGAATCGGGTTTCTTCAGTAAGGGCAGCATGAAGACCAACGCCGTCCTTCTTTGTGCGACCTTGGATTCCGACGCAGAACCAGGGATTTCAACTGCGCATGGACGGATTGTAATCAGTTCCGTCAGACATGTGATGCCAACCATGAGAACGGACCATGTTCAAAAAGAGACATGGATTTCTTTGGACTCTGGCCCGTTAACGAAAACCTGCCCGGCCTCTCAACAAAGCCGGTTTTTGTTCCACAGCAGCCAGTTTTTTGAGCTCTTTCAACACCGCTACCATGTCTTTGTGCAAAATTCTTGCTCACTCCGAGCAGCCACCATTTCTGAAAGGATTGTTGGGACCGGAGGACCTGACTAACTCATCACGCTGGACAATACTTAACCGCGGGAACCGACCTCATGCAGTCGTCGGCTTCACTCATACCATCAAACACCAACATCCCTCACATCATAGGTCAACAGCATTGCCAGCCCTACAAACTAGAGAACGTCCAGCATGAGCGACAAAAAATTCCTATCAGCCGCCCGCTTCCTCGCTGAGGCTGTTCACGCTGCCGCCGACGATGGCAAGAAGAAGAAGAAGAAGAATGGCGACAAAACCTCCCAGCAAACCCCCGGCATGAGCAGCGACGACATCAAGGAACTCGGCTCTGTGGCTCTCGGTGTTTTCAAAAAGATTGCTGATACCAAACCCAAAAATGGCGACAAAAATGCCCAAAGAGCCTTCAGCATGAGCAGCGACAACATGAAAGAAGTCGCCCCCGTGCTCATCCATGCAATAGCCGAGTATGCGGATGGCAAGGCCAAGAAAGGCGACCAAACTGCAAAACAAGGCCTCGGCACGAGCAGCGACGACGCGACGGAATCCATCTCATCGCCTGTCGCGGCTGCTACCACACCTTCTCGGGCTGGAGCGAAAGACGGCGACAAAGCTACCGAACGGTCAGGAACAAAGTTGATAGCGAAGATGTTGAAGGAATCCATCAAGTTTGCGCCCAAAGTTGTCGACATTTTGGTCGAACAGCAGAAGAAGGCGTCGCAGGAAGCGTCCCGGAAAGCCTAGTAGTTCGATGACGACTCTGTTGAAGGCTGCTTCTGCCCGTTTGGGCAATGCCATTCGGTCATGCTGGTCCTGACAGCAAGAGCCGTTGTGTTACTCGGACGAATCACTTTACGTCCAGACTGGCCGGTTTCGACGGGCTTTCACGACACGAATCATCTGTCGGGGTTGCCGACCTCATCTTCATCATCTTGTCTGATCTGCTCTGTACTCTGGAAGTATCTGATCCGGCAGATTGCTATAATTTCTGTTTGTCCATGGCACGACGCAAAAGGCTCCACTAGCTTCGCGACCATGTTAAGTTTTGGGCTTGGGCAAAAAGTCCTTTATGTCGGTGGTGCCAGTCCAAGGATGAGTGCTTGCGCGTCGATTTTTCTTCACATCCACAGGCAAATTGTACTAGGAGTATACCATGTTCAAAGTCATGTCAATATATTATCATCAGCCACGCAAGCCTTCTCAATTATTGCCCCAACAAAATCCCCACTCAAAGCAGTCTCGTAGCCTCACACTCCCGTGACAAGAACCCTCAAACTCGACTTTCAAAAAGTCCATGTGCGTTGCCGAATCTCACAGCGTAGGCCTTTTCCTCCTCACCGCCAAATACCTCCTCCACGTCCCTGTCAAATGCAGATATTCCCGCGGCCGCCATGGCCCAAGGCGTAAAGGGCGTATCCGACCCCCACACGATATTCGTGTAATCGACCCATCGCACAAGCGACGGAATAGCAAACCTGGCTGGCCACGGGCCCGCAAGGTCAAAGTAGAAGCTCCTCGCGAGCGTCTCCCTCACAAACGCCTGCGTCAGATTCAGCCCGGGGTACAGCGAGCTGTAGCCGACGACGCGGTCGAGGGTGGGAACCAGGCCGCCCCCCGCGTGCGGGATGATCCATTTGATGCGTGCGAAGCGGCCCGGCACCTTGGAGTACAAGAGGTCGGCGAATGTGCGCGCCGTGTCGAAGGGGAAGTCGAGCGTCGGCGCGGCGAGTTGTCGATTCGCCACGGGCCGGTTCAGCGCCTGCCATTCCTTTTGCGCGACGGGGGGCGCTTCGCCGTTGGTGTGGAATCGTACGTGGTTATGCTCGGTGCACGGCGTCGTCGGGTGCTCGAAGACGGTGGCGTTCAGCTCGTCCAGCGCCTTGTAGACGGGGCTCAGGGCCGGGTCGCCGAGGTACATGCCGTAGTAGTTGGACATGAGGACGACGCCGTCTGGTTTTGGGTCGAGCTCGTGGAAGCAGTGGTGGATTTCGTCGAGGGCGGCCTGGATGTCTGGGAGCGGGAGCGACGCGAAGAAGCCGAATCGATGGGGGTGTTGGGCCTTGAGGCGCGATGCGTATTCATTGACCTGGCGGGCGAGCCTTGTGGCATTGGTGGTTGCGATGGTTGAGGGCACGGTGAGATAGACGCCAGGACTGGAAATCGACAAGTAGGCCTTGGTGATGTTTTGCGCATGCATAAAGTCCAAGTGTGTATCGGGGTCCCAGGCCTACATGGCGGAGGAGAGGGTGTTAGGGACGAAGGGCGTCTTGGTTTGATGGGTGAAGGAGACAAACCGGGATGGCGGGCATGCCATCGGGACCGGGTACGTGCCCGGCATCTCGAAGGGCTTGGGCGTAGAAGTCGGGAATGAAGTGAGCATGGACGTCGATCTTGCTCGTTGATGGATTGGAGACTGCTCCCGAGGAAGACGCAGCCAGAGAGCCGCCTAGGAGTGTAGAGGGCTTCATCGCAGCCTACGATGATGAGATGAGCCTAGGGTGTGTGCAATGTCGAGCTTGTACATGCGCTCGCCTGAAGAGTTCTTATCTAGCCTTACGTGAGATGATGACAACCCTGTGCCGAGTCTGCTGACTCCTGTACGACATGACGTTGGCTCGGTGATGATCCAAGACATGGGTGAATTCTCGCCTCCTGACCGTCGTGGAAGATGCTAAACACTGTCATTTCCCGCCATGGACAATGGCTCACCAGTTGACGTCCAAAATGGTGTCTTTGCTGTCGACTAACACGGCAGGGTAACACGTACGCGCCCGAGTTATTGAACAGCATGGCCATGTCCTCGAACAGTTTAGATACCTAGTACCTACCAGGCAGGTATGTATTCCACGCCGCCAAGTACTGTTATAAGTCATCTTGGCCCTCATGTCCAGCCTTTGAGGAACCAACCCTGGCACAACCACAGCTTCCTTGCCACGACTAAGTCTCAAATACTTGACCTCCACGGTTGGACAATTGCCACAAGTCTTGAGACCATCTTGCCACGGTTCTTCAGCAATAATTTCCGAGTTGAAGTGAATTTGCGAGGGGACGCAAGAGTTTGAGACTTGCGACTGCACCCAAGGCGTGTCACACAAGATTCGGACTCCCCCCCCTTGACGTGAGCCAACAAAAACCAAGCCAAGTTGGCCGGCACCATGCTGCTATCGAATCGGTACATTCCTGCGTAGAATGGACGAAAATGGCATATTCCGTTTGTGTCGAGTGCCAAAAAAAGAAAACCGCCGCGTCTACATGGTGCGCCGCCATGAACCCCGTTCCACGGTAGAATTTTCTCGCAGCCCGTTTCCCAGCCACGCCATTCGCCAAACATGGAAACCTGCATGGCCCAAGGACGATTTCGGACATGGGAAATCTGGGTCTCCAGGAAATTTCTGAGTCAGAACCGTGCTCTCGCAATAAAAGAGTCCCGGGCCAGCGGTTGCCGTTTGGATTGGTCGCCCTACGTGCCGGGTTTGATGCGGCAACTCTTGTGGAACCAAGTAAAAACCCTTTTTGGACGCGATATGCATGAATTGTCTTGTGTAACTTGGAAGCAGTTCCCACAGCGTCGAGTTGGGTCGTTTTGCAGCTCGTTGCGATGGCGTCCCAAGACTTGGCGAGCGAGCATGTATTTCGAAACTCGTCAGCCGTTGGCATACCCGGAAGGTGCAAGGAAGACGCGACAATGAAATCCGCGCAGTCAGGGCGCCGAGAGGAAAAAGACTGGACGGCGAACTGTTTGTCAGGAGACGTCACTGGCCCATGTTGGCTGGCCATGGCTCTTCTTCGCGGCAGCCGCTTGTACGACCTCTGGGAAGAATGACTTGCATATTGGGCATTTGGGAATCCACTTGCCGGCATTCCGGAACCGCCCTGGTGGGAGAAAAAACAGGGATTCGTGGTGGTTGGCTTTGGCGCAACGCACGAGATGATTTCGGGCTGGGTGGGTGGTTCGGTATCGCCACCCGCGAGACATGGTGTAACGGGGAGACGCGATATCTTGCAGTATGGAAGACGGAGGATGGAGACTTCTTGGCCAGACGGTTTTGGATTAATGTGTGGCGCCGTCTGTCTGTCCTGTTGTGTTGTGTTGTGTTCAAGAGAAGAGACGGGCACTGCAACGAGTTTATCTGTGGAACAACATGGCGATGGAAAAAGAGGCCAAGGAACGTTGATAAAGTTCTGAACTTCTGACCGTTGCCATCTGGTCAGCTGGCGTTGTATCCTGTGTGCGAGCCAGGCAGGCCGGACCAGAAGCCGACTTCTCAACTCGCCATGCAAAATCCCTGGCCGGTTTAATGAATTCCATGGACGCTCTGGAAATGATTGATAGAAACGTTTGAGCTGTGGCAAGGATGTGGCTCGGTCTGTCTCTAGCAACTACGGCACTAGGAGTAGAATCTAGATGGGTGGTGTATCCCACGAACCAACTTTCAAAATGTTGCTTCAAACATGATGTCCATTATTTGACGTAGAATAAGGGTCTGGTCTAGCTCTACGGGATATAGTCTCTGAAAGTACAAGGCAGCTAAGCAGCGAGGTCATACTCAGTGCTAGCTAGAAGAAGAGCAAAACGTATCCGAGACAAGGTTCGTGGCACGACCAGGATCTCATGCAGCTGGCACTAAAATCAAACTGTGAACCCTTAACCGCCATGATTCCGGTGCGTGCAAGGAACAGAGCCGGCAATCTATACGTTACACCAGACAAATGAACTATCCCTTTGGGATCTTGGTGCCTCAGCCCCCGGCATGTGCCCAAGCTTCTGGGGCTCAATGAACCGAAAGAGGCAAAGGTCTCACTTGGAAAAAGAAGCAGAATGCTATTTCCACTTGATTCACTGTATTGGCCTGGTGGAGAATGGGACTGCGAGGAACGAAACGGTCCAACACTGCATCAGGAATACCGGAAGAGCCAGACAACTTGACCTGTGAATTGAGCCGCAGCAACAATAACGTAGCCGCTTGATACATGTATGAATATGAATGGGAGCACAGGATCAAATACATTCGAGGCTTGGGGCCGACCCCTGCCGCTGCCAGCTGCCAGCTGTGCAGATAAACTTCACTTTACTCTCGGCTCACTTTACTTTCTGAATCTATGATTATTTAAGCCTGGCATCCCATCTCTTTCATCTGCTTTTCGTTTCTTCACTCACCTAACCAACTCCTGCTTTTAAATTTCTAGTTTTGCTTGCTCGCTTGTTCCTCCCTTGTTCTCTTGCACCTCGATTTGGACCACAAGTCAACACTACTCTTGTACGTGTAGAATTTCTTCATATCCCCTAAAAGCATTCACGACAACAGGCTCCACGAATTTGACCCATGAAAACACCAAATTCTCCCCCAGCACGGCCCTGTTTATCACGAGCACCCCTAGTTGTCCCAATATTAACTTTCCAAGCAGGAGCCTGAATCACCAGCACCGGCCCCAGCCTGCACATTCCCACATCGCGTCAAGACCTTGACAGTAGCAACGTGCGTGTATAGAGCTGCCTGCTTTCCTAAGCAATATCAACATGGCCTTTTATGAATGGGGACCCAACCAGGTACGTCTTGATCTCCTCGGCTTTCATTTCCAGCACTAATAAAATGTAGAGCTTCAACGAAGAATTCTTTACTCTGAGCCAGGACAAACTTCACTATGAGTCCGTCAATGAGGAATCACCTCTGGAGGAAACAATAAACGCGCCGTCAATCCCTCCCCCCATGATGAACTACCACCATAACGGGTTTCCTTTTACACCCCCCCCTGAAGCCCTTCCTGACCTCCATGATGGCATCCCTTTCAGCAATGAGGCTTACGGCTGGAATCCCTATCCCCTCTACGGGTTCGGTTTTCTCAATGCAAGCACGGCAATGCCAGCCGAGCAAGTATACCGCATGGCACCAAGTATTGTTCCCGCGACACACACAACATACAATGCGGTTCCTATGCCTTATTTTGGCATGGATCCCCTCGGCGGCAGTTACCTTGGAGCACGCTCCTTCTCACCGGCCTCAAGCACGGAAACTACCCTTGCGGCCGGTAGCATCTCTACAGCCACAGTGTCCCCTCCCCCGGCGAACCCAGACCAAGGGAATCATACCCCGGCCTCGGCTGCCTACGCCGAAGCCAGCCGGCCACATGCTGCCAGCGAGGCTCCAGTAGACCCTCTGCCGCCGGTTGAGTCTTCTGCTGCCCGTCGAGCAGAAGAAGACCGCATCTTGATGGAATGCAGAAGACTGGGCATGCCCTACGCGGCCATCCAGAAGAAGCTCGGGTCAAAGTTGGCAGAGTCAACTCTACGCGGTCGCGTCAGACAGTTCACCTTGCCCCCTAGGGATCGCGAAAGGAAACCAGCCTGGTCGGATAAAGATGTACGCCTCTGTGTGCCAAGCGCTCCGTGTACCTTGTCGTGCTCTAACGTGCTGGTGCTAGATTGAACTTTTGAAAAGAGCCGTCCCGCTCTATCGAAAGCCCGGCGGCAGGCCAAAGGTCTTCTGGGAACAAGTCGGCCGGTACATTCAAGACCATGGGGGGTCTCGCAAGTTCTCTGGCAAGACTTGCCATGCGAAATACAAAGAGGTGACGGGACGGGATTACTAATACCGGAAGCAAGAGAGGCCTCTCGACACGATGAGGGCACGTATCAAATTTCTTTTGTTCTTGGCTAGGAAGTTGTTTTTGTTTGGCCCACGGCTAGTTTTGTACACTTGATGTAAAGTAACGCCGCCGGAAGGCAAGGCGTCGAGGCTAATATCCACCGCATTATATAACATCGCTTGGTGACAGTATATCCACGGCACTGGTTTCACACCAGCCCAGACGCAAGATACAAGATGCAAGACAGCCAATCTACCGCGTACTCACACCGCCCTCTCCTAGACTTGTCCCGGCAGCCCAATCTTCCCCAGCACATCCGCCAGACAGCCAGGATTCGCCCGCAGCGCCTCCCACTCGTCCTCGCTCCTGACCAGCGCCGTGCCAGCCAGCACCGTCCCGTTGAGCGCGAGCCGGCCCACGTCCTGCCCCCCCCGGCCGCAGACCGCCGCGCCCTCCGCCAGCCTCGGGCAAATCACGAGCCGGTTCCTCGTCACGGCCATGTTGTAGCTCATCTCGCCCTCACGCGGCGCCCGCTCGCCGACGGCCCTGCGCGCCCGCCCGCACAAACGCACATACGCGCCGTGTACATCGGCGCCCGACATGCCCGGCGCTATGGGCTCCGAGAACACCGCAAACGGCGCCTGCTCGAGACGCCCCCCGTCGTGCGCCAAGACGTCCCACGGCGCGTGGCCGTCGTCGTCTCCTGACACCAGCCCGTCGCGCATCCTGGCAATGGGGAGCAGCTGGATGTGCCTGTGGGGCTGGCTGGCGCCCGAGTGCTCGCCGCTGTTGAAGAAGGCGAACAGCCCTTCGCCGTCGGCCCGCGCGAATGCCTCTATGCACGCGAGCGTGGCCTCCAGGTCGGCCTCTTCCAGCGCGTCGGTCTGCTGCTTGAACTCCTTTGTGGCGAGGATGAAGTGCTCTGGTACTATGGCGAACTTGTTGAGCACCAGGTAGTGCGATGGGCCGACGTCGGCAATGTACAGTGCCGGCGGGGGGTTGGCAAACGGATCAGACGGCTGGTTGGGGGACGGTGACGCATCTTGCTGCGGTGGTGGTTTGGGCTTGCTGGCGAGTGCTGGCGAGAAGCGGAGTTGGAACTTGGGGCTCGTCGTTTATGTTAGCATTTGGCGGATGCGGGAGCTGTTTGATGGTGAGGTGGAAACCGGGCGGGCTCACGGGGACCGAGTTGACGGGTAGGACGGTGACCTTTGTCGGGAAGTAATGCAGGTCGCCTCCCGAGAGGGCCTTTGCAAACGTGGTCTTGACGAGTGACGGGAGGTTGGATGGTGCGCTGAGTGCGCGGGCCATTGTGGTAAAGGCGGAAATGAACGAATGGCGTATGAGTCCGAGGGTGAGAGACTGAGAGTGAAGCTGGCCGTGATGGTTTTAGGGCCGCCTTGTGCTGGTGGGGCTGCACGTGTTTGGACTTGGTCTTGTTCGCATCACGACATCGTACATGTGTGCTTGGAGGAGTTCCAACGTTGAGCTTTTGTTTACGGTGATGATTGTCTATTATTATTCTACTTGGTCTTGGTCTAGGTCGTTGGTTGTGGTTCGCGCCCTCACCCGCCAAGGGCTGCTTTGGCCACGCTTCATGCAACAAGTCCATCAGACTCTCCTTATACCCCGGGCAATCCAATTACTGCTCTCACAGCGGGTACGACCCGAGGAACAATATATACCAGATACACTCCGACAAGAGCCGTCAGTAGTCCGGTAAGCTGTCAATGGTTAGCCTCACCCAACTAGTCTTACAAAACTGTCGACGTACCTTCTCAAACCACGTATGGAAATAAATTGCCGTCATCAACAGCATCCACAGATTCAAGCCCGCCACTCCAAGAGCCGTCCTTGTCCCAATTCCAAGGGCGTATCCTCCTCCTTGCCCGGCGGCCGTCTCAGCCTCGACATTGGCGCTCTTCACCGCCCCATCAGGCAAGACGATGCATCTCTCCTCGGCCAATCTGCTGCTCCATCTGCTTACCGCCCACCCAATCTCCTGAGCCAGGAAACACGTACCCAGCACCAGCAGAAATACATGTCCCGAGATGTCATGTCCACCGTTCCACTTCCCGCCGGCTGCCTTGCATGCCACGGCGGTGAAGGCCTCGCCGATATCAGCGCTGCCCTGCAGAACATCCCGCTCAGCCATGTCGCATTTCCCACCCGTCCACCTGAAGCCGCGGTCAATCATGGGCGGGCCGAAGCACCACTGCGTGACCAGGAACCACCACGCCGTGACAGCCGCCCAACGCAGCACCGCCCGTAGTCGTCGTGGCGTAATGTCCAGACCGCCGGCACCACCACTAGGGTGCGTAAACAGGAAGAAGTAGAATGCGAATGTAGTCCATCCCCAGCCGCGCTTCACAAAGACCACGTTGAAGATATTGGACTTGCGGGCAAAGTAGCTGGGCGCCGCGGAGGGGTCTTGCGAGTGCGACTGCGTCATGTGGTCGTAGTGCGCGGAACGGGTTTCGGGAGACAGGACAGAGAATAGAGTGCCGAAGACGAGGACGAGAGGGAAGACGGCGAGTAGGAGGCGCTCGGTCGGCGTTGGGAGCAGAGGCGGGTTGCGAGGCGGCGACAAGTTCTGCGGTTGCCGCGCGGTTGAGCCCGTGGCGGTCGGTTCCATGGACGAGCCTGCGCTGCGCCGGGTCGTTACCATGATGGTTGCAATGAAGCGAGTGCGGGTTAGGGAGAGAGGAGACAAGGTCAAAGGATGGAGCGCAACTTCATGGCGTGAAATGCAATCTCGGGTGCGGGATGGATTGCTCGCGCGATGAGAAGTGGAAGGCGGTGGAAGGCGCAAGATTGTTTAGAAGTCGGTGACGTATTCGACGCCAAGATCCGCCTGCATAATTGGGAACGCTGTGTGGCGCAGGGCCAGTTAACGCCACGAATCACTCGCCACGTTTAGAAATCTGAACTAGCCGCGTGAAAATGTTGAACCTCGCACGACGGCTGAGTCTGCACTTGCTGCTGGCCACTCTGTCGGTTCGGTGTAACAGCCATCTATCCAGGGACGCTCGAGGCCATCGTTGGCCGCTTGTGGTCGCACCGGCGCCTTTACTATTCAAACTTGGTAGACAGCCAAGTCCGTGGATTGAGCAGACCGGCTCCCGGACTAGGCTTGAGGCATTGACAAGTCACTACGGTTACCTGGAAACCCTACCAGTTGACCTTTTGTGGTGAGAAAAGGCACAGAGATGGTCAAAACGAAACCCTAGTCGAAAATTATACGATATCCCGTACTCCGAATCTAGATGCCGTGGCGGCAACAAGTGGGGAATCGCGGCTGTGGCGACATCATGATAATGTCACCGCGGCCTTTCTTGGCTGTCTCTTCTGCAGGCGGCACGACGGCACGCGTATCAAGCCGCAAGCCGCCATCTCACCCGGCCGCCGTCGACAGATGTTAACCACACCCTCAACAAGCAACTCCTCCTATCAAGGCTCCCCACGTGTCGAGGTCGAGCAGAGAGTCAAACGCCCCGCGGTCGACTTCTTCTGAGGCCGGACCGTACTAGAGTTGCGGCCCGGTCGACAATGTCGACATGGAGGCATGTGAATCACGGGCGGCTGGCTAGATACCCTGCTAGCGTGATGATGTGGAAACGCCATGGCGGCATGGACAAATCGAGCACGACAGTCGATATCTCTTCTTCACCGCGGTGTATATGAGGCGAAAGAACACAACACTGCAAGGACAGTTTCTCCTCGACGCATGTTCAAGTCTGACATGTATCGTCAAAGTACCGGACAGATTTGACAAAGCTTTCCTTGCTGTAATCTTTCTACGAGCTCCCTGAGAGCTGTCAAATGCTGCGAGTGGCCTTGTTCAGCCGAGCCCCCACTACTACTGGCAATTTATGACCGATCAGTTCATTACCCCGGACGCCCATACGGAGTACATATGTACGTACATATCAACTGGTAGTCCCTGAAACCCCGGGAAAGAAGATTGCCTGGCTTCTGAATGTCGGGTAATTGTACGGAGTACTCCGTACTGATGTGGTGGGGAGCAAGAGTCAGTGGCCTCGTTTCCACCTCACGACGCATTAGAAGGCACCAAGTACCAGTACCTGGTGTATTATGAGCCGATCTAGGTGCTGTTATCGCTCTACTGGACACGGGACTTCCAAGCACCTGGACTGACGTTGCCTGCGTCATGCATCCCAGTCTGACAGCCACCTCGAGCACTTGAACTCTGAAACCTCTCTTACATCCCCAAGCCGGTCACCGCCTGTCCAACCTTTTGTCGCCGGTGTTCTTGCTCAATGCCACCATGGGAATCTTGATTATCTAAAATCTTGCGACATTCTCCGCGTAGTAATTCTAGCACGTGGCCATCTTGAAATGAATCTAGGTATAATACACCATCTGACAGGCATGCCACAGAAAACAAGACCCCCCAGAACTCGGGACCATTTCAAATACCTTGGGCCGAGATGCGGTTCTCACAGTCAAAGAATCGCCCGCATCATTATTCTACTGAACGGATTCCGCCCCGATTTTACGCTTGACCTTGACAGTAATCTCCCCTCTTGGATTGTCCATATTCTTACACTTGCTCGGATAACCGACGGTGCGAATGTGATGAATGCGGACGTGGTCTATGGTCGTGTCGTAAAGTTCCATGTCAAAGGTGCTGACAAGCATCGCGATTGTCAAATAGAGCTCCGTATATGCCATCCTGCAGAAACGCACATGAGCCCTACCATCTCCGGCACATGCCGTGCAGCAATTGTACAAAATACTTACTGGAGGCCAATGCACTGCCTGCTGCCTTTGGTAAAGTTGACGAGATATTTACCGAGCGGGAAGCCGTCTTTGGCTGCTTGTATCCATCGATCGGGATTAAAGGAGTGCGGGTCGGGGTAGATTGTCGGATCAGTATGTACAAAGTACGACGACTGACTAACGGGGGTCTATACTCGGCATCAGACACTGTTGTTTCAGTGTAAAACATACAGAAATGTAAACCAGGAACTGCGTCTTACGCCCGGTGGGATCGTGAATCCGTTGTACTGCAGTGATTCATGGGCCGCCACGCGGGGAAGGCAGGCAACGACGCCGAATGACAGGCGCAAACTCTCGTGGACGACACCGCTCTAAAGCATCATTCATCGTAAACAGGTATCCTAGGTCTCTGTACCAGGAGCTGGCCCAGGCTTACCAGGTAGGGAAGCAGCTCGAGGTCGGACGAGGAGTACCCCCGGCCGGGGGCCAAGACGACGGAGCTCAATTCTTTGCGTATCCTGCGCACGTGTGTCTGGTCATCTAGGAGGTAGAACATGCCGACGCTAAGGGCCCTCGAGGTAGTTTCTGTGCCGGCGAACACGATGACGTTTCCCTCGTCCAGCAACCGGTCAATGTCCCTCTCCGCAGGCGGGATCTTGGTATCTATGAGAGCCGACATGATGACCGAGCCCGACTCCACGCCGTCCTTTGTCTCGGAGGCGGCGAGAATCTTGCGCCTCATTTCTTCCCGCACCACGAGAAACTCTGCAAACGGCGGTAGTATCGCGCGGATGATGCATACTGGCGTCATCTGCATCACGGGCAGCAGCCAGGGGACGAATCGTGTGAAATTGGAAATATGGACCAGACCTAGTATAGCTTCAGTGACGGCGTTCTTGTAGTCCGGGATATCAAGATAGTTGAAGTGCTCCCCGTAGAACCGCTGCGTGATGATGTCTGCGGTGAGCGACGAGAAAGCCCAGTCGAGGGGCACCGTTGCTCCCGTGTCGGCGGCAGATTCGAGCCGTTGGCAGAGCCTGGCGATGCGCTCCGAGATGAGCGGCTCCGTGGCGACGACGGCGCGCTTGGAGAAGAAGGGGTTGAGGTAGTTTCGCCGCGCGCGGTGTTGGTGGTGATCAGTCGTTGCGAGAAGCGACGACGGCACGGCGGCGAAGGGACCGACGGCCGAATCGGCCTTGTTGACGATTCGGCCGCCCCCGGCGTAGATGTTGCTGTAGTAGCTGGAGTCGCGTATGTGCAGCTCGTGTGCGTTGATGCGAACGATTGGCCCTGACATGAGGAGGCGGATGTTAGTTTGTAGGACGGGGATGCTGGCTGTAGGGCTTTGGAACTACCGTATTTGTCGTGCATCTTGCCGATTTCCCAGAGAAACTGGCCGTCTTGAACGACGTCGTACCAGAATTCGTGAAACGGTCCCAGAACCGCCAGCTTGGGGCCGGGGAAGTGTCTCAACGGGTGCAGGTACAAGTTGTATAGGCATGTGCAAATGTAGATGCATGTGCTTATCGCCAGACCAGCCCAGAGTAGAGAGCTCAACTCCATCTGTCCACTAGTGAATATACCGAGCATGGCGAGGATTGTTTCTCAGATGGCTTAACTTGAGCCTGGAGAACTGAGCGGCGGATACACATCGTCGTTGGGAAAATTGCCAGCATTTGTAGTTTCCCAACTCATGCCTCTGGTGCACTTATGCAATGCCCACCAGATTTCATTGAACTGCATGTAGGTGCCAGTCTGATGCAACATGCGAACTGCTGTCTGCCTTGTTTATTGCAGATGTGTGCAGGCGGCCCTGAAAGAGTCCCAGTCACTACATATGTAGCGACGACCACGTCACAGGCTCCGATACATATCCATGCTCTCTCCCGCCCGGGTTGAATCCCGATACAGAAGAGTGTGACGTGGCGTTTGTGGCTGGCAATCTGGTGCGTGGTAGTTTTCACAAACTGGTACGCACGAGGATATTATTATCTCTTTTCTGCATCGATTGGTGTCACGACGGGGACGCAACGTGGTCAACTTGACGTATGTCTTAGAAAACGTACATCTACAACAGGTATATGCAATAGTACAATGATACAAGAAGGAACGATAGGAACATTACACAAGTCTTGAGTCGACGTTTGAATCCATGACACACTCGAGTGTTGAATCAATGTATTCCCGCCCCAGCCCGTTCTGCGCCCGTCCCAGTAGGATTGTTGCAGGGTCCAAGGACGGCATTTGTCCTGGTTTGTCTGATGCTGCATACGGTGAGGAGTAGCCCGTACACCGCAACATGGCAAGAAATGTGATTAATCCCTTTGTGACCAAGTTCTGCCGCAAAAGCAAAAATTCCCTTTCTAGTTGGCGTTGACTCATGCGACCGTGACACCTAGCCCCCGGTCCGGTCATGATCATAAAGCATTAGCCGTTCAACATGTTTTCTTACATACTACTTGACAGAAGATATATACAACTCCAGTCTCCAAATCAAGTGCATCTCTGTCCCGCGTGGATTGCGTTCCACTCTATGGATTCCATCAGCCGACAACCTTGACCACATGCTGCACCATAAGCGAACTGAGTGGGTAGAGCATGATTGGTACCTACGAATCGAATAACAGTGGACTAGTCCTCGATTAAGTCAACCTGGCCACGGATTCGGCCAAGGGAAGATGGATAGAGCGGCAAGGCGGGAGTAGTAAGTAGACACGAGTCTTGATGGCACAGCGTGGTTACAAGGTGCCTGCGTCCTTTGCTGGCTTTAGAAGAAAGTACCCGCGGAAGTTGCACATTGACGTACTTTGAGAACTGCAGTGTAGCAAAACTCTAACACTTGTTTGGGGAATGATAGAAGAATAGCCTTCTTGGAGAAGTGTGACGAGAGTCACGAGACTAAGAAGCCCTATCAGTCAAGGACTTGAAGCGGACTCGTACGGGAATAAGGTTAATGCAGGGCCCAACAACTTGGTCGACTCCTGTTACACGGTTGGCTCACAACAAAGGGCGTTGGGCTAACAAAGGTTACACAACAACAAAGGCAAAGGTCACGAGCCCCGAAGTCGCTCTTAAGCGAGGGCTGCCTCAGACATAAGCCCTCACTGACTGTTACACGGATGACACGTTGCCATGAAGGCACGGGCCGAACCTTGAACCCGACAATAGTTACACAAGGGCTCTGATCACGAGACCTAGGGCAAGGTCCCTCACCGCTTCTTAATATAAATAAAGGTCTTCTGCCCTCAGGGCCCCAAGGGAAACCGAGGACTTTTGATATTAAAGCAAAGTATTAGCTGAATATGAACACTGTTCTAAGCCCCTAAACACAGGCCCTTGTCACACTGACTTCTTGTATTTATAGGGACCTTCTGCCCCTTTAGTTGTCGTGAAACCAAGGACATTGATATCCTAAAGTTAATTATTATAGTCTGAATAGAATACTTCGTTCCAAGCCCAGTTACCCTGCCCTTGACATAGCTCCATCAAGAGGCAGGTTTCGACCAGAAACTACATGTAAGCGCACAAGGTCCGAAGGTTTTGCCAGAACAAACATGGAAGCGCCCTTGGCCAAAGACGCAAGAATTATGCCGTTGAGAAACGCTTGAGCTGCCAACGGGTAATGACTGGTCGATGTATGCACATTAAGCCCTTTCATTCGGCCGCGGACATGGGGAACTTGGAAGGAAGTTTGAATCAATTTCCTAACTAGTACTATCAGAACACATACGTCCTTCTCATGGTATTCCTGTCGCGGGTATTGCAAGACGATCCAGCCCATACCGAGTTGTATTGGAATCTCAGTCTCTTCAAGGCTTCTGCAACTGGTTGAGACCCCAAACTCTACCCAGGTTGGCCAGTTCAGAACCAACTTTCAGCTTCCTAAGCTCTTGTTGATCTATCTTCATTCCGTCCAGGTCACTGCCTATTGGATCGGCACTTGGATCGAAAATGATGGGATCGTCGACGGCAGTTCTGCGCAGCCACCTATTTGTAAGCTCCTCAAGACGATAGCCAAACCCTCCCCTTGCCGCAAATCCAAACTTTGCCTGGAATTTACCCGTCCCCGTGCGCTGCAGGAGAATTGCAACACGAAATTTCGGCGGCACCCCTGCATTGTCCTTCTTGTTTTGGATCAAATTCCACCAGACCCTATAAGCACACCCGTTTTGGTCGAAGTTTCTCCCTCCAAGACCCTGGTCAAAATATCGACGGCTGTAGGTCGACTCCCTCTCCTGGCCGAAAGAGACTTCGCCTGGCTTAACGCCAGCCACTTCGGGAGAAAGCTTGACTTCCAATTGAGTCTTTTTGCTCTCCTCTGAAGCCATATAATTGAACCTGACAGGTTCCTCGAAGGGTGCGTAAGCGATGACCGAAGGGCATGTTCCTCGGCTGAAACTTCCCGCAGCCTCAGCTTGCTCAGCTGGTGTTAGGTACTCGGAGAATTCAAAACTGGTGTCCACGGTTGAAAAACGAGCGCCTTCCTTTGTAATCATGATGGAATAGTCCACTATGATCAACGACGCTGGTTGTTTAGTCTGAATATCCATCGTCCCGTGGATGCATGTTCGTAGAAGGACCTGGATCTTGTAGGGGCTTGTGGGATTACGATCGGTTATCACCATCCGCTGAATCTGGTCCGTCGGTGTATTCTTCTGCCTGATCGTGCCTTCGTCCAACGAGGCTTCAAAGAGGTTGAGTGTCACGCCTGTTTCAAGCTGCCTCTGGTCCAGCATGTCGTTTCGTGGTGTCGAAAGACTTGGCATCGTTGATACAAGTTCGTCGGCAAACCGTACAGAGAGTGTTAGCCGTGTAGACAAGCAGGGGAGTTGGGAGATGAGGATGTCCGCAGAAGCGATATTGCTTTTCTCATGCGGCTGATCCCCTGACTGAGGGGTTTTTCTCCGTGTTGTCATCTTTGCCCAATTAGAAGCACATGTTGGTGTATGACAGTCATCCTGCACTGAAAACAAGATTACGAGTAATACAAAACCATGTTTTACTGTAATTCTAATTGGCCTGCGCTGGTTCTTTCATACTGCAGGCCCTCATAGAAGGCTCCAGGCATCAGAATTCTTGCTGCCCAAAGATGCCTAAGGTATTGCACAGACACTACGATCAAGAAATAGAAAGGAGTTTTCGCCGACTACAATTCAGATCCAGTGTTCATACACCGTCCTTGCAGCACACCATCCCGCGGTTAGTGTCAATTGAGTCTCGTGGAACGCGCATTTTCTATCTCGACTTGTTGGCTTGTGTGAACATCCTCCCACGAGGTTGGGTAAGATGGAACCGTGTGTCACCTGGAAACAGGTAGAGGCTTTGAGAGATGAGACACAACTTGTTCAGCTTCTCCCCCATCTCAAGGAGATAGATCAGAAAATATTCTGCAAACATCTCGAGAAGCTCTGGGTTGAGGGTGGGAGCGGGAATCTTGTTGATATTCTTCTCCGCTGGGGAACAACACCAGAGTCATTGCCCGGTTCTTTGCCTCATAAATACAACGTGTTCAGAGAACTACTCACAGGGAATCATGAACAAGTTGAAAAGGAAGCGTGGCTCAGGAGGTGTCGTAAACGCGAAAGGGAAAACAATGCCAAAAAGAAGGGGAATAACGAATTGAACGATGATACCGAAACGGAAGATGATGTTGAAGCGACACATGATGTTGAAGCAGCACATGATGTTGAAGCAGCACATAATGTTGAAGCGGCAGACAATGCCGCCGCTAAATTCGATCCCGAAGAGGTTGCATCAAAAATCGTACAATTCTGTCCAAATCTCCTCAAATATGAATACAAATCAACCCAGTTGACGGTAATTGATACTGCATCAAGGTACGGATCTCGGCAGCTCTTTCGCACGCTAATAGACCTTGCTAGAGAGAGTGGCGATATACGGTATTTCGTCCGGAAAACCAGGAGAAAAAGAAGCCCTCTGGACACTGTCGTACACCGAAGTGATCTGTCCAGCACTTGGGATCTTGTTGGTCTAATTGATGATATGCTGGCACTCACAGACGAGGTACAGATTGACAAGACAATGGTTGATCATGCCATTGAAAACGAGAAACCTGAAATGACTCGCATTTTCATTCAACGCCGACCTGAGTCTGTTACGCAGGGTGTCGTAACAGACGCAATTCATCGTAAAGATGACGAGATGGTCAGTGACCTTCTGAAAAATTGCAAAAATCTCTTCTACGGCAATGAGTCGCTTCACCTTGCAATCACAGTCGGGAATACAGGTGTTATTGACAAAATACTTGAGCGGTGTCCTGAGTTAGCTATCGAAGTGGATAAGAAGGGAGAGCCGCCGATGAGTTACATTTCTAAAATCACGGACAAAACTACTAGGGAAGAGCTTCGACAGTCTCTTGTCCCCTTTGTAGTCAGGCACGTCGGTACACGGCCTCCGTCGCCGCACAATTCGGACTTAGGCCCTCCCAGTCCTCCAATTTCAGTTATAGAACATATAAGAAGCCTTTTAGGCAATCCACAAGGTTCGTAAAAGGTCAACTGGTTTGCGCGCAGGCAAATGAACTTGAAAGGCTGACCTCATCCTAGACAACAGTAAAGACCCCCCCCTAGAACGCACCGAATCTTCACAACTAATTGGATGTAGGAAGAGAAATTACACTTGATCTTGGGGGTTTCCGCCATTCGAGAAAGTCAATTGAACCCTTTCTCGCGCTAATTAACAAAGCCTCGCAACCATCTACTTCAAAGTCAAGATTTGGCACACCAACCCTAAGAGTCGACTTTGAGTCAACTCTGCGTTACGTGGATATTCCAGTTCCGGACCTTCCCCCCGCAAGCAGAGACTCTAGAATGATCACTATCCGTTCTGAGGTAGAGGAAATTCTTGATTGGCTCCGAAACAAAAATGGGGTGACGGGGATACACGAACTTCGCGTGTCCGACTCTCTATATATTCCTCACAGTGAAGAAGTCATCGAAAAGTGCCTCACAGGATTTGATATTGAGGTTCTCGACTGGAAAAGAGTGGATTTATCCATTGAGCCTCTCTTTTCTGGATCCCGATTAGTCTGTCCCAACCTTAAGAAGCTGACTTTGTATGCCAGCGGTTGGATCGCATTGCAATATTGGACAAGTCAGGAGGTTCAAAAGTCCCTTCGAAAGTTCCCAAAGGTATGTCTTTACCTGTTTGTCAAATAGTCACCACAAGATGTACGTCAATTAGTACGAATTCTTATATGGATGATTAGCTCCGAGAAGTTCAAGTAATTATTGAACAAGTAAGTCACAGTATTGCTTCGGTTTTCCACAGGCCTGACTTGGATGTAGGACTTGATTGGATACGCTCTCAGCGAAGAATATGAAGAACGTTGCAGGTCGGATTTTGACAAGACTTTGGCAGCTCTTGGTCAACCTCAAGACTTCACTTTCAATGTTCTCAGAGATATATGGGCAGTTTCTCCAGCCAAGGAAGCAGAGCTGCATGGTCCTAGAAAATGGTGTGTTTCTGGGTGTTTTGTGTTTGCAAAGACCAACTACTGACGAGTGGTAGCACCGCTGTCGAAGTAACCCGGCTGGAAAGTTTTCTCAGTGCATATCAGATACTTCAACGCCAGTTTTTGGACGAGAATTGGCGCGCCCAGCTTCTCAAGGATGCTACCCCCAGCTACATGCCACATATTAAAGTTGCAATTATTGATACCGGAGTGGATCCGGGTTCAATTCAGTGTTCTCACATTCAAGGATCATCGTTCGTTTCCTCCGGCAGCGGCGAGAGCCCGTGGTGGTTCTCCCAACATCCTCATGGAACACAAATGGCCAAAATCATTACGGAACTAGATCCATTCTGCCAGTTATTGGTTGCCAAAGTTGGAGACTATTCCACGGACATGACTGGAGAACGAGTCAAGAAGGTATAGCCATCTGAGTCGACTGCGAGTGGCGGTGCTGACACCAAGTCATAGGCTTTTGGATGGGCCGTCATGCTAGGCGCCGACATTATATCTATCAGCGCAGCTTTCTTCAACAAAATTGATGGCTTGGATTTGGAAATCTCCAGGGCGATGCGTGCAGGCACTGTGGTGATTGCGAGCACAGCTGGTGAAGGCTACAATCAAGCAAATGCCTTCCCGGCTGATTATGACTTGGTCCTTAAAATCGCTGCAACGACAGACATGGGGAAAGAAGCCCAGGAGAGTGTCAAAAGAAATGCAGACTTCTTATTCCCGGGGCAGAATCTCGTGGCCGAGACGACATTCCTGGGGTCGGACCACTGGCCGCATGAAGTCTCAGGAGCTTCTGTGGCAACCGCTATTGCGGCCGGTGTAGCGTCTTTAGTGCTTGCTTGTCATCGACTTGCGTTGAGCACTCGTACGGCGAAGGACAGGTGGGAAAGACACAATCACTTCAAGCGCGAGATCGTGATCAAGGCATTCAAGGAGATGTGGGACGAAGATGCAAGGTACGTGAGACCATGGATATTTTTCCATGAAAGAGACACTCAGCGTAGCTGGGGCGAAGCAGGATCAATCTTGGCATGGATTCGCGACAAGTATGAGGAGCTGGATAGGTCTTGATCATTGACATTACTCTTTCGAGTCTGCGCCGGGAACAGCCGTTGCTATAAGGCATGGTCATTTCCTTATGCGACTGTAGCATTCAGTAGGTAGACTGTCAAAGGTCATAGTTCTTTAATAATTTGAGTTACTGCATACTCTTGCTTGCTCTGTTCGCGGAAGGTTGGAAAGCTTGATGGAGGATGACCGAAACCAGAAATGAGTTACTGAATTCTCGCTTACCTTGATGCTGTACATTTGTTACAATAAGAACTCAAGAGCCCAGCAAGGAGATGGAGCCTGGTATAGAAAGCAGACGGCCGCATTCCTTGCGGAACATGATTATGCCTCATGGTTTGAGAAAGAGGTGACTTGGGAATCCCAGAAGAATGCCCGACCACTGCTTCGTGCCTCCTTCCTTCTCTGGGCAAGTTCACTAGCCTCCTGAAGCAGCGCGACGATATTCTTGTTGTCCGTCTTGGCCGCCCAAGAAAGAGGAGTCTGGCCATGGAAGTCTTTCAAGCCCACGTCGGCGCCAGAGTCTAGAAGCAGTCTGGAAATCTCCTCGTGCCCCTTTTCGGCGGCCCACGAAAGCGGCGTCCGGTCGGTTTCCCTATCCGTTGGGTCGACTGCGGCCCCGTCCTTGAGCAAGAGCCTGACAATATTTTCGTAGCCCTTCTCGGCGGCCAGGGATAACAGCGTCCTGCCATTTTCATCCCTCACATCGAAACCAGCAAGGTCGCTGAGAAGTCGACCAACGATGGCATCATAACCATTGCGGCCCGCCAGTAACAGTGGTGTCTGGCCAGTATTATCTTCCACCTCAAAGTCAGACCCGCCATCAATAAGCAGATCAACAATATCCTTGTGCCCTCTCTCGGCTGCCCAAGCGAGCGGCGTCCATCCATGTTTGTTATCCCGTGTCTCAACATTGGCACCCCCTCGGAGCAGCAGCTTCACGACAGCCCCATGTCCTCTCTCAGCGGCCCAGGATAGTGGTGTCCGTTCATCCTTGGTATCCTTTGCCTCAATATGGGCGCCTTTTTTTAGCAGCAGCATTACCACTTCTTTATGCCCGTTTTCTGCAGCCCATGATAACGGCGTCCGTCCGTCTTGGGTATCCTTTGACTCAATGTTTGCGCTTCTCTCGAGAAGTAGCTTCACCACGGCCTCGTGCCCGTTCTTAGCGCATAATAATAATGGCGTCCAACCGGACGTGTTTATTGCTTCGATATCGGCACCCTGGTCTAGCAGCAGCCATGTCAGCACTTCGTGCCCATTCTCAGCAGCCCATAATAACGGCGTTTGCCCATTTATGGTATGCTCTGCCTCGATGGTTGCGCCTTTCTCGAGAAGCAATTGCACCACGGCCTCGTGCCCCATCCTGGCTGCCCAATATAGCGGTGTCTGACTATATTTGTCTTTGGTGTAGATGTCGGCTCCCCTGTGTAGCAACAGCCAGACAAGTCCCTCGCGGCCGCTCTCGGCGGCTTGCGAGAGCGGCGTCCGACCGTACCGGCTGTCCTTGGCTTCGATATTAGCACCTTTCTGTAGAAGCAGACCAACAACGGCCTCATGCCCGTTCTCGACGGCCCACGAGAGCGGCGTCTGACCTCGCTGGCTGTCTTTGGCTTCGATATTGGCACCTTTATCGAGGAGTAATCTGACAACGGCCTCGTGTCCATTCTCGGCGGCCCAAGAGAGCGGCGTCCGACCGCTCTGGCTGTCCTTGGCCTCAATATTGGCACCTTCTTCGAGAAGCAGACGAGCAACGGCCTCATACCCGCTCTGGGCGGCCCATGATAGCGGTGTCCGACTGTCTTTGTCATTGTCCCCCTCGATTTTGGCGCTCCCTTGAAGTAAAAGATCAACGATGGGAAGATGGCCATAGTGTGAAGCCAACATGAGATTCGTCAATTTCCCGGGGATTTCCGCACTCACGGTTTGCCTGTAGATTTCAAACCATGCCGCATAGCTCCTTGAGTTGGAATCGCAAATTTTGAGAACACGTGGTATAACTGCAGCGTTGTCGGTAATATTGGCTTGGCGAAAGTGAGATGCCCAATTCTTGGCCGAGTAGTCTAAAAAGGCGTACCTGGGGTTGGCTGCGTTTGCTTCCCCAATAGTCTCCTCTGGAAGCTCAAGATCGGCGTTGAGTAAGTTCAAATACAGCACGCAGGCCTCCACCAGTGTAGTATGTGCTTGCATGAGACTGGTGGAATGATGGCGAGGTTCTGATGGGATTGGTGAGGTTAATGACGCATCAGTGAGAAGGAACTCGCGAGCAGTTTCATGACGGAAATAGATACTGCCTTTGTAAATTGAGATGAATGATCCACACATAGATTGAAGCCGTGTCTTCAAATCTTCCTCATTTTGTAAGTCAATATCGTGAATAGACTTGACTGTATCATGTAAACTCATGGCAATATTCACCTCTGAGATGGTCAGTGGCCGATTTGCTGCTAGGATAAGATTTAGAACTTTGAGGGCTGTTGGTTGTTCCTGAGACTCAAGCGAATCAAAAATGACCCCATATACCCTTGGAACACTCATCGGAAGTTTTGCAATAAAAATGTCGATCGTTCTTGGTGAATTTTCCAAGTTTTGTCTTTCCAAATATTCAAACACAAGGCGTATCCAGAGGTGAGAACTATCACGCTTCCCCTGTAATATCCACTCTAGGTGACTTTTAGTACTATTCAAGAGGTCTTTCGTCCTTGACAGCTGAGCAACTCGGTGCGTAACGAAATGGGTCACGTCGTCCATAATAAATCTAGATGTGTCATCTTCGAATATCGTGATATGTGGAGAATCTTCTGATGGATGGTTGCAGAAGGGAAATAGAGGGCGATCAGGCCGACTTGTCAAGAGATATTTTAGCTTGTTGGAACCTATCCGGTCGCTGGTAGCATGATTGTGGATATTTTGTGCCAAGCCCCTCAAATCTGAGTCTGTACACACGTCCAAGGCGTCTAGAACAAAGATGATAGGCCCACCGCGAGAATCTTTCACAGCATTTTTAAGGATGCCCCAGAGTAATTCGGTAGAATTAGTTAACCCCTGCTTGTCTCTGCGAAATTGTAGCATAGCATGGTCAATAAGGGCTGGATTTTGAGAAAAGAGCTGATGGAGCAAGGCGCAAAGTGCCTGGCAAACCTGGTCCTGAACGTTTTTCTGAAAGAAAAAGTAACAGATGGTTGATGTTTTGGGTAGACCGTGGTCGACTAGATATTTGACCAGCACTGACTTTCCATGACCAGGGCCCGCCAGGAGTAGAAGTACACCAGAGTCTTGTTTCTGCCACTTCTGGAAATGATGCTGCTGGAGGAACCACAGACAGGTACCTTCCAATGGGTCTTCGACGCGATTCTTGTACCACTCATACGCGGTGTTCTCGTTATTTCCCGCAAGACGAAGTGATTGAAGACACTGTACTTCCTCGGGGGACCAGGCCCGACGGGCTGCCTGCTGCTTCGCTATACGCTGTGCCTGCGAGGCGTCTGCGTCCGATTTTGCAGGGTTTTCGGCAGCTATTATGCTTTCCTTGATTAATATGTGACCATTTACAAGACTCGTGAAGACTCACCTTTCAGTATATCGCTAATTCTCTTCTGAGATTTGACCGCAGCTATGGGTATTTGATAGAGTAAATCTTTCGCATATGCCGCTGCTGATATTGCGGCATACTGCAGCCACTCATCATTATTATGGGAGTCCGCATAGTTATATATGCTACGAATAACTAAGCATGGAAAGTAGCTCATTAAACCAGCAGCTTCCATTTCAAAACAAATAACATTCTTCTCTGCTACAAGCTTATCGCGAATAAACGCGTCCCTTGGCATCTGGCTCGCCGAGGCAATCACCCCGTAATGAACAGCTGGATAGCTTTTGAACGGATCCCGCTCATTTCGCCGCACCAGCTTCATCGGGTCAGTACCGCAGGACGTCTCACATCTCGCTGTACCTGGAGGATGCGTGACTTTAGCTCGATACAGCCTGTCTGCGCTGGGATGTGGTCGCTTAAAGCTTTGTAATCTTGGGTTTCTTTTGAGGATGCTGCTGATAGTTTGTTGAAGTTGTTGGCCTGGAATCTCATACCGGAACTGGAGTCTGTCCACCGCATTTCGCAGAAAGATTGGCGGCTGATTTAAAACGCTGGTTACATGGAGGCTTCCGTCTTGCATGGTCCTGCCGAGGTCGTACTGGAACACACCATGGCTGTCACCACGAGGAACGCTAACAACGATATCGCCGAGGCGTACATCATTTTTTCGACTTGGCGCCCCGCCTCCTATGCCAACCATGAGACCGAACCTGATGTTGGGAAAACTGTATGAGAGATGTCGAGCGGCAACCGAGGCGGGATTTGAACATGCCTCGGGCATGACAACGATAACAACGTTGTGTTGTCCCATCCTGCCCAAGGTATACGCGATATCTGTAACACCGGGCACATATTCTGGTCCTTGGTGCTCCTCATCAAGAAGTGCACACGCGGCGAAATGCTCCATTCTTAGGGCGCAGATCCAGCCTACCGTATAGTTTTCAGGGTCCAACTTTCGTTTCTGGGTGTTGATTGCTGGCGTCGGTGTATCTTCAGATCGGACGTGCATCGACTTCAGTTGGCTCGAGACATTCCCCTGTCTTGAAACGCTGTTACTAGTTCTTGGGGTCCTGTTACCTTCATCCGACTCCCTCGCAGTGCCACCTCCGGGTTCTGCGAGAGTGATTCGGACGCTTAGACGGCGCTGGAGACGTGAAGCCCCTTGGGACAAGAGGAAATACAAGGCCGTGAGCAGAAACAGGAGTCCGAACATCAAAATGCTATATGCCAGGCTGTGCCATCTAACCAGAAGCGCAGCGAGCATCCGCGAGGGTGGGAATGAAGGCATTGCGACGTAGTGCCGCCGACGGCAAGGAATGGTCGATGATGTGCTCGCTCGTCAGGCGCAAAGGTGGTTCTGGTCTAGATTTCAGACCAAGCCGGCGAGGTCCTCTTGGCCAGGGTGTGGCGAGGTTAAATCAGACAAGCGAAACAAGTTAGCCACGCGTAGGTGGAAGGTGAAGCCACATGGTCAAGGCTGAGTGGTTTCTGACCAACATTGAACTTGTGTGCCGGGCCGAGCTTCAAGCGGTCCAATGAATTCTCCCATAACCATCGCTTTGGTGTAACATTGCAGTGATGGAATTTAATTGCGGTTGCATAATTGCTCGGTTTGCTCCCTAGGTAACTTATACAGCCCCAAGGTGTACATGGCAACCAAACCAATGGGCACATGGAGTTTTTGCTCATCGATACATCCACCAGCACTACAAGTCCACTGAGAAACAAGTACCAACAATTGGTGTCGGCGTGCCGCCAGGGCCTGGTGCTCTAGAGGCGATGCAGAGCCTGCTCACAATGTTGAGTCACGCGGACAAAGGCGTCGGACAACAAAGTGCACGACAACAAAGAAAGGTATCACGAGAACCCGGAGTTGGACCTTGGTGAGCACCGCCTCAGGTACTGGCCCTCACCGACTTCTTGTATTTATAGAGACCTCCGGTCCCTCAAGGCCTCTTGGAAAACCAAGGACCTCTGATACCTCAAAGTTACTTTTAAATTGAGCTTCGAACCACTGTTCCAAGCCCAGCTATACTGCCCTTGTCACAGTTGATACGGTGCTATACACGTGCCTGTCTATAAGAAGGGCTAGATACAACGGTAAAGGCTAGCGAGATGATGCTCTAGCCGCAAGGTCTTGACTATGCTGCATCATCACCACGCGACCACCCTCAGCCGTCTACACAGTTGCACAAACTGTAACGGCCAAGTGACGGAGCCAGAAAGAGTCATTTAGTAGCTGCATAAACATTCGTGTGCTAATACAATGAACTCCACCAAATTGAAAGTCTAAAAACTTGCCCAACAATAACCGGAAATTTCTCTAAATTTACCCTTTACCAACTCCTCATCAACCGTGTATGACTACTCGCATCGTAACCAAGGCATCAACATAAGAACGTTCAACAAAACAAACGTCTCCCCAAAACCCCATTTCATCCATCCTCTCACGAACCTCCTCAAAAGTCAGACATTTGACCAAGTGGAAACGGATCACTACAAGTCGGATCAATATACGCCGACAAAAACAGCGAAGAAATCGAGCCATTAACGGCATCATAGTCCGCAGCCGGCCCCAGTATCCCCCCATCCGCAACAACCAAGTTCCTCGTACTAGCAGAAACACCACTCGCATCCTGCAGAGGCCGCCCCTCCGGCCGAATCGTGCTAGTCTGCCTCGCCGCGCCTTTAAGATGCCGATACGCCTCCTGCGCCAAGCGCCACTTTGTCCTCAACATGTTGAGATTGCCGAGCGCGAGCACAACCCTGTTGAGATGATGGTCCGAGCATTCCGACGAATGGGCCTCGCTAGCAGCGAGCTGCACCAGCCCGCAGAAAATTGTGCCAAAGACGACAAAAGGGCTGTAGCCCTGTGGCACGCAATGCACCGACAGCAGGTTAGACAGCTCCTTAGAGGCGCCAATGGTCTTGACGTCGTGGACGTTGCGCGTCAGGGACGGCGAGAGGCGGACCGGTGTCACGGGGCAGATAATGGTCATAGACTGCTCGGGGAACCTGGGCCGGAGGTTGCTGCGCGGGAGGTGCAGCAGCATAGCGGCGTAGTGGATGATGAACTGCGCCTGAAACAACATCTCGTCGATGCCGCCGTAGATGTCTACAATGTCGATTTTCTGCGGGGGCAGCAGGTGCGCCCAGCTGACGAGCGTGTTGGCAATGGCTTGCAAGCGGTCCGGGTGGGTTTCGGGGATGCTGTTGAGCACCAGCACGCGCGCGAGGATGTGGAAGGCCTCGATGCGGTAGCTGAAGGAGGAGTATTGGCAGGGCGCCGGCTCGTCGTCGTCGTCGTCGTCGGCGAATACCCTCGCTCTGAAGGCGGCCAGGGACGCGGGCGGCGGAATGGCCTGGAGTGACGCGTACGTCGACTCCTCGCAGGGGAGGAGAACCTCGTTGGGGACGTCGCTGCACCGGAAGTGGAATTTCTGCTGGAGCGTGCGCATGCAGATTTCCCAGATGAAGAGCTCCCACCAGGTCCGCCTTAGGCTCTCCGACTCGAATTCGTCATTGTTGGCAAACAGGGTCGCAAAGTCTTTCTGATACATGCCAATCTCTATGGCGATGGAAATCGCCTGGGCCAGCGATGTCTCGGCCCGCGGGCGCTCGTTGCGAGCGCACAGGATGATGGAGTGAAGAAGCAGGGCCTGGACCATGCTGCATGACTTTTCTGCAGAGTGGGCGGCCAGGGTAGAAGTTGTAGAGTCGTAAAACTCATCGCCGGAGAGCACCATGGAGTAGTGGCTTCCTATAAATTTGACGACTTGTTGCAAGTACGCAGGGTAATTCCGCCTCTCGTACTGGCCTGGGGGTACAAGTATGGGATGCGCTTGATGAAAGTTCTCGTAGAATAGGCGAACTAGTCGGTCCTCGGGGACATAAGGCTCTGGCTTTCTCTCGCGAGGCGTCGGCGCATTGCTTGACGCAGGAACATCATGCGTAGATGGTGGGGGGATTTCGGGCCCAGTTGAGAGGTGGTGAGGGAGCCGGTGAGGCTCATGCAGTGGCAGCTGCAGGCCCGGCGCTGTCTTTGTATTACTGACGGTCTCTTGGGCCTGGCCATGACTATTCGCAGGTTTTCGCTTTCCGCCTCTGCGCGAGGGTAGATACGTGCATATGGTCTGCGTAGTTGTGCAACGCGAGCAGCACGGTTTTTTTGCGTCGCACTTGAGATGGTGACGTCGACACTCGGTACACGCGAGCGCGGAGGGGCGCATTTCCGCAAAGCAGGCTGGTTGTCAAGGCATTCAAGGCAATGAATGAATGTGTCAACATGGAGCGAGTGGTTCGATGTTGTCGGTTGTCGGAAGTCGGTTGAAGGTTTGTCGGTTTGTCGGTTGGTCGGCGACCATCGTGGCGCTCGGCAACTCGGGAAGCCATGCGCTCGGGTGGGTGGAGCTGACATGGGACCCAATTATCCAATAGGATGTTAGCATTGTCGACAACAGTAAAGCCCAATCGCCGACCAAAAGGCCGGTGGACCGGCTCATCGGCGACTGTTCAAGCATAAAATATAAGAATGCGCCACAGCCGGACTGCATTGGTACTACTACCACGCGAATCTCAAGAATTATACAGACTCCGCTACGAAGCCAAACATTGCATTCAATTATGGCATCTACGTCCAGCTCTCTTCTCAGGCGGCAGGTAATACAGCGCCTGCCGGCATCGGCCTCCCAGCTTCGCCCACTTGCTGGCATCTCCGAGTATCAGAGCCTTCACAATGCTTGTCGGCATCAGGTTAGACTTGTGACTTCATATGATTCGCCATCGTTGGAAAAATCTCCAAGGCGTCGATTGGACGTGGCATCCAAAGGCGCTCAGCACAGGGGGTTGCGTCCCGCCGCCCCTACAGCTTTTTATCCAGCACCAATGCGACAATTTTCTTCCGCGCAGTCCGCAGAGAACACGGCCACGCCGGATGCGAGTTTTCAACCCATTATCCATGATGTATTTGAAGAGAAAACGGGTACCTGGCAGTATGTAGTTGCCGATCCAAATACTCTGACGGCTACCATTATCGATTCGGTGTTGGACTACGACCCTCTGGCACGCACCATATCTACCCATTCAGCCGACAAGATACTTTTGTTGATTAAAAGAATGGGCTACAGGGTTGATAGTATTCTGGAGACGCACATCCATGCAGACCATTTGACAGCAGCGCGCTATCTTCAGACGTCACTTCACAAAGAGCAGGGGTATTTGCCTCTCATCACTGTGGGCAAGCGCATCGTACATATCCAAGAGCTGTTCCGTCAAAAATACGGTCTATCAGAGGAAGAAACACGAGGCGTTTTCGACAGATTTCTCGACGATGATGAAAGATTCCACATTGGCTCCTTGGAAGCCCAAGCGATCCATCTTCCAGGCCACACTCCAGACCACATGGGATTCAAAATAGGAGGTAGGCGTCCACATCTCCTCCCTTGGGCAGCGAGCCTGGATTTTTCGTATACTAACGGGCCTAGATAACGTTTTTTGCGGCGACTCCGTTTTCCATGCGGACATTGGCTCGGCGCGTTGCGATTTCCCGGGCGGCAGCGCCGAAGACCTCTATGCTTCGGCTCGCAAGCTTCTCAGCTTCCCGGACCATGTCAAGATATGGACTGGCCACGACTACCCTTCACAGAGCCGTAGCGAACCCGTGCCGTATCTCAGCGTTGGTGGTCACAGAGCACAGAACAAGCATTTAATGGACGGGTACAGCAAAGATGAATTCGTTGCCCTGCGGCGTGAACGCGATTCGAAACTCGCTGAGCCGAGGCTGCTACACCAGTCTCTGCAAATGAATATCCGGGCGGGGAGTTTGCCGAGACCGTCGCCCGAGGGTGACCGGATGCTTCACACGCCGCTTGACGTGAAACAGCTCGGCATGTAGTTGCATTGCAAAGGTGTGTGGTGAGGGGGGGGGGGGGGGGTAGACATGCTTGTGAAGGACCTGTCAGAGGCTTGCGAATACCGACAGACGCATGGTGTTACGGGGGATACATTGTACAACAGGGGTTTTCTGGTTTTGTTGATTAGCATGTTGAGCATATATTGCCTAGAATTGTATACACGGAGCGGCATGTTGCATTTGGACAAGTCAGCGCAGCATTTCTTGTACACTAGCTCAGCCTCTTGAAAGGACACTACACCTCTACTCTGCTGAATATCTTTCAGATAATGCTACCCCTAGATATTGGCCCCATCTATTACCGCAAGTTATAATAGTTGAATATCGCCAGTTTTGCTCAGGGGATTTCTGTTCACCACACTCCAAAGCCTGCGTGCAGGGATATACGTAGTTGGGCATCTCGCCACAAAAGCACTTGGCAAGTTCACCAGTGGTCGCAATGTGTCTCCTTTTCACGGTCTCGACGCAAACAACGGTCCGTCGTCATTGCAGGTCGGCATTTACCGATCGACGTCAAAGTCCAAAGCCCGAGTCGCCGAACAAGCAGATATCGACAACCATGGGAGCTCCACAAGTACGGGGATGGCCCGGAGCGTCTCAACTATAAAGACATTGTAGTTATTCACTTTCCGGAACTTGTGGCAATTCGTTCTACTTCTATTCTTGGCAGCAAGTTGGTGACTTTCCGCAATCTTCAACGCGTTCTCGTTTCTCGCGTGTTTTGTTTTCGCAACGCCTGTCTTTGTACACCAGTCATTCTCTTTTGCAACACTGCCGTTTTTCTTTACCCAGCACCGAGCCATTCCCAGAAATCCGAGGCCTCTGCCACCCGCAGCCATGTCGCGCACATGTCTTGCCCGTCTCCGCCTCCACACGAGTTCGCCCGGCTCGGCCAAGTCGGCCGCCCGGCTCGCCCTTCCAAGAGCTCCCTATTCGTCGGCAGCCTCCATGCCACACCGGCACAAGGTGCTCGTCGTCGGCGCCGGCGCGGCAGGCCTCAGCGTCAGCCACCAGCTCCTGCGGTCGGGCAAGTTCGCAAAAGGTGACATTGCGGTTGTGGATCCTGCCGATTGGCATCATTACCAGCCCGGCTGGACGCTTGTCGGCGCCGGTCTAAAGGATAAAAATAAGCTTAAAATGCGGACCGAGGACCTTATTCACGCCAAGCTCAAGTTGTACAATGACAGCGTTGGCGCCTTCACGCCCCAGGACCATTGCGTCACCTTGGAGACGGGCACCAGGATCCAGTACGACCAGTTGGTTGTATGCCCGGGCATCAACATCAAGTACGACAGCATCAAGGGCTTGCCCGAGGCCCTGGCGAACCCTGACGCGCCCATCTCAACCACCTACGGCTACCACACGTGCGACAAGGTCTATCAGAATGTTCAAAAGATGAAGAGCGGCGTGGCCATCTTCACCCAGCCGACTGGAATTGTGAAATGCGCCGGCGCACCGCAAAAGGCCATGTGGCTCGCGCTGGACTACTGGAAGCGAGCTGGACTCTACCGCCCCGGCTCCGAGCAGGATTCCAGCATCAAGGTCAGCTTTGCCACCGGACTCCCGGTCATGTTCGGCGTTGCCAAGTACAGCGCCACGCTGGACCAGTTGCGACGCGAGCGCGGCGTCGAGGGCCTCTTCCAGCACGACTTGGTTTCCATCGACGGCAACCAAGCCACGTTTGTGCTACCCGACGGCAAGCAGGTTGCGCGTCGATTCGACTTTCTCCACGTCGTTCCCAAAATGGGGCCGCACGCCTTCGTCGCCAACAGCCCTCTGGCCGACGCAGCCGGCCTGGTGGACGTGGATAGCAGCACGATGCGGCATCGGGCATTCAGCAACGTCTGGGCCCTCGGCGATGCGTCCAACCTCCCCACGTCCAAGACGGCCGCGGCTATTACCGCCCAGGCCCCCGTTCTTGTTTCCAATTTGCTCTGTGCGCTGGAGGGGGCCAAGACGAATGCCGTGTATGATGGGTATACTTCGTGCCCTCTCACCACCGAGTACGGCAAAGTCCTGCTCGCCGAGTTCAAGTACGGCGGCGAGCCAAAGGAGACGTTTGGGAAGCTGGTCAATCAGGCTGTCCCGGGCCGGGGGTTTTATTACCTCAAGAAAGATTTCTTTCCCTGGGTGTATAAGAAGTTTATGGTCAAGGGGGCTTGGGGCGGTCCAAAGGGCTTCATTCGACAACGATAGGGCCGGGGCGGCTCTGCGGATAGGATTCGGGGGCGGTGGGGGGAGAATTGGCATTCTGTGACATCAATTGATGTCTGATGCTATATGCACTTTCCGCGTGTGCGTCGCGGAGTCACAATACGAAAGTGACGGCGGGAGTTGGTAATAGAACTAGCTACGAGGTGGCTACTAGATGGAATCCAAAAATTCTACCCGATACAGTATTGATGTTTCCTTCTTTCTATCTAAATTTCTCTAAATAGGCCGTTTCATAGCACTACATGGTAGCAATCATGTGACAATTTCTCTTGGGCTTCCGTCTCTACGACTCAGAGCCGCTGACTCGGGTAGTAGCATGGATCAACTTGATACGCAGCTTATTCCAGTTATCCATTTTCATGGCCCGTTCATGATAGTTTTGGTTGATTAGCAGCCCAATTTAGCAACGAAACGCGGTCCTCTTACCCTGCAGCTAGTTTGAGGACAACCATCACAGACTGGGTCGCCAATTCTGAACAGCGAACATCGACTACGAATATGTCAACGGGAAAGTGTACTATTATTCGGTATTGCCGAATAAAGCCACCCAAAGCCCCATGAAGGCTCACACGACGGCCCTATTCAACTAGTTTCAATACATAGAACCCGTTGCCGCTCTGCGCTCTCATGGGCTTCAGAGACCAATTGAATAATATTGCAAGGGTGTGAATGAAAATTCAGACTCTCTATTTTTGACAGATGACCGAGGGACTGATGAACAAGGTCCCAGTCCATTCGATAGTGAAAATCAGAGGGGGCCTAGTCTTGTCCAATATCCACAGCCCAAAGGGCCATGAGTCAGTCGTGGGGTTTTTTCTCAACAAGATGCCCGACTTGAATTCGAATAACGGCATGTTTTTTGACACGCTGTTACGGGTTGCCTGAGGAGGTTATCAGAGGATCCTCAAACTACGGGGAGAGATGGCGCGACGTTGGCGGCCGACTGGAAGATGTGTTAGCCAGCAAATACCATGAGATAATGAGAGACGAGTGCAGAGCCTGAAGCAAATGCAATGGGAGGTTGAGGGCACAATTACCGTCGGAGTCGGATGGCGAAGACATGGCGACAATATCAAGCGCAGATATTTACAACACACCCAGAGACGCACACTCGGCACCAACTCCTCCGTCGCCCGACTTACGCAATCACAGGGATCGACGCCAAAGAAAGTGGTCTTGAACGTGGAACGGAAGGATCAAATGCTGGGGGTATTATATAGTACTACTATATCTTAAGTTGGGAAACTCTATTCTCGTATGTGGTGGGGTGGCTCGATTTTAATTTCGCAACGACTCCAAGCGACCATTGCCAAGCGGCCCTTTCCCAGGACCAGCGGGGGTCATGGGCTCCACGCCAAGTTTGGACGCAAACGTCTGGTTGAGGGTCTACAATGCCGCCGGGAAATTTGCGATATTCCGCCAAGGGTCGCCGTGGCTGCGTCGTCTTGCTCCATGACTCGGCCGTCAAACCCGGTAGCCGCCTTGGCAAATGCAATCAATTGATCTCCTATGGGGGCTATAGAACGGATAGTAATAATTAAAAATGAACGTGTCAGCGTGAGCAAGGGCGCGGAAGACTTTATTATACAGAGTGTCCATATACATATGTACATATGGAAAGCCGTCGCACCCCAAGTACAACAGCTGTCCTAATATGAGATGAAATATATGCATCCTTGACTGAAAGACTAGTAGACTCTACAGGCAAGCTCCCGACCTTGAACACTGTCATGAAGTCGACTAGACTGGGCAAACGGGAAATGCCGCACTTCCTCCGATGCTTGCCTTGATTGACTCTTGAAATGTCTCAAGATCCGTATTCCTTCCCGTTGACATACAGATGGCAGTTTTAAACTTTATTGTTTGTATCGAACTAAGCCGCACTTATGATCTTCTCTGTTACAACTTATAAAACTTCCGAGGCTACTCATTACTATATAGATAGTAACTTACTGTTTTTGCTTTTAGTTAGACCTTATGCCAAGGCTTTGACATATTTTTTCGACGAAAGAGGCGATAGCCATATAGATTAAGAGTACCCCATGTAAAATAATTTATTCTTCGGGCTTAACACTTCATTATCGGGCGTAAGGTATCCACCTCGCTTGCATGGCAAGCCGGTCTACGGAGTCTGGCCCGGTGCCTTATTTGCAATCTTTGTTAGTAATATCGCGCTAAGCCTATTTGCAGTTCCAGCTATAGGCAATAAGTACCATCAATAATAATAGTATTTGCCCACCCCCACGTCGATCCCACGCCGCCGATTGCGCAGTCGCAATGCCAAGATGGCGGCTATACCTCACATAGGCCGGGAGTAAGCCATATACTTGCTTTCATGGAAGTTAATTCGTTTGAATCTCAAGTTGAACTATAGCACAGGGGCAACTGGTTACTGAATATCATGGTAAGGAACCACGGGTGACATTTTCACCGGCCAAGCCCTACAAGCAAGGGCAGTATTGGCGATATCGGATAACCATTGCGTGATGATGATCCGACTCTGGATAATGAGGGTCAATACTGATTTTTTATATGGACGTTGAGCTTGAATATAAATATCGTCATGTGTCACTAGTCCTCGCTAAACTGGCATTTCCTCTTGTATCGGGCCCCCATCGGACTATTCTCTTGCTTTGCGTCCTCCGTCGAGGCTCTCCAGCATCATGAGTTTCCGAACTGCCGCTTCTCTCATCGCTTTGCTCGGCCTCAATGCCGGGCTGTCGGTTGCCGCTGGAGGCGCAGAGGGCGATGCAGGCCGCACGACCATCGGCTTCAGGTCCGTGGGCCAGGTAGGTCGACTTCAAGTGCGGTATTGACTCATCGGTCGGTTGGCTAACAAGAAGTAGGAAGAGAAAGACCTCCTTACCAAGGCGGGCTCCCTTATCCGGAGTCGTAACACAGCCGCCACCCACATTGGAGACGGAGTCTACCTAGGCAATAGCCCGATTAAACGTGATGGCGAGAGGTTTGTCGGCCCTTATCCCTTCCGCTTGGTGTCGCACCATTACTTACGTCGCATCTAGTCTCTTTATCGTCACCGCTGACGAAGCCGCTTTCAAGGCCGCGTCCAAGGTCTGGGTACCCCAGGAATACTTCACTCTGCCCGTCGAGAGAGAAAATGACATCCTAGGAGAGAGAGAGGCTGCAATTTCCAGGGATCAGCTTGAGTACTATATTGAAGATCAAGGGCTTCATTCGAGTCGTACCGTGAAGTTGGCTGGGATACACGGATCTGTGTCGGATGACATCCAGCAGATGCTCATTCCCAACGAGATGATTTCCCATGACCAAAACGGAGTCCCCATCGAAACAGAGAGCAAGCTAGATACCAAGATTGAAGAACCGAGCGGCCCCATGTTTTGGCAGGTTGATTATGAGGAATGGGAGGGAATACAAGGCAGCAGGGTCTATACCGAAGACACACTTCGCGCAAGGAGCGCTTCCCTGGCAGAAAAGGCAACCAAGGCCGTGACAGAGGCTGAAAAACTCGTCGAGTCGGATTCTCCCGCCGCGGCAGAGGCCATAGCAGAGGCCGTCGCCACGGCAAAGAGATGCGCCGAGGGGGTCGGCCACTTTCACAGAAAGCGCCCCGATTGGGTCGACTTTGACGACTTCAACACGGTGTATAAGCAGTATTCTAATGCCCGCAAGGCCGAGGCCAAGCTCCGCAAGTTGAAGCTGACCAAGGCCGTGGAGGCACAAAAGAGCAAACTAACCGAGGCGGCGGAAAAGGTAACGGATGATGCAACCCGGGCTTCTGGGATTGCCGAGGCAGAGCAGGCCGCCGCCGAGAGCAACAAACTGCTCCAAACAGCCGCGGACGAGGCCGAGGGTGTCAAGAAGGCCCATGAAAAACTCGAATCTGTCCGGAAACAGTTGGACGGCGGAGAGCAGGAGGAATTCATAGAGCTCCTGGCAAAGAACCCCCGAGCTGTATGGGCCACACTACAAGAGTCCTTTACGAGCATGAATGGCAAGCCGGCAGCATCGCTCGACGCCGCTATAATAGACGAGGCAGACATCACTCAGGAAGAATACTCCATCTTTCAGGAGGGCGTCGACGAGGCCAAGGCCATGGCTACCGAGATCGGGGAGGGTGTGAGGGCCCTCCAGATGACGGTCGGACATCCTGAAATCCTGTGCAAACGTGGGGATATAGACTGCATCCTCGTTCCATCAGATAAGGAGAAGCTCCCCACAGCCGAGAAGCCCGCCAAAATCGAGCCGGCCAACGAGGGCGAGCTCATTGCCATAGCCCGGCAGAGGTCCAAAGAGAGCTTCGACGACCTCCTGACGGATTTCAAGTACAAAAGCGTAGTCAAGCACGACCAGCTATACAAGGAGCTGAACGAACGCTTGCCAGAGTTCAGTCCAGTGTCAAGGACCGAGAGAATCGTCAGCCTATCTACCAAGTTTGGCGAAGGCGCCCTAGCCGTCGCCGGACTCGCACTCTACGGCAAAGCCGTAGCCGACGTATTCTCCAGCGACACCAGCAGCGTCCTAGACAAGGCGGCGGTCGTCACGTCCATCCTCCCCGGCGTCGGGTGCGCCGTCCAGCTCGCCGACAGCGTGGAGCACGGCAACGTCGACGCCGGCCACACGGCGCTGTGCTTCGCCGAAGACGCCCTCCTCGTCTCGGGCTTCTGGGAGATCGCGCTCGTCATGCAGCTCACCGAGTCGCTAGCCAGCTGGATCGAGGCCGGCAACGAGCAAGACAAGCTCTTCGACACCGAGGTCCTCCGGAGCAAGGGGCTCGCCGGGTGGGAGGCCAACGTCGACCGGATGCTCAAGCACATCGCGTCCGACGAGTTCGCCGCCAACACGACGACGCGCTTTGCCACGTACCAGATCCTCGTGCTGTACCAGGCCTCGCAGCTGACGGGCGACCTGCACGCCTCGCACAAGGCCGTCTCCGGGAAGCCCGGCAACCAGACGGACGAGATCGTGCCGCACATCGAGCCCGAGTTCCGGCGGCAGATATGCGCCGCCATGGCGCAGAGTAAGTTCCAGCTGCGGCAGAAGCTCGAGGCCGTGGCGCTGGAGCACGCGAAGAAGTTCTCCGAGGAGTACAAGGACAAGTTCCTCAAGGACTACCGCGAGGCGGCGACCAAGCCGATTCCGTTTCTGGGGATTCCTATTTCCTTTGGGGCGGGGAATCTCGACGAGGTGCTCGAGGACGCGAGGCGGTGGCCTTTGCCTCTGCACGAGGGCAGGATCAAGAGGGCGATAAGGGAGGTGGTTGAGCGGCTGGAGACGCCGGCGCAGTGCAAGTGTTTGCAGGGCAGTAAGAAGGCTCCGTGCGAGTATGCGGACTGCAGCACGCCGAAACCCCCCAGGGGAAGAAAGGACGCCGCAGGGAGGGTGTACGTGACCAACGTGCAGTCTGAGGATCATGCTAAACAGATGCGCTTATGGGATGAGTGCGTGTCACTCTATACCACGTGTCCGTATCCTGGCTTGACGGGCGAGGTTGGTAGACAATTATGGTGTACGCCTGCGTCTTGATGTGGAAATAGGTGGTGTATATAGCTTTAAAGGAGGATTTTGTGTGGGAATTCTCTTTTCCTTGTCCACTCTTGTTCTATTCAAGTTGCGCTCTACCTGTTTGTGCTCCCGTGCAGTCATCCGAACGGTTTAGTCGGGAAGTTGATGACGCAACGGCTGGCTAGACAGCTTGGGATATGCTAATAGCATGATTAGAGGCCCAACTCAGATAATTATATAGTTTAGTCTTAATACTCTCGACAGTTGTTGGATGACAAGATGCCGTTTCTAGCCAAAGTGCAAGATGTACATATGGAAACGCCGCCGAGATGTGGTGCCACGAATTTACTCGGTTTTCACCGCGACCGGCCTTGACGTGTAAGCGGGTACATGTACTGAGCCCGCAATCTATCTTGCATTAGATCGCCGAGACGGGTTCGGCACGACAGGCCGGAGATCCTAACAGTCTGCAGGAGCTGCAGGTCAAGCTAGACTTGCGGGTCATGATATCGCTAGTCACGACCGGGACCTTGGTTCAGTTGAATCAGCCAATATACTTTTTAATACCATTTTCTGTCGATGGCCGTCAGTTAAAGAGATCAGCTTGGCAGGGCAGGGCAGGTCTAGGCCAGGGTGCTGCGGACAACCATGAGAGTTATGGAAAGACAGCCAGCATACACGCATACTACATCAAATAAATGCGAGGTGGAGTTTGACAATGTGTCCGAGGATTGTGCTTGACACTGCTTGTGGAGTCTGATCCCATAGGAAGAGAGGGCCAATCCGCAAGCCAATATTGCCCTATGTATCATCTAGCTCGCCTCTTGGAGACTTCAATGCTACGTTGCCAAATGTCTCCACGATGTGTTGTTCTTGGCTGTCACCCTGACACACAAAAAGGAAAGCGTCTGAAATGCATCAGCTCACGCGGGCCAGCACCAGAGGAGCACGAGAAGTACGACTTGTGTTTTATTAATCAAGTTGGCGCTATAGCCAGCAATATAAGTTATAACTCAGAGGTCCGCAAATGTCACCAAATCGTACCCAGCAGTTCGTTCCTTTTTGTTGCCTTCATTCTGGCGCAGCCGAAATGACAGCGAGACAAGACTGCCCAAAGCGCGCCCACAGACGCCTCAAAAGACACTCTTCAAAGCAGCCCGGCCCCCAACCCTCTCCATCCAGGCCTGAATGTGCGAAAACTTGTCCAAGTCCACCTTGAGCATGGCCACCCAGTGCATCAACGACCAGATGTGCGTGTCGGTGAGGCAGTAGGCGTCACCGAGGAGATAGTCCTTGCCCTTGAGCGCACCATCCAGTATGCCCAGAGCACTGTCCACGCCCTTCTTGGCCTCCTCGCCATTCATCTTCCTAGCCTCGGCCTGGGCCTCCGTCTCTTCGCCCTCCTTTTCGGAGTGGAGGAAAGAACCGAGTCGGGAGGCGTGTGCGGCGAGGTGGACGTTGGCCCATACAATCCATTTCATGGCCTCGCCGCGCTTCACACCGAGAGCCGGGTACAGCGACTTGTCGACGCCGAATGTTTCGCCTAGGTACATGGTGATTGCGGCGGACTCCCAGATGGGAACCCCGTCGTGGACGATGGCGGGCACAAGGCCGTTGGGGTTCACGTCGGACAGGTACTCGGGCGTGCGGGTGTCGCCCTTTTTGAACGAGAGCTCGACGCGCTCGGCGAGAGGTTCGGAAAGGCCGTGTTCGAGCTCGGCCAGGACGGCAACAGTCACGCCAGCCGTGGAGAAGGGAGCAAAGTAGAACTTGAGAACCATGGCGACTGCGATAAATTTGGTGTCTACGTGGTCGGTTAGGGCGTTGAGCAGAATCGCCTCGACTTGGGAGGAGATAGTGGCAATTGGAGGATTGATAATACGGAGAACAAAAAAGGAGCAAGGACTCTGGTCGCGGGATATTTATGTCCAGGCTCTTGGGGGGCCATCCGCGTTATGCTGCTCAGCTCCGAGCATAGCCCCCCGCAGCTGAGAGGCATTCACGCAGATTCACGGTGGCGTGAACGTCAGCAGCATGGACTGCTGGCACATACACCCACTGTAGTGAAAGTCGGTTTCTTCTCAGGATGAAATGCACTCGTGGCGTTGCACGCTCTGCCATGGTTTGACGAATCATGTCACACAATGGCAGCCACCTGGGCTACACGATGCGAAGAGTATTGTATTGATCCAAACAAGTCCCGGATAGAGCTACAAAGAGAATTGGGGGCCGGGCGCTCGGCTCCACACAACTCTGGAATAAGCCGTACTGCCCGGACCCTGTTATCCTGTGCGACACAAATGAGTCAAGTTGTGTTCTCGCCATGAAAGCGCGCTGACATGCAGAATAGCTAGGATCCTCGGCAGAGATGGTGCTTCTTTTGCGGTCGTCCGAGAAAGCCTGCACATGCTCAAACCAAATTTGGGAGCGGCTATCAATGAGCTATTGAAAGCGGGCGCTCGGAGAACCAGCCCGATGCCGACGAGCCGATGGCCGGAGCCGTGAGAGTGGAGACGGCTCCGACCGGGCCGTGCAGCCCCGTCACGCCGCTCCGGGTTCCGTCCGTGACCATTCCCTGTTGTGGACGAAGATGGATCAAAACCCATACTCCCAGTGCCATCCATCACTCTGCCGCCCAGCGCTAGATAGTCTGCTAAAAGCCCAGCAAGAGAAAACGGCCTCCCTGCGCGCTGAATAGCACCACCCTGCTCATGAGGTCATGCACCTATATACCCGTTTCCAACACGACAAGTGTCGATAGCATCGACTTTTGTTCGCAGCAGCTCAATCACACCTCTATACCCCCTCTTAACAGCCCGAGAAAGCGGCGTCTGGCCCTCACAATCTTCCGCGTCGACATCGGCGCCCTTCTCAAGCAGCAGTTTAACCACGGCCTCGTGTCCCCCCTCGGCAGCCCGCGACAGCGGCGTCTGGCTATTATAATCCTCGGCCTCGATATTCGCGCCCCTCGCCAGCAGCAGCTTGACAACAGCCTCCTGCCCCGCTTTGGCCGCCCACGACAGCGGCGTCTCGCCATCGTAGTCGGCCGCCTCGATATTCGCGCCCTTTTGAAGCAGCAGCGTGGCGACGGCCTCGTGGCCCCTCTTGGCAGCCCACAGCAGCGGCGTCTCGCCGTCGTAATCTTTCGCGTCAATGTTCGCGCCTCTCTCGAGCAGGAGCGTGACCACGGCCTCGCGCCCCTCGTTGGCGGCCCACCACAGCGCCGTCCAGCCGCGGCACTTGGCCTCGATGTCGGCGCCGTTCTTGAGCAGCATGAGGACGACTGTCGCGTGGCCGTGCTCGGCTGCGTGCATCAGTGCCGTCCGTCCGGTCTTGTCCTCCAGGTCGATTGTGGCGTCGGCTCGTGTCAGCAGCAGCCAGACGTTTTCTTCGAGTCCTGCTTTTGCCGCGTCGTGGAGGGCTGTGGGTTCTCCGAAGCTCATTAGTTTTGAGAGCGTTTCGTCGTCGTAGATGGCGTATTCTGCGGTGCCGTTGCTTCTTTCGACGCTGTTGGGCTGGCGTGTGGCCAACACGTGCTCTTTTTGGATGCAGAGCCGTCTTGTTGAAATTTGCGAGGGTCGGAGGTTTCTCATGTCGAGCTGTTCCAGCTTTTCGCTGTGGACCCTTTCGAATCGGTCCATTGTCAAGGATGTGTCTCTCACGTAGATGGCGATTGGCCCGTCTTTGCCATTTCCTTCTGCGCAGTTCAGGACCGCCAGGCCTAGTCCTCGAGGCCCTATGCCTACGAAGCGTAGTTCCAGGTGAACCCCCATACTGCTCACCGTTGAAGGGGCATCAGAAGGGCGCAGTGTGATGATGTTTTTGGAGCTCTTGAACGCAGCGGGGGAGGCGGCCAAAAGTCCACCGGACATGTCACCATGCGCCCATGCGAAGAGGCTATGGTCATCTGTCGTCCTTATGATTTCTTCCTGGAGCCTGGTGAAAGCTCGTTGTCCTTCTCCGTAAAGCAAGGGCATGTGAATGCGAAATATGCCCATTAAACAATAGGCAGTATCTTCGACCCTAGTTGTCTTCCTCTCCGCCGCCCATGACATTCTCTGTGCAATGCTAGCCGTTTCCAGATCGTCATGACCAGTAAGAATGCCGACTGGTATACCTGTGCATTGGGATATCTCCTGCCGCCGAGTTCCCTTGGTTCCTAGGTCGTCCCAGTTCTTACCAAAGAAATGGACTTCAGCTGGCGCGAGCAGCTCTTGCAAGGTCCATCCTCTTTGAAACCACTCGCTTTCGCACATGTCATCTACCAACCAGACATCGGCAAGATAGGCATAGCACCTCTCTGCTCTGTAGTACCAAAGGTACATAGAGTTGATTGCCTCCGACAGCTCGGCGCTGCTTGTCTTGTCAATGCAGCACGTGTCGATCCAAGCGTACTCGAACCCGTCGCATTGTGCTCGGAACGCGAATCGCCGCACCTTGTCGTAACCGCCTTTCTTTACACCCTGGCTTAGTAGCTCTCCCTTTTCCACATCCTGAAGGGAAAGCTCGCCTTCGCCCCATCTATGTGACAGGATGGCGTACTGGGGTGTTTGGCCCTCGGCGAATTCTTCCAAAGTAAGGGTGCCGGTGTTTAGCAGACGCATAGTTTACAACAACGTAGTTTGACACGATTGTTTCAGAGGCAGGGCCATGAAAGAAATGAAGGTGAAGCTTTGGTATGTAGGTATCCTGGCCTCACCGAGACGGAGATAGACAAAGAGAGCCCTCGAGAATATTTTGCAGTAGGAAGTTATGTTCAGTGGCCTCTGACTAAAAGACTTTTTGCTGTGTAATGGATTTCCACTGACTCAGGCCGAAAATGATAGGCCCATAATTCTGGAATACTCACGGGCGAGGGAATTAGTGTTGTGCTGGAGGAGAATTCATCGATTCAGCGTTATAAGAAAGCTAGCATCTAGCCCAACTAGAAGAATCTCACCTCGATTTCTTCCCCTCCCCCGCCATGCAAGCCGCAAGTCGGGACATGGAGGATTTGGGCTCCAAGTGTCAACGGGATGTGCTGGCCTTGGGACAGTGCCACTTCACTGGCTGCTGCATGTCGACGTTGCGCGACCGCCTCGCTTCGGTGCTCTCAGCCAACCAGGAGCGAAGTTTCAAGCACCATGCAGCCAGTCATGTGAATTCCAACAAGTCAGACGAAAGCCGACATCTATGTCGCGTCGGGCACACTGGCGAGCGGTTACGTGGCGTAATTCGAGCAGCTGGATGTGGATTTGATGCTCGTAGGTTGTGACAACGACCGCGGCTGTGCCTTTTGCCGTGAATGTGCAAAGCCGAGAGCGCATCTGTCGCAAACGAGGACGTGGCTAATTTTGAACAACACGCTTGTAATTTTGAAGAGCATGACTGGATTCCCCGCTGCAAGTTGTTCAGATGAAATGTGGAACGAAACAAAAAAGTATCGACTTCACCCTGCTAGTTTTGACTCAGGGTAAGGGGTCTGGGCTATGATGTATGCATGGCTGCAAGGACAAACTAGCAAGACTACATATGTAATAACTTGAGATCAGACATTGTTAGCCCATCACTTCTTGACATCAATAGCCTCATCTGATGCACATGGTAGCCTCTGATGATCACGATTCACATGCATGACACTGGCTGTCAACGAATAGAAGTAGAACCAGATTGATTTGCATTGGAGCGCCTCGTTTTTGTTTACCCGTGCCCAGAGTCAGCTTCCCAAGTCTTAATCTTTACCAACTGGTTGCAACCTGAACCTTGCTCGCAATTATGAGGAATGAAGTGAAACTGTCTGAGAAACATATTACAAACTCTACCAAAACATTCATACGCATTCAGTTACTCTAATTCCTCTCTCTTTCTCTTCTTTGACAAGCTTCCATTCGGCCTCCTTCCGATCACAGGGTTTGGTGCTTCTGTAGGTGCGTCTGCGACAGAGCAAGACGGGACCGCATTAGAGTCCGGCTTTTGCTTGCTCCTAGTTGGCCCCCCATCTACTACCTCCCTTTGAGTCACCTTTTGATCCTCTGCTAGCGAGAGCCCAGGCATGAAGGAATTGGACTGTTTTGCAGAGTTGTTAAGCGCGGGGATCATGGATTCGGGGAGAGTAGATCCTATATCCTCGGAGGCATCATTACAGTGTGCCTCGCCAAATCGCCGTGAAAACTCAGAGAGATCTCTAAGCGTCTTCTCAGAAACGCTGGGTCTGATTTTCTTGAGCGACTTTGCAAAGTGCGACACTGTGAGCCGTAGTTTACTCATCTTGACGCCGTTTGACATCTCCTTCACCTGCTCTATAGCCCATATTAACGCAGCTTCTGCGCAAAAACTACGCAGGTCCGAACCAGAGTACCCATCAGTCTGCCTAGCCAGAGCATTAATGTCTACTAGTGGATCCAGGTCCTCATCTTTCAGAAATAGCCGAAGAATCTTGGATCGCGACTCCTCTTCAGGAAGCCCGAAGAAGATTTTCTGAGGCAGCCGGCGATAAAACGCTTCGTCTAGATCACGAGGGCGATTTGTCGCCACCACGACAAAAGGAGCCGTGTCGCTCTTGGAAAGTCCGTCCATCTCTATGAGAAACTGAGTAAGGGCAGTCCGGTACCAGCTCTTGTCACTGGAAGAGCGACGGTAGAACAGTGAGTCCGCTTCGTCAATAAACAACACGCAAGGGAACATTGCTTTGGAGAGTTTGAACGCCGCTTTAATAAGTCTCTCCGTTTCGCTGACGTATTTGGAATGCACTGCTGCTGAGTCAATGGCAAGCATGCTTGCGCCGGAAGCCTTGGCAATAGCTCTGCAGAGATGCGTTTTGCCAGTTCCGGGAGGCCCGTAGAATAGTGCTCCGTTGATACGAATATGCTTAAGGAGGCAGCTGGATGCGACTTGCGGGTGGAAATCGGATAGCGAAACCAAGTGACGGACAGTCTCTTTTGTATCTTCATCCACAATGACGTCGTCGTACGTGCAATCGATGTCATCTAGCAGCATGCTCAGTACCGAGGTTCACATTGGGCAAATTCAGGTATAACTACCTGGGTTGATGATGCAGCTGATGAGCGACTTCTCCAACGGATCCGCAGCACTCTCAACTCTACGCAGTTTATCGACCCAACGTTCAGCCTTTGTCTCTGATATTTCGTTCGTATCCGGCCTGATTTTATTCGCAGTGCCCATCTCCACAGATGTCTCCGGGGCTCCCTCATTTGACTCGTCTGCTTCTTTTGGCTTTTCTGTTTCGCTCAGCTCTTCTCTCTCATCTGATTCTTCTGTCTGGCGGACTGTTTTCAGGAGGTCCAGACGCAGCAGAACAATTCGAACGTCCTCAGGATCAATATGGGACATTCCAGAGGCACGACCTGTTATCTGGGTGATAGCTCGCTGGAAGTCTCTTTCCTTCCATTGTGATGCTTCCACGAATTCATATCTTCCGTCGTCGTCCAGATTCCAGGCTGAGTAGGGCTGGAACATTTCAAGAACTTCGGGGACAAACAGGTGAGGAATGCGCAATCGCAGGAAGCGTTTAAGTCGCCTGGTATTTATTATGCTTGTACAGTAGCTCCCGGTAAGGTCTACCTTCCCTTGAAAGCAGAAAGGGGTCATAGTGACGATCGATGCGCTGCCCGCTGATATCTTTCCGCCGACTTTGGGAAGTGAACCGTTCCCGGAGAAAGAGACCAGAAGGACAATTCCACGCCCCGACAGCCGTTTATCTCGAATGCAATCACGAAATCTTTCTAGAATATAAGGCCTTTTTTGTATCATTTCAGACGAATCCCGAAGGTAGAGAAGAAGTGGAGGAGGCTCTGTCTCAAGTGGCTGCGGGCTGATGACAGCTGTGGCTTCTGGTCCATTCTCTCTTGCTGTGTTTGGCCGAGATTTGGAAATCTGAGTGTCTAGGATCGCCGCGATGGCTTGTTCAGTTCGATTCCAGGCATTTTTGGACGCATGCTGCTCAGGTTGGGTGCCGAAGTAGCGCACCGCCATTCCAGCAAAGTAGTCTCGATTGGGTTCTTTCTTTGACTGCGACTCTGGTAATTTATTTTCTGCAATCATTCTCTGCTCTTGATGATTAAAATCCCATCCCAAATCTTCCAGGTCTTCCAAGTCTACAGACACGAGAGTTGCCTGGAGGTCTTTTGCTAGATGTAGGATGACTCCGTCAACAAAGGGCAAGTCGAGATCCCATGAGGAGCAAAGAAGAACAGCTGCATGCGATGGGGATAGCTTCCCTTCCTGGTCGCGCATCAGAAATGCAGCCGTGACATCTCGCAGCTCGGAGAAGCTATCGTGCGAAAGTTGGTATTCGAGGATGTCGACTTCCTGATCCAGTGTGCCAGACTCATTAGTTTCGCCAGTATCCTGTCCAGAACTGTCACTCGCGGCGTTTGGGGACTCTTGCTTGCAAGTACCGGGTGTTTTCCCTAGGACTTGCTCCACGGGTGTGCTATATGCTGGTTTTGAAGCCTTTTGCTTGTCTAAGACATTATTGGCGTTCCGAAATACCAGCCTACATGGAAGCGGAAGGTCATTGAGCTCTGCTGTGGTCTTGACTTTATTGCTCAAAAACCAGGGTGGTAAAAGAAAGTCACTGCAGAGCTCTGTCGACGTTTTCGTCTGGCTTGACGCTTGCTTCCTAGCCAGTGGCGACATCATTTTGATCTGATGCATCCAGGTCAGCAAACATTCGGGACGCTGTGGGAAGAAAAAACAGGGAGTTTGGATAATATTAAAACGCGACAAGTCATGCAAATGAAGCTGGAGGGATGAAAATTGCGGAATGCCAAACAGCCAAGCGCGGCACCTTGCGCAGATGTCAACCACGTACAGTGTTGCGCCAGCTGGCCGCGTAAATGCTGAGATGCGCCTTCCATATTTGTTTCCCGAGAAGCCACCACTACATCTGCACTGCGCCGCCGTGATTGCAAGCCATGTACATTTCACGCGAGACTTTGGATTGGAGAAAGTCTCAAACTACTACTGCTGGCCTATGTTTTAGAGCGGATGCGTATCTTTGCTTCACTCTCCAAATAATCAAGACTGCAAAGCCGGCGTCGCAGGCAAGGTCTCATCGAAGGTTAGACTCCAAGATGTACAGTGCAAATGTCAAACTACTTGACAGAACCGTTATGAAACAAGGTTTATTATGTACATCGCTGCTGATAGAGATATAAACCATGCGCTCGCCAGTATGCAATGTTTTAATAACTCAGTATTATGGCTTATGCCTTTCATGTAACAATCATGTTAAATCTCGCTATTTGCCTCCGCGTCGATATCAGAAAGTGCAAAGTAAAGCTAAATCGGCCCAGCGCTCGCCCAGCGCATGCTCGTTTAATCCTGACCTTGGCACTAAGTGCTAGAGACGGTTGACGTAACTCATATAATGTTGAGAGCTGAACAGAAACTATAAGGATCCAATCCATCCTGGTGAAAATAAAAGCAAAGGAGCCATTGTTGGTCAGTGAGACTACTTCTGCCTGTCCTTTCAGCCAGTCAGGCCAAGTCGTTCAACGCCAGACCTAGCACTTTGAATGGCCGACCCTTCTTCGAGATCCCAAGCCTCTACGGTGCCATTCATTCTTCCTAACAGAAGTACTTTGGTATCGGCAGAGAATGCAGCAGCAGTGACCATGCTTCCAACACTGTCATTCTCGCGGCCTTCCCAAGCGATAAGTCCAGAGGCGACATCGACAACATCGAAGCCATTTTCAGTGCGATTTACCATCCAGCGCAGATCCGGAGAGATGCAAAGGGGCCAGCCCTCTGTGGCGCGGGTGGCATTGAGATTGTACGAAGTGAGGTAGTTGGTCTGCGGGAGCCAGATATGAACCATGGTTCCCCAAAGTGACACAATGGTCCGTCCATTGGGGCAAACGGCCAGCTGGCGTGGATTGGTTGATCCGCGGCCCTCGATTTCGAGCTTCGTGATGGTCTTGGCAGTCCTGGGGTCCGTGATGCGAACCGTGCCGTCGCGGGAGAGCGTAACAACCTTGTGATCGGGTGTAAAGGCAGCGTGGGTAATCTTGTCTATGTGACTGACAACTCTGCCGACTCTAGCACCCGTTCGCGCGTCCCACACTCCCATTCTTCCGTTGCCTTCACCAGCCGCAATAGCAATGCCATCTCTGCTCCAGACAACAGGCCCAGAAACAGCCCCCTTTAATTCAACGATCGTCTTGCCTGTGCAAAGGTCCCGAACTAATACGGTGCTGCCATGGTGATATTCCACACCCTGGCCAACTTGCACAGTCCAATCCCGGATGGTTGCAACTCGGTTCTTAGCAGCCCCCGCGGGTCCAAGAGCAGCGTGAGAGCCGGTGACTTTGGTGTAGCCCTTCTGGCTGGATAGGTCAAAAACGTCAACCCACGACTGACCTGTGCTTGGGGTGGCATAGACGCTGAATGCGGAGGCCAAAGAAGACGAAGTAGGAGACATGCCCACAGAAGTAATCTCTGTCTTGGCGGAAACGCATTGGTAACGTCGTATAAGTGTTAGTTCTGAAGGCGGGGCCTCGGGCATTTCTGAAGGAGAGGACCTGGGAAACCGTGATTAGTTTTGTTTGCACGAAAAAGAAATTCGTATTTTGCTTGATAGACGTGAGCGCCTACATGATGAGAAGTCTAAAATAGGTCGTTTGCGTGGATGGCTCACGAGCGTTTAGTACTCTTAAGCGATGGGTTTCCGAAGGGTATTTCGTCAGCCACTACAAGACAAATGAGGCGAACGCGTTGGCAGGGTTGATGAGCGGTTATGTGTGTTGATAGCTTTCGAATTATATATATTGATTCGCCTAATGTATGTGCTGATGATGCAGAAAAAGAACGGCTGAAAACTGGTGGGTGAAACGCATTCTTAAGTTTCCCAACACAAGATGAAGTTTGGACTTCATCGTGATAACTTTCTTCCCCACTTGCGACATATTGGCAATCACGGTTATTTCTCGAGAGATGATTCAAACAAAGCCATCCCGATATCGAAATGGAAAAAACTGGTCACTGCCCGGTATGCAGCCGCCGAGAGCCGAGTGACAAAGCGGCTATGGGCCACATTGCTGATCAAACGACAACGGCCTCACTGACAAGCTGACGCCAGGAAAACAAGACTATGACACGCCCGCCGCTAAAGAAAGAATCTGGTTGGGCCTTGGCCGAGATTTCGATTATCAAAGCGGCAGGGACTCCGCACTGGGAGGGCTGAAATGTGGCTAACAGGGTATGGCGCTGAAGTTCGGAGGACACTCTTGGTATGAAGCTTAACAATACGGAGTATGGCTAGCCGATGGTTTACTGCTCTCGTCTGCTGCACATCAATTAGCGTTTGTCAGACCTTGAGAGATTGGAAATATGCCAGGGCAACAAACTCGTCACAGCGCCCATACACCAACAGCTGTTAGTGCACGTGTAGGCAGGTACTTGTCCTTCCAAATTGAGCTCGCCGAAAGAACATATCGCCAATGCTTCTACTGCTGTTCCAGGAATCTGGTTCCGAGTGACTCATGTGGTGCGACCGTGCAAAAGGATGCAGGACCCTGGATGAGAATGAATGTGAACGGATTTGACAGGCCAGTTTCGCGGCAAAACGTGGTGCAGGTTCGGCGAGGCTTCTTCGGCGAGACCAGTCTGGACTAGCGCAACCGACTGCGGAGCTGTGGGGCGCTGGTGATGGACGACGGAGTAGCACCACCGAAAAGGCTGCAAAGTTGGAAACTGAATATGCTGAGACAGTGGCTCCTGTTCATGGTTGTTTCATCCAATTCAATCTTCACCTGACGGTGCGGAGTTCTAGTGTGCAGAAAAAAATAGCACCCAATACGGAGTAACAAATCGGCAACAACCAGCTGACGTCCTGTGGCTCCTTCCCAAACCGCCAACCAAGACATCAAGGTTCCCATTTGGCTGTTGTTGCACAAATTTAAAGTACACACGTTGCCCATCATCTTTCGCATCATATCCAGACAAGATCCTCATCAGTTGCCAAATGCCTCATCATAACCCGTCATGCAGGATCGATAGCGAACGCTGCTGTTCTCCAGCTTGGCCATGGCCTGCTGCAGGCCTTCCCTTGAGATGGGAATCTCCTCCACCCATGATTTAATGCCCTTCTCAGCAGCAAGCTCGAACATTTCCAGCATCTCCCGGCGGCTTCCCAAGTGCGAGCTTCCAATGAAGCAGCCATTTGAGATGAAATCAAAATTATTCACCTTGATGCCTTCACCACCGGGTAGGCCGACAGAGTTCCATCGGCCGTGGACGTCGAGCAGGCTCAGGTACTCGCTGAGCTGGAAGCCGTCGAATGAGTTGGCCGTGTTGATGATGAGATCAAACGTCATCTTGTGCGGCTCGTTCCAGCCCTTCTCGCTCGTGGCCAGGAATCCATCCGCGCCCATCTTCTTGGCATCCGCCTCCTTGGCCCGTGAGCGGGAAATGGCCCAGACTTCGGCTCCCAGCGCCTTTGCGAACATGACGGCGAAGTGTCCAAGACCACCGATGCCAACGACACCAACCTTCTTGCCCGGCCCAGCCCCGAATCGCTTTAGGGGGCTATAAACCGTGATGCCGGCGCAGAGCATTGGCGCAGCCTCTGAGCTGGTGATGGCATCCGGGATGGGGTACACCCTATAAGCTGATGTTAGCATCTGTGCCTGCCCCGGTCGTCAGATTGGCAGCCTGACCAGCTGTTGTGCAGCACAGATTTGGGTTTCTTTCTCCTTACCAATATTCATGGATTCGGCTATGTGATGAATAACCTCCCTGTGTCGTGTAGCCGGTATCCAGGTAGGGTGCGCCGTAGGCGTCAATCTGATGCTTACAATACGTCTCGTTGTCGTTCTTGCACTGTCGGCAATCCAGGCACGAATACACCTGGGCACCGCAACCAACACGCTGCCCAACCTTGGCCAAGGTGACCTTGGGTCCAACGCGCAGGACTTTGCCAACAACTTCGTGCCCGACGGCCAGCGGGTAAGGGCAGCCTCCCCAATCGCCACTTATGGTGTGCATGTCACTGGCACAGACACCACAGCATTCGATCTTGATGTCGACGTCGTAGTCGCCAAAGGGACGCGGGGTCCAGGAGTTTTTCTCAAATTCGAGCCATCTTTCGGCGGCCGGGGCTTGAAAGCCACTGAACTTGTCGGGATAGGACATTGTTCGTTGGCAACCAATATGAAGGTCAAGTTCAAAGTCGCGATATCAGCTGAGTGGATGACAGGAATGACTTGGTCGACACGGTTTTGCAACGCCAGGCGGGTATGAGATTTAAAACTGGTTCAGGGAGTACGAGACGAAGCCAGGAGAAACGAACGGCAGGCAACCCATATATTAACCTACGTTCAATCCTGGAGAGCTGCCCCTCATCCTACGAGGACACACTTGCACATGAGGGGCACATTGTCCGTCTCGTGGGGAACAAGGGAGCCACCTCAATCGCCATGAATTACAGTCCAGATCTTGTTGCCCCAAGATCAAAACCGGCGTTGCGGCACCAGCGCGGGCACAAGCCCGGTCGTTGTGTCCAGGAAAGAAATGAAGGGTTTGGACAGGCTCGGTGTCAAACTCCCCGAACCTGGGGGGACCTTTTACCCCGCCATGACGACAGTGCTGAATGGTGGCTTGATAATCCATTTCAGAGCACCGATTCTTCCACCAACAAAAAGCGTCGGATGCAAACAGCAGCGGGCGCGAGTTGGACCTCGTCGATATCAAGGCCGGGCGTGGCAGAAATATGGCAGCATCACGGGTAGGAATGGAATTTTATTTTTCCTCGTCTTTTTCTCCTAGAGCCTCCAGTCTTGTCGCTTCTCGACATGTATTGCTCAACATCCTCGATCTACGTACATAGTAAATGAATCTACATACTTACATGAAGAATGCCACACCCGCCTAGCCTTGTCGTCTCTTTGAATCCCGCAACCCAACACCCGCGAGAAAACATATCCTCAACGCAGCCCCAGCATACACCCACGGCACGTTCCCCCAGTCCCCGGCATTCCAACCAAACACATCGTAGTAGATGGCGGGCCCCAGGGCCCTCATCGAATACAAATGGCCAAAATCCGCAATCAGCATCACGAGCAGGACGGTCCTCCAGACGCGCATGTCCCACGTCGACCGCAGGACAAGGGCCTCGTTGATAGCAAAGAAGAAGTACATATTCGCCAGCTGGGACATGGCGACCGACGTGCCGAGCGGCAGGGCAGAAGCGTCCGACGGGGCAGACACGCCATCAAGCAGCGCCAGGTAGTCACTTTGGCGGAAGTGGTTGAAGTAGGCGCCCACCAGGGCCGAAACGGGCTCCAGAAGCAGGAAGAAGAGGCGGAAGCCCTGGCGCTGAGCGGCCATTGTGGATTAACTCGCTGGTGCGACGGAGGTGGTGAAGTCTCTGGTATTCCGTACGGAGTAGCAAATTTCTCAGTTTCGAAGTTGACGTTTGAGCTACCGGGTAGGTGGGCTCGCAGGGTCCGGGGGTGGAGCCCACACTGATGCTACAGCCCCATTTTTTGTTCCGAACCAGCAGCATCACTCCCATACAAACTTGGCCTCATCTCCAAGCCATTTGATCTTCACGTATCCAAATCCCACGTACCAAACACCGCCCGCTAACTAAACAACGATCGCAGCCCAAAGGAACATTGAAGCAAACACCAGACCCAATCCCTCCAAAAGCACCAGACTTTAGGTAACCACATCCCAGGCCAAGGCCAGACACCAAGCACCGTCATACTTTGTACGCAGCAAGCAAATGCATCCAGTCGACGACAAGCTGCAAACGCAGGACCCCAAAGCTTTCAACAGCCAAAGCAGCTTTGTCTTCTGGTGCCATTCCTTCCATGCCCCGAGAGTGTCCCTGCGGCAGCTTCAATCAAGATGAAATAGAAAGCACGAGCCCGCCATATCGTCGCACCCCATCAACCACCTTGTTATGCATTGCTCCACGGTGAGCAAGGCGTCGAGTTAAATCTTCTTTGCTGCATGTAGCCGAACAAATTAAAACAGGCTCATTTGGCGCCATGTTCGAGGCCTGGTGGACATAAACAATTTCATTTGTCCCTATTATTTGTTCATTCAGTCGCACGTTGCACACCACCACACCGTGTCATCCAAGAGCTACGTCATTCGTGCTTGCACCAGCCTTGAGTCATTAAATCAACTACCTATATTGGAAAGCTACCTAGGTATATTGCAACAAACACATCGATATTCTGCTCGTCAGTCTACTGCCCCTGGCGTGCGTCACTCGCAGCTGTCGCGCCGCAACACTTTTTGAATAGACAATCAAAACATGCCAAAAAGCTTCGTCACATCTCCAGCCCATATATATATGTATTGCTCATTTATGTTCAGGCATCGAGGTCGCAACGACAAACACAGTCGTTGTCCGAATGGCAATTGACAGATCGCTGCACGCCGCCAACGTCTCGTGCAACGTCTTCGTTGATGCAGCTGCATTTGCTACGCCAGCAGTCTTTTCCTGGCCAAGAACATCTTCTCCAGGCCCCTGGCTTTCTGGTGGTAGCTTTTCGTCATAATCCTACGATGACGCAAAAGCAGCAATCGCGGCGCAAAAATTATTGCGGTTTTCAGAGTCTTGGATCGCTGCCTGTCCATTCAAGGTCACCATAGAGACGCTAGCCTTGGTGCTGATGCCGAACATGTGTAGCTCGGAATTCTCAATAGAGATCATCTCGTCTTGGCAGTTGTTGGCAGCCACACATTCCTGGTCGTAGTTATCGTAGAAGCTGTACAAGCCGCCGCCATACACAAAGACGTTGCTAGAGTTCTGAGCTCGAAGACCCCATGTGCGGGCACACCTAGGACCGGTGCACGTGGAGAAGTCGGGATCAGAGAACTGGCTGTTGACCTTGAATGGGACGCGGGCATCTGGGTTGCCCTGCATATATGCCGTCTCGGTTTGAATGAGTGACATGTAAACATTCTCAGCGTTGGTGAGCTGGTAGTTATAAAGCTGGTTGTGCTCAGAAGCCGTTCCCCACAGCCAGAGTCCCTTGGTGCTCTCGATGAGGACGCCACGACCGTTGTAAATGTTGATTTGGTTGTGGTCAGCCAGGTCAAGCTCATGATCGGCGACCCAGAACCAAGTGTTCTCGAAGTAGGCACTGGCATCCCGAGTAACGTGGACCAACATGAAGGAGCCAACGCACCGGGGGTTGGGCGGGGCCTCTGTTTTGGGATCCTTGCTGCACTTGTCTGACTGGAGCTTAGTGCCAGTGGCGCCCGCAACGCGGAAGTGAACATCCCAGAGACCGACAGATCCCTTGCTTTCGCCAGCAACATTGACCTGCATAAGAATAGCGCCGGGCTGAGGGCCCTTAGTTGCAAGTATGAAGTCCTGCATTTCGATGTTGCCAGTCTCGCCAGGTTGACCGACTTGGAACACAGGCTTGGGCTTTGACTCATCTGCGAAGTTCTTGCAGCCACCAGCGAGAATTAGGGGCCATGACTCGCCAACAATCTTGACGTCCTTAGGGACCCTGACGGTATCTTTAATGACGTAAACACCATGGTCGATGTAAACAATCTCGCCCGGACGGATATTGTCGAAGACTTGCTGGAAGGCAGCGGTATCATCAGTCTTCCCGTCACCTTTGGCGCCTTGTGACTTGACAGAAATGAACTTGGACGCCGGAACGGTCTCATACTGAGGCTTGCTTTTTGTGACAATTTTGCCGGTGCTGTCGGTAAGAGCAGCAGGCTTAGGAACGGGACTTCTCGCATCCTGTCCGGCCTTGCCAGTTGCGCCTACATATGATCGGCCTTGCACCCAGGATTGGATGAGAGAATTGCCAGCTAGAATCGTCTGATTTCTGTCATTCTGGACGGCAACAGGGACGCCCTTGGTCGTGTCAACATTGTCCAGAACAAGAGTACCATTGGTGCCTGATTGGCTGGGTTTATAGGCGGTGATGATACCGACACGAGTGTTGGAGATGGTGCTATCGGTAAGAAGAACGGATCCGACAGTCTGGACGCTGCCTCCGTTGGCCATGTTGATACCAACGTCGCAGTTGTCGATAGAGATGCCGTGCAAAGTCCAGACCCAGTTCCAGTTCATGAAGATGGCAGTTCCACAGTTGTTAAACTTGAGGTTGCGAGTGGTGAACTGCTGGTTGCCGAAAAATGCGCCAAGAGCACCACCGTTGAAGGTCAAGTCGCTCATGAAACCGCCAGATCCATTCTCCATAAAGATACCCTGCTGCTTGTTCTGGGATGATTTGCTCTGAACCATGTTGAACACAATGTTTTGCAGCGAGGTGGCCTGAGCAACTTGCCAGTGGATACCCGTACCAGTCTCTTGGCGAAGATCGGTGAGATCAATGACGAAGTTTCGAATTTGCCGAAAGAAGTTGTTTTGGTTGGTATGCCAATTGCTGCCGTCGCTTTTATAAGGATTCGAGTCGATAACGGCAATTCCCTCAAAGTTGGCGCTGGCCTTGAGAGTAGGCACGCTAGCAGCATCACCAACAAGCTGCGTATAGTAATATTGGATGATGGGCTTTGACACAAGGTAGGTACCGGGAGGAAAATACACGAGGGCGGGAGTTGTGGTTCTAGAGTCGCACCCGTCACCACAGCGCCCCCCGTCCGAGATGGCCTTATTGATGGCGTCGGTATCATCGGTAATTCCATCGCCCTTGGCGCCGAACTCTCCGTCTTTCACGTTGCGAAAGACGGAGTAAGTTCCATTAGCAAAGGGCGCATTACCCTGTCGCTTTATGTCCGCCATCCACCAGCTTCCGTTGGTGGCAACATTGGTAAAGTTGGTAAACTTAACATCGAAGCCAGGTGATGGTGCTGCAAGTGAGGGCGAAGAAAAGAGTTGGAGCGTCAGCAGGGACGCTGAGACGAATGTCGACAGTCCCATGGTGAAATGGAATTAGCTGCCTGTTCGTTTGAAAGATGCCCGTGTCTTATGATCAACTGAGAGTTTCTGCGAGAAGAGAAGACTTAATAGTCAGCAATGATGGCCGTGGAAAGGATTGCGCGTAGAAGAGCTGGTGATGCAAGGCAGAATCTTGTGACGTTTGGGTTGTCACATTCAACGCAAGAGATGCTAGAAACTCTGGACGCAGAGAAGAACGGACATGTGTACCAAATATACTTTGAGGGTAGTGGTAAACCAAAAGAGAGAAAAATCGCCAATAGGCCAACTGACGTTGAACCAGACCAAGTCAAGGATACAGTCAAACCAAACAAACGGACTATAGAGCAGAGCGCCTCATTATATACGACTGCTATGGACAGAGCAAGCCATGGAGCCGGTTTGAAACGTCCGCCCAGGTATCAATTGGAACATAGTGATTTGGGGGGGGCCAAGATGCCGCTTGGGTTTATGACCAGCATCTTGGGAGGAACTATAGATGCAACTTGGGAGTAAATCCGGCCCTATTGAGTGACCTAGCTCTTGCACGGGACTTGAGTGCATCACATGGCCGGCCATGTCAATCCCACACAGCAAGACTTCTTGTGCAGGGGTAAATCGGACTGGAGGTTCGTCCTGGCCAAGCCAGGAGAGCACCATGACCAGTAGCGCGACGACAGAATTGTGAGAGGTGGTTGGTGCGAGGGCGTACAACGACCAGGGGAACAAGGGGGTCGGCGTATCAATACAGGAGTGCCAGATGAAGGCCAATCCATTCTCCACAACACCATGGCAGTCACTTGCCTGCGACAAAGGGGGAAGTTTTTGCAAAGTGCAAATGCACCCTGTCACGGCACTGCCAGACTATGAGTTCGCTCGTCGTGGTGATGGTCACCCGAGGAAAAGGTGCCGACGGTGGAAAGGATGCCAAGCGAATAGGCAAACGCAGCATTATGGACTCCAGAATGCTTTAATGTTGTGAGGGTGAAGAGCAAAGGGTGACGCAACGCAATGCAAGGAAGATGAGGTCCATTTGGTTCGAATCGTCCCAAGTCGGCTGGTAGGAAATGTGATGCAGTAAAGCACGGGGAAGGAGCAAAAACGTACCGATGCAATGCGCGGCTGCCAGGTAGGAATTAAGGAGCGAGAGAAGTGTTTGTCGAAGGCCCGAATCGGGGCCAAGTATGGAGTTGACGTTGGGGATTAAAGAGATTCGGTTGTTGCAAAAGAAGAGAACAGAAACGAAAGAAAGAAAGAAAGGCCTGAGAGACTGTGAGAGAAGCGAGTGTGTGTGTATTGAATGGAAGTCGATGAAGTTGCGCCGCGGCACCAGCTTGCAGAGGGAAGGAATCAACGGCGGGCTCTTCCTTATTATGTCTGGTGTAACCCAAAAAACTGGCGGCTGCTATGCTCACATCTCATTCGTCCATGGCCAAGAAATGAAGTGTGTATGCGAAAAGTTAGTAATAGTCCAAGGTGATATTGTGCGAGCAGGATACCCCGTACAATACCACGCATAATACGAGCCAAGCAAAGGACGCATGATTTTCAAACCCAGACTGTACAGGGTGCCGTGGCCATGATGAAGGGCAATGAATCAATGCTGACCAGGGTTCCCATCAAGGGTCCTGGGCATTCAGTGCTGGATGATCCAAGGCCTGACTTGGCAGAGCCATCCTCTCAGACAGGTCACAGGGGGTTGTCCGCGGGAAGTGGGTCCTTCTGGCGCGGGTCTGTCAGGCACGGACTGACACCATTGGCTGCATCGACACCGAGGGAATGGCTGCCACTGATGAACAGGGCTTCTGCGGTTGCGTGAGTCGCGCAACATTGAACTCTAACTTGGTTCCGTAATGTCAATATGTACATATAAACTCCCCAACGCAACGCACCAGGCAACCAGGCAGACAGCTATTACAGACTTTGTGATGTCGTCTTTTTGTTTGACCAAGCACACACGCACTCGCTGTCCCGGATTGATTCCGTGACCCCTGTCTTGCCTCAGCTACCTCGGGTCCTGGGACGATGCTTTTTCTCGACAGTGGCGTGCGTTGGCCATCCAATCAACCCAGCCCACCAAAAAACCACGACGGGAAAGGCCCGCGTTCCAGGCGTTAAATTGATGGCTTGTGGCGCCCAGTGCACGTGACATGAGGCTACCAATCGGGCTAGAGTATTCGGGGCATTCCAGATGTAATGTACCAGCCAGCAGTATAAACGCAGCATTGCGCGGTCACTGGAGCGCGACGATGGGCGAAAACAGACTCTCTGCTTGGTTGCCAACCAGCATTGTATATATGGACTCCTCGCTGCATGACGGTATTTATTGTACTCCGTACGAGGCAGACTACTTCGCACATCCAGAGCTTGTGGTAGGGCTTCCTTCCGGACTGGCCGAGGGAGGGCCACCAACGCACGGCAAGGGTATTTCATGACGTATGTATGGAGCATACCAAGCAAATATGTATATTAATATGTAGTACTATGCCATTTTCCCCGAAGGGTTTTTGCGTATGATGAGCGACAAGACATGCCAAAGTCAAGTCCACAGTGGTGCGGAAGTACAGAGTAGGCCGATTTCGCCCAACTACTATCCACAACCCAAGGGTTCGAGTTCAGGGTTAAAGCGCTCGACTACCGTGTATCTAATGGATTGTGTACTAGTATGGAGTAGGGAATATTCCACGGCAAAGTAGTGATCCATCAATATATTGCACACATATACATATGTATGCAGTTATTAGAGAGCCCACCAGCGGCTTGGCATGTGCAAATATGGATGGATTACTCCGTATGGTGGGTGCCAAAACCGGAGAATGGGCAGAAAACTATTGAGTGTGCGAGTCACGGTTGATGAGCACAGAGACCAGGCCAAACTGGATATTTGCCTATTCCCACCGTCTGCGCTGGCTTTGTGTTGCACAGGGAGATGGAGCGGCCAGTCAGGAATCGTTCCAGTCCCAGTCACCACGCGAGTGAATAGACACGGGCTTCTGCCGCTTCTGCCGGGAGCCAGGAACCCAATCGCCAATCGAAACTACTTAGAGACGACGATCCATCTCTCCTGGCTGTCGAGGCGCGCGCCTTGGAATTGATGGCTGCTGATGCATAGCACGACGAGCACGTACGAACCTTTGTATCAGCACATATACCCTGGAATCTAACCTGTTGTCACCTAAATGGCTTAGACTACAGAAATTTCTAGGTTCCGATTTTTTCTCCCGTGCTCTGCGCACGATAGCCCCTTCTCGTCGCGGTTATGAGACGATGGCACCTCGCTGCATGACTCAGCACCACCGCATATGTACCTAGTATGTACCTAGTATGTATAATCATGTGCCAAACAACTACATGTATCTACCTAGTAGGTACCTAGCAAGCGAGTTGTGCTGTCTCTTGTCTGCAATGTCTGGGGCATTGTTCGGCTTGACAAAGCGGACTCGCGAGGGTAGCGCGCGCACGCACGCGCGCACATTCACATTGACACAGCAAGCGCCGAGAAGCCTTCAATGCTGCGTTCTAAACTTGGTTTCGAAACAATATCGTTTCGACCACTCGACGCTTTGGGCCAACCAGTAACCCGTACCTCGCCCTTGCCGCAGGCGCCACAAACACCAAGCCGGGGGTCCTACATGCTGTACACTTGGCCCAATACGTAGTAGGTTAACACATCATGTAAATGTGTGTCACAACCGGCCAGGCTTCCGACACATGCCATCTCTTAATTTCTGCCCGACGCGTGCATCGCAGTCAACTCAGAGTCCAAGTAACGTCGCGCCAGCGTCACATGCGTCGCGTCTGCCCCAAAAGAGCCCGCGAATCCATTGCGCTCGCACGAGCTGAGCGTCCAGCAACGTGGAATAGCGTCCGAGCAGCAGCACAGGAGACAGAAGACGTCCATGTCTGGTGACCAGGTAAATAGAGTCACCTACCTACAGCACCTTGGTACTTCAATAACCACCCCCAGGCATGCTTTGCCGCAGCTACACATGCATCGACAAGCTGGCAGCATCTGCTCCCCGCATCTGCGCAAATGCAAGCAAAGTCTGCAACTCCCTAGCATAGCAGTATTCAGATCATCACTAATGACGGGCCACCATGTAACGGCAGCAAACACAACCACTCACCATAATGACTCACCACCCAGCAACACCAGTCTGCACATGGAGTACTCTATGTACGGAGTATACCGAACTTAGCCCATTCACTCGTCCGCGTCGAAAAACCCTTTCAGCCTGGATACCAGGTATGCACAACCACCCCGTCACATACCACTCAAGATGCTAGTGAAGGTCGTGGTACGGAGTACCTCACTCACATATGCGCACTCCTCACACAGCAGCTAATCACTTGACGCCCCCCCCCGCACAAAAAACAAGCCACCAGCTGTACTCCATAATCCACTGCAGAAGCCTAACCCCACACTCACACCTGCCAAAATCATGTGCAGCAAAACTACCACCCCGAGCCACGCGAACATCGTCACCTGCGCAGCCAGATGCATGGCCAAGAAGAAGAAAAAAAAGAACAGAACATCAACAAGAAGAATAAGGACCGCCGACCCAAGGAATCAAGTACCACTTCGGCCCGGGGAATCTCGCCCGCTGTGTGCCGTTTCACAATCTCGGCTTGTACAGGGCTGTGACGAATGCACGATAAATCTATTAGGTCATGGACCATTTCTACATTACCACAGTCTGAACCGCTAACCCGAATCTATGCTAAAAGTAGGACAAAAAAAGGCAAAAAAGAAAAAAGTACTCCCCCGTGTCCAAGATGATGCCCAGAAAGGAAATGAAACCGCTGCCAATTGGGCTTGGTGCGGGCCTATCTCGCTAACATATGCGATATTGATGCCCCCCTGAACGCCTCGATGCAACCTACAATAACAACAGTATAACACAACAAGATTTGCCAAGTCATGAAACTCAAGACAAAGACTTGATGCGGCATAGACGGCCCTGTTCCGCTACGGGAAGCTCGTGCCGGCAAGACCCTACGGCTTGTGTCACACATAATACGCCGAAACGACTCCCCATTAACCGGCTTGTTGGCAACCTGTACGTCTGCCCCGATACGATACCAATATGAAGAATTAGTCGGTGGCTTGTGCCGCACTGGTTTCCAGCTGCCCAATGCCATCCACTCCGGCACCAAAGTCCATGATGAGAATCTTGGGATCCTGGCCAGTGCTGACGATTCGGCGGTAGTCGCTCTTCGCGCTGAGTACCCAGCTAGAGTGCCAGCGGGGGAAGTCGAGCAGCTGGTTGCCCGTTTCCATGTCCCACACTTTGATGTCGGTGTCGTAGCTGCCGCTGACAAGTCGGCCGCTCACGCTGTCTATGTGCAGGCTGCGCACTAGGTTCTCGTGCGCCTTCATCTCACGAACACACTCGCCCGTGTTGGCATCCCAAATGCGAATCACCTTGTCGTTTCCGGCGGATGCCACAAATCTGCCGTCCTCGGAAAATTGCGAGCAGGCCAGGCCCTTGGTGTGGCCGACGAATTCGCGAATGTTCTTGCCGGTATCAATGTTCCACAGCTTCACACGGAAGTCTCCAGAGCAAGATACAATCGTGTTGCCGCGCATTTGCACGGCGTTGACGGGGCCGGTGTGGCCGCGGAGCTGTCGAAGTAAAGCACCAGTTTCCCTGTCCCATACACAGATGCTAATGTCCTTGCTGCACGTCACAATGTGCTTCTTGTCAAAAGCCAGGTCCAAAACAGCCGCCGTGTGATGTCGAAGTCGTCGAATTGGTCGGTACCCAGCCTTGACATCGTATACGATGCACGTAGAGTCGGATGAGCCAGTCACCAAGATCTCATCGTCATACTGCAAACACAAAATCGAAGCCTTGTGGTGCTCGGGGAAAGACACAGTGTTTGGCAGTGACAAGGCGGTCTGCTCATTGTCGGATCCTGCCGCGTAGTGGCTTGGGTTGCCTTCTTCGTCCACCAGCAAATGCGGGCCGTCAACGACCTCTGGGGGTCCAATAACCAGCTTGCACTCCATCGTGTGCATGTCCCAGACCCGGATGGTCTTGTCCCGAGAGCCCGACACAATTTTGAATCTAGTATCCAGTTAGCAAACGTTGTTCCTCAAGGGTAGGCAAAGGGGGGGCGGGATGAACGCACTCATCAAATTGCAGGCAATAGATACTATCAGTATGCCCATGCAAGTAGACTGGACGGGCCTTGCCCTCCTTCCACCGCTGGCTCAGTTCCAGCTTGACCTTGTAAATCTGCTTCCAGTCATTCTGTGGGTGAATCTTGGGCACGCCCATGCCAGCACCCGGTTGCACAGGACGACTGGTAGCATAAGTACCCGTTGTTTCTCTGAGGCAAGACTCGCGCCAGATGTGCTGGTTCGAAACAGTGTGGTGCCACTGACGAGACACGGCACTCGCCTTGGCCAAGGCCGATGCATCCAAGCAGGCTAAGATGTGAATAGCCAGCTCTGCGGGTAACTCGGAAACGAAATCAATGCGGCTGATGCGAGAATCCTGTTCTAAAACGCTTTCCTGTTCGACGCTGTCGAGGTCTACGGATAGCCTGGTTACCGCAATGCCTATGCCACTCTCGCGGTCATTTCCATCGTCGCTAGAGGGAGGGTTTAGCCCTCGTTGTCGGGCAAAATACTCATTTTGCATAGCCGCCGAGGCCTTGGCTGCCGCTCCCGTGTGATGAGGGATGACGGGCGGCTCATCTCCTAGTCCAGGGATGGGGACGTGCTTGTTGGGATCACGGTACAGGTCCAAGTCGTAGAAAGAAGGAGAACGGTGGAAGTTTGCCGCTTGTCCCAGGCGGTTCCAAGGACCGTGTGATGTCGTGGGTCGTTCATTTGAAGCGCCTTGTTCGTAGATCACATCCGCTGCGGCAACAGACGGCCGACGATGCATGATCCCTTTCAAGGACATGGATGCACGGCGAATGATGCCCTTGAGGCTTCCCGAAGCCCGTCTTTGCTTAACATGGGTCGGCCCTTGAGGATGTTCAGGTCCATCATGCGAGTCGTCAATAGCAGCGTCATTCCCATGGTGCGTTGGGTCGCGCATGTCATCATGGCCGAAAAGCGAATGCTTGGGCCGCTTCCATGACAGTGACATGCTTAGACTTCTAAATCGCTGCTCAGGTCCTCCACGGCGGGCAGGCGCAATATGTCGAGGCTCGTAATCGTCATCAAACACAACACTGTGGTGGGCCTGGGCCCATTCCATGACTGGAATCGACTTTCTGGCCATGTCGTTGGTGTCGTTGGCGAAACCTGTCGCGGTGTCTCCAAAGGAAGAGGAAGGTGCCGGCCGCACAGATGAACTAACAAACGGAAAACGCAAACGCTGCAAATTACAGCAGGGTCAGCATCTCTATCTATTAACTTGACGCCATGGTGGCCGAGGGCGCGAGGTCTCTTAGAGCAGTCAAATGACCACACCATGATCAGGTGCATGTGGCGTCGAGGGAGAGGTATGTTCAACAGCAAAGGGCATTCATACCTAAGCAATAAAAGGAACAATAAGAAGTCCAAAAAAATAATAAATTAACTGAAGGAACAGTTGAGGAGTAGCCTCTCAGAACGCCAATGTAAATCAACGAACGTAAGGGGGGAGAATTTCTCTAGTCGGTGTAGAGAGAGGGACGACGAGAGACAAGACAATACAAGACAAAGAGGTGCAACCAATCGGGCGTACAGTCCACGTCCACGTTTATCGTACAGAGACAGTGACGATGAGGGAGGAAGGACGATTATATGACGTTTATTTCAAAGTTTCGGAGGTTTTTATTGATCGTGGTTGAAACAGGAGCGAAATTGTAACGTGGTACGAGAAAGCCGTTAAGAGGGAATGTGCAAGCGGCCCTGGAATGCGGCAAAGGGCATTCGGCGGGCAAGACAATGTATGGGCGAGGTGGTGCGGCCCGCGGGTGGTTTATTTTAAGCCGGAATCATGGGCTGCATCGGACACGGGGGTTGCAACGAGAGCCGGGTCGGCGAGAGAGGTTGAAGCGTGGGCGACAGATAAGGCTGGTGGTGATGTCGTATGCACGAGGATTCGACGAAGAGCGCCCAACCTGGGTCGTATCAGTGGATTGAATAGACGTCTGCGCAAGGGAGAGTTGTCGATCAACGGAGGAACGAAGGGCGGGAAAGCGAAAGAAACAGCAGCAAGCTGGACAAGATGAGCAGCAGATGAAAGGGGTTAAATGGCGAGGTGGTGCAGGATTGCGAAAAGATGTGTTTATTGCACCGAGGACTGTCTAGCAAGGTTTTGCAACTAGGAGAGGCCGACTGGAGGAGCCGTCAAATCGGAGGATCAACAGAAAGGTGGAAGGCCGAGCAAAAGTGGGTCGGCGAGGGGGCCAGCGAAGGGGCCAGCGCAAGGGCCAGCGCAGGGACGGGCGGTGGCCAACACGGCCAGGGATGAGGCCTCAGTGCTCCAGGTCTAAAAATTCAGTTGCCGTGACGCCGTGACGCCACGTGCAGCATTGAACCAGGCAGTGAAATGCTGGGTCAAGTGTCCGGTCCAAATGCTCAAATGTTGGAGATTTTATTGTGGGCCTCGAGTGCCTGACCGAACCTTGCAATCAATCACGAACAATTGGCGTCCAGATGACCCCCCCAACCCGCTCTCGACATCCCCAGATTGCTAGGTTCTTGAGATGGCCGATGGGCTCTCGACTGCGCGGGGGGATGCAGTCGGCAACTTTATTTTTGGGTCCAAGATTTGGGCCCGGCTGGGTCTGGCTGGGTCTTGCCGTCAACCCATGATGAAATTCTCCTGACGTCTGGAGGTGACTCTGAACTCCCCTCATCATTCCTCCCGGTCTCCAAGCCAGCCAATTCAGCCCGGCTAACAAACCTTCCCGTGTAGTCGAATGCCGCGTGCTCGACTTCACCAGCTGACGTCAAGCCGGACAAAGCCACACCGCCTGGCGCCGGGCGAGTGCATGCCTGCATAAAGACACCACCCAAGACGTCTCAGGAGCAGCAAGGCGCACTGCAGAATCCTCACGGTGTACTGATTAATGACTCGCGGCATGTTTGGTTGCATCTCCGAGTGAGAGTTTCCGTCTACTACTAGTTACTTACGTACTAATTTAATCCCCCCTCTAGTAGAGATGACATCCGAGATGCGCGATGCCAAAGTACTTTCCCACAGAAACAGGGTACCGCGGTACCTGCGGCCACGCCGAGCGCCAAGTTCTACCGAGACCTTGTTGCCCCATGTTCTAGTTCACACGATAGTCATCCAGTACTCGAACAACTCTGAGATAGAAATCTTCGTGTATACTTACATCTGCCGTCGCTTGAACGCCACCCTCGAGGCATATTCTCGCCGCCTCTCGGTAACCCTTGCCCATTCTCGATGACATCTTAGGAACTTCGTGGCTAAGCAGATATTCATAGAAACCATCGGCAGTATGACTGCCGTAGCCAGCCGAAACGGAGGCCCTCTGCTGCATAGTTTCAACGCTTTCTTTGAGACCCAGCTCCAAGAGTACAATGCCAAGGCTATAGACATCGTGTCGATAGTCAAACGGTGTTCTCGTCGCACGGGTCGTATTGGTCCTCGAGTTTTGGACTGGAAGCCCCTGGACTTCCGGGTGTCGATACAGATTGAATCGGAAGTCGTCATCCACCCCTTCTGTTTGTCCAGCAGAGGATGCCTCCCTGGTGTACTCAAACCCAACAAGGTGTGGCTTGTCGTATACAAACCTGCCCCCCTGCTTTGCAAAAAACATGATGTTGTCGCTCCGGATACCCTTGTGCAGCCAGCCTGCTAAATGTAAAAACAAGACTGCTCTCGAGAGTGTTGTCGCTACTTGGTACCATTCCCCTGCGTCCAAAGAATCGACATTTTCTTCCAAAATCGCAGAGAGTGTCGTAGACGTTTCACCAGGAACCTTGAATAACATTCCGTGCTCTAAATCACCACCCCGGAGGTACCTCTTGACCACGCCAATACAGTCCAGCGTTCGAAGTTCGACTGGCTTGTATTCTGCTTTCAATAGCCTTGCGAGATTTTCGATTCGGTGCTGAAGCATGGCCTTGTACGTGAACAGTGAATGATTGGGCGGGCATTCCGATCCAATAACCTCTTTCCACTCCACCAGCACGTCATGTGTGCCGTCCTTCTCGAAAGTGCCGAAGCTGTGACCGTCTTTTTCATCCTTCGTAGACGTATCGTGAAGATTGGCCTCGTCTTCAGTGACGTCCTCCCCCCCAAAAACGGATTCTCGCGCATTCATCTCGATGATTGTTGATTTCAGAAGAGCGAGACCCCGTAATTCTGAGTTTGCGTCTGACTGTGCCGTAATCATTTGCAATTTCGCCAAGTTCATCGTTGTTAGGAGGCTATTCAGCGCTAACTTGGCTGCAGGGTCAATCTTTGGCGGAGTAAAGAATCCCTCAAGGTCGTTGATGAACTTCTCCAGCCGATCGAGGGCTTTGAGGGGCTCGCCATCCTTTACTGCCCATGACAGTTGCTCTTGTAAGTCGGAGCTTTCTTGGATACTGCGTATCTTGTCCGACAATGCCTGTCTTTCCCCAGAGTTGGGACTCGCCAAGTCTACCAGCCTCTCTATTGAAGACGTGGGCAGAACTGACGACTGTGAAGCTGCCTTGATCGCACTACTGCTCGACACCAGGCTGTCCAGCTGATCGATAAAGTGGTGTATCAACACCACGTATTTGATTGCCGTGTCGCCATGGTCTTGAAAGCGCCGATCCTTGACGTGAAGCCCGTCTGGGCCGCGATCAATCCCCCAATCGATTCCCCAGCTCTTGAATCTTGCCAGCTGCAATTCTAATCTGGTCTGGAAGACAGCAGCGTCCTCCCCAACCCCGCCGGCCTTGCGCCATAGCTGGATTGCCTTGACTGTTCCCTCAAACACCTGAGCGAGAAGGCTTGTAGCGCCGAGAGCTGTGCCAGCTACACCGACGGGGTCAACTTGCGATGCCATGCTATCAGTGAAGAAAAACGTTGTTTAGAAGGAACAAGGCGGACGAAATCAACACATCTGACAGATGGAATAGGGTGGCACTTGTACTACTCAGTTCAATGAGGCGACGACGATCGCTCAGCTGAGGCGGTGCAAACGCACTATTGATTTTATGCACATTCCCAATCAATTTTCGTGTCAGCCGCAGCCACCAGATGTACATGCTTTGCAACAGTCACATGACCTTTAGCTGTCGCTTTCAAAAGCTGATTCTGTTCCCTATCTCATGGCCACTGTTAAACTGCTTCCAAAATCATTCCTCACTAGTCGTCGTACCAACTTGGGACTTGGATTGCTTGCCATGACGTCTCAAGAGCCATCGCACTCCAATGTGGGGTTTGCTCAACGGGAGCACGACATTCTATCCTTGTTATCGATCTTTGTACACACGCATCAGACATTGAGTATTGGGTTCCGATTGCTGGGCATAGTTTTGGACGATCAGTCCTTCTACATGCCGGCTCCCGTGAAGGAAGGTGGCTACTTTGAGGTCTACATCCTACGTTCCAAGGACATTTTGGAGGCGGACCTTCTGGGTTCAAAAGAGGACATTCCATCGAATCTGCCTCGGACCGTGGCTGTCAAATGTCCCAAGGTACGAGGCAAGCTGAATGACAGGCGGAATCAGAAACTTTGGACCTCCATGGCCATGGAGCTACAGATTCTGAAACACGAACATGTAAAGAATCATGATAACATTATTAAATTGCTGGGACTAAGTTGGAGATCAGTGCGGGGAACGTACATGCCTGCTTTTGTTCTTGAGGCCGCAAAGTCCGATTTGTATAGTATGATACAATCGTTCCAGTTCACCTTGGACAAGATGACTACGAGAAAAATCCTAGGGCTGGCAGTCGACATCTCATGCGGTCTCTCGGCGTTACACGACTTGGGCATCATTCACGGAGATATGAAGCCACAAAATGTCTTAATATTTGAGGATCAAAAGCTGGGGTTTGTCGCCAAGATTACTGATTTCGGTTCTTCGTTGCTCAAAACAGACATCAAGGAGCCCATCGTGCTCCCGTATAATACCGATATTTGGCAAGCTCCTGAATGCCAAAACGCACTCGATGGGTCCCAGCTTATCGAGGCAGACAACTTTTCCCTGGGCCTCGTTCTGTGTTACATGCTTAGCAGAGGCCTCATACTACATCAACTCGAGGAAAGCGACGAAAAAGCTGCTACGGACGGGCAGTCTGCTGTCAGTTATGACTTTTATGCCAAAGTTGCCGCTGAGGCCCTGCATGAGACCTTTCGTCCCGCCCTAGAAATCGAAGAAGAGAGGTTATACGGTCCTATGTCGTCTCGCAAGCCCGAGGGGTGGCCCGATCCGAACGAAAAGGTCGACAATTTGGACGAAGACGAAAGCTACGTGTCGATTCGTAAAATCCAGCGAGCCGTTGCAAGAACTCTACTCCCATCGCTTTTCGAACCCCCCATGCGCCCCAGTTCGAAGAGCATCTACCTAAACATGAGGGTATGTTTCAGCTGGCTACTAAGACGAGACACGTTTTATCCGATTCTATCTCTCCACGACCCGTTTACCCCTGAGCGTTTGAAAGCTGCAAACTTCAATGACCAAGAGAGGGATGTGCTGCAAAATCCAGGTACGCCGCTTCAAATTGGTCGTAGAGCATGCGCTAATCGGGCACTTCAGGCGCCATTGCGACGAAGGAGGACAAGGAGAGAGTCTGGAAGTATGCCACTACCATGGAATGGCTCGACAGATCCATCAAGACTATACAACAAGGTGGTGATCTTCCAAGTATGGACGACATCTCACAATCCGATGCTGCGCATCGTATTGCAACTTCCCTTAAAACTTGGTATGTACGAAGTTGCATTTCAGGATATTCACAGTCTGATGGCTCCCACAGGACGCAGAGCGAGGCTCCTCCTCGAAATAATATGCGCGAGGTTCGCAACCCCTTTGCTGTTGTAGAGGTGAGCACTTCTCCCGCACCCCCTTTTTTTTCTAATTCTGCCAAATCCATCAATAACTAAGGAGGTGGTTAGGCGGAAGCTTCTTTTGGTACTATGCGCTGCATCCCAGCCTGTGTCTTGAATCAAATCCTAGGTGAAATGCGGGCTGTCGCGTGCAATGAAAGGGAGAGCGAGTCCCGTCGGGCAGAAGCAGCTTGGCAGTGTTCCATTTTCCAGACCATGGCAGCACAGCTTGACCAAGTTGACAACCCCGGTATTAGTCCTACTCTTGAGCTAATGCTTTTGGCCGCAAGTCTTGGAAACTGGAAGGCACAGAGTATCTGTGGATGGCTTCACTCTGTTTTTGACAGGCCATTTCCCGTAAGTGAAGCAGTCGAATTGGAGTGGCTCCATGATTCAATTTGCAAGGGAAGCGCAACAGCCCGCCGCCGGCTGGAATCCCTTGACCCAGGAGCCTATACTATAGCAGTTGACGATCTCAAACGTTGCTGGGCAGGCATTGGAGTCAATTTGCCTGATGACTGGCAAATTTATGACGATATAGATTTCCTTGGACTTTTAGAAGACCAGCCTTGTCTGGTTGGTGACTATCTTCAGATTGCTGCAACATGCGGCCGTCTTTCTCTATTGCGCACCATTTTAAACAAGTACTCTAGTATTATCGACATCAATGCCCGGTATCCGGGCGATGAAACGATTCTACTGAAGGCCTGCCGATCCGGTCATTTCGAAGTTGTACTCTGTCTTCTTGACCAAGATGCAGATGCATCAATCTGCAGCGAGGACGGGGCAGCACCATTACACTTTTTGAGTGCTTTTGAAGAAGAACAAATTCCCCTAGTAGCAAACAGACTGGTGGCGGCCAAAGCTAGCCTCAAAGCCCGATCAAAAAATGCAAAACTGTACAAACTAGCCGTCGACGCAACCTTTGGCATGGTGGATGGGACGCCGTTGACTTGGGCTGTGGCCGCCAACAACCACGCAGCCACCCAGGCACTTCTCGACCTTGGTTCAGATCCATTCGATATTGCTGGGAGGACAGCGGAATATGGGGACAGCTGGTCAAACAACGCTCACATATCTCCCGTCTGGACCGCGGCAGCGAGCTTCCAGTATGAACTATTGGAGATGTTGCTAAAGAGAGCCGGCGATTGTGCCGAGCATTTGAATTACAATGAGCGCACTTTCGGTACCCAAGGCTTGAAGGACCCATTCACAATCCTCGGCTGGGTGGTGAATGGTTGCGAGGGCCACGGCATCCGCAGACTACTCCTCCATGAGAAACAATTCTCCCAGGCGTTCCAACGAACCTTTGATCTTCTTTTGCAGTATGGAGCAGATCCATCCATCGTCAGCGTGGAAGGTTTGTCATTCATCCGAACAGCTATCCAACGGGGCCAACCTTATATCATCGACCACCTGATGACAACACGAGGAGGGATGTTCAAGCCTACCGCGTCAGACTGGTCCCATTGCGTGCTGATCGCACTTGCTCTTCAAGACAATTCCACACTCCGCGTCTTGCTCCGTCACTCGCAGGCAGAGGCTCTTGATCCAGATCATTGGAACAAGTTCTTCGCCTCCACCAAGGCCCTGCCAGACGACAGCGAGATGCTCGACCACTTCCGCAAATACCGCGATTCAAACCTCGACATGTTGCCGCACTGCGGGAACGCACTTTTGGCAGGCAAATACAAACTCGCCAAATGGCTCTACCAGACAGGCAAATGCGATCTAACAACAATGGAGAACGACAAGACTCTCCTCGGACGACTCATCACAGCCTCCAAGGTATACCGAAACGCCAGTCTTCACATCGCCGCATTTCTCAGCTTAAATCCTCCCGATGAGGTGTATTACAATGTCATTGATCTGCTGGGCTCGCGCCTTACAGCCCTCCAAGCCGTGGTGTACATACAAGAGTACAGGCACGGCCAAATGGCCACGACGGACATCCTCCAGGCCATTCTGCGCAAGAAGACTGACACCGATTATCTAAACCTTCGCGTGGAGGGCGGACCCTGGCAGGGCAAGACAGCACTACACCTCGCCGTGGAGTCTTGCAACGTAGATGCGGTGCAGTACCTCATCGACGCCAAAGGGCAGTACTTGGACTTGTCGGCACTCGACGGCAACGGGTTCAGCCTCATCGACCACGCGGCGCTGCTGATGAAGAATCAAAAGAGTAACATGGATGTGTGGGAGGTACCGAGTGAGAAGAGGCGCGACGTAGACCTGCGCCACTTTGAAAACACGCTGGTGATTATGAGGCTGTTGTACCGCACCAAGAGAGCGAAACCGAACAAGTTGGCGCTGTCGCTGACGAGGGTCGAGGTGGACGAGCTGCAGGTGATTCTTTATGGGGACGAGGAGCAGCTCGTCATCCCGTGCAAGATTCCAGGTGAGTGCAGACGGCGGGGGTATGTGAGGGATCTATTTGAGCAAAACTGACCGTGTGTGTCTGTTGACAGATCTGAAGAGGGCCATTGAGAGTGGGCAATACAACTGTGACGACTGGCCAGAGAGCTCCAATCCACTGCGCCGCCAGAGCGTGATGATCTTCCAAGTGCTGAGGGACTACGGGTTGAAGCTCGGCGTGAATGATTCCGTGTTTGGGTACACCGACACAGTGAAGCCGGCGGCGGGCCATGATTCTGGTGGTGAGCAAAGTCTGGTCAGCGACCCGGGTGAGCAGAGAGATGGCCAAGAGGCATACTCCGAGTTTGTAAACTCTGTTAAGAAGCTGAAGTTGTAGGCTTGTGTCTTTTCTCCTGCCTCCTTTCGGGCAAAGCACGGAATCAGCATTCAGTTTCTCGTCGCCTTTGCTGGCCTCAAAACAAGACACTTGATAATACGGTGTTCTTGATAGCCGTACGAGTCATAGCAACCCAAAGGAATCTCAGCGTAACTAAGAGAAAAAACGGCACGTGGAACCAAATGATCTTACGTGGCGTCAGAGTGCTACTTTGAGATTGAATATTTCGATCATGCCAACCTTGACAGAGTCGCTCGTTGCAGATTGGCGGCCGTGATTGACTGCTGCCACCGCGACGACCAACTCGAATCATCGCAGCTCCATGTCCTTATGGGCGCCTCCTTCTGCTAGCCGATGCTGCCGTTCAGCCAATACCATCACGATCAGAATCATCGTGCCATGCCATCCTTTTGCAACGCTCAGCTTGCCTGTCTACAAATCCACGATGGGCTGCCAAATGACAAAGAAGCACCGGCTGTGCGGTAGAACACAACTGCTTATTGACTCATGTTTCCCGCCTAGAAACTCAACAAAGAGGCTGGGTGCGGTAACATGGCCCCTGTGGTAATGGATCACAGTGGACACGTGTGCACTGCCTCTCAATGCTTGCAGTATCCGGACTCATCTCTTATGCTTGCATTCACATCCGGGGACTGACAGGGCCGGCCAGGCCTTGTCATGTATCAAATCAAGAGCAAAACGTATGTCGCGCATCCCATTCAAATAATCTATACTACTAGAAATAATTCTGGTGCAAATTGAACTGTATAGCTCGCGGGAGAGGCCTAGGTCCGTCGGCTAAGCCGTCGGAGTGCCGCCCGTCGCAAGACGTCAAGGCATCATCTCATCATCTCCATCTACTTGCGCGCAATGTGGACCAAACCAGAGCCATCGGGTTCCCCTGCGTCATCGCGTCGGGCAATGTGCACCAGACCAGACGCGTCGGCTTCCGCCTCAGCCCCCTCGCGTCGGGCAATGTGCACCAGGCCAGACGCGTCGGCTTCCGCCCCTGGCTCGGCACGGGCACCGATGCGGGAGACTTCAAAGCCAGAAACGCGGCGGTCTCCAAGGATTTGCTTGACGTAGGCCCAGAAATCGGCATAATTGCCTGTGGCTGGGCGGCCGGATCCGGGATGGAAATCGGGATTAATGGGTCCCACGGGATTTCCCTGGCCGCCTGTGTTATCGCCGCCATTCCCATTTCCAAACGGATTGAAACCGGGATTAGTGGGTCTCACGGGATTTCCCTGGCCGCCTGTGTTGTCGCCGCCATTCCCATTTCCAAACGGAGGGTGGGGTTGAGGGTGAGTGTTGACGATGTTATCCCCATTTCCAATCGGATCAAAGCCGGGATTAGTAGGTCTTACGGGATTTCCCTGGCCGCCTGTGTTGACGACGTCATCCCCATTTCCAAACGGAGGGTGAGGGGGAGTGTTGACGCCGCCGTCTACTGGGCCAGTATCCGTCTTGTTAGCCACGGGGGTGTCTTTGTCCTTCACACGAGCAAGTGCCGTCTGGCGCATCCGTTGGAATTGATCTGCACTGAATGAATACTGCCTTTCAAATCTAGAAGACGTCAGGTTAGTCACACTTGACACTTTGAACACTGGTAAGGGAGGAGACACATACGTCGACCAAGGCACCATGACGTTTTCGGTGCCGGCGACGTCGCCGCCGCCGTTGGCATGAAGCTCGCCAAGCCAGTGGCCCGTCTCATGTACAGACGTGGCGAGGGCGCCGCTGATATGGGCACTGCCGCCGCCCCCGACCTCGCCGACGCCGCCGACGCCGCCGTCCTGGCGACTGAAAAGACGGCCGAATAGCCCTCCAAGTCGTCCGCCGCTTCCGTTATTTCCTTGTAGACGACCATTGCCGCCGTTGCCACTGTTGACGCCGTTGCTACTATTACCCTCGGGCAGAGTGTCCATGGCGACAACGCATCCGTCCACGTCGCCAATACCCTTGGAAATGTTTGTGTCGGGTGACGGCACGATGCACATGCCTTTGGTTCCTGCGCCCGAATTTGTCGGCACGTAGACGATATTGAGAGTGGTCGTATTGCCTTGATGGACCCGCGACTTCAGCTGGTCCATGGCCTTGTTATCTCTCACACCGGAAATGCAGAGTGGATCGGCGATACGCGAAACGTTTTGCAGGTTGAACTTGATCTTGCCATTTGCAAAGAGCCCGTTCATGTCTTCGACGGCCTTTTCAGCGACCGAGTCCTTGGGGTAGCATGTCAGCACCGGGACTCCGTTGAGCCAAGTCTGGGCAGGAACCTTACCGAGGGGCATTGGCTGCCCCCGCCGCAGCAGAAATGCAAAACAAAGCCCAAGTTGATCTCTTGTCCATCGTCAGGCAGGGGGCTCTGCTGAGGCCTCTGTCGTGCGAACAGCCCGCGCTCCTCCAGGGGGCTGCGTGTCGCACAATGATGCCCAACGGCCCTCATGTCCATAGGGCCAGCTACGGAAACCGCCGCCATGAGGCCAGAGACGAGAAGGGGCAGCATCACCATGATGACAGACTTTGAAAGGAATATATGGGGAAAGTTGCTAGAAATAGCAGCCAGCAATCCAGCGCTAGAAAAAGAAAAAATTGGGGGTGAAAGGAGAGAAGAGAAAGGAGTATGATCAGGAACAAGACTCCTGGACCTGCTTGTCTAAAGCCCGAGCATGCTGTCGAAAGGGCGAGAGATGTGCTTCTTAAATATTTCCGAATGATCAAGACAATACACCGAGTTGTCGTGGCCTTGATTGTCGTGCAAAGGGCTATCCATGCTTCTCATTTCCAAGGCATAATGCTGTCGAATAAATTAGATTCATGGGAGCCTAGTTGCTTAAGTCTTGGACTCATCAGGCTGGATTATTCCCCACGGTGTCTAAAGAAGAGCCACAAAACTCGCCTGACTGGACGCGTCGTCCCGGCTCGCATTTATCATGAATAACCCTGTCAGGGGCGAAGGACGTGGAAGTGGATTACTTGCAAGATGATTTGTTTGCATGTTTGCGTGGGTGAGAGGAGCTACCTTGATCTACCACTGAGTCAGGAGCATTGTTTATCAGTCCTTGACACAACAGCCCTGCCGTATTAACAGATGGCATGATGCAGAGGACAAGGTACAGCACTCCGGGTGATGATCCGGAGCAGCTGACGTACACCGCTGACCCTAACCCTAACCGCACTCCGGTGGGAGCTGACTGAGACTACTCTGTAAGGCCAATATAGATGAATCAAAAGTGGGACGCGTTAATCCTAACTGAGACTAAGGTCAATATAGGTGAATCAAAAGTGGGACCAACTTTGATCAAAATGTTTCAGTATTTATAACTACAATAGAGCAGTCATCATGCTCTCTTCGCCGCCGTGCTTAGCATGTTTGGCATTGACAATTTTCAAGGAAGCACCGTCTTTGCTCGAGGCGCGTGGCGTGAGTTTCCCGATTGTCACCGAGTATGCCCGGCCGTAAGCAGGCGCCACACACAGCACAGCCCGCCGTCAGAGGTTTTTTTCCTTCCCAGGTGAAATAACACAAACCACTGGCTGAGTCGCGACGAACGATGCGGCGTAGAGCCGAGCCTGTATGACGATGTACGGAAGCCCGGTGCGGCTGCCGAATTCGTACATGTGAGATACGCCAGCGGAAATAACAAAAAAGCACCCGACCCATTCGGCACGCCATTCAGATGCATAAAACGGGGAGGGGGAGAGTATCCGAAAGATTGACTCAGCACCCCATTTGGCATAAACAGCACCCCTGACTGTGGCGAGGGTGGCTTGGGCAACTAATACCAGGGCCCCATGATTTACAGAGGAACATATATCTCCTCGAAAGAATGAATATGCAGAATCTAGGTGGTGGTTGCGAGTGGGGACGAGTTGGTGGTTCTCAACCAAGTAAGTACCAGAGATATATGCCTTGTCCCACGACGCTTCTACTTTTCTACAAGCACGCCGGCTATGGTTGATAATGGCCATTATCTTTCTTGATATTAAAAGGCGTGACTTTTTTAAAAGCATGAAAAGGAAAGAAAAAGAATCTCAAAGGGCACCTGGTACCATGGCTGTGCTACCCACATGACACACAAATAAACAACCAACCCCTTGGACTCGAGTTGCATACCGCATTTCGCACATCATGGTCATGTACTCTCATTTCAGCAGGACAATTTTGTTCCCCACGCCCCATTCCTCAGTCATTTCCCCAAGGAGCAAAAATCAAGTCTGCACAGCGCCGACTACCACAGTCTTGCCGTTCCGTGGCCGCAGCAGCAAGCCTCCTCGCCCCTTAGAAACTCCTCCCAGCATCCCTGTTCTCGTAGCCCTCGACGCCGTTCAGCAGCCGCCGCTCCCTCTCGACAAAGGCCTTGGGCAAGTCGATGCCGACGCCGAGGAACACAAAGACGGCCCACTTCCAGCGGAAGGGGTTGATGGCGACGCAAAAGACGAACCACCACACCAGCTCGAGGTAGGTGAAGAAGTCAAAGGCGCCGGTCGGGCTGGAGCGCTTGAGCAGGCGCGTCATGTCGATCCAGCGGCGCATCCAAAAGGGGCTGGGCCGGGCGAGCGGGTCGACGAGGAACATGAGCAGGATGCGCGTGTAGATGCCAATGTGCCAGTTGCCGACGGAGCCAATGGCCGAGACGTAGGTGCAGTTGATGGCGGACACGGACGGGTGCGGCGGCGGGAAGGTCTGCAGATACCAGTCGGGCGGCGGATAGGGGTCGGCGAAGCAGTCGTCGGGCAAGAAGGACAGCGACGGGCGCTTGAAGCCCGTGGCCATGACGATGATGTCGGCGTCGACGACCTCGTCGTGGCCCGGGCCGCCCTTGGGGACGCCCCTGGCGCGCCGGTTCACGCGCACGCCGCGCTCGACGACGGCCTCGATGTCGCCGCGGACCCAGGCGGCCTTGCCGTCGCGCAGCTTGGCCATGATGTCCGAGTTGACCATGGGCGTGTCCATGAAGAGGCCGTTGCCGCGCGCGGGCGCAATGTCCTCGAGGTCGCGGTAGAAGAGCTTGCGCAGCAGGAACTCGGGGATGAAGGAGAGCACCGTCTCCTGGCCGAGGATGTTGAAGGACAGCAGCGTGTCGACGACAATGTTGCGCGGGATGATCCATTTCTCGGAGCGCGAGATGATGGTCACCTTGGCGGCGTCGGCCCTGGCGGCGAACTCGAGCGCCTCGATGGCCGACGCGCCGCCCCCGATGACGGCGAGCTTCTTGCCCTTGGCGTTCTTGCCCGTCAGCTGGCTGGAGTGGTAGACGTCGCCCTTGAACGAGCCCAGCCCGGGCAGGTTGGGCATCTTGATGTCGCCGCAGGTGCCGACGGCGGCGACCAGCCCGTCGAAGCGGCCGTTGGACGGGTTGTTGATGATCCAGCGGGCCTTGTCGTCCTGGTACGCCTTGTCGACCCGGAAGTCGAACCTGGTCTTGTTCTGGAGGTGGTACCTGCGCCAGAGCTTCTTGGCCTCGTGGACGATTTGCTTGCGGTCGGGATATCCGCGCTCCCACTTGACCGAGGGGTGGAATCTGTACATGACGGAGTGGATTTGGAGGGCCGAGGTGTCGTTGACTCTCTGCCAGCATGTTAGCCAACATTGGGTAAGTCCAAGAGAAGAGAAACAGAAAAACATACGCTCCAGATCCCGCCCAGCTGCTCCTCGGGCCCGGCTTCGAAAATAGTCACGTCGAAGCCGTGGCCGACACAGTGGGCGGCGGCCGTGATGCCCGTGATGCCGGCGCCCACAACGGCAATCTTGGGCCGGGACAGCTCAGCATCGGCCCGGGGCGGGCTGGGCGACAGCGCGTAGTTGATGAGCCATTGGATGATTTGGTAGACGAAGAGGAGGGGGTTGAGCAGCGGGTTGGCAAGCTGCGACCTGGACGCCATGGTGTTTTGCCACAAAGAGGTCAATGTTGGGATGAAGAGAGAAGATCAAGGTCTGCAAGTCCACCTTGCCATGCCCATAAATACCGAAACATGTGCAGAGCACCGTATCTGCGCCATCATGGGCCAGGCACACCAGACGGTTGGTCGGCGGTTCGCATCCGTCGGATTGTTCGGCGATGCAAGCCGGGCGCAAGATGAGAAGGTGGTGACGTCAGAGTGACCAGATGGGTCCGGTTTCACATGCAATTTCCCTCTCTTATCTCTCTCTCGAAACTCAGCCAGCGCCATTCATCCCCAGCGGCCAACAAGACACGGCACATTGACCTGGAAAGCGGAGACGCACGGCAATGGCTTGTGCTTGGGTTGACAATCGTCGATCGACGGCTTCGACGGGCCGGGCACGCTGGTCGATAACGGCCCGTGGTGACGTCGCCTCTCACATCCGTCCAAGACTGCGTTTCGCACCCGCGCCCAAGGGAACCATGTGAGAGGGGTTTTTCGCCCCGTGTCTGTCCGCCTTGTTCACTTGCTTCCTTGCCAAGGCGAATTCAAAAACCGAACCCTCACCCTCATCCTCCGGAATTGGAGCTCGGTGGTCGCCGCACTCTCCGCTCCAACCTCGCCTCCTTGGGCCGTCATCAGGTCCATCACCAGCATCAACGCCCCCTTCACCAACAGCGTAAACCGCCAATCTTCAAAATGGAACACCCAGGTACCGACCCCCCTCCCTCCAACGCCCTCAACCCGCTGCTAACAGCGCGCTCCCAGTCCAAGAAATCGCCTCCGTCATCACCACCCTCACCACCGGCTCCCCCCAGGAGCAGCAGGACACGCTCGCCGAATACTTCTCCCCCAATGCCTCCTTCTCCCACCCCTTCTGCCACGTACCGTCCTTCGGCAAGGGCGCCGTCCCCCTAGCCCGCAACACCGACTCCCTCTGGGTCATCCTGTGCATCTACCGCTGGTACCGGACCCTGAGCCCCAACATCGACATCACCATCGACTCAGCAGGTAAGCCCGCCAGACCGAAACGCAGCCCCCCCCCCCAAGTCTCTGACGCTCTCCCAACCCTTCCAGTGTTCGACCAGCGCACCAGCACGCTCTACGTCAACATCCGCCAGACCTTTGCCGTCTGGTTCATCCCCCTGTACTCGGCGCGCGTGCGCCTCCTCACCGTCCTGACCCTCGAGCGGCGCACCTCGTCCTCCGCCTCGGCCTCCCGCGCCGCCCTCTCCGGCCCCGGCCAGGAACGCGCCAAGTACTACATCTCCGCCCAGGAGGACCTGTACCAGATGAACGACTGCGTGCAGTTCCTGCTGCCCCGCGTCGGCCGCTGGCTCTGGCTGCTGTGGCAGCTCTTCAGCACCTCGCTGTGCGTGCTGGGCGCCCTCGCGTTTCTGCCCGTGTACTACCTCCTCAACGGGGGCAAGACGGCGAAAAAGGTGGCCTAGTCGAGAAATTCTGCTTGTCGTGCTTTGCCGGCGTTGGTGGCGTTGCGGGCACCGGATCAGATTGTACGGATAGTCTTGTTTAATGAGAGTGAATGCCAACAAGTTACAACATTAGTATTTCGAATCTCAGTGATATTATCTACGGGATATATTCCTACCGTTTCTCCGGGGAAATAGCCCATTTCCCAACCCATCTACTTCAAAACATAATCTATTAAAAATAAAATAAAAATTCAAACGCTATGCTAGCCGAAATCGTCCATCGTATATAAATCACCTCCCCTGCCTTCTCTTCATGTCCTCCTGCGCCGACGTCACGATGCCCACCGCCTCGGCAACCACGTCGTCACCCGTGCGCCACGTATACAGCGCAACGCCCTGGTGATCCAGCTGCTCGTGGGCCCGGGCCAGCCTCCTCCTCCACAGCTCGAGCTTCTTGTTCGCGCCCTGGGCGCCCAGCGTCGGCGAGCCAGAGGGCGTTGACGATCCTGACCGCGATCCGGAGCGGTAGTAGCTGAATCCAAACGACGGCGGGGGCGCAGCAGCCGACGGCGGCAATGGTTCAAAGTCGACGTCGGTATTGGACGATGACGCCCCTCTGCCAAAGAGACGCGGGCTGATGCTCTTAAGTCCGGATCGACGTCTGGGCAGCGGAGGAGGGGCAGGCTCCTGTTCCAGCGGCGCAGGTGTTGACGAGTCCTCCGTGGTCTGGGCACCGTCTTGGCCTGCGCTGAGTATGGTCGTGAGAGGCTGAAGGCCAGCCGCCCCGAGGCCCTGCGGTCGCTTTGGTTTAGGCGGCGGCATGTCGGCTTTGGCACCGCCATTCGACGCGTTGACATGCGAGGGTGCGCTTCGCAGCGCAGCCGGCTTTGCTGGTCGAGGAGGAGGCGGCGGCTTTCGTCCAGCAAGCGCGCTCGTAGCAGCGCCGGCTGGCCGACCCAAGTTGGCCATCTTGACCTGCGCAAGCGCCGCGGCTTCATCCAGCTTCACCTCTTCGGGCTCATCGGAAAAGTCAATCAGCGTTCCCATGACGGGTCCCGAAGCTGCCTGTGTTTCACCAACGGCACCTGGCGCTGAGTTCTGCCGGCTTGCCGACTTGACGCTTCCCGACCTACTGTAATCCAGCGTCATGCTCGATATTTTACCATGAGTAAAGTCAAACGCGGCATCAAAGTATCCGGCTGCCTCGGGTGTGGTCACGTCCCGGATGAATATGGCCAGGACACGGCCAGGGTTGGCCAGGGCCAGTTCCGTGTATACTTCGAGGTCCGCCTCGCCACTGTCGCCGACCAGAAGGAACTTTCGATGTGGGAAGTCCTTGACGAGGCGGTTCAGGGTGGACTTTTTGCGCTCCGCCACCGGTTCAAATATCCCCTGCAGCATGCCACTATACTGCTTCAGGTGGAGGGATCCCGCGGGCAGGCCGGCAATCTTGAAGAAGCTAGCCAACACAGGGAACAACTGCCACGGGCTGTTGGAGCAATAGTGCATGCTCACGCCCAGCCGATGCATATCTGTATACCACTCCCGCACCCCCTCGATTGTCATGCCGTCGAGATCTCGCACAAACGTGTTGCGGAAAATTTCCCGAGCGCCGGCTGATATGTTGGAGCGTTTGATTGTATCGTCAATGTCGCTGATCAAGCTGACGCCTGCCGGTTCCGTGATTTTGACTTCTTGCGTGGTCGACAGTTTCTCGTTTGCGAGCACTCTAACATGCGTGGGGATGAACTCCAGAGCTGCTCGAATATTGAAGTGGCCGGCATCGTCTGTCAAGATGGTCTTGGATTGGGACTTGGTATCATTATAGAAGAAAATAGTGATGGGCATGGCCACCAGAGGGTTCGTCAGGAACGGAGCCACGCGAGCCATCAGGTTGGCGTTTGCCACTGCCAGCTCCGCATCAGTGAGCTCGCCCAGACCAGACGGCTGTCGAGCCGGCATGCTTGGGCTTGGTGGTGCGGAATCAGGCGTGTAGCTGCCGCGCCGTCCAAAACGAGAAGCCGCTTCAACACCTAGTGTGTTGGGATCTTGCGACGGTTCGCTGTAGCCTCCTGCGTAGGCGACTCGTTTTTCCTCCTGTCCGCGCTTCTCAATCATGGCCGCCTTCTGTGCAATCTTTTCCTCGTCGTGGATTTCAGCGTGTATTTGATGCTGCGTCTTGGGTTCGCCACTAGCCGGTCCGTATCCTTGATCCGTCTTGGGGGCCGATATCCCGCTCAATTGGCGGGCCAAGCCGATGAGAATGCGATTCCTCCTTGTCATGGGACCAACATGTGGTGAGTATATCCAGCCCCTAACATCAACGTCGACAACCGCTTTCTCATCCTCGTGCTTCTCCCACTCTTGCCGCCACCACTCTTCATTCCGTAATTCCGGCTGATCCACCGGTTGCTTCCGCGGCATTCGTGTCCAATCTTGTTTGATGTGTCTCTTGGCATATGACGGAAACAACACCATCTGTTCGTTTCCCTGCGAGGCAATGGCAACATCCGGGAATGCACCGGGAATGTGAGTGCTCTGGTCCATTGCAAAGTCGTCGATACCTCTGCCTCTCGATTGCACATACGAGTCCCGCAGTTCCGTGACAGCTTGCTGTCCGCTGCGGTATAGGTTTCCTGCCATGGCCGCGAGCTTCCTCCGCCTGTAACCTCTTTCCCCTCTCTCCCCAACGTCCTGCGATGCATCACTTGTGCCGGGGCCATAACCGCTGGCCGTCAGCCCCGCGAAGGAGGGCATCTTGTTCGAATTTAAAGACCTCGGCGCTGCCGCCTTGACATGTTTGAAGGGCAGCCGCAGTCGTCTCCGCGGGCTGCTTGCGACACCAGTAGCACGAGAGGCGGAATGAGAGTCTCGAGCACCGAGCAGAATCCTCCGGCTCTGCCTCGCGACCAGGTCCAAAACGCGACCCTTGTTCGCGCGTTTAACTTGGCGACGGACCAAGTAACGGTAAATACGGGATTGAAGCTTGAGCTTGACAAGTGGAAGCGTGTCCAGGTGGAAATCAAGCAAGCGTTCGCGGTACCGATCTCGGACAGCCTGCGGGAACAAATATCGAACAAGGCTCTGGCTATGGCGGGGATGCGGGCGAAGACGGCCAAAGAAGAAGAATCGAAACGGCGCCAGTTTGTTGGAATTATAAATCAATAACTAATTCTCTTCCTTTTTATGTCCTTGCTACCCGGCTGGTTATATAGCTTATTGATACAGGGTTATTTATACAAGCCGGCCTTCCTGTTGGCTGAGTGGCGAAAGGGTGTCAAATGCTCAAGTTGGCGCACATGCATGTCCCGTCCTCAAGCACCCGTTGCTTGGCCCGGCAATCCTCAGACGAACCACGTCTTGACGGGACCTGCGGCTGCTTTCAACGGCAATGAGATGGGATAATAGGGCCACCGGCTCGTGCATGGGGCATCAGAGAGATGCGCGGTGATGAGAGCACCTGACTCTCGTCAAGTGCGTGTGGCCACGGCACGCTGGTTTGATGAGGTGCGTGGTCTGTTGCGTGCGCGAGTGTCTGGTCCAGCCAGTTCCCAGAGTGTAACGCGGTGACAGGATGGCCGGGATGAGCAAGACAAGGGGTGATGGCGTAGGGCAGAGTGTGTGTGACTGCGATGGCAGAAGCTGGCCAAAGACAGTGAAGAGCCCTAGCTCGTGACTGCGTTTGCTGGATGAGAAGTGAGAATGAGAGTGAGAATGAGAGGATGCTTGAGTCCTCTCGCTTCACGCCCCACTTGGGACAGCCGAGGGTGAGCCACACACAGTCACCAGGAGTGCTGATGTAATCAGCTCATCAAGTTCAAACATCTACTCCGTACTGTAGTCGATACCATCCATACACACACAACTCGCCATTCCCAATGCAAAACATGCCGTGTGCTTATATAACTACAGTACATGCAATGCGACTGTCCTCTTGATTACCGCGTCTACCTCTCTACTTTACCGCTTGCCTTTGCCTTTACCCTTTGCCTTCACCTTCGCCTTCGCCTTCCCAGGGCCCTTGCCCTTGTGCGCCTCGGCATCCCCTTTGCCCTTCTTCCATAACCTCCCCTCTGATCGCATGGATTTGGCGTCAAGCGTCTTCTTGTCCTTGTTACTCAACTTTCCGCTACCCTTTTTCTTCAGTGACTCGCGCAAACCATTCAGTTCGTCCTTGCCAGCTTGTTTGGCCTTCTTCTTGTCGTGCTCCGTCTCAAACCAAGTCCTCTTGGGTCTTGACTTGATTTCTGCCTCGTGTTCTATCAAATTTTCGCCCTTCTTCACTTGCATCTCTGCGTGTGCCAGTTGCCTCTCCTCCTTTTCTTCCTGCATAATTTCGTCAATCTCGTCTTCCATGCCGTCGATTTCCTCTTGAAGCTTGTCTGCATCAGCGGGGGCGATGACTCTGCTCGTAATCTTTGCGCCTTGCGCCTTTCCAGCCTTGACCGCAGCCTTGACAACTTTGCGATCGCCCTCGGCTGCCAGAGTCACAGCTGTGCCCTTTCGCCCCGCGCGAGCCGTACGTCCAACACGATGAACGTAAATTTCGAGCGATTGAGGTGCTTCGTAGTTGATGACTGTGTCGACGCCCTTGATATCCAAACCACGCGAAGCCAGATCTGTAGCCAGCAGATACGACACTTTACCATCTCTGAATGCTTCAACACTAGAAATACGCTATAGAGTAGCCAGTTAATATCCTAAAATCGTGTACTGTTGAAAAGGGCACCACTAACCTGTGATTGGTTCATGCTACCATGTAACTCGGAGCATGATAGCCCCAGCAGACCAAAAATGATGCGCGCCCTGTGAGCTTCCTTCTTCTGGCGGAAGAAAATGATGACCCTCTCATGGTAAAAGGTCTTACAAAGATGTGCAAGATATCCCATCCTCTTGTCTTCTCTCCCTGGTCGTAGTCGAACAAACTCTTGTACCAGTGTGGTTACAGTCTTCTTTTGCGAATCAACCATGAGCCGCACTGGCTTGTTTAGCCCAACCCGGATAAGACTATCAACAGTTGAGGTCATAGTCGCCGAGAACAACATGGTTTGTCTTGATTTGGGCAGTGTTGTGAGAATCTCATTCAGTTCGTCGGCGAATCCATCCTCCAGCATGCGATCGGCTTCATCCAGAACCAAGATTTCGACAGTGTCGACGTTGAAACTGGCCGAGTTCCTCATGTGATCAATAAATCTTCCCGGTGTGGCAACAATGATATCAGGCCGCAGACGAAGCTCAACCTCTTGTGCCTTTAAGCTGAGACCACCGACAGCCAGGGAGAATTTGATGTCAGTATAGCGAGCCAGCTTTGTGCCCACATCGTGACACTGCATTGCCAATTCACGGGTGGGGGTGAGAACGACGACACGAGTGGTCGGGATTTTTTTAGGGCGGAAGAGTAATCGCTCCAGAATAGGAACAAAAAAGGCACCAGTTTTGCCGGAACCAGTAACGGCACCACCAACAAGATCCTTTCCCATGAGCGCGATAGGGATGGTTTTGGCCTGAATAGGAGTGGGCTTGGTGAAACCAACAGCGGCGAGGCCACGAAGGATCGGCCGAGACAATGACATGCCTTGGAAGGAAGAGAGGTCCACTATCTTGTCCGACTTTTGCCGTTCTTCGGGAGCAAAGAATTCGTCTCGTTTTGCTTGCTCCTCGGCATCTTCTTCATCGTCGGTGGCATCAGAGGCGTCATCCTCAGGGTGAGCCTCCGGCGTAGCCACAGAGTCGTCGTCTGAAGCGCGATCGTCATCATGGTCGTCTTCATCAGCATCAGACTTGTCCGAGGCATCTGTGTCCTCTCCATCGCCGCTTCCGTGTGCTTCTTCCTCATTCTCTTCGTCCTCGGAGTCTGCATTCATTCCAAAGGCATCATCGGCCAGCACCTCATCATCGCCGTCGTCCAGAGCCATCTCCAAGTTATCCTCAGTCTCGGCTTCCTGGTCGGCATTTTCCAAAGTCTCACCGGCCTTCCCATTCTTCTTTTCTCTTCGTCGCCGAATAATCTCTTCCAGGTCAACACCCTTCTTCTCGGTCATCCCCTTCTTAGCACCTTCAAATCCCCAGCCTTCGAATTCCTCATCGCCAAACTCCCCAGCGTCGTCTGCGACGAACTCAAAGTCAGAGTCCATGGCGTCATCGTCGTCATCCTTGGGGCCCCAGATGCCCTGAGGCTCCTCTTCGTCAGATGCCTCATCGTCTTTGCCAGCCTTTTTCGGCTTTTTGCTGGTCTTGGTCTTCTTTTTGGGTGGGCGAACGGGGGCATCTTCCTCTTTGAAGGGATCCTCGTCGTTGTCGGAAAGTGTCGTGATGAAATCGTCATCGACTGGCTTTCTTTTCTGCGGCGCCATTTTGATAATCCCAGCAACTCCTATACAACGGTATATTGGGGATATCGGGAGGAAAGTGGTTGTTCAGAGCTACAGGTCTAAACTACCTTTGGCTTTTGTCTCCTCTGGCGGGAAGCAAAAATTCCCCAACGGCTGGTTCCTGGGGCCAGTGGTTCGCCCATGGTTTTTCTGCCGGGTTGAGCTTTGAAAATTTTGGCGGTGAGGGGGAATTGCCCAGTTGGGCAGTCACCGAGCTAGGCCGTTGCTCTCGGGGCTCTCAGGAACAAGACGCGACGAGAGGCACCCGGTGTTTTCCCGACCGCCAACAGTTCTCTTTGTCTGAGTGCTCAGGGTCCACGGTTGATTGGACGACGCTTGTCTGTTCCAGACTGACAACTTTTAGTAAACGATTAATTTCTCCAGCTCCCCTTTATCGCTGCCTTGTGCACATTGCCTTCCTTGGCACAACAGCATCTTCTTCGGCTTTTTATTTATTTATTCTTTTGATCTGCCTCGATACCCGCTGCTTCTCCCGATCTGTGGCTTGCTTGTTGCCACCGAACTGCGCAAGTTCCCGAGTTTTCCATTGACGGAAGCCTCGCACAAGCACGCCCGTTCCGCCAAACAAACAGACAGTCGACATGGGTGAATCCAGGTTGGTAGCAGCGCGCGCCGGATCCCGCAGCACGTACGGGCAGCCACTTACTAACCGCATGATACAATCAGACAAGAACTTATCCAATGGCTCAATAGCCTTCTCCAGCTCAACATGACGAAGGTCGAGCAATGTGGCACTGGGTGAGTCCTGACGGCTGGATGGATGTTACCCCTCCCCCACTCCATGATGCAAACACGATGGAGACGCACGACGATGCCAGCAAAACGAACACCATGCGGACCAGAACGGAATACCGTCTAACCAGAATTTCTATGCGGATAGTGCTGCTCTGTGTCAGGTTTTCGACAGCATTTATATGGACGTGCCCATGTCCAAGGTCAAGTTCAATGCCAATGGCGAATGGGCGTATGTGCAGAATTTTAAAGTGTTGCAAAGTATGAATGCCATCCGAGTCCCTTCCCGGCGTAATAGTGCCCGGGAGACATCGGTTCTGCGATTACATGTGTTGACGAACTGGATCAGATTTATTTGCCAAGCACCAAATCGACAAGCCGATCCCCGTCGAGGCACTCATCAAGTGCAAGATGCAGGATAACCTGGAGTTTCTGCAGTGGACCAAGAAATTCTGGGATCTAAACTTCCCCGACCACGACTACGATGCCGTTTCACGGAGAAAGGGAGGGGCTCTCCCCAGCAGTAACTCTGCGGCGCCCAGAGCTCCCGTCTCAGTTGGCGCTGCTCGACGAGGCGGTGCTACTGCTGCTGCTGCCCCGCGGGTTGCTAAGGCTGCAGGTGCTGGCCCTAACACGGTTGCTCTGCAGGCAGAGAATACAACACTCAAGGAGACTGTTACAGGCCTTGAGCGGGAGCGAGATTTTTACTTTAGCAAGCTTCGCGATATTGAGCTTCTGATTCAGCAGGCTGTTGAGGAGGATCCTGAGATCGAGAAGGCAGAGGATGGTCTGGTCAAACAGATCCAGCTTATCCTGTACTCCACGGAAGAGGGGTTTGAAATTCCTGAGGAGGGCGAGCCGCTTGATGACCAGGAGACATTCTGAGCGCTGCTAGATATTGCATGTTCATGTTATATGGAGGGGGGCTTAGGGTGGACATGGGGAGGAGTGGCACTCAGGGCTGTGGACTCGGATGAATGGGCCGAAGCGGGAAAATGGCGATGCGGTTCTGCGGCTGTTACATGACGCTTTATGACTGGTATTGATGAGTCAATGAGGGGGGCTGGATTCGCGATATACCTTTCTTCTCTAGAAGATGTTATCAGACTGCCCAAATAGATCAAAGCAATGAATGATGTTGGACAGGTAATGAGCAGAGTTAGAAACTGACACCTGGGGTTCGTGTACCAAGTACGCGGTGACTGTACTGTTTCGTTCGCGTTTCTCTCGAAGCGATGTGGGCCCCAAGTGTGGACTTGATGGTATAGGGTACGAGCAAAGGTGAAAATTGGCGTCGGAGTTTCGTGAGTTCCAGCTTGGTCATTGTGAGGGTTATTTAAAAAAGGACTGTCTTGTTGCTTTGGAGTATTTCTGAGGGTGATACAAGCTGCATTCCGCTGAACACGCTGTTTGGGGAGATGAATGGAGTTGGTGAAATAAGGTCAGGTGCCTACAAGACGTACCAACAATTAAAGGACCCAAAAATAAAAAATAAAATCAAATGACAGAAACCAAGTCTACCTCCAGCTAGCTTGTTTTTTTTTTCCCTTGCTTGTCTTCGTGTCATCTGTGTTCGCCTGCTCTGCTGCCCACGATGCCCGATCACGTTAACCGAAACAAGGACTGTGTCGCATGCCCAAGTCATTCACAGCAGTAGGCGGGAGAAGAGCCATGATGATGAGCCGTACTTGACTCAACCTGTCACGGCCATCCAATGGTGGCTAGCTTAAAACCCCACATCAGCTGCTCTAGAAGGCAGACCCAGCCAACCGGGTCTCAGGGTTTGAAGTTGAGCTACGGAGTAGGCATAGCCTCTCCACACTGGGGGTTTGCCATTTCTAGTCTGGTCGGACTGCTTTAGTCGAGATGCTTGCATCATCGCCGCGCACTCACTTCACCAACTTGATGACCTCACAAGTCACAACGATATCTTGGCAGGCAGCGAGACTCGAGCCTTTCACGGAGTATATTTTTGTTCCGGTTCTAGATCGAGTACTTTGGACTGCGAGTTCACGCATTCTATCTGTCGAATTGTTTGACCCGTAGTACGGGGTGCTGACGTTCAGAGGGTGACGCAGCTTAGGCCAAAGGGAACGAACACAAACCATCAACATTCTTTGCCGTCTTGACACTGAACCACTCGAAAAAAAACCCCGACGCACGCTTACTCGAATTTTATCGCGGCACATCATAGAATAGAATTGCATCACGGGAGAAGACCCAACAAACACACAGATTGCGGCCATGGCTCCGCCACCCGAGATTGCCATCCCGTCCACGAGTGTCTCTGAAGATGTCGGTTCCAAACCATACACACTGTACAACATCACGCTCCGCCTACCCCTACGGTCGTTTGTTGTGCAAAAGCGCTACTCGGACTTTGCAAGACTTCACAACACGCTCGTCCAACAAGTCGGCGTGCCACCGCCGGAGCCCCTCCCCGGCAAGCACTGGCTCAAATCTACCGTGCGATCACCAGACCTCGCGAGGAACCGACAAATTGCCCTGGAGAAGTATCTACGGACGATTGCAGAGACGCCGGACCGGCGATGGAGGGACACCTCTGCCTGGCGGGCGTTTCTGAACCTGCCCAGCACCAGCACTACCAGCTCGGCGGTGTCGGCGTCGGGAATGGCCAGACCGGCCGCCACGGGAGCAGCAGATCCCCAGACATGGCTGGACATGTACAGAGAGTTGAAGCAGAACCTGAACGAGGCAAGACAGTGTCTGTCACGGAGAGACGCGGCATCAGACAGCGGCAACAGCACAGCAGCGGCAGAGGCGGGCTCAGCAGCGAGCAAGGTGCTTTTCAAAGCCGGCATCCTCGTCACCAGCTTATCAGACGGCCTCCGCAAGATGCAGGAATCCAACAGGCTGGGCGAAGGCGAGCTCCGCCGCCGCCGAGATCTCGTATCCAACGCACGCATGGAGCGCGACGGCCTCGAGAAACTATCCACCGCCCTATTCACCGCATCGGCGTCGGGCAGCAACCCCCGTAACGGTGGCAACAGCAGCGTCAGCGCGGCCGCCGCCGACGAAAAATCAACCCTTCTCAAGAGCGCCCGCCCCACGACGGGCCGCGTCCTCGGCGCACCGCTCCCCGAGACGGCGCAAACCAGGGAACTCGACAACGAGGGGGTTCTCCAGCTGCAGAAACAGGAAATGGCCTCGCAGGACCAAGCCATCGACCAGCTCGCCGATGTTATACGGCGCCAAAAGGCCATGGGCATCCAGATGAAGAACGAGGTCGATGCGCAGACTGAGATGCTGGCCGCGCTGAACGGCGATGTGGACAGGGTGAATGACAAGCTGGGCGTGGCTCAGAACCGGATCAAGAAGCTGTGACTAGTCTTTATGATGGTCGTGGTGAGGATCATCATGGGGACGCTGGAATCCGTCGTCTGGACGGTGTGGATGGGCAGGAGAGTTTCCGAGGGGCTCGGATGGCTTGTCGACGTGCTGCTGCACATTTTGGGGCTAGGCTAGGCGGGCCAGTGAGATAGATGCGTGCTCTTTCTATATCCCGGCGTTCTTTTTTCGTTTCCCCCGATTCATGGGCGAGCGCTTGCCTCCTGGAAGGGTAAGCGAGGGGTTTGCCGCGCCGTGCTTCTGATGGATTGAGTGATTTAGGTAGGTAGCATTACGGCAGAGTAGCAACATGGATATCATTTATCAGGTTAAGGAGATTTGCAGATTCAAAGCAGTGAATAGCCGGCTGACTAGGGGACGCGATTAGGGGAACGCCACTGACATATCGACAGATGATTAAATTTGGCACGGGACTTTGAGAGTATCTTTTGCGTATGGCCGCTCTTGAAAAAAAGATGTGAGAAAATTGTTGGAGCGGTATGCACAGTACGTCTTGGACGACAAGTCATGGCAGCCGTTGGATGGTCGGGTGGTATGTACATACAGGGCTGAATGATGCCTACTGGTGTCAATTGCGTCCTCATTCAAGCCCAACGTTGGATGGGCTGATAAATGCACGGGCTGCTGAAGGAAGCCACGGGTTCACAGATCAGTACATACGCCCATGACTCTTGCACTTCATGTTGGTCGACAGCACCACGAAGTATTTTCTACGTCACATGTGCACTGTTACCTGCTTGTAAGCTGCATGTGGGATACATATGTATTGTCCGCGTCCAAGCGGTACATATGTGGTTTGTGGGGAAGCCGGCCTGTCTCTGGCTTCCGGCTGGTTGCCGCCAGCCCAGGCAACAAACAACCACCACCAATACACTTGACATGTACCCAACTCCATGTTCGCCCTGTTTTTTGTTGGTTCTTCATGCCCTGTTGGCCCTCGGCAAAGACGCTTATCAAAGTGTCCATGTCTGCCTGATGTTTCCAGAGCAGCACCATCCGTTGGCTCGACCGGGATTGTCGTATTTCTCCGCACAATGATGAAATTCTGGCCAGCCCATGCCGCGCATCGGCTCGTCTTCGTATCAGAACGCACGGTTCAACTCCCATTCCGGACCCTCGAGTTGGCCAGATGGCCGTCATGAAATGTTCCACCCGTTCGGGGCGTACAGCTGCACCACGTCGTTCGACCAATATCTGGATCGTGATTTTGATTGCCTATATGAAGGACCAAGTGGTTGACCATTTGTCAACAGCGATCGAGCCTTGTGTGTATCTTTCGCTTTTGTTCTCCAAGGTGTACGGAGACTTGTTTTCACAATGCCCTCCAGCAAGTCTGGCCACAGCAACCACAATAGTCACCAACCACATAAAGGGGAAGAAGATGGGGATCGACATGGCGGTAAACCAGCCCGGAAAAGTGAAGAAACGGAGACGCAGGGCGACCAGGCCGAAGCAACAAGGATTCACCTGAGCGTTTTCATCTTTCGAGGCGCTCCTGATGTGTGGTATAGACGGCATGTTATCATGTACTTCACATCGCCCGACGACCCGGGTTTCCACAAATCTGTCCACGTACAGCGGGACAATGAGAGAGACCCCTGGAGAGTCGCCCTAGAAAACGGACAAGCGCACTGGGAGCTTGATGCTTCCTACTTGGGCCATGTTGACGCTGGGTATATCCCTGTATGGAAGGGTCAGGAGGCGTGGCCGTTGAGTACTGTTGCGTCAGTCCAAGTGGAGGGTCGGGAGGCCGATTGGAACTGTCAAAACTTTGTATACGAGGGCCTGCAGGCAATTGTGCATCTCGGTCTTCAAGAAGAGGCGTGGTACATATGGGTTCAAGATGAAATCATGAACCAATTGTTGGAGGGGGCTGTTGGCTAATGTCCATGGGAGTTGATACCCGGGCATGACTTTAGTCCACATATACTTCCTAACAACAGTGTTGTACCAAGTTTCCCTGACAGCCCTTCGCGGTTACATTCTATCTTATGTGATCCCATACTTGTTCGACAGTATCCTATAGAATAGGTACCTTGGGTGAAGGCGGCAGAATATAAGGTCTGTTAACAGGAAAATTGAAGACCACTTAAAGCATCCAAAGTCATGCCCGGATTAGAGTCATGCCCAGGTATCAATTCCCATGCATCTTGATCTCTTTTGTTACACTCCTCAGAGCTCGATATGCATGCGTCAAGAATGCCTTCCGCATTATTGGCTTTCTTGCAGAAGAACGAAATGTATCTGTCTAGTGGATTTCTAACAGATCATATTCAAGTCATGCGTCACAGCTCGTTCTTGGCATAGATTCATATGTACGACCAAGAAAGGAAACCGTATCAGAATGTATTCATTATCATAGCGCTGGTCAGAGGTCTGGAATACGACTGCCCAGTGTCTCCCAGTCAATGTTATCCAAACCATAATGGTAAAGGCATAGTCCCAATACTCCGGGTACCACCCAACATACTCCCAAAATGGCGACGATGCGACCGTCACGTACCATGAAATTTCGTGCGGCAATATCGCTATGCGTAACGACAATTCTGTAATTAGCTCTACCAAGTTTAGTCGTAACTTGATGCCAGCACATTGACTCTGTCCAACCGGTGCAGTCCCAGTCGCTGCGAATCACCTCAGGGACAGGAATTAAGGTATTCTCCTGGATGTAGCGAAGGGCCACGGCTTCGTTGGGCTGATGATTGGCGCCCATGCCGGTTTTGCGTGGGTGTATTTTGTGACGGCTGCTCCTTGGCGCACCACGAAATGGTCGCCGAGTTGAGAGATGATCTCACCTTCCGGGGAAGGGGCGGGCTCTCGGGATACGCTCTCGCTCCATCATTTCAGCCATTCTGGTCGCCATGCTACGACATCCAAGCTGTCAATGGTTCGTTGAGCTCCAAGCGACGGATGCCCCTCACTGCCTGATTATGTCACCAACCTTGCCCTGTGTTCTGATGAAGGGCAGGAGGGCGTGGCACCATGTTCAGGATGTTGGATCGCCCGCACCAACTCAAGACCATTGGCATTTTCCGCACAAAGGAGTCAATCATCGTCCGCCTCGCTTTCATCATGCACGCCGGCGTTGCTGAACCCGCAGCTGCTTGGCTCGGCACTCGCTTCGTACCGTTTTCTTCGTAATAGAAAGGGAATACGCAATTTTAGCTTTGACAACAACAGCTTTTTGTTGGTTGAGCTGCTGGCTATTCCTTGTGGCTCCCTAACGTTGACGTCTTCAACCTCTGGGAGACCAGTCCTGATTCTAGGTACACCGAATGTTTCCCATTTTTTGTACCTGGGCTCAATACCCTTTTGGCCAGGTTTCTCCTTATTCGAGTTCAACCTTTAGTTCTGTCCTTGACACTTGTCATAGCCGTCCGTGGCTGGCCATACGCGACACAAGGCCTGTACCTCGTCTAGCCCCGTCGATCTCTACAATGCCGTCAGTGAATTTTTTTCGCCAATTTTTCTCCACCTGGAGTTTTTTATGGTTGTTTAGAAGCCATGCCACCAACATCCCAGCCTGGGTGACGGTGCATTACAATTCCTTCCATCGCTTTCAAGCTCGCCAAGATTCAAGGGTCCTCGCCATTTTGCGAATCGGGACAGAATGCGTACCGTCTGGCGAGTGGCATTTTGTACCTGAACGCATCAACTTGAACATGACCAAGTTGAGAACTGTTAACCAAATGGAAACAGAGGCAACTCTGCTGGCATTTGGCCAAGAAACATCGACCAACAAAAAAAGATGCCGATACCTGCACGTCGAAACTGAGGCAAGCCCATTGCCTGGCTATGACGTCGCAACGTCTTACCTACCCAGGCACTTGGCTAGAGTGTCTTGTAAGCTATTTCCAACGGCCGTTGAGCGTAACGCGTGCCATGTGGGATGTGTGCGGCAGACTCGCATTCTCTAGACGTTTGGCGCCAAAAGCTTGGGATACATGCCTAGGCCATCGTAGCTGTTCTACATAAATCGATCTAGAAGACTTGACGAGACAAGAAATAATACAAATGCGAAACGAGTCTTTTGGCACGCATGACAAGAAACAGACCGTCGACGCTTGCCCTCATTGTAGTACGTACCACATCTATCGACGTGAGCTAGCCGAACGTGTTTCGTCATTTCGTCAAAGCACATGGTACGTGGTACGTAACTCAGGTACCCACCTCGCTACGGGATCGACCATGCTACGTCACCTGACCGACGCGCCGTGGCGCCCGTTGCTGGGCAACGGATAAATATGCAGCTGGGCGGGTGGATGACACAATGATAACGAGGGTCCTGGTTTGCAATGCAGGCCGGCTGGGCAATATCTGGGCCTGTTGTAACATCTCAGTCAATCCTGTAACAATCGTGCCCGCACCGTGCAGGAGGACAGGAGCCCGTTGTTCAGATTCTACGTTATACAGTCCTACACTGCCATCAGCGTCGCTAGACAGATGATTTGGTTTGCGCGTTTCGTTTCGTCCTTTATTTCTTATCGTTTTGGGCTGGTGGCTCCGACCACTTGTTGCACCGTGTCCTTTGGTCTGCCCTGCGCTCATGACTCTTTTCTTGCACAATATTAATATCCATGCATGACGACGGAGTATTAGGGACTGTGGCGGAGCCAAGGCGAGTCTCGTGACAAGCGACTTTGACCGCCAGGCCTGGCATTCCGTATCACTGCGCCGGGAGAAGCGGAAGCGCTGCGGCGGAGGGAAGAGGTGGTTCTGACTGGTAAGACGAAGCGTCAATTGGTGCAAGGTGATGACGAATTGGGATGCATCTTGCAGGACAGGCAGCTGTCTGCAAGTCTGGACCATGGCGAAGGAGTTGGCTTTCGTAGTACCTGGTACATCCGTAGGGTGGTCCGTATTGCCAGCCTGGCCGTTTTGACATGTCGACTCCTAATAATACATACTCGTAGAAGGTCTGGTCAATCCATGGGCGTTAGATGGTTCCAGGGAAAAGTCTGCAGCATGTCCAACAGGGCGTTTGTTGCTGGTGACGGACCAGAGACATGGTCACGGCCGATATTCATCAATGCAAACCAACGACGACGGGAGAGCCTGCAGGTCTGCATGTTTTGTCTGGCGTGTTCCGTACGATCAAATCATCCATGGCCCGTGTCGACGCTCCAATGTTCCGTGTCATCAGGGATGTAGACGGTGAAGCGCTGAGGTTTCTGCCACGTTGCACGACCCCGCTGCCCACCTTGCTGCCCGGGTTGCTTATGATTTTGGTGCAAAAAGAGTCATGGGGAAGGACTTGGTGACCTAGATGGCGATTGATCATTTTTTGTATTTTTTTTTTTTCTTTCTTTCCTTCTTTTTTTCTGGTGTTTGCTTCGTGTTTGCTCCTTGAAGGCAGCCATCTGGACGCCGTCGTCTGGAGCTTCGGCACGACTTGACGGTGTCGGTGTCCGTGGCGGCATCTTTCGATGCTAGCGACGTGCTTAGCGGCATGCGGGACCAACCGCAGCGATGGTAGTGGCTGGCTGGCGACGTCCACAGCACCCACTACGCCCACGACACCCACCAGAGGCACTTCAAGTGCTGCCAGGCATCCACCGCACTACACCCTCTTGAGCAGTCTGGTGCTGGGCCTCAGCATGCACCGGCCGCTGTTGCGTCCACTCGAGCCCCTGCCTGCCCCGCCTCATCACCAGAGCTCAACATTGAATCAATAAGCGCTGGAGCCTAGGGACTCGACTTGCCAAGTGTGCCCCAGGTGCCGTGCCAAGTGCCTGTCCGCCCACCCGCCCTCCAGATGTCCCTCTGGGCAGGACATGGAAACATTGGAGGGCTCAGGACACCGGGACCCCGACTTGCCACCAAAGATGGCAGGGCGCCTGGGTAACTATGACCTGACTGGACCCCGAGCTCTCGACGTAAACAATGCGACAAGATCCACAAACCCATGTGAGCCAGTCAATCCAAGCCAAAGCTCGGAGCTGCAGAAACCGCGGGTTCGCAGCCAGCGTCGGGCAATTTCATCTTCTCCTTGCATCGACATTTGCCTCTACTAATTGTCTGCAGTGCAGTGATACCCCAGTTGGGTTTTTTGTCCTCTTTCGGCTGTTCCCTTCCAGCATTGCGAGCGGCTTGCGTCTTCGTTTCTTGACCCTATCATCTGCATCATCTGTTTTGGAGCCTGGCGTTTGTTTCCCTTCTCGCTTTCTGTTGGCACCGATTTCCACGTTGAGTGAGGTGCAACTGCAACAAGCCTTCCAGACGGTTCGCTTTCCCCGATACTTGTAGTAATGCGTCCTTTTCTTATTCCGACAGGTGCTAATTTTGATAGAACTTTTCCCATCAAATAGAAGTTTCATGTTTCCTGCGAGATCGGTATAGTCGAAAATCACCAACAATTCGTCTGCTGACTCCTCATCGAATACCTATATTAGTCGGCAACTTGCGAACCTTGAGAAGTGAGTGACGAATATGAGTGCACCGCCGCCGCCTCCGCCGCATGGTGAGGCGCCGAGGTCGTCGGGCCTGCCACCAGGCAAGTATGATATCTTCGTTATACCGGAGCATTCTGCGGGCGCTGGTTTTCTGTATCTGCCGTCATTAAAACCCAGCGTCAACAGCTTCTTCGCAGGTTTTGCCTCAGCTCTCATAATGGTGGCTTTGTTCCAAAGCATGGCGCCGGCTTTTCGTACATGGTGGGAGACTTTCCAAGGCTTGGGCAACATGGGTATAACACTCCTGATACTCGGTGTCGGATTTGGTGCTTGGGCTCTGGGACGGACGCAAAAGGACACACCGGGCTCCAACTACCATTATCAAAGCTCGTACAGCAGCGGGGAAAGCGGACCGGGTACCGGACCAGGTGGTTTCGCATCATCTCCGGGCGCATCTCCCAACGGAGGAGCTCATGCTAGGGGACATGGGGGAGCACCACCCCCTCCGCCGCCTCATGGCAGTCCTCCTCCTCCACCCCCCAGAGGGGGAGGAGGTCCATCACCGCAATCGCGAGCGCAGTCACCGCCGCCTCCCCCAGAGCCAGAGAAGCCGAAAACGTCATGGGAAAGACCACCGCCCCAGCCTGATCCGCCCCAGCCCAGCACGCCCCAGCCTAGCACGCCCCAGCCTAGCACATCCAAACCTGGCTCGCCTAAGCCGCAAACACCAAAAGGGACTTGGGAAAAGGCTCGTGAGGAAACGAGAAAGAAAGAAGAAGAACGGAAAGTAAAGGAAGCAGAACTAAAGCGCCGGGAGGAAGCTGCAAAACGACTTGCCGAACTTAGGGCAAAGGAAGCGAGGGAGAGACAAGAGCGGGAGAAGGAAAGGGAACGAAAGGAAAAAGAGATCAAGGATAAAAAGCTCAAGGAAGAGGCTGAACAGCGGCGCAAGGAACTTGTCGAAAAACTCAAGAGAGAAAGGGAAGAAAAAGAAAAACAAAAAGAAAAAGAGGAGCAAAAGAAGAAAGAGGCTACCGCCACGGAAGGAGGTACGCGGGTGGCTAGCACATATGCCTTCTCAGGAGCTGGAGAGAAGACGAATATGTGGCCGAATGGCAGGCCATCCGTTCCACCACAAGCCACCAACCCGCCCAGTCCCGAAAGGAAGCCTCCGGCCCCGACAGCGAGGACATATGTCAGTACTCCCGAGGATGATGCGTTTTCGTACCGGCCGTACGATCAACCAAATAGAAAGAGTCGGAGACCGTCCCTCTCCTCCTTTGCCGGCTCCGATGCGTCGTGGGCGCAGTCTCACACGACGGCCCGGACCTCACCGCCGCCGTCAGTTCGTGGTCCATATTCAACCAAGGACCCTGACAAGATTGTCATTCAGGCTGTGTATCTCTTCATGAGCCAATATTCCAAGACACCAGCCAGTCAACTTATCTCTGGCGTAGGATCCGTCACGGATGGCCTCATCCTGCGGATCACGACTGAAGGTCTCTTCATCGACGACGACGTCCGCGGCGTTCCCCAACGTGAATGGGACGTCAAGGCATGGACACTCAAACTTGTCGAGGTATGGTGCCCCCCGCACTGCTTGAAATTGCCTGCTTCTGCTACTTCCAACACTTCGTCCGGACCCAAGAGCGCTCCCCATTTGCTTTATAAGATGGCAACAGCCCGAAGAAACGCAGACCGCGACAGTCAAAAGGTGTTGAACGGCGATGAAGCCGACGCCTATCTTACTGAGATGCTGCGTGCCTGCAAGGATTGCTGCCGTCTTGGTTTGTGCGAGCGTACATTTAAGAATACTAACATTCCGTCTTTGACCGGCCAGACTGGAGTATGGAAGTCAAAGGGCTTGCACGTCCTCCGTGCCAGCGTACGTGATCAAGAAGGCAAGAGATATGTGTTTGTCATGAGCGAGGCGGAAAGCTGGAAGCTTGCGTTTGGGCTGCAACGTCTGCGCGGCGGTACGCAGGTTCGACATCTGGGTGTAGCTGGAATGACGCCGTCCGAAGCCAGAGGCACATTGGAGATGTTGGGATGGTTGGACTGAGCATGATGGCTCGTAGCTGTCGTGAATATGGATTGGACATTGTCGACTCTGAAACGCCGCGCTCGATGCATCGTCGACAAGAAGAGACGTCAGGCAAGATGCATAGCAGAGGTCGCTGTTTATGAGCGTTTCCATGCACACCCGAAGTGAGAGCGACCCGCATGCCGAGCGAACATGTCAACAACATGGCTTTGATGATGGATGGGGCACAAAACCGAAGCTTGGAATGGAGTGCGGGGCGACGGATCACGATGAAATTGGGCACTACTACTAGTTATGTGCGTAAAAAGAGAGAGAGAGAAAGACGTTGGATGATGGAGATTTTGTTTTATTTGTTTGTTGGAGTTGAGCATTCCAGCCAAGGCTGCGCATACCCACGTTGTCAATGGGGCGCAATCGGCAAAGCTGAGGGAGCGACTATTTTTTGACGAGGCTGCAAAAAGATACCTTACGAAGGCATATGAGAAGATACATGCCTGCCATGTCTAGATATGCCTAAGCATATATTATATCCTTTTTTAATACATGGCAAATTTGCTACACCATGGAAGCCATACCCGTTATGGAGCGCATAAATCAGCCGTCATGGGCGCGTAATCAACTGTAAAGTTTGTAATCGCCCGTCATCCAGCGCGTGACTAGGACTCGGAAATTGGACTGATTCAACCAGGCACGATTTGTATCTGTTCTTGCGCAAGACGCATCTTGATGCGCATAATCGTGTAGCATGCACGATAGACCGCCAGGGTGAACCGTAGGGCTGTGAACTTTATCTGTGCGAACCCGACGTTATGTTGAACTAGCCGGATGTGTCAGCAGGTCAATCCGTTCGTTTGGCACGTTTTTTTTGTTGCTGCACTAGGGTATATAGTGTGTAATAAAATCGCAGATTACAACAACCACCATTGGTCCGGTGGTGTAAAGGCTAGCATTCTAGACTTTGACTTCGGCATTGGCTCATTTAATCTGGCGATCCGGGTTCGAATCCCGGCCGGACCTAAATACCTCGATTTTTTTTCGTTGGCTCTGCTACCCGGCAACTTGATTTTTTTGTTGCCTGATTTGCGTATCACTTTGACGTTCTTTTTTTTATTAATTACGACCAATAATTATAAGATGCTTTTGGTGTCTGGTAAGAGATTACCAGTTGCCTGTGAGGGGGTTAGGGTTAGGGTTAGAATTAGCCCGACTGGACAATTGTCGCTAAGCGTGCGTTGAACCACGAGATGATTCGGTGTGTCTGTATAAAATAGGGGCATGGAAGGCGGCCGTGATTAGGAGTGTGTATTCAAGTGCTACTATGTTTCTTGGGCCTTGCGTTATTGTGGCGTCGAACGCCGTGCTGTCAGTCGATCTGAAGCGACATGCCTGACAGCGAAGATTATTTCGAGTCTACTTTATGACAAGTATAACTGGCTTTGTGTGAACACTATCAATGGTAAGTCTTGTGTAAGTTACGTGCCTTTTTCCAGGGAAGGACATGTTGGTGTGTTTCGGTACTTTGCCATGAGATTTTGCCAAATCGACCCCGTAATGCGATTTAGCGCATCCATGTCTGGATAACATGTCGGGGTATTGTATAAGATGATTGGTTCATGAGGGAGCGCCATAAACTGGGCTGCACTCTCTGCCTTGGCCAGTTACATCGATGTTTAAACTTTTAGCCACCAGGGTATTTCAGCTTGGCAGTCTGGCAGTCATGCGTCGAAAGGGCACACTTTGCACTTTTACGATGAATATGAGGAAGTTGGGGCCAAGGGACGCTATTGTTGGATCTTTTCGGCCATATGTTCACGGTACAACCTAATCAATTGGGTGTATACTGTGAAGTTGTTAAAGTGTAATAACCTTCACTCAACACTAGAGGACTTGTTGGCGCGCAGACGTTCACAGTAACAAAATAACTTGTTTTATCAAGAGTTGCAGAAAATTACAGAATATATTAATATTTCTCCACGATACAAAATATCCCGCCCGGAAGAACCGTACGACCGCCCTAAACTAACCGTCTCGCTGAGAAGACATTCACAGCGAATACCAATGGCGACGGGGGCCAATGGGCTCTTTCAGCAGCGCCCACAGGTCATCCAGGATAGCCTTGGGGAAAATCTCCAGGGCCTTGAGGTCCAAAAATGAGGAAAACACGTTACTCGTAGAGCAGCCAGTAGGTTGGGGCTTGCCGTCCACAAGGCCGATCAACCAGGACAGAGCCTTCGGAGCACCGGTAGCCAACAGCGTGCCATGAAGGGAAACCCAGTCCCTCTCGTACTGGACCGAGCCGCCATTGGCGCAGTAAAACTCGACCAAGTCGTCCGTGTTGGCCACGGGGCTAATCTCGTCATGAACGGGCTTGTACACGTAAAGCGGCATCTTGGGCGCGCTCTTCCCCATCGCGACCTCGCCGAGAATGGTGGCAAGCGAGCCAGACGTAAGAATAGACGGCTCCTCGAGCATGGAGACGATGTCTTCGTAGAAGAACTCCTCCAGATCAGCCACCAGACACTGCTTCTTGACCTTCTCAAAGGCCGGTCTGTGCTGCGGCACAACTTGCTCGTGAATAATGCCCTTGAGCTCGGGATACTCGGCCGCCAGGCCTAGGAAGCCCGAGGGCAACAGACCCGCGGCGTAGCCCTTGTTGACGGCCTTGACGACGGGGGGGATGCTGGGCACCGTGCCGCCGAGCGCGGCCCCGACAATGTTGAGCTCCGGCGCGTACGAGGCATGCAGCTCGGCGGCCCAGCCGGTTGCGACGCTGCCCCCCGAGTACCCCCATAGGGCGACCGTGGCGTTGTGCTGGACGCCCGTGAAGGCGGTGGACTTGGTCACGGCCCGGATGCCATCCAGCACGGCGTGCGCGGCGAGTCTGTTGGCGAGAAAGGCAGAGTGCGGACCCAGGTAGTCGGGCAGAACAACCACCCAGCCCTTGTCCAACAGGGCGGCAATCAGGAACAGTTCCGCCTGGGTTGTGAATGTGCCAAAGACTACGCCAGACTTGGACCCCAGCTGGAGAGCGTAGGATGTCGCACAGTCAATGGACGCGGCGTCGACAATGGACTGGTAGGAGAGGACCTTGGTCAGGTCAGCGTTGTGGGGGATCAGGACGGTTGTGACTGTTGCTGTTGAGCCGTTGAAGCTGTTGGTCGTCTTGTACATGATTTGATGGGCGGCTTGGAGATTGACCGACTCGATGCCAAACGCGGCAATGGGAGCCGGGGGCTTCCGGCTCTTCAGGATGGAGCCGGGCGCAAGGGCATCGAGGTCTTTGGGCGCTTGATACCACGGATCTTGACTCGGAGGCAAGAGTCCTGTTCTCTCTATTAAAGGCGCCGCCGTGGCACAGGCCAAGGTGGCAAGGAGCGAGAAATACCGCGCGATGAGCATCGTGGCGATGTGGTCTGAGGCTCGTTGGACTGGGGATGATGACACAAGCAGATGAAGAAAGACGAAGGGGGTTGAGGGAAAAGGGCGAATTAAATAGAAAAATCGTGAGCCGGCAATACTTGTTCTAGACGGACCATTTTCTCAACTCAGACGTGAAGACTCTGCTCCGAGGAGCAAACGCAGACTGAACTATCATCAGAGGCACTTTCGTCCATATTTCACCGGCTACGTTGCAGCAGAAAAGCAGGTAATACTTGATATCTCCGAGGAATTCTTCTGCAGGCGGTTTGTTAAGCTCAGTCGTCGGATGTTTGTCTGGGGTTATCACGCCCGAAGATGGTCTTCCGACACCTCTTGGGTAGTTCCGTGAGATGATGGCAACACGACCCTGTCAATACGTGCCCTGGTTTCATATTGGTGAAGGAGAAAATGCCGGAAAATGCCCAGATGATGCTATCCCGATGACTAGCTAGTTCTCACGCACCGGCGGCCTGGTTGTCAAACCCGAATGCTAGAGAGTCCCGGCACCGGGATAGGAAGCCCACGATCACGGGTCGACGTTCAATCCAGACATGTGAAATCGACCAACCAGGCAGATTGCGGCCCTGCGGCTCCGGCCGAGCCTAGCCTGACCGAAAAGGATATTGGGAGCATGCGCAAAGCGGCTCCCCTACATGGATCCTTGTCGCGAGGGAAAGACTACTCCGAGCTGGTCAAGGCCGACTCGGTCTCTTTCGACAGGACATCGGGTGAAGGCATCGAAACACGGAGCTTTGCGGGGCTTTAACGCGGCACAGGGAGACTTGGAATCGTTGATATTGGGCATTTACACACAGCATGGCCGTTGGGAGATGGAGAACTGGCTCGCACGGCATGACCTCGAATGCTCCGCATGCCGACACCCCAATTTCACCATGCAGCGTGTCATTTGCGGCGCGGCGGAACTGGGGAAGATCGACATTTAAATTAAAAAAATGGAGTTTGTACCACTGGGGGCATGCGGCCGAGGAAATTTCGATCCTTTGTGGACTTGTTGTGACCGTTAGGGCTCCAAGGCTGGTCAATTGCTTGATTACGCGTTGCAATCATGGCATATTTGAGGCTAGGTCCACGAACCTTTTTGTTTGTCACCTGCTGAATGGTGTTGTATTGCTTTGTCCCCCGGCTGGCAAGGCATGAGTCGGCTAAATGGAGCTACATGTACGAATTATTGTGTGTGCCGCGGCCGATAGAGCTTCAGCTGCTTGTATTATTCAATATGATTGGATAGGTATTCAGATGCATCAGGACAGCTTGCGACCGTAGCTATACTTCGTCATCTCAGTATTTAGCCCGGTGGAATGTATTTCGCATCTATGTACTACATAGGGCGGCCACTCTAAAGTCTGGGGTTCAGCTGCTTTAGTTACACAGCATCCAGGCAACTCGTGTGCTAGGACCTGCCGAGGAGCCGGGCCAAGACGAGCATATAAGAAATCTGCAGGGTTGTAGGCAGCTGAAGTCCGGATGTAACGCCAAGTCGGTAGCTTCGGCAAAGGCATTGTAAGCGACGTATCGCGAAGCTGTGACTGTTTGAGAGGATAGCCTTGTACTCGGCGTAGAATACTTTATAGCATGAGCGGGTTCATGTGAAATAGAACCGGCTGAGCCGTTCCCTTCTGTTTTCACCTAGCCTCTTATGGTACGCAGTTTTGCCCTCATCACCCTTGACGGCCACAGGGTCGCGTACTCATTCTAGTTCTACTTGACAAGTTCGACCTGTACTATCCAACATGCCGGTTGAGCCAGCTCAATCTTGCTACATTTGCAAAATCCCGTAGACCTACACACCCGCTCCTGGGCGTGCGCAAAAGATGCATTCAGAACGGAGAAGTGACTGCGGAGATTTCGGAGGGAACAACTGTGTACTTAGACATGTTTCATTGAGAAACGTCCATCTAGTAGCTAGAATCGCCACTTCTTCCGAAACCGCCACTCTGCTATCACAAACACACCATGGAAAACACGAACAAGAAGTCATCTTTACAGAGCTGAGAGAACCATGACTTGCATGGAGCTTCCCACTCTCAGATGGCAGGTCATACCAATTCCGCCAGTCTATCCTCAAGACAAACCGTACCTACTCCATGCTTCGCGGGCCGATACCATCAGGTTTGCCACCGATATAAGAGAACCCGTGACACCGTTCGCCCGGGCCCAAGCCTCAGCCGCCGACTCGGACTGAAAAAATCGCACTCTCCAACACCAGTCCTCGCAGACAGACCCCCCCGCTGGCATGTCTGCCATGAAAACCCCAAGCCCCGTCTCATCAGGAACACCCTTGACAAAGTTGACTACCAAGCGCTCGTTAGTAGCCGGGTCTACCGATGTCGCGAACCCCGATGCCTCAAGAGCACCAAAAATGCCAATCACGTCAAAGGCACACCAAGCCCAGAGTCTTTCCCCCTCGATGGAAAGTTGATGCTCTGTAGGAATGCAACTCAATCCAGCAACCCCGACGATGAAGCCTTGTTCATCTAGCTTGACATGGCCCCTGCGCCGAAGCGCCTCTATACCGGTCCTGATGTCGTCCGTATTTCTACCAGTCTCTTGGCTGACCTGTTCCAATGTGACACGCCCTGCGGTACGTAGCAGAATGTGAAAAGCAGACTTTCCCACCGCTGCCTCTGTTCCATCCTCGCAACTTAGAACGGACAGGCCCCGAAGAGCAGCAAGTATCTGCTCCTCATTGGGGAGATCGAGACGGCAGCTTTGTTGTCCTTGTGCCGAGACGGGTTTACCAGTGACGTCGAAGCCGTTGATGAGAAGCGTTGGAGAATGATACTCTCCTACAAGCTCCTCGACCGTTGCGTCTGAGCGTGTTTTTGCCAAACAGTCGTTTAGTGTGTCACGAACTTTGGCTACCAACGGGCAGTCTGGCACGGTTAGCAGTTGAATCTTGATAGGGCTCTGTTGACTCATGGTCGTAGTGGATATTGAGTATAACCAAGGCGCTGTGTAAGATGAAGTTGAGAGGGCGAGAGGATTGTTGATTTCGTTTTTAGAACAGAGACCAATGGGTCTTTACGTCGCGGCTTGAACAGACTCAACAGCCAACCCTAACCCGTCCGGAGTACGAGCAAAAGGGGCCAACGCAAGCGTTCGTGAGCACTTTTACCTGCCTGCTACTAGGCAACAGAATAAGCTCCGAGGTAAGTGATGCCTGGTATGTTGTGCGGTGCGGGCCGTTACATCACTCGCCTGATGCCGAATGATCCGAGAGGCTGGCGTCGTCACCTCTGGGCCCCTCCAAGATGGACATTCAAGGATACCCTAGTTGCATATGTAGGCAGGACCAAAGTTATTTGGGAACAGCTTAGCGGGTGTTTATATGTAGTTGGGCAGTATGGAATCGGAAAGCCACAGCCACGCCGATCGGACCCGGGCGGCCTTTTAATATGGCCCGGTTGATGTTATGACCACCGAATCAACGCGGGGTTGTAAAGTCTCGGTGCTGTGAGAATCAACAACTCCCATGACCTCAACTGGACTATCCCAACTAGATCCCTCGCGTTCTGGGTGGCTCTTTGAATAACTCTGGTATTTAATTATACACAAAGGTCGTATTCACATTTCCCTCAACCTGGACATATCTGCCGCGGCACTCCAGAATTGCGTAATGTTCAATGTTGCCTCTCCAGGCTAAGCCAGACAAACCATGATTGATCGCAAGTCCGGCGCTTCAAGTCGCGCAACCGTGAAATCTTGACATTCAAAACAACCAAAATTTCAATAAAATACAAGGACAAAGAGAAATACTCATATCCTTCCCCTCAACATCTCGGCACAAATCGAATGCGCACATCGGGCTTCACAAACATGCCCCATGCCTTCCAATCATTGGCCATGTCGATGTTCTGCCCCTCGACCAGCTTCACATCAAACGTCCACAGCACCTTGGCCGCATAGATTCTGCCTTCCCACATGGCAATCTCCTTCCCGGGACACATCCGAGGCCCCTGGCTAAAGGGCTTTGAAGCGTCCAGATGGTCCGCGGCAAAATCACCATCATACAGCGCATGGCTTTTCGGCAGCCACCTCTCGGGGCGGTAGCGCAGAGCATCGTGGAAATTACAGCCATCGTGAGCAAGTGCCGTAGGGCTAGTCTGGCATACCACCTAAACAACGCATCACCGTCAGCATGCTCGACGGAAAAAGAGGACACAGCCGGATATAGACATGGAGTCTGCTTACACCCTTGGGAATAAAGTGTCCGTCCACCATGGCGCCGGGGCTGACGACAGGCATCCCGTTGGGGATCAAGGGCATCAGGCGCAGGGATTCGCTCAAGCAAGCCGCCAGGTAGGGCAATTTGGCCGCAGAAGTCGCCGTGATTTCGTCATAGCTCTCAAACGCTTCTCTAACCTCTCTAGTCGCGGCCTCGAGCATCCTCTGGTCGTTTGCTAAATAGTACGTCGTGAGGTACAGCCAAGTCGAGGGGCCTTCGTAGCCCGCCAGGAGCAACTGGCCTGCTACCTGTTCCAGATGGCGCATTTCCTGCCGCTCCGGGAGCTCTCGATTCTGCGGCATGAGCTGCTCGAAGAAATCGGGGTGCTCCACGTTTCCCTCTTGCTGGATGCGCCGCTGCAAGAGCTGGCGGCTGTGCTTTCGAGCGTCCGCGTGCGATCGTCTCGAAATGAGCAGCAGGTACATGTATTTCAGAGGGGTTAGGAATGGGAATCTCCAGCACGTCTGGATTACAACAACGGCCTTGTTGAACTCGCTGAGGATTGTGAGATATGGGGGCTCTTTCACTGTACAACGGTTAGAGTTTTTAGTTTTCCTCTGCCTTTTTTGACATGGAGCCACGTACTGTCTTGGAGGGCATTCATTTGCCGGTTGTAAGCCGTATCGGCGGATATGTCAAACGCGAGCCAACTGATCCATGTCTTGAGACTGATCCCCTCTGCAGATGTGGCCAGACACCTCATGCGTTGCACAAAGAGGTCTACGTATTTGTGAATTGTAGGCTCCTTGGCGCGAAGCGCTCGCCCGCTGAATGCAGGCGCCATTTGCTTAGATACCTGACGGTGTCTGATGGGATCCCATTCCCAGACAAGGCCGCCATGCTTGTCGTTTCCGTGATTGTTAATTTGCGTCTTGGCAAATAGCTCTACGTGTTTATCGTGAGAGTCATATATATCTGGAAAAGACGTTGTTTTAGCTCGGCCTACCAGACTTGAACTAAAATTCGTTGGTTTAGCAGTATCTTACCAGAGAATGCCTGAGGAGAGGAGAATGCAAGCTCGTTGGGTGCGACTCGAACAATGTTGCCTGTTTCTCATGCCATAGTCAGCAGGTCCAAATACACACACATGTAAACGTTCAGATTGCCAGACCGTATTTTTTGATGGCGTCTTCCACAGCCCAGGGCCATCGTCCTGCTAACCTTGGGTTTTATTTAGCGAGTTACACCCTTTATAGGCGGGAATACAGGACTTGTTCACTTACGAGTGATATGCGTACCAAGCATCGGAAATCGCGGCAAGCTTAGGCCCTGGAAACTTGGCAAGCGGGTGAAAGTGTAACCGCCAAATTGAGCTCGCGGAAAGATAGAAGAATATCTAGGCAAGCATTGTTTTGTAAGCAAAAGCAAGAAAGCAGACTGAGTTGGACTGTACTCTACAGCTCAAGGTAGGCATGGGCTGGAGGCACCAACGGTCACGGCCACATAAGCCAATAGCGGCCCAACACCTGGCTCTTGAACAGGCAAAAAAGCCATGATAGATTGACTGCAGAGTCCGAAGGGACACGTCTGAGATGGGTGGAGGCTACTCGCTACTCGCTCGCGACTTGTTTAAGTTGGCCGCAGAGATAATGGAGTGTCGTTTCTTTGAGGACATGGAACTTGAAGCTTTGACATTGGGATCCCTATCACGTGCTATTGACATATATTTGCAACTCTGATGCTTGTTTGCTCATGAGCTCTTGTGTCATTGTCGTGTCGTCTGTGCTCCGCTACGGACCATGACACGCATGAATGTTGGGTCTGGTTGCTTGCTCCGTATGCTTGCCGAGTGGTTGGTTCGTCAGCATCATGTGGCATCCGTGCTGGAAATAGTATCTTGGCCACCAACTTCGACCTACCGGGTCCCAACACCCATACAAGCCTTGCCGGAATCCGGTGGTTGGGGTCGGCGGAGCGCAGTATTTTGCTCGCCTCGCCTTGAGAGTACGCACGATTTTGGCATAGCCACAAGTAGTACTCTGTGAGCTATCAAAAGCGGTACCCAACGAAGTGTGACACCGAGACCTTGTTGGCAGAACGCTGGGGCAGGAGAACAACCAACAACGCTTGAGTGCCTTGTCTGTTGGCACCAGCGCAGAGCATATGTACACATAACTCATTGTGGCGTAACTCATGGACATCCTCATTACAGACAAGGATACGAATTAAAAGAATAGCACAGCCAACAGCTACGTGGCTATCGTAGAAACGCGCCAACACATCTCCAAAACGAAGCAACTACTCCGTACCAATACTACTACTAGGCTGACCTTTTGCAAATAAAAGCTTAATTATTCTCAGATCAATCCAAGGGTCCAATCTACTTTGTTCTTTATTAAAGCATAGCTAGCCATTTCACGATATATGTCCGCCTGATGACCCATCCGGGCCCCGTACATCGAATTCCTTCCTCACATGAATCCCACACGGTTTGGCTGGGCATGGCGTACCGGCAGTCATCACACTTAGGGGATATCTACCGTGGCCACGGGGTGCCTCGGTCCATGCAGCAAGACCCTTTGTGCTATCGCCGTCCTCTGCTCCAAGTATATTGCTAGGGGGCGAGGACTTGTTCCTGGAATTCTTGGCGTAGCTCGTGATACGAATGAAGAACTGGTGCAGAAGCACGCTGGTCGGTAGGATCGGACGGTAGACGGGGAGACAGGCGCAGACCAACGACAGAAACATCTGCACGCAGCTCCAGAGAGAGATCATGCTGAAGGCATCTAGTTGAAGCATGGAGGTATTAGCCTCAACAGGTTCCAGCATCCGGATTAGGGAAAATTGTCCATCCTTATAATTAGCTTACAAAAGCAGTCCGTGGAATAGGTAATGATAATTTTTATGAAGCCAATGGCGCCGACTCTGGAGTCAGAATTAGCACTTGTCTTTGCACGTGCTGGCATACTTACATGAAGCCAACTCCAAACAGTAGACGGAGCTTCCACTTGACAGAAGATGTCAAATGTAGCTGGCGAATCATGACCATGGCGAGGACAACTAAGCCAAAGTCTACAAACGTGTCGGGGACACTGCCCCCCAAAACGATGATGTTCTCCGGCTGACAATCGCCTGGGACGGATATGTCAAAGTATCGGCCAAAAGGCCTGCACTGTATAGCTTGCACGATGCAGAATATGACGATGAGCCCTGTCTGGAATGCGGCAAAGGCATAAATCCACAACCGATAGGTACGATGGATGCCAAAGATTCGGCGATACAAGGCTAGAATGCTGAGCTTGACCGTGAGCAGGTGCCCGAAGAACATATAAAGGCCGACCATGTCCCACTTGTGTATTCCGCGTGTAAGCTTCTCGTCTTGTAGCACTTGAGTCGACATCTGGGTCTGGCTTACCTTGCGCATGAGCTTGTAGTCAGAGGGGGACTCGCCGACTTCCTGCTTGAGGGTCCTGCCGTTGATGATGCTGATAGCTATAGTCGGGCATTGATCAGTAAAGATTCTTCGAAACGGCGTGTCCAGGTGCCGACTTGCCCATGAGACCCGAAAGGTTGCACATTGCAAAGAAGATGGTTGCCAACACGGCTAGCCAGTCTTCTATATCGGTGTTGCGCTGGCTGCGGCGGGCAGCGACGAAGCGCAGCACCGTGACCAAGATGCCTATTGGCGTGAAGATCAAGAGCACGATGAACTGCGCCATTTGTGCCGAGCTTTTGTACGCTACGAATGGCATTTTGGTGGAGTGGCTTCAAGGCAGTCGTAATTTACTATGGAAGAAGAGGCAAAAAGAAAAGAATACATATATACTTGATATATATGTATATATATATCTCGTTAGCAGTGGCATCTGGCACTGGACAGCCAAGTCGAAGTGATGAAGGCGAGTGAGCCTTACGTTATTTATTCACTGCACCTCATCGTATCATGTAGTGAACTGGGCTGAGCAAAGAGAGCTCACACAGCGCATTGACTTTATGAAGCCGTCAAGGTGCCCATCAGCAGGAACAATACCTGAAACATAATGCGATCCTCTTCACTGCCCATTGGTGAGCGGTTCTGCAGAGTGCTGCAGAGTCATTTCCAACCAGTAGTACGACACACCATGTAATATAAAGTGAAGAATTGTAGACTGCCGCAAGTTTGGGGTCTGCGTCCAAGATATTACTGGTCTGTGGCTTTCCAAGTGACTGTTGGCTATTTCTATGTGATGAGGATATTTCGCACCAGACGTCTATATGCTGTGGAACATGGTTCATGTACAGCGTAGTAAACTAGATGCTGCCATATTAGGCGACAAGATAAGCGTATTTATATGGGATAACAAACGGCGCCAAGTTCCTGGGACGATGAAACTCTTTTATTCTAGCCTCCCGCGGCTATTATATGCGGCCTGCAACATTGGACGTCCAGGAGCAGTTACCAATGCTTATTAATGCTTATTTTCGTCTTTGACTGACCTGTGGAACACCAATCCTGTCATTCTGCCCATATATTAAAAGAAGAAACATGCATATGTATGTCCCTGCCTGTGAGCCAGACAGTCGCCCCCAAGTTCCGCTACATGTCCGTCCGGTAGACACTCACTCCCCATTCCGAAAGGATCGCACATATTGCCTCGTGGGACTCACAATAAGCCTTGGCTTGTCGTTTTCCGAGTGGACGGTGCAACAAGGAGCTCGACAATTTCTCATGACCTGCCGACAACCAAGGCACCAAGAGGATCGGTTGAACGAAATACAGAGCGACGGAGCTTGTGTCGCGATTCGCGCTTGCGGTGTAACCAGCAGAGAGCGAATAGAGGCAGTCCATGAAGAAGCCGTCTCTTACTTGCCACCCGTCGCAGGAGTCAATTGCTCAAGGTGCCGTGGTGCTTCGGGATACCGCCTTTCAAGACGTGGTTGGCCGCGACTACATCAAAAGTTGGGGGTAGTCTTGATCTCAACAATCTCTTCCAAGACAACACTCTCGACTTCTTCTTTGTTAGAAGCAGTCATATTAGCCAGTTAGCCAGGAGAACAAGGGCCAGGTCGGCGACAACGGATGATGGACGTACCGGCACCGATTCTAAAAGCCGCGTGCAAATTGGCCTTGTAGCTGTGCGAATCGAGCTTCTCGACCTTGATGGCGTCGGCAAACGAAGGGCCCTCCTCGGTGGCCATTGCTCGTGTGTTGAACAAGGTATTTGGTTTTAGGGTGAGGCTGTTAGACAAGGAAGAAAATCCAAGGGAGCAATATCCTGGGGACTTTATGCTTCATGTATTGCGCTGGGCGGGAATTGGTGTGGGTGGCATTGGTCGGATCATGACTTGTTGGTTGCCTCCTTGTACCATTTCCGGAATGATAAAAATGTCACATCCTAGGTAAAACCGCAAGGGTCGTTGGGAGAAAGCGGAGAACAATACCAAGTTGGATTTATGTTGCAGTAGTCTTTCATCAGCAGCGCTCCGTTCTATATTCTGCTTCTTTTCCCGAAACCTGGCCTTGAATCAGCCCGTTGAATTTTCGAATCATGACAACCTTTATAATGCCAGCTGTGAATAAACTTGTACCTCTAAACCTCGACACATCGTTTGCCCCCTCGATACAGTTGAGTGATACCGAGTGTGTATAGTTCAAGACTGAACGCGGAAGAATGTAAAGCCCAACTCTAACTACATGCAGAGACCTTGTTCTCGTCTACACCAGAAACATCTCGCCCAACATCACACAGAGCTTTGAAAAGTCCGTCCACAGTTCCCTCGAGTGTCTGGCAGTTCACCACGACTCTGAACAGGTAGCCCTTTGGGCCGGGCGCAAAGTCAACCATGAAGCCTCGACCCACCAGTTTCTGCACCATTTCCCTTGTGCGCATCGTGTTCTCCTCGGCATCGTCCGGGGCCCGGCCACCAGGCGCATGGTAAAAACAAACCTGCAAACACGGCGGCGGGTTTGTCGAGACGAGCTCAAAGCCAGGGGACCCGTCCACCAGGGTAGCCAGGCGCTGTGCCATGTCGAAAGCATGATCAATGCCCTGCTCGAAACCACGAGAGCCGTAGTAGACCCAGGCAAGCGCAAGCTTCAAGCTGTCGCCCCTCCGCCCGCACTGCAACGTCAAGTCCGCCAGGTCCCAGACGTCATCGTCGCTCTCCTGGCCGTGGAAGAGATACCCAGCGCGCAGGGAGTTGGCGGCGTGAAACCGGCGCACATCGCCTGTCAACAGGAACGAGCACGTCATGGGCACATTGAGCATCTTCTGCGGGTTGATGGCGATGGAGTCGGCCAGCTCGGCGCCATCCAGCTTATGTCTCTGCTTGGCCGAGAAGCACACGGAGCCGCCCCAGGAGCCGTCGACGTGCAGCCACATGCCGAACTCGTCGCACACGGCCCTGATCTCGCGGAGCGGGTCGTACGCCCCCAGGACCGTCGTTCCCGCCGTCGCGTTGACGTACAGCGGCGTTTTGCCTTGGGCCTGGGATTCCAGCACCAGAGACCGCAGGGCCGCGGGCATCATGCGTCCGGCCTTGTCCACCGGCACGCAGACGACGCTTGACGCGCCCATGCCGCAGGTCACCGCGGCCTTTTCGACCGAGAAGTGGCCATGGGCGCTTGTGAAGATGGCAAATCGGTGTCCCTGGCAGCCCAGCAGCCTCGTGTCGGGGTACAGGACGCCCCGGGCCGTCACGAGCGACGTCAAGTTCGAAGCGCTGCCGCCCTGGCAGGTGATTCCGCCGGCGTGGGGGCCCTCGAAGCCGAAATAAGACGCCAGTGTGCGTGCCGTGACCTTTTCGACGACGGTTAGAGAGGGGGAGACACGGAAGACGTGGACGTTTGTGTTGAGCGCAGCCAGCACGAGTTCCGATGCCACACCCACGGCGTTTGTACTGGCCGTGAGCTTGTCCAGGAATCCTTGGTCCCACGTGTTGACGCTGTACCGCAGGACATCCTGGATAGTTGTCATGAGGCCGTCCTTGCCTTGTCCATTATCCTGCGGCAACGAGAATCCGAGGCGCTCGACGAGTTCGGAGGGGGAGTACGGCTCGACGAGTGCGTTTCGCGGACAGCCATTGGAATCTCGTTGAGGGTGACCGCTTGCTTTGGTGTGTGCTGCTTCGTCTGCTGCCCTGATGTAGGGGATGATGAGGGACTTTACGGCGTTGATCAAGTCGTCTGTCTCTTCTGCGCGCCGCAACGTCTTCTCAGGGGTCGATGAGCCATTAAGTAGGCCGCCTTCTCCGTTCGGCTCCTTCCTATGCCCGTTGGTAGGCATGGCTTGTGAGTTCCAAGTACGGAGTAGTGGTAGGACAAAAGGTGATTATGCTGCAGTCATGGGCATTGCAAAAGATGCGAAATGTAGCTTTGCCATGTGCGAATCTCCTTTATAGGTCATCCCTCCGTCGTCCTGCCCTCCCCTTATTCGTATTCATGGGTTCCATGTTTCCTGTAATAGAACCTTTACCCCTCTTCGACCGTTTTGGGACTATTCAGGATCGACTAACCAACCGCATGGTTTGATTTAAGACCTTCTTCAAATCCCGCAGGTTGAGCCTGACCCGTCGCAGGGATCTCTCTGCCGTGTCTGAGTGTGACCCTATGGTGGTTACGGGGTAGTATGCCATTGGATAAGCTTTGGTACCTTTTCAGATTGTGGCGCTTTTGACAGAGCTGAGACGTGCCGGAATAATGTGTTTTCATCCGTAGAAAACTAAAAATGTCTCGCCACGAAAAGACAGAGCGGAAGGTGTGTGAGGTATTTTGCGTATTTTTTCCCTGTCACACAAAAAATGTGATAGATCTTCTCCAGGGGCACATTCTCAATTATTCTGACATCTGCTCATGCATGTGCTTCAGGGTACAATGCAACGAAAATGGTCTTGGAACCGACTCCTCTCGGTGCGGTCATTACCCTAGCCCATACGGAGTACTCCGACCGGACTTCTCGTCTCTTTCCATACACCGCAAGAGGGATACGGTATTCTTGGACAACTGGCGGCCCTCGGCTACATGTCCCTGGGGATGAGATAGTTAGAAATAAGATACCGTTGCACGTATAGAAACGCACACCCTTGGATATAAGCATATCGATCAAGATAATTCAGAAAATATGCAAAAAATGATGGAAAATAATATAACCGTATGAAACAACAGCACACCATATCAAGGAAATCACTAAATAATTGCCAACCACTCAACTCCCTTTCTTCCCCTGAACCATAACAAAATACTGCTCATGTTATATGACAGACGTTACACATGGACCCAGTCATCATAACTGTCCTCACCAGGCACGCACACGCCTTCTCTGCAAATTGCCAACATGGCAGACATCTCTTCCATCAAGCGATCGATTTGAGCTTGCGTCGCAATCTCACTGCGAGAGAAAATGTTGATGCTCAACCCATCTTCTTCTGCCATGGTAGACACCCAGACATTCATTGCAGGTAGGGAGAGGGGCGACCACGCGTCAATCCGGCATGACAGCTCGTTGGATTCCAGCGCGCTTTGATCCTGGGAGAACCGGTGGTGGACGATGGACCCAAAGTCGGTGTTCGCCGGCCATGAAGTGCTATTCTTGACAATTTCCTGCAGCCCCGTCGTTTCAAAGGGCATCGTTTCCACATGCTGCGCCTGCACTTGCTTCAGAAGCTCGCTGATTGTCTGACCTGGGTGTAATTGAACCCGCACAGGTATCATGTTTATGCAGGGCCCTATGACGTCCTCCAGGTCGAGGACGCCCGTGTTGCGACCGCTAACTAGTTGGCCAAAGACAAGGTCGGATCGCCGCAGTAGTTTCGACTGAGCTAAAGCCCAAGCCGTCTTCACCACGGTGGCCAATGTGATTCCCCGAGGGGGCGTTGGCAAGGGTACATTTGCTATCGATTCGACTAGGCCTGATGATCTGGAATCATTCAGTGCACCTGTTGCTACTGGCTGATCGAATAATGAAGTCATGGATGAACCATCAAGTAAAGACCTCCAAAAGGCGAATGTCGTTGCGTTCTGGCTCCGGTTACGATGCCGTACATATGTTGCAAAGTCTGCGGAGACGGATATGTGTTTTTCATGATACAAATCAAGAAGATTCGCCATCAACTTGGGTATGGATAGGCCATCATACTGAGCGTGCGATAGACGCATTATGAGAAGATGGCGTTCATCACTGCCTCTTACAAGTGTCAGTGCCAGTGGCACCGATCCGTATAGAGTTTGTGAGGGGAAATCTTGACGACTGTATTCCTCCGCAAATGACCTCAGGTCCTTCTGATTGGCGTTGCATTCGATCACGTCCAGAGGTAGGCTGCGTAGGATGACTTGCAAGATTTGGCCTGCACACGGAATAAACACAGTCTTGAGAATCGAGTGTTTCTCGACTAGTTCTGAGCAGGCTCGCTTCAGTCGAGCTGTGTCCAGTGGCCCTGTTAGCTCCAAGAACCAGTAGTTCTGAGGCCGGCCTGCAGAAAAGGCTTGAACGATTGTTGCAGGAATGACATCAACCACGTCATCCTTGCGGAAGGGCAGGTCTTTCCAAGGCAAATCTCTCAACAATTCGTGGTCGGTGTTACTGGAAGGCTCCACGACGTACGATGCCAAGTCCGACACGGACGTGGACTGTTGGATCTCTCTCGCAAGATCTGCCAGTACTGGCAAGATGAATATTTGTCTTACAGTCACTGAGAGACCCTCATGACGTGCAAGGGATACTAGCTGCATAGCCGTGATTGAGTCACCACCCATCTGGAAAAAGTCGCCGTCGATGTTGATGACATCTGGCCTAACCTCCAGCACTCGGGAAACAATCAATTGTATTTTGCGCTCGGTTTCGGTCAATGACCGTCGGGAGGTGTGCTCAACACTAGAGCCCCCGTCAGGCCATGAAATCTTCGTTGCCTGGTTACGCAGCTTGGATCGATCAATCTTGCCCGACCTAGTCAATGGAATATGATTGACAGCAAGAAACATGACTGGAACCATGTGCCGAGGCACATTCTGAACGAGACGCAATTCTGCAATGTGGACATCTGTGACAAACTCTTGGCTGGATTCAAAAATCGAAAATTCTTGCCTTGTAGAGTCCAGTGCCTGTCGTCTTATAAATGCTGTCAATACCTTCTGAGATGCGACATCTGGCCGTTGGAGAATTTCTACAGCCACATCCTGAGATCCTGGGAAGAAACGGCGTAGG